CTATAATTTATGATGCACTAATATAAAGTAGGAATTTCTTTAGCACTCCCCTGAGGTATAAGTCTGATACTTTATAAAGCAGGAGTGGGATGGTCAGAGCAGATCACTCTGATGTATTTTGGTATTTCCCAGAGTCTAAAAGTTACTTGAAACCATCGAAGACTGACTTTTCAAGTTTTGTATCTGTGTAAGACTCGATCCTCACTCTTCGGTTTTTCTAAGTCATACACGATCAGAGTAATGTTGGTAGCAATCGAGAGCTGTAACAAAATATGGTTGTGTCAAGATCGCTGTGTCAATCAGTAGGTTCAACGTGATGTTCAAAATCTTTGTATTGTAAGCATTGACTGAGTTTACCAACCTCAGATTTTAAGGCAAGGTAAGGACTCTGTACTGTAACCCCCCATGTTTTCTTTCATGTTTGTCGTATATCTGCTCATCTGTCTTCTCTTTTGTCTAATAATCAACACGCAAAAAAGAAAATAAGTGTTCCAAGCTCTCTTTATCTCTAAGGCGTCTTTACTCAGTCACTCCAACTGTTAAAGAAATACTTGGCACACGAGGAATAAAGCAACATTAAACTTGCACATATGTCCGTGATCACAAATGCGATCACTTTGACTGATCACTGGTTCTGCGCATAGTTAAAAGTGCAGAAACTGAAACTTTGGAATTAGAGGGAAAAAAATACAAGCAATCCTAATCTTTTTGGTCCTTCGATGGAGCCGAGTGAATTTAGATGAGACTACAGAGCGGGCGAGCGGGAGCCACCTTTACTTCAAATATGAGAAAATGTTTCTCAGGTAAAACATGAGGTAGAAGCAGCACAGAGAGAAACTTGGAAAAGAAACTCAGAGGGAAAGAAAGAGAAAGACGGCTGTCCTCGATGGAGTGGAGATTACATGTGAATGCAGACAGAGGACTGCTGGAGGAGCGTGTATTCGCTAACACACACCGCGGGCTTGTTACATACAGCAGTCAGGCTCAGGGTCAGGCTGGGACACAGGTTACCACAGGGTTAAAGCCTCGTGCACATGAGAAAAACAGCAGAAACAGATTTAAGAGAGACGTGCATGCCAAGAGTGCCATCTGCTTTAGTTCCCCCCCTTTCCAGTTTCCTCTCTCTCCTATCCCATCCCTCCCCAGCTCCATCTTTGTTTCTCCGCACATTCCCCCGTTCCCATCTCCCACTTAAAAACACATACACATTTTCTCAATAGCTAAATATTACCATTCAGTATTTGTTTTGCGCACTGCTCGAGCGCTGATAATAAACTACGATGGTATAGATACAAGGACGGCTGTGGGGGTGGGGGGAAAAGGGGGGTAAGATAAGTCCAAATCTGGCAACCGTCTCAAGTGTAATGACACCTCCATCTCTATGGAAAACCATCCCCTTTTGTCTTCACTTGCATGGGAGCTCTTTCTTTTTACTGTTTTGTTCCCAGAAAACCCATGGAACATTTGCCAACATTTTTAAGAGCTGCGAAAAGCAGGGTTTTTTTTTTTCTTTGCTGGTTTTTTAAGTCTTCCACCTCGCAGGTGTTTCTTTTTAAGGCGTGTTCGACAATGCCAAGCTCGTCTTGGCTCGTCTTGAATGCCGCGGGCCTCGAGGGGGGGTGGGGGTGGGGGTGTGGGGAGGAGGACTGGAGGGAAAAAAAAAAAAACAAGGTTGGAGAAATCTTATTGATTAGCAGTTGTCGCTTCCCTTTTCTTTATCTTGCCGTAGCTCTCGTCTTCTGCATCGCTCACCCTGTCTCGCACACTTTTTTGAAAGTCCTGATAGGAGGATGAGGAACCTTTGAAGGACAGGCCAGGAAAAAATACAGCAAAGAAATCTATACTATAACTTCAAAGCTTTTTTCTCCCCAACAAGAAGTTACTGGAATTAAGATGTCACAGAGCTAAATTGCAGCTCAGACTTGAAGTTTTGTAAAAGTAACACTGGAGTGTGTAATTGAGCTCATGTTCATGTGTCACTGACTCCCAGAAAAAGCCGATCATACCAGAGGCCTGCTCAATGTGGAGCCTTTAAGAATCAGCGTCTAATTTCACTCCAACTTTTAGGGGGAAACTCTGGCTTCACAAATGCCGTCAAACCTGATTTATAATCTACGCCTGCATGTCATACATAAAATGGAAAAAAGGAATAATCAATCTTATCTCAATTTGATAAGCCCATGTTTGTCTGATTAGTATTCTGTGGGTAATTGACACAATCGCAGCCAAAGCTGGGTTCATTAATGGTGAGACAGATTGCTGCTCGTTAGAGCCACCATGTGGTGCAAATACAAACAGCAGCCATCTTGTTGGGGGGGGAGAAAAAAAAGTGGAGTTGATAACTGTATAAAGCTGTGTTTGGTTTTAACAAATGTCATGTAAAAGTAATAAGTAATAATAAAACCGTGTTATTGCCCTGGAGAGAGAGTGGAAATGATTCAGGTGTTTAAATTAGAGAGGGAGGGAAAGACTGAATAAACAGGTGGAGTGCCAGTTAGGATCAGTGCTACGCCGGCTGGATGGAGAGAAACACAGCACAAAAAGGAAGGAGGGGGAAAAGCTCTGAGAGAGGGATGAAAAGAGGGAAACGGGGAATGAAGTACCATCTGTTTTTTAGGCACCAGGAAGATGAAAATGTGTGTAGTGCTCAGAGGCGGCGTGTTGGTGTAGACTTGGGGTGCGAGAGGAGAAAGCTACAAGGGGCACAGAGAGGTAAGGGAGAGAGAGGGCAGATAAGAGGGAGGCAGACAGATGGAAGACAGGAAGATAAGAGAAGGAGAAAACAGTGAGAGAGACTGTGGTGGAGGAAAGGAGGGGCAGAGATTGGAGGTCTGGCAGCGGTGGGAGCGCACTGGGCACGCTCACATCAGGAGGGGACATGACTCGACATGCCTGCTCAGCCCAGCTGGGTCAACGCTCTGCACTGCCATGTTGATTTGGCTTCTGCAAACACGCGCACACACACACACACACGCACACACTCGTACACTCGCACCGTGGCACAAAATGACAAACAAACCCACAGCTCGCTCCTCTCTCTGTCTCATATCTGGACACACACTCAGTCACAGGCAAACACACACAAGCTCACACCCAAAATGCCAGGGTTTTGGCGAGAGCAGGCCGGGCGGGCGAGGGCCCTGGACTAATAGAAACGCCAAACTCGTTACTCTAACGCTGGGTGACAAGGGCACCTTGGGCTGCAGATGTTCCTGCTGATGACAGATGGAGCCGGGCACTGCCAGGGGACAGTGGGCCAGGCCGGCGCCAGCTCCATGCCACCTGCACCCCTTCCTCTGTACCCCTCCACAAAAACTCCAACACGCACACACTCTCTCGCTCGCTTTCTCACTTGGCCTATCTCTCTCCAACACTGGCGCTCTGCTTTCCCCCCTCTTTTTCCTCCCTCCTATGTGTCTGTCTGTCTGTCTCTCAATCACTCTTCCTCTTTTTCTCTCTCTGTCTCACTCGCTGGCATGGTCCTCTTCTTCCTCTGCCCACTGTGAGGGTGACTGTTTGCGGACAGATATCTATGACACTGGCAGAATGTTGTTGAATGAATTGTGGCTTTATATGTGTTGATCCTATTAACAGACAGAGCACAGATTAGTGTTTCATGACCATAATTCAAGATGAGGAAATTAACAAACTGTTTTGTAGTGAAATGTACGCCGCAGCAGCCCGATGAGCCCTCTAAAAAAAAAAAAAAGATTTTTGCACATTTCGCCGGCGCAATTTGATGACTGAGTAATCCATGCAGCCATTTCCGAGCAGGAAGTGGATTCCAGATCAGCTAATGCATGATGGAGACTGTGTAATGATACCATTTATCTTCATGGAAGTAGTGACAGGCTTCTGGAGGTGGTTCGCCGGCCTGGCTCGAGGAGAAGGTCCACCAGGATAATTTGCTCAATGGTGTTTGTAGCCAGATTACCAAAGTGTGCTCAGCTGTAATTTTAATGATGGTGGTTCACAAGGCTTTCGACTCACCAGAAACGCTTTTTACAGCGTCACTGTGTGAGACAGAAAACAATCATAGATAACGCCAATCTTGTAAAACTTTAATGTTAAGTTTTACATATATTTAACAGTTAAAAACAAGCCAAAGCATGGAGCTGCGATGCTTCCCTGTCAAATACTACGAATAAAAAGGGATTCGTGCCTGAGTGGATGGATACACGAAGTAGGTAAATCAGGGTTCACATCAAAGTCTTTTTCTCTTTGAAAACGGGATGAGATTCTGGGAGAGTGCTCCCGCTGCAATGCCAGCAACAAATCCAGGAACATCGCCTCTCAGTCTGGGAATCCAAGTATTGAAAGAGCAGCAAAGAGATGCATATGTTTGCTGTTTCATAAATTTTGATAAATCTGACCAGGCTTTGCAGCCAAAGTTATGTCTCCAGCTTGGCCCTGTGTTTCGTTCCCACTATTGGAATCCGCGGATGGTGATATTGAACTGCTCTGTGATTAATGTCTATTTTGACATTGAAGTTTTCTAGATGTGCTCTTGGGTCGAAGACAACAATGTGCATGGTGGTAATCAAAGTTTCATGGGAGCTGGAGAATCTGGCAGCGTGGAAAAAACAAGGTTGCATTGTGGCTGCAGCTTCTTGGAACACTTTTCAGTGCAGCAACCCCCCCTTAAAAAAAAAAAAAGCCTCTCCTGCACTTTCATCGTTCTTGCACCAAGCCTGCATCCCCTCTACCACCACCCCCCTTCCCCTCAGCACCACCTCATCCAAAAACCATGTGCAACGTGTCATTTCAACTCCCTCCACGCTGAAGAAGGGCCCCTAACAAAACAAAACAATTATCTCTCCCCTCGTTAGGACCTGGCTCGCATCCCCTCTCCCTGTTTAACTCCTCTTTTTTTTCCCCTGCTGGACCCGGCCTTCGCTCTTACCCCTCCATAGCTGTCTCTGCGACAATAAGTTGAGCTGAGGGTCTCTTAAGTGCTCCTGAAGTGGAGCGTTTAGCTGATTTTAGGCTTCATGTTTCTTTTAAAGGCCTCGGCGGAGGCAGAGGCAGAGACACAGGATGGCTTTTGTGCCCAAGAGAGAAAGACCAAGAAAGAGCAGGAGAGCAGAGTCACACAATTTATGATGGTATGTCGTGATTGGAGGTGGGTGATGGTTGGTGGTGGGCGATGATGTGTGCTGATAAAAAAGGAAGAGGGGGAATGGATGGGGTTCGCAGATTTCACTGTGCCAGCTCTTAATTACTTTAATTGGAGTCATTAGCTGAGTGAGCATGAGAGACATCACCTGCACGGCAGGCAGGACCACACCTGCCACAGCGACATCACTATCATAATCATCACACTCCAGCGAAGGGTTTACTGACAGCTCAACACTGAGCCTCACTGCTGCTGCCACTCTGAGGCCAACATCAGTACCATACTAGGAAAACGCAAATACATCTCACAAACACAATCGTAGATACTTTCATCATCTAGCAAGAAATCCGGATTGAGAAATGTGTTTTTCTGCTCTAACTCTCTTTTTACAAGATCACATAAAAAGAAGGTCAAGGAAAATCACAGTTTTGTCAGAGTACTGAAGCCAGAATTTAATCCTTTAATAAAAAGCCTTTACACCACCACGACTGTGTGCTTTGGCTTTAAAAAGAAACTGAATGACCAAGCCGCTGGCTACTCCACTGACTACATTTTCTCTTATAATAACCGTATCATTGACCTCTGCCCCCTACGAGTGATCCTCTGTTTTTATGTTTCGGCCAGGTCACCCAGGTCTCAAAGATTTTCTCTCACACTCATCATCAACAGGTCTCCCTTGCGAATGAGATCCTCAGATCTCAATGGGACAAACCTGGTTAAATAAAGGTTAAATCAAATTAAACAGCTGAGGCTCTCTGTTTATTTTGAAAATTAAATTAAATACCTATTATGAAAGGAATTTCCACATTATCCTCAAAGTGTCTAATGATAATTTAATCAATGAAGTCATGTTGGTGTCATCTAAAAACCTACAATATGTGAATTTTTCTTTTCTTTTTACAATATATTTAATTCTGGTGTTTTATAGCGTCACCTTTTAACACTTTTTGATTATCTAAATATTTTTGTTTTTCAACCTTCAGTGAACTATGTTTGATTTTTCATGTTTTCTTCATGTTTTAATGAAAGATACTGAAAAATAAAAGGTGAGAAACACTGTATATGTACAACTACCAAAGACCGTAAATTTAAAACCTCTACTTTCATACGTTTTCTTTCTGTTTTAGGGTTGGTGAACTTTTTAAATCAGTCTGATTATTTGTGCTTTTACAACATTAATTTCAATTTGGGAACATCACTGCAACTTTTCAGCAGAAAAAATACCTAATCTTAATTTATTTATGCCTTCAAACAATTTCTAATAACAGCTGTAAAATGTTCAACGATACATTAAAACTTGCTGTCCCAAGTGCACAAAAACCGAGTTATAGACGTAAGCATAGGTTTGAATTTCCAAGAACAAGCTAACATATTCCAGCGTCTTCTTAACTTCTGGCTGTTTAGTTTCCTCTAGCCTCTTTCACACATGCACAAAACTCGTGAAAATTTTCCAAACTTTGCCCAGGTAGGCTGCATGTGTGAACACAACTGGCCAATTAATTTTTATTCCAATCCTATCCTGACTTTTTTCTTGCCAACTTAGTAGAAAATGTTCATCAAGATCTCCAAGTCAGACAACGAGTGAATGAAGCAGGTAGAAGTCAGAAAAAGTACCTCTGCCAGGTGTTACTTTGCTTCACACTACTGTTTACCTCAGTAGCTGGTAAAAAAAGGTCAATAATGAACAGGTTAATTATGCTTAATCCTGTGCCTTTTTGTCCTTGTCGCACTGTGTAATGAAGCTCCTGCTGCCGTGATGGGAAGAAATTACACTAAGGTGTTTTAAATGGCACATTAATGAAATTCCTCAGCTGATAAGTCAAAAGTAACATGTGCTTTGTGTCAAACTGGACTGAATAACCCCAGGCTACTTTGAGTTTGAGTTATCACCTATGAGCTGCACACTGGCTCAGCTTATCAGACTAGTATCAGTGGGCAACCGCATTACAAAAGCCAGTGGAGCACTATTTTGAAGAGTGCAAATCACAACAGGCCTCTGGCCCTGGCATGTTGTGACCGGTCATTACCGCTGCAGGGAACAATAGCTTCAGGACCTGCATTAAACAGAGGCAGCAAACCAAACGGTAATTCCTGAAAAATGCAAGCACTGTTGCATTAGCCGGAGATTAATGGACATCGGGAGTAATTAAAATTATGTTGGGATGATTGCAAACTACACTGACACTGCACTCTTTGTTTATGCACTCCGGCATCTTCCTTAATGTATGGCAGAGTTATCTTTAAAAAAAGAACAACTTCCCTTTGTACAGAAAGTGAACTTTGGCTATCAAATAATCTTTTGCCCTTTTCTCTCTGTGTTTGATGCCAGCAAGGAACAGCTGCCTGGATATGCAGCTCTGATACAACACATCTACCTGTTTGTTGGAGGCTGAGTTTCAAGTGTTGATTCATTTGTCAGAGTCAAAAATGACTAAGAGTGGTGGGCTGTGGCTATGACTCATTGCCAGCTGAGCCACAGCGAAAACTGAAAGTCTTGACAACTGCTGCAAACCGTTACTCTGCAAAGACTCTGTTAAGCCATGAGAGACACATTATTTTTTCACAGTTTAAAGTTCCTAATACTGTGTTGTTAACTTGATTCTGAAACAGTATACAGAATAAAGGCCACAGTATCATCCAGTAGATGTCTATTAGTACAATAAAGGAAGTGGGAAATAAAAAAGAAAAATTAATCAACAGGCTCCTCTGGTCTCAGGTGCTGAGATTTGTATGAGTAGGGTAGTTTGTGACAGACTTAGCATCGTAGTAAGTGAGCGTGTGTTTTTGTGTGTGATCCTCTGTTTATACTGCGATAGTTTGTTCATATTGTGGTTTCAGATCACACTGGTGGAGCAGTGCAGCAGTTAATTGAAAAAATCTTAAGTTATGGTGATTAATTAGTCTACATCTACTTTTCAATTTGATTTCTATGATGAGACACTGATAAGAATTGTTTTACATTATGGAATCATTAACAGCTTAGAAATCCTGAATACTGAAAGTGTTATCCGACAGTAGTAACCACCACTTGCTGTCAAAACTATGTGATTAAAAGAAACCCTCACCCTGACAAGCAGAGTCCTCATACATGTGTAGAGAAATGGTCCTACAACCCGTCACCTAAACTGAGAGTATGTCGGCATATAAGAGGACATAAGATACAGATCGTCTCCTGCTGACAGGTGTGGTTGTGAATGGCAAGTTTCTGTATGAAGTGGCTCACCTGCATTACTGATGCAGCAGAGAGTAGAAAACCAGGAGTGGGACAGGAAGTGGTTGATTGTTCGCTACAGCTGCTGCCATGTCCAGTCTGAAAACACCAGAGACATGGAGGTAGATTCACATTGACCAGTTTTACTTTAAATAACAGTTGTAGTAAAGGATACTAAAACCACTGTAGGACTTGATCCAATGACAAACTTTGATGTCATCCAGACCTGCAGGCTACACCCTCCGCTGTCCTGCTCAGCACCCGGCAGGCTGGCAGGCATGCTGGCAGACGGGCAGGGTGGCAGTAGACTGGCAGGCTTCGCCTGGGGCACCATCTCCTGCGGAGCCAACTCTGACCAGCTGGTCCAGACTAACACCGCAGAGCAAGCGTGTACGTCTGGATCAGTAGGGAGGTAGATGTTAGCTGTAGTCCAGACCCTCTCACACCCAGAGCCTGACACCTCCAGCAGAAAACCTGCACCCATGAGATTCAGGTGGGAAGACTTTGTCTGGTTTATGACTTAACAGGTTGTCACATTTCTCCTGGCGGACCATGCCGCCATCCCTGTCACTTTCCAGAGAGCAGTGAACGATGAACCCCTGTTTGTTCTCACCTGCTGGTGCCAGATCTATGAGCCTGATCTCCAGTCGAGCTCAGTCCAATCTACTGTGACCGTTCAGCTCCAGCAGCACAGAGAGAAATTGAATGGGCATTGCTCCCCCAGCTCAACGAAGCTAGCTAGTTAGCTAGGCACTGTTTAGCATGAGATTCAAACACAAGGTTTACAGCGGGCAGTGATGAAACTCAGTTGGTGCAGAGGTTACAGTCATTGCTAGCAGCAGGCCAGGCCTGCATGTAATTAAAAATGTAAATACATCCTTATTCTACCGATAAATCAAGGTGGAACAAATGCATTTTGTGGTTTGAGCAATAACTCACAGTTTCCTTGCCTGTTGTTTTCCATGATTTCCACCATACCTGTGTTAGCAACATGTCCCTCTTGAATCTGAAATAAATCCAAACATTAGCATCAGGTAACCAGGGGAGAGTTCATGAGTAGCTTTAACTTGATCTGACAGCATGAAAACAGTGAGCTAGCATGGCCATTTTCCCAGGCCTTCACACAACAGGTTTAATGAGTACTAGCTGAGTTAGATAATATTACTACAGACATAAATTCCTGTATTATAACAATAATAAAACTGCTCTTCATAGTGCAGCCTAATAGCCCCACTATCACTCTACAATCTTTTCTTCCATATATTCCATCTTTCTTCTGCTGTTTCATCACGCAATACAAAAACGACCAGATAAATTTCAAACAAAGGTGTGAAGTATCTCAGTCAAATGGGACTATTTGTTTTCAAGTTATTTATGAGGCACAAAGAAACAAACTTAACAATTCTTGCTGTTAATTAACAGTCTCAAAAAACAAATTTCAAAGAAAAACTCCTGAGTAAACGGAAAATATAGGTCCCAAATTCTCCACGAATTTCCCCTTGATACACCTTGATTGACCTGATATCATTTGAGTCCCCCCCTCACCCCCATCACGCACCTCCCAACCGTTTCCACGTCTGACAGTTAAAAGGCCTACACACACAGAGAAAGAGCAGGCAGCTCATTGTGCGTTTTAAAGCGCTAACTAGGCCACTTAGCACCCCGTGACGCTCATCTGATCCCCGAGGCGCTGAACTTGGCAGCAGGCCCTCCTCCTTTTCGCTCCTTCCTTTCCCCCTCGCCATGGGAACCAGGCCATCCTTAATGATGCAGGAGTGCTCCGCCGGATCCCACAATGCAAAGGGGGCTGACATCTGTCTTGCTAAGTGGTGCACTCTCTTGTGCACCTTGTTTGTTCAATCAACAACCACCACCACCCCCCCTCCACCTCCACCTCCCGCCTCATCCACCTCTCCTCCCTCTCATCCCTCCACTATGCCTCTTTTCCTTTTTATCTTTCTTCAGTTAAAAAAAAGGACAAAAAGTGGAAGAAGAGGGGTACAGAGTTTTGAAAGAATAGACAGTGAGACAGTGAGATCATGACTCTCCTTTACCGTCATCATCACCCTTACAGCACAGTAGGCAGATCATTAACACAAGCGAGCGCACCATTGTGCAGCAACAGAGATGAAAGGAGAAACACAGTGAAGGTTTAGATATGAGTGACTCAGATTCAGATATTTCACTGACAAAAATCTGCACAACCAGGAAAGAGGGTTTGAAACGCAGGAGTTGCAGGCCTGTTTGAGCCTCGAATCCTCTCTACCTTCTGCATATTTCGCAAATAAACAAGAGCCTGATTAAGAGTGGCCCCTAATTCCTCATAGTTAAGACCTGGGCAAATATTTGTCCCATCAATCTCAGAAAATATAGCCATCAACCCAAGATGTTAATCACATGCTAATGGAATCTGAGGGGCTCAATGCAACCCCCTTAGTGCAATGAACGCTTTCACTTTTTCAGAAAGCCCACGTGAATGCAAATGGCCATCTAAACAGTCATTTTGACAGCATGCCAAGGCAATGTAAAGAGCCCCCTTCTTTATGCTCCTCTGGGAATGTATGTAGAGATGTGTGAGATGAGTTCACTTTACCAGACCCAGGTGCCAGGATATAAATGAATAATAGGTTTTATGGGCCCTAACTGAAAAAAGCACACACACACATAATCACACATGCTTAGCCGCTCAAGTGCATCTGCAGAGAGGGATGTTCAAATTCCCACAACTACCCTGAAAAGAGATTGGGCATGAGAATAGGTGGTTCCTATACATAATTCAGGGGTCCATACTGAAACAATTATGTTTGCTTACTGCTAAGTACCCGTGCTCAATAGCTCATTTGCTCTCTAGTTTGGTGCTTTCAGATGTAAGTGCTATGTGCTAAAAGTCGGTGGAACACTGCTTTTTAATAAAATATAGGAGCTGACACTTGAACACTTGAATACAAGAGTGGATGGAAAAAAAAAAAAAAAAAAACACAACAAATGCTTGTCATGTTTCTACTCCAGCATTGCATGCAAACTAAATTGCACTTGTGAATCCAACAGTGTTAGCAGAAAACTAATTAGCGATGCCAGAGCGAAAGGGACTGGAACAAATAAAAGGCACTTTAATGGTGATTGTACAGATCACATAATTTCTGTTTACATGAATGTAAACACATCTTTAAGACGAACACAAGTCCAGTGTGGACACATCAGTCTGCAACACGACCAAAACATAGGTCATTTAGTCAACAATTACCGTGGTGGATCAAATCACCGTCGTGTATTTTTCTGAATAACTCATTCAGACTCACAAAAATATACAGACACAGACAAGGATGCACATAATCAATGCAAATAACAATAATTTTCCTCTTTGCAGAGACTTTTTCACAGATTAGACATAATTTAAGAAAACACCTGCCTTTCGTGTTTCATATAAAATTCCTGACAAACATCAGTTTTTATTTTACCTGCGACAACAAAATTAAAAGTGAGTCAAAGCTGCAGCCTCAGCGCTCCTCTCTTCTCGGCCCGTCTCACACTTGCACTCCTCCACCACCACCAGCCGCCGCTCCCTGACCTGGGCACCGCAGCGTAACGGGACAGTCACAGTGCGAGATTTGGACGGGGCGCAGCGAGAGCAGGGGGCCCGGTGGTGAAGTGACCGTGTCCCGGTAGCACCCAGCTCTGTAAGCTCCCCTTCAGAAGGGATAAACAGGGAGCTGCACTGGCCAAAGCACAGTTTGTTGTGCACAATAACTGTACTGCATCCCTCTGCTGTCACGTGCTAGGAGAAACAAAAACAGAGTCAAGATTAGCAAAAAAAAATCACAGCAATATTGTTTCTACAAATTTACCTCTGAGGGCTGCATGGTCTAGGACCTACACCCCCAGAAAATTCTGGATAAAATCAGTCTTTCTGCTAATATTCTTTGCATTACTAGTTGCAGACAGTTTCATAACCTGCTAAAAATGCCTCACTGGAGCTTTAATGCTCTTACTTATGTGTTGCACAGACTGCCTCTTACCTGAGTGAAAGGTACTGCAGTGCATGTCTGTTTGGTGTCCTTCAGGTTGACTGGCAGGTGCATCTTTTCTCCTTTATTTATGGCTCTCTGCCACATCTGCAGGCCTTGTCTCTTCTTGAGCTCGACCTCATTTTTGGGGTTTAGGTGATGCAGAGGACTCACTGGGACCCTGGCGGATAAGGCTGGACCTGGACGCCCGTTGGCTAAGAAAGCAGGGAATGACAGTCTTGAGCTGAGAGAGGGGGCTCTTCTGGGTGTCAATCCCTGTTTGAAGAAGCCGGTCCGGGCCAAGGACCGAGGATCCAGCTGCACCACCTTCACTATTCCTCGGACAGGTTCGTCTTGTCCTCCGCCTGATGATTCCAAATCCATTCTTGACCTTTTCACAATGTCCTCAAAAGCACTGTGAGGAAACGTGAGAGCCAGAGTCCAAAAAGAGAAAAAGACCAGGCTGTTCAGGGGAGCCATTCCTGCAAATTAACAAGGGGAGTCTTGGAAAGGAGAAGGGGGCAATTAATTCCAAAATCTGATTGAAAAAGTTACAGCAGAAGTTAGTAAAAAAAAAAATCTGAAAAATCTTTGTCTGGTTTGGTACAAGGTTCCAAATGGTAACCTTGCTGTCAGTGCTGTGTGAGTGTGATGGAGGGAGTCTTTTATAAAGGTAGCTGCCAGTTCTCACCTGTGTTTTAATGCACTGAAGGTGTCGCATTTCCCACACCGAACCAGACATCACACCAAGCTTATAACTCCAGCTCGTGGATGGCCGCCAGACTGAGAGTGACTTCAGTGTCAGGGTGGGCAAAGTCAAAAAGAACAGCTTGGTCCTTGAAGTTGAAATTATTACAACCCGGGGTAATTGAGGACAAAACCATTTTACATTACATTCTTTTAAACCGCAAAGTTTTTATTGAAGTACAGAGCGTAGTTTGCACATAATCCGCATGTTAAAAACTATGCTTGCAAAACACACGTCCTAATTTAATATTTTGGTTGAGTTCCTGTGAGAGTAAAAAGCATCATCCATCCTTCTTATGTACTAAATATAACAATTACATTGTTTTAAAGCTCTTAGCAGCAAACAAACGTGTATTTCTTATTCAACTTTTACACCAACTATAAACTTTTGGAGAAACTTACTCTCCGAGGAGAATTTTTTGTCTGAGTTCACATTTCAAATTGAATGCATAATTCAGAAAATGTGGGAGTGCTGATTGAAAAACAACTGACTGATGCAGAGGGAATCTTCTCTCAGACATTCAGAGGGACTGCTTTGGTTCAATACATGATCTAGTCTACAATAAAACCCTCATCCAGCAGGTGTGCCTTTCACATTTGGTTGTAAAGCAGTAATGACTTTATGTTCTCTTCGTAAACAAGCTGTCTTCTGTCCATTTTTTCCCACAGCCTCTACATTGCGGTGCCATCAATACACCATTAGACTTCAGTGAGCTCTGTCAGCCGTGACCTGATCACACAGCGGCTGCTGAAAAGGTGGAGCGGCTGACAGAGTAATAATGTTCAGGTTGTTTAACTTTCTCAGAGAGATTCTCGCCTGAAAGACACAGTTTTCTTTAAAAACTCTCATTACATGTGTTTCCTGGCTGGCAATTAACATTCAGGGACTGATAGTTCCACTAAAGATTGGGAGAGGTTAACTTTAATTTAAAGTTATCTAAACTACAACAAGCAGAAAAAAAACCTCAAGTTTTTGAGGACTTTTCTCCACCTTTTTTGAGAGACTGCTCTCGTAAAAGTCATGCATAATGTGTTTTGTTCAGAAATACAGGGAAATAGATACCTTCCATTTAGGGGCAGTTTATATATTCTCCACTAGAGGGCAGACTATACAAATGGTATACCCCCCTGCATGCCAACCTGCCCTCTGACTTTCTAACAGCCTTTTCTAAATCAACAGCGTGATCAATATTATAGTTTTTAGTTTATGATTATCATTTATTTTAGTTTTTTCTTTTTAGTTCTTTCATACGTACAGGAAATGTTGATTTTTGTTCAACACATGATAATATGTAAATAATGTCTCTGCTTACTTCCTCCTCTCTACATGTCAAAGCCTGAGTGACACATTTAAAAAAAACTAATGACTCCGCTGAAGCTTTTCACAGGGTAAGCATATTTGAGTGTAGCAGTTGTTGATGTGTGAAATAATCTTATTCTTTACAGAGGAGAAACTCAGTTTAGAAACAGTCTGGTTGGTCAAGGATAAAGGCTCAAAAAGATCCATTCTCTCAGGATTATTGACTTTATTTCCCCTCAGCTGATGTAACCAAAAGGAATGAGTCAATAAAACCTGGTAAAATGACGTAAGGGTGAAAGAATTGCTCTGGAAACAACTGAACTCATGACTTGGATCCCCTGAAAGTCCAACATACAGATGTAGGAGCAGGTGGAGTCAGTAACATGCGTCCAGGGCTTTCCTACAGCCATAGGTCTCACTTCTCATTAAAACTATCATTAAATGGCAAAATAAGGAAAAGGCAGTGAACAGCAAATAAAGAAAACTGTAGCTTAAAGAAAAACCTTGTTTGAAGCGCTACAGGCCTGAGAATATTCCATCAAAATGCTTGTTTACGATTTTCACTTCAGTCTGGCCTGTAATAAAGATGATTTCATCAAGGGAGGTAAAAACAAACCTAATTCCAAGATGGAGCAATAAGACTTAATAAACCAATGTGTATTTGTACTAAAGTGTTTAATGATTACCTGATCTTCTTATAACAAAGGGAATCTTTATCTTTCTCTCCAGTCCAAATATCACACCTCTGCTCTCCTTCACTCTGTACACTACGCTGTAAATCAACTTTTACAAGAATGCACCAGACACTAAGACTACCCTTCCCAGAAACTAAAAAGATGACATATTGTTGTCACATGTTCTTTTAACTGCAGTTCAAACTGTTTTATGATCACAGTAGGACAGACACTGTTTTCCGATTGTGACGCCATCAGGAGGAGCGTCAGGCTTCTATGGCAGGACATGTGACAGGACAATCTGCTGCTTCAGCAGTGCGCACATTAAAATTCACTAACTAGAGTCCACTTTGTACCAAAACACCCATACCTGCTGACACACACACTCACTGTCATCTGCCCCGAGTGATGCGGATGGTCTTGTAAGATATAAGACACCATAACCTCCAGGAATATAATTAAAGTTGCTCTAAGCAAAAGGCTACACACTTATCTTTCAAGTGCAACCTTTCAAACCTTACTTACTGTACACACAGGCTGCCACAAGCAGCTAGGATCTTTCTTTATCCAACAACAACACAGGCTGTAAAGGGATTCAGTGGGTACAGAATGGGCTTATCACTAAACTAGTTACTGACTAATACTGACTAACTCTGTGAGACATTAGTGTAACATAAACGACTTTCTTTATCTCCTTCACATCTCTCTCTCTCTCTCACACTGTGTACTCATAAAATGTTGGTATTTTTCTTAGGCTCCAAGACAAAGAACAACTGGCTAGTGGGAAAAAAAAAAAATCTTTCCACCATGGCCTTAATTTTGGGTTTCATCACCAGATTTTTAAGCACTTTCCCACCTAAACCTACATCTGCTGATTTTTTAACCACCTGACTGCAGGAGGGACAAGCCAGAAACAAAACACAGACGTGTTATTTCATGGAAAAGTTTGAACCAAGGGTGTGCTAAAAACACCTGTGATTCAACTCATGCAGTTAGCTCACAGTAAAAATAGCATGAAATGTGTTGTTGGTAGCAACAAAGAAAATATAGTTTTGACTGCAACCTCCGATGATGAATTTTGGTCTCTCTGATGTGTTGCATACTTAACTATTTTCCCCCAATGTAAAGCCATTGTGTCAGCCTGTTCTTGACTCACCATTATCACTGCTGTCGAACAGTTTGACTTTCAATATTATAATGGAGATTATAATTCCTACCCCAATTATCAAAATCACTATTTTAAATCTTAATACGAGACCTGCTGATTTATATTGCCACCAAGATTAAGATTAGCCTGTTACCCTGCATATAGGACATACACTTTTTTCACTATTATTGTCACAGTAACCTTCATTACAGGCAGTGAAACCAAAAGCCTACAAGCTGTTGGCAGCATGTTTTATGAAGCATGGTAATAATTACTTGTTAGACAGCTCTGTCTGTTAAATTAATCAATACAAAACAGTGGATTAATTCAGTACTTGTGTTATTTGGGTTATGGGGCTATGAACAAAGACATGCCAAACACGCATCTTAAATAAAGAAGATATGCCAAACTTATCTATGTTAGGGCTATAGGAGAGAGTGGGATAAGATGAGCCATTTTTCATATTTCAGATCACTACATCAAGGCAATCATAGTTTTGCCTCTAACTAGTGTATCTGCATATACTTCAGGATGTTGTACATCCCTGCAAACCAATAGAATAAGTGTAAACATAACTGTCTTGATAATATAGCATGCCAAAAAAAAAGTGGTCTCCTATGGTCAATTTACCCTGTGTATGGGGTAAGTTGACCATAAGCGTGGTAAGTTGAGCCGTATCCCTACTAACCCCCCACCCCAGGCCTTCCTCACCTTCTCTCTCCCTAAAAAACAGTCACTTCTTCACATTCATGTCTATTTTTATCTATTATACGCTAATTAACTGGTACAATGATTCTTTTTATAATCATTGCATATAACTGCTAAAAAGCTGTTTTGTAAAAAGCCATTTTAACATGAGAATGCCTTTTAGTGATTCAGAACATTCACGGCTGTATTTTTGAAAAGAAAAAGTAACACAGTTCAACAATCTGAACTGAAGCTCTGATCCTCTCATCAGACGTCTTTACTTTCTCAGTTGAGACATTGGATCAACTTACCCCAGAACTACTATGATGACTTCATTAGTCCTCTTAGCTAAAATGGTGGACTTTTATGCTAGGTTTTGGCCTCATGTTGTAGCTCAGAAATACCACCACTGATGTATAAAACAAATTTAAACTGATCTTTTTTGGTCTGAACACAATTCTTATAAAACTTATGACGGACTAAATTCCCTTCCAAGAGTGAAAAATGTTTTTTTTTTTTTTTTATAAATGTCAAACCCCTTCACCCATGTGCTTCTAACCTACACAGACTCCATGAATTGATGCCTATCTCCTAAATATTTGGTCACATGATCAATTTCTTTGACCATTTCCAAGCAACAGGGGTGACTCAACTTAACCTTTGGCTCAACTTACCCCACTCTCTCCTACACGAAACATGAGCTCTTCAAGCTAGCGGCTACCTGGTATCTGTAACTATACTAGCCTGAGATAATGGTTACGCATATTGCAGTTGCAACTGATTATCAGCACACCACTTACCTTACAGTATTCGTGTCGGCGGTCCAATTCTTCATCTCCAACATCATCTTCCTCATTGTCCTTCATTTCATTGCAGGCCCTGACTCCTTGGCGTTCGCCTGGATGCTTCTAGCCGGACTCTGTGTTAGCTGCTGCGCCATTTTCTTCTTTCCCTCCTTTTCTTCCAACGACAAACGAAAACCGTGAATTATCCGCGGACCAGACCGCAGGAGTATTTAACTGTCTGATTTTGGTGTCCCACTCATATAAACGAGATAATTCACCATTAAATGCAGGATAAAGTGAAAGGACAACATGGATAGCTCCGCTGAAACCAACCAACCAACCTTTTTAGGCCTGCTCATTAAACATATATCTTTTGGTCATTCCTATGACATTACATTGTTTATTGGCTTAAAATGTGTTAAATTTTATGCTTTAACTACAGGGAAAATTCGTTTTTTCTCATTGGTTCTCCTTGATAACAATTGCCAAGTTCCCTCCTTTTTTTTAATCAAATGGACACTCCAGGAAGTTGAGTTCTGTGTGCGCCTGCGCAGAAATACCTCCGTCAGCAGAAACCTGTCTAAAGTTCACCTGAGGTCTTCTTCTTCGCCGTCCTTTATTGGCGGTTGGCAATCAGCTTAAGGAGTATTACCGCCACCTATTGGATTGGAGTGTGACACAGGAAATTAAGCAGGAAAAAAACAAACAGATATATACCTGTGCCTAAACATGTATGTACTCACTAAGCTCCAAAGTTAAACTCTGTACAATAAGCCAGTCTCCCTCAAATACCTCATTAATGCCTTGAATACTTTTTCAGATGCTGACCCAAACAGATTATTACCTGAGGCTTTGAACACAACTTTTCTTTTAAGTGTCTCTTCACCAAAAGCTGTTGTTTCATGCCGTTTTCATAAACTTTAAAAGGCAGCAGACTCTTAGGGTTTAATGTTTTAACAATTGCAGGTCAATCCATTAAAACCTTACAACGCACAGGGATGTTATTACTGTCCTATTTGTTTTAACAAATTTTATATTATTTTACTGTCCATTTTTATATATATATTTGTTTACCATTTCATTGAGATTTTGAAATTTCTTGTTTACTTTTGATCATTTGGCACTTTCGAAAACTTTTTTTTTTTTTTACTTTAAACTGCTCTATGCATACATTTGGATTCGATTAACTTGTTGAGCGTTTACTCACATGATTCCAACATACACCTTTTTTTTCCTTAGTTCAGTGTAAAATTCAGTCAGGATACTTGAGTACTTTTCGAATGTATATTCATGTGTCATGTGAGAACATGTGAATGAAAATATGTCAAAAAAGAACCAGGGGAAGTCAAGATTGTGATATTTATTATTTCAATTTGATCAAACATAAAAATATAAATGTTTCATTTTCACAGTGAATGCAAGGGATATAAACAACTGACACATTTCTTTCTGCTCTGTGCATCATGACAAAAAACTTTATGTATCAGCACGAACAACTTCAGCAGTTAGCAGCCTAAAAAAACCATAAATATTATAGATTGCATAGAAATGTGTAAAATGTACAGCTTTGAAAATACAATGTCAGCTTCCATGACAAACTCTTCCAGAGCGACCTAAATGCCCCAGAGACAAAAAGCTCTGGCAGAGCATTTAAAGCCTTTCAAAATATCAGAATCAAGGAAAAACTTTACACTTGAAAAATCTGCTTGCAGGTCAGATTTACCAATTACCATAATGTCCATCTATCCCAAACATGAATCATTATGCCTTGTTGCCGATGTCGTTGTAAAGGATCATCGAAACCACCATGGCAGCAATCTGTAATGAAAACAGTAAATACAGCTCATGAGATACAGCTCATAAAGACCATCCAGGTTAATACTGCTCTGATGGATATATGCTGTAGAGTTTGGATGAAAAATTGTATCTAAAACACAGCTCAAATTTTTAAAAATTGTGTCATAAAAAACTTACTGCTACCATGTTTTGGGATAATAAGAACAATTTTTGAACAAGTGACTACTTTGTTTGGGTTCCTACATATTAAAAAAATAAATAAATAATAAAAGTTTCTTTCTCTCTCATTCTTAGAGTTAACTCATGTTTTTATTCTGGCTGCTTTATGTCACATACAGTAAGCATACACACATTAAAAAAATAAGAACCTAAATTGAGTTATATGAAATAAATGCTGTTAAACCAAATTAAGCAATCTTCATCAAAGTCTTTTTGAAACATAGCAAATTTTGTATTTTGTAGAAAGCAAAATATGAGTTAAAACTTGCTGTAAAACTTTGAATTAGAGGGAGCTGTAGGCTTAGGTGATGATTTTCTGTTTGTTTATTTCACCTTAACATTGCAACTTACAAGATTTGTCTTACTTTAAAGAAATTTTGATGCCGGTGATTTAACTGTATTGCTTTTTTTATTGAAATAAAAAAATGTGAGCGATAAAGCCGAAGATGATTTAAAGCCATATCAATTTTCTATTCAAACACTATGTAGTCTACCTATAAAGTCATCTGTAGCCAAAGCCCTCAGTACTCTTTTTGGCTGGTGGCTGAGATAAAAAGAAAAGAACTTGCTAAAATTGTGTACTGTACCTCAAGGGCAGCAATTGCTAGAATCACAGCAGCAATTATCACGGCATTTTCCTCTATCAGCTTCAGCAGAGTGTCAAAGCAGCCATCGATCATCTGGACAAATGACAAAAATATGGATTGTTGTTTTGCAATTCAATGCAAATCATTGTTTTATAACTTAGATTTAGTCGACTTAGTCCATACCGAGCGATTTGCTTCATCTGTATTGCAAGCACCCTCTGTGATGGTCGCATTGCAACAAGTAGTTGGATAAACACCCCCCTCGTGTTGGTTAAAAAAAGGCGAGCCATCAAAATCTGTGTAGTTCCTGTATCCACAGCACTTAAACTAGAAGGAAACAACAGAAAATGATTTCAGTGACAGCAATGTGGCAGCAAAAGCTAAGACTATGCTTAATATAAAAACAGAACAAAGGTCACAAGCATGAGGAAATCCCAATTTCTTCACAATAGCAATTCTAAACAGAAAATACCTCCTCCATGGTGGTATTCCAGAGAGATGTCAGACTCTCAAGCTCTCCATAGTTCTTTTGAATGCTCTCCCTTACTTCTGTCTCCAGATTATCAAGAAGCTCTTTAGCCTGTGAAGGATGGGATGAAAAACATAATGTTAATTCAACTCCAGTAAAGTTTGAAGGGATATTTCAAGGTGCTACATTTCTTAAAAACTGGCAGTTATAAGTCGCTGGACCAAATTTTGCTTTCAAGAGACACTTACAACATCCTGGAAGACGAACAGGATCACAGCTCCAGCTACCTCGATGAGGAAAATGATCAGCACGATACTGAAGAACTGTAAACAGAGAGAGAAGGATAAGAGGTTGAGACTCTCTCACTATGTCTTATCAAGTAGTGATGGGCACGGCAGTTCTTTTAGATGTACTGAAGCACTAGAATCAGTTCACTGAAAAGATAAGTTCAAAAGATATGTTCACTAAATCACCAAAGCCTGCGACTCCGACCTCCTGAACTGATACACAGCTGAACGGTTCAGGATTCAGTTCAATTCATAGCTTCTGGGACCGGGAGACGAGAGTGTTTGGCTGTGTTGCTTTGGCAAACAGGTTTGTAGAAATGAACTTGTTCATAAGTCATGATGTTTTAAGTGTACTGTCCTATGGTATGCTATTTACCAGGTCTGCTCGGTAAATTGGGTTCAGTGAGTGATTCGTTTACTGGACATTTAGAAGAATTCAAACCGACATGCACCGTTCCCTTATAAACCGCTGCAATAATAGGATGCTGCAAGTTTAATGCACCACTTGTTACATGCTGTGTCCTATTGTAAGCAAGTTGTTGTGGTGGCAATTTAGCAGTTAAAAAAAAAAAAAAAAAAAGGTAGTTTTGTCCGACAAAAATGATTCCAGAGAGTGTAGTTCAATGCCTGATTCGTTCATCAAGTGATTCAGGTGTCATAAGTGTAAAGACACTGCAGGGATTCAAATCTTAAGTTTTGCATTCATGTTTAAGCAGCATCCCTTTAGAGCGACTATTTGTAAAGTGACTGAATGACAGGAGTTTCTTTCTTAAAGTTACCAGAATTCAAATTTTTATGTCCAACAAAGTTGAAAATATACATGTGAATCCAAAAAAATCTTCTTTATCGACCCATTATAATGTTGGAAAATCTTTAAATGTCTCAAAGAATGATCAAACATCACTCACTGTCAGCAGCATACACCGGCTCTCCTTCACAGCTCCACAGCAGCCCAGGAAGCCAATGATCAGTAGAACAGCGCCCACTCCAATGAGCACGTAGCTGACATAGGCAAGATTAGACAACTCAGAGGGAGCGTCCTCCAAGTTGTCCAGTATGCCCATCAGAGAATCACTGTCCACCTTCACCCATATCCCGATACCTAGGATGCCTGCACCTGCCAACTTCATGGTTGGAAAAATTAAAAAAATGAATTAGAGCAGGAAGTTATTATTATATACTTATTTTGTTTCACAGCCACCTGAAAACTCCTCATGAGGGTTAAAATACTGAACTCTAAACAGATGCTATTTGGCTATGTTTAAATAACTTATTTGAAGCTCTAAATATAAATCATTTTACTCTTTTCAAAACCTGGCGCTAAAAAAGGGAAGTTCTGTGGTTATATATTTGTTAGGAACAGTATATTTTTTTTCAAATTTTAAAGCAGGGTCTCTTACAGAATGTTGATGTTACACCCCAAACTAGAAGTAGCCCTGTGGCTTTGTCTTTAGCAAACAGACATGGATGAACAGAACACTTGCAATAGTAGGTGATAGACCGTTTTCACAAATATATCAAACTATTCGTTCTACAACTGCATTGACGTCCAGCACATAGCTATAACTACTGTAACACACAGTAGTGAGTGTCAGTGTGTTTTCCAATGGAACCTGATCAACACACAAAAACTGGACAGCCAGACAGACAAACACACATTTCACTTTTAACTTACAAATATGGCACCATTGAAGACAAACATCATAATCTTGAGGAAACCCGAGCAACACATCTTGGCAGCTTTTGTCTCTAACTGTGAGAAACAAAAAGGTTTGTTAGTTCAGTCTCCAACTACACAGTGAAACACAAGCATTATGTTACATTTCCCTATATTTGCTTGTTGTACGGAATTAATTTGCATCAAAGCAGCTATAGGGAAACTAGCTGTGTATATGAGGATGGCTTTTAGACAAGCAGGAAGCTGCAATGGGTCAAATTGCATTTGCTTAGGTGAAACATTAACCAAAGTAACCAGCCGGAAAAAACACGAGGTGTCTCGCTGTTTCAAATATGCTCGGCCTTCATGCTGACAATAGCCAAGATTTCAGTTCATGTGTGACATAAATTCTGAGTTCATATCCACATTTCGATTGTGAGTTATTTAAGGGAGTATCAAGCACACATTCATGGTGTGATTGAAAGTTTCCGCTTTATGTGGTACAGAGGGGTGCAGTTCATTTCCACAGGCTCTGAACTTCTCTGTGTCCTAACTTTTTGTAAACTGATCTTTAATACTCATTATAATGTTGTACAGACAGGTTTTAACTGACTGTGACTCTCTGTAATTATTACCCAGATTTGTCTCAATTATGCCATAAAAGATTAAGAAATCTACATAAATAGGTGACATGGAAAAAGGTCAGAGGCACGGTGTCGTCACTCAGCTGCAATTAATCAGATGTCTTCTGATATGTTTTCATGATCACAGGTTAAGTCTAAGGATCTTATCAGCTGATCGGTAGTCACACTGCCAATAACCCAGAGAGCATAAAAACACACACACAGTAGCACCCTTGTCCCTTGCCTTACACAGGTTTTTTCCCCCTCCTGTTATCTTCTTCAAAGACGTGATCTTAGTCATAGTTATTGATCTCTAGTTCTTCCTTATTGCACCTCTGACGGTAACAGTTCATAAGAACTTTTAGGACCCAGTTTCCTTATAGCTAGTGGCAATAAAATGTTCCCAGGACAGCAGAATAACATGTTGTTCATTTGAATCAGTTTGACGGAAGCTTTTAGGTAGATAAATAAGTCTCAGAAACTGTTGAATCGTACATCAGCTTTGTGACATATAAGTGATCCATAACAGGGCACACTTGTTTTAAAGATGTTTTTCACACCTTCTGTTAAAGTGAACTGAGCTGAAAAATACAGTTTATTCACTCTGTCAGTAGTCATACTCGCAACAATTTAAAAAAAAAGGAGACAAGTACAGCAGGTTAACTTTAAAATTAAGAGTGCTCATACAAACAGTCATTTATCATGAGTTATAGTTCTCCCATCATTCTCATTGGATACTGTCATAATTTCACTCCCAATGTGTGTCTGTCTTTAAAAACCTCTAACGTATTCATCAATCAACTTATCATTTAAAAGCAGGGAGTTTAAGGCTCTTACCTGTTCTGCTCTGAAGTCTGTCCTCTGAGGTCCGATCTCTCAGGAGTGTCTGCACGACAAGGGTTTCACTGGCCCCTTTATGCTCTCACCGCAGGTTTCACTGACGTGCACACGCACACACACACACACACACACACACACACACACACAAAAGTACACACAGATAGGAGAGCCATGGGTTCATGCCCCACACGTCACAGACTTTGCATTTAGGGTGAGCTGCGTTTCCTGAAACCAAAGTCTGATCTAAAATAAGAACTTTTATGACTTTATGGCCATTTCAGGGTCAAATTTTGAATTCTGACCTCAATTAATGATCAGCTAATGTCCATATCTGATCATGATTGACGGTCAGCTACGACAGCTTTTGATTAATGATGGAAGAAACCTTGAAGTGACTGATTACTTTTTAGCGCTGGGTATAAACTTTAAAAGAACTGTGAAACTCTTCTCAACTTGTAGTGGCATTGTCTAACACAGAAAGATAACATCTACTCACTTTGTTTGGTGAAATGAAAACCAGCACACATAATTTCATGACTCATATCTTTTAATCTTAACATAATGAGGGAAACAAAAAAAAAACTAAGATGGAAATATTGAATTTTCATTTATCATTAAAAGATTTAACAAAGAAAAAATATCAACAACAGAAAAATACAAATCAAAGGCAGATGACAATATCCCTCTGAAACTGTGACAACACCAAGTCAGGACTTAACGCGTGGACCTGGAATGACACAGCACCTTTTCAGGTATGTTTGACTTTGTACCGAGCTGTCTCCTTCCTCAGCAGGACTTCAGGGGGGGACATTCAAACTATACACACTGTTTGGTGAACAGTCAAAGTGATGTATTCTCATGCAACACCCACAAGGGGGCAGCATGTCTCAAGTAAATCACAGCGTTCCCCATGCCATGCTGATTTGGCTCCTGGCTTTCATTCATAACTCACCTGTTAACAGGTGCTGTTCACCCTACAGTATAAAAAAAGTAAAGCAGCAGTGTGGTGGGCAAAGGCACAGCCGCTCAGTGCAGCTCTTTGGCATGTCAGTGTAACAGTCACATTCAAATGATGTCGAATGCTGCAGTCAGCATATTGGAAAAGATGAAATGAAAGAAAAGAGAGTCGAGCATTCATGACGGTATTGTAGTAACATGAGTAAAAGTACATTCACAATGAGAGATCTTGGACAGTTAATCTGTGTATGTTGTGTGTGTGACTCTAAAACCAGCTCTCCTTCGGCGGCTATCAGCACGAGCAGCCCCCCTGGTTGCTGCGGGGCGGTTCATTCAGATCAGCTCCTTTTTGGTTGGTCGGTGGACCGGCCTCTCCGTTGGGACTCTCGTTCATCTTGTCACATATGACGTCCACCAGTTTGTCAAAAACCTGCTTCACGTTGATGTTGTCTTTGGCGCTGGCCTCGAAGAACTGGAAGCCTTGAGGAAGTAAGGAAGAGAAGAGACGGGTTATGAGTCACGATTAAGTGATGAGGGCTCTACTGAGTTTGTGATAAAAGTCGATGAGCCTGTGTTCATGTGCTGACCCAGCTCTGTCGCCAGTCTTTTGCCGTCTTCAGTAGGGACCTGTCTGTCTTCTTCAAGGTCCAGTTTATTGCCTACCAGCGCTACTTGAGCATTACCCCATGAGTACGTCTTGATCTGAGTTGCCCTGGAAAAGAAAGCAATAAAACATTTTTACAGACATTGTAAAACACTGTAATCATGTGTATACGTAATTTTAAATTTCCCCCTGTGACTGATAAAGTTCTTCTTCTTCTTATCTTATCTTATGTATTACTGGCAACATCTCACTGTTCCTGTATGGGGAAAGTGGCACAGTACCACAGTTGCTTTGTTAATTTTACTTTTACATATGATTATAATACAAAATATGATGCAATATTCGAAATAAAAATCCCCCAAAGAGAAAAACCTGGATTTTAAATTATTTACATTCTTACTGTTTGATAAACACTATAAATACTGTATTTTTCGCACTATAAGGCGCACCTGATTATAAGGCGCACCACCAGTGAACGCATCTATTTGCGTCTATTTTCATACATAAGGTGCACCAGATTATAAAGCACATTACGCCAAACAAAACAGTCAGATAAGTCAAACTTTATTTAATTCATTCAATAACTCTGCAAGGCTACAGTAGCTGCAGTGCTCCGACAAGCCAAAAGGATTTTAAATACGCCTTATAGTGCGAAAAATATGGTATGTATTACAATACCAGGACTATTTTCAAACAAGGGCTTTCTGCTCTCTAGCTCTTCTCTTTATGATATTTAACCCACATGATTTTGGTGGCAGTACTCTACTGTTTGTTCCTCTCTCACTGAAGTTTAGGGTATGGAAGCATCTTAGGGAAGGAAATTAGGAATAGACAGGGAATTAGAGAAATTACAGAGACCTTAGCCTTTATTTGATATAGACATAACTGTATAGTTGCCCATACTCTAGATTTACTTTGGCTAATTTTTTTAGGATGGTAAAACTGTTATGATGTATCTGTGTGTTTTATTTTTCTCTGTAGCTGTAAATTTTTGTCAAAAGTTTTAAATTTCTTCTCAACACTCATTCAAAAAGTTCTGTCTTCCCTGTCACACAAGTCAAGAATGACTCAAAACAATTAATCACTATAGCTGGCACACAGTTTTTTCTATTGATACTTTCACCTACTGGACGACAGACTCATAAAGGTGGAGATCTACCTACCAGTCCTGTACGGCACAGAAAGACTCCTGACTTGTGATGTCATACATGAGCAGGAATCCCATGGCCCCCCTGTAGTAAGCCGTGGTGATGGTCCGGTAACGCTCCTGCCCTGCTGTGTCCTGTAAACCCATCACACACCTGATGAATATGAGAGCAGTTTCTGGACAAATGACTAGACATAAGATAAGATAAGATGTTCTTTTGATAGTCCCACAGGGGGAAATTCAAAATTTACAGCAGCATAGTATAGATACAGAAAGAGAAAAAGAATAAAAGATAAAGAAAACGTATATGTACATGATTCATATTTACATCTGTACAGAACTTCCATAATAATATGATTTATTGCATACTGAGGTTTCTGTTGTATCCTATCCATAGAAAGGATTAAACCACTGCCTGGTTTAAGACCCTTTTTCAGCATGTTAGCTGTCGTACTGATGTAGGAGACTCATACATGAAACGTTTTGTGAGTAACTGTCTGGGAATGTTGATGGTGAAATTTGCCATAATGAAGAAGCACCCTCTTTCTGACTATGAAAAAAAGCCAAACTGAAGTGTTATCCCCACCTTTGAACTCAGTAAATGTTCTCGTCTAAGGATCAAGAATGTCTGTTTTTGAGGACAAGAGGATATAACTGTATTCTCACTGTCACTTTGGGCCACATCATTACAAATAACTACAACTACACTAAACAAACCAATAAACCTTTAAATGAAAATATAAATTAACTCTGAGGAAAGGAAGAGAAATATTAAACCTGGCTGTCCTGAGAGGAAAGGGTGAATCATTTACACTTTCAGAACAGGAGTAAATTTCTCTCTGCTGTGTGTTGATGTAGCCACACCCTGAAAGTATACAAGGATCTGCATGGGGCTATGCCCTGAAGACATAAGGAAACTCTAAGGAAGTTAATTTTTACAGTTTAAGCATTATTATGGTCATGGAACGAGCAGCTGAGCACCTGAATATATATTAAAAAATTGCACCAAGTTACACTCCTTCTCTTACATTACTGACAGATGGAGATTAATGTATAGCTGGTGACCTACTATATATCTAACAGAAGCCATATTGTAGGAGTCACAGCAGGAGCATCAATTGTTGTCCCCATGAAACTCATTAAAGTGGCTTAACAACCAATACAACTTTTCTTGGCCCTTTCTCTATTTAAATGTATGCAGCTGTATCATTGTAAAGCATGGCAGAAAAGGCTTGCTTTTGCTGCATAATCAGAGCTAAAAAATGTATTACTTTCATCTAACTGGAGTGCTGTGGGTGACTCTTGGCCCTCCACTAACATTCAGTAATAGATTTGTCCTGGGTGTCAGCCTGCGCAGTAAGCACATTCAGCTCCGGCAGCTCTTACCCATGCATCTTTCATGAACCCTGCCGTCTGTAGACGATGTTAAACATCAACTGTCATTAACTCCTCAGTGTGAGAGATTACTTTACGCCACATCCATGACAGGCAGCGGCATGTAGGAGGGCAAACTACACACTGGGCTGAGGATAAACAGTCTGCATTGTGTAACAGTGCTTTTAAAAGTAATGTCTTACTCTGCATGTGGTTAAGCTGAACTTGAGAATCTTTCAGCTGATATTAATACTGTTGATAAATAAAGACGAGAGAATCACTGCTTTGAGACTGAACTAATCACAGCATTTGGCACTCATTATGATGATACGGTGTCCAACAGTATTTTCTCTGCGTGAAATGTAAACTCAAATTTTTAAATCTTGGAAAAATCTTTTAACTTGTTGATAAAAGCAGAATTTTGGTTTTCTAATCATTCAAAAATTTTATATGAAAATAGTGCAAAAAACTACATGTAAAACATTGAAATAATATGTTCATTTTGGATTATATTCCACTAATACATTTTAGAAAGTTGGGATAAGGGCATATGTTTTTTGTTTACCGTTGTGTTACATCACCTCTGCTTTTAAACAACACTCTGTAAACATTTGAAACTGAGGAGACCGGTTCCTGGAGTTCTGAAAATTAAGTGTTCTCCCGTTTTTGCTGGAAATAGGATCTCGGCTGCTCCAGAATGTGCCAAATGTTTTCAGGTTGACCAGTGTAGACCGTTCTACTACAGAGCCATGCTGTTGTGATATGAGCAGAATATGTTTTATCCCTGAAATAGGTAGTGCTTGGATGGCCACTCTAGTAGCTTATTCTTAATATATTTATTTTTCATAAATATAAGCTACCCTGTACCATCCTTCTAGCTTTTGAATCAAGTCAGGTGGTCCCTTTTCCTCTCAGAGCAGTAACACACAGTGTCCATGATTTCAGAAAGAGGTCTAACAGGACTGTTTTCTACTTCAGCCAAGTTCATCTTAAAAAAGCTAAGGCCTGGAGGAATCTAGATCATGTGTTTCTAGATCATGGTTACCTTTGGTTTCCTCTTAGCATGGTACAGTTGACCACAGACAATACTTTTTGGAATTTCAACATTGCGCCCCCTGGGAGCCTGAAGATCAGGACTACCTAGAACTGGTTTTAGGCCTTTTCCTCCAAATTCTCTGAATCTTTTGATGATATTTAACATTGATGATGGAATATTGTTAATTTTATGCTGGAAATTATCATTCTGAAAACTTTCAACCATCTAATCCGGTGGTTTGAACCTCTTACCATCTGACCTCGAAGACACTCTGCCTCTCTCTTTATGACTTCAGATTTTGGAAGACTATGGAAAGCATTTTTTGGGACCTTAAACAGTTAAAACACAAACTCATGACGTCAATACAGCTTTTGGAGAGCTTGTGTGTTTCGAGGTTAGATAATCCGACTGTCCTTGTCTATAAACAAATCAAATCAATCATGTTTCATCTGTTCTGGCAGATGTGTCTGGTTCCTGCCCATTTATCCTCATTAGGATCTGCCCAATTAAAACCATTTATGGAGCGTGGGTTTAATTGTGTTGTTTTGCTTGCTGCTTCGCTGGCTGATTGTAGCTGATGGAGAACATCCTGCTTTTTATCATCAATCTTATGTGTTGAATTTATTTGGAAATTGACGTAGAGTAGTAATGGGTGGCCATTAAATCATGTCAGACGGGACTTCAGTATGTGTTAATGTTCAAGTGGAAGAATGATGAGCTGGGATGTCAGAACTATCTACAATATATGGTCGAGCAGGCCGGAGCTACAACTCCTTGATTTTACTTGTTAAGCTTTCAGAGGCAGTGTGGTTGGTCTAGGTCTGTTTATGGTACCCCTTTGAGATCAAGAGTCCCTTCTCTGAGTCATATTTGTATATTAGTCTGTTAGTGGCAGGGAACCACCGTCTTGTTTTTAGAATAATTAGCAACAGAGACAGACTTGAAGAAAATGACTGTCTCTGCATGGCCCTGGGATTTATAGGGTTAACTTTTTTACAACTTTATGAAAGTAGTATACTACTCACATTTTTACCACTCAAGTTGTTCATTCATATTTTTCTCAATGATTTTGGTTTAATACAACTGTGTATTACAAACCATCGCTAATGAATTGGAGATGGTCTAGCTGGAGTTAAGGCTTTCTTGTTGTTTTTCTATTTGCGAACTGAAATCCAGAGAGAGCCAGAAGTTGTCCTCTTTTTGTATGTTAACATGAGCTCACGGGCACTTCCAACCTAAAAAAAATGATTAGTTTGTTGACCAACTTTAGTTCTTTGAGGGTTTTTTTGTTGTTGTTTTTGTATTTACACAGTGCAGCTGTTGTCTCACCAAACAAGGCCTGGACTATCTGCTACAAGTGCAGAGGGCTTTGGTAGTGTCATCTGGCAATGCTGCAAAGTTCTTTCATTTCAGGATAAATACGTGTCTTTGTTCTGAAAGGCTCTTGTTCTATGTGTCTTTATTTTCAGTTTTCTTCTCTTAAATACTCTTTCTCTCCCTCTGAGGAAAGGCAGGACAGGAACAGACTGAACAAACCCGTGAGGAAGGTTAACTCTGTCCTGGGCTGCCCTCTGGACTCTGTAGAGGAGGTGGGGGACAGGAGGATGATAGTTGAGCTATCATCTCTCATGGACAATGTTTCCCACCTCCTACAGAGCACTGTAACAGCACTGGGCAGCTCCTTTAGTGACAGGCTTCTTCACCGGCAGTGTGTGACAGAGAGATACCACAAGTCCTTCCTTCCTGCTGCAGTCAGGCTAACCAGGCCTGCTCTGCTCCTAGTAGTCCAGGTTTTTTAGCACAGCTAACCCACAATAACTCAATGCTACCTCAATGTGCAATATTAAAAGACTACATATTTATTACAATGGCAAATACCTACATTTTTTCTCAGGTTTAATAACTCAAATAATGTGCAACATGTTTAATTTTCCTTTGTTCACTGTGTCGGACCGTTTTTTCCTCTATTTTTTTTACTTCTTTGTTGTCGCTTTTCTCCTCTTTTTTTGTAAATAACGTTATTTTTTTGTTGTTGTTTAGGTCTAAGTTAGCTTTTTTATAATCAAAATGAGTGTACTTGTTCCTCTATGTCTGCTATGCCGATCCAAACACTGTAAATTTCCCCACCGTGGGACACATAAAGGTTTATCTTATCCCTGATTGTTAGTGCATTCACTGATCTGCAGTTCACTGGCCACAACTTTTTCATCACGAAACAAACTATCATGTTTTAGCATATTTTTGTCTGAATGTATTTTTTCGTCTCACCCAGATCTGAAGTTTGACCCTCTTGTCGTTCCTGTAGATGGTCTTCACTTTGAAGTCGATGCCCACTGTGCTGACAAAGGCTGAAGTGAAGGTGTCGTCTGCAAAGCGGAACAGGAATGAGGTCTTCCCCACGCTGCTGTTACCGATGATAAGCAGCTTGAACATGTAGTCAAAGTTCTGGTCTGCTGCATCTCTTGGCTCCTGGCCACCGTGATCTTTGGCTAGTGCCATCTCTGCCAAAAGAGGGGAGAGGCTCTTAATCGAACTTTTGGCTAGAGTGGAAACTAATCCAGAAAAAAAGGGTCAGAGAGTGATTGGAAATGTATCTGCAACTATTTGGGATGCAAACAATTCCCAGCACATTTAAAAGACTTAGTGCATTGTACCATAACATTCACAATAACTGACACAAAAGAGAAATGGTTGATTAGTCCTTCCTGTGAGAGAAAAAACATGTAATTTCCTTAAATTGATAGAATCTTAAAGCTCTTAAGAGAAACTCTCTGTTTCTGCAATGTTGGCGCCCCTTGTGGACAATGCAGTCTTTGCTTGTCTTGTCCTTTGAAGCTTAAGAAGTGTCTCTTAAAAAAAATCTCACCATGCTGACTTTAGACAGTAAAATGTGTCATTTAATGTCGTCATTTTACCTGAATATTTAAGAAACCGGAGTGTGTCTTAAGCTGCTCAGCTGGCACCAACCCCTTGTGCCAGTTTCAGGGATTAAAAATAATGACATACAAATCGCCAATCTTGTCCCAGATGGTCTTTTTTTGCTTTTGGATGTCATAAGAAGACATTTATATGAATTTCTGTCCATTTTATTATTGTCAAAAAACTCCTCATTGAAGCTTCAATATGCATTTCTTGTGGGGAACAAACACAATTCAATCAGAATAAAGTTTAAATATGACAAAATAAATGCTGTTCATTGCTAGACTTGTGTATATTTCAGACGAATAATCAGTAAATCAGTTCATTTAAGAAATCACGTCTATTGTCAAACACTAAACCAAGGTAAATATGTGGTTTGGAGTTAACAGCACTTGAAAAGAACATATAAAAGATGAAAAAAGTTGTTTTTTGTGTTATATTCATACACTGTAGGAACAAGCTGAGGAAAATAACCCTTGTACTAGTTTACTCAGACAACATTTGCATCATGCAACAGGTATGTTGACTGGATAAGCAGATAAATAGCCTAAACTGAAGTAGGATATCCAGCTACAGAACTAAATGGCCGGACTTGGCATTAACTTTGAGTGATGAATATAGCTGCATCACTGACTTCTCTTGCCAATACAGCTGGAGTTTTTTCTGAAAGACTGAAAGGTTGGCTTTCTGGGAAAGGGATGTGGTAGGACAGTGCTTATGTGTTCCATTATCAGTATGTCAGAGTGAGGAATCTCAGCTATTTGACAATTCGGGTTAACACTCACATGCCTGAAAATGAACACTAATAGCTGAGTAGATGCTTGTTGGTAAATGGAAGTGTTGTTTTAATAATGGTTTATCATCTACCCTTATTTCTCCTAGCTCTTATGTCAGTCATGAATCACAGTCCCTGGCCCGCTCCCTCCATGACTGAGTATTACAAACATGGACTCACCATATGAAACTTATGGGAGCTTGAGCGACAAGCCTGGGGCAATGGATTCTCCTCCTCTTCTCCCTGCTGTATGTTTCATCCATCACCCATCTGGCTATTTATCGACCCACTGACACACCCATTTATCCTCCTTTAGTCTCACATATTCATCCATCTTTGCATCTCTCCTGTTCATATCTCACCTCTCTCCTTCCTCCATCTCTCTGCATGCATCATTAGGGGGCTGAACCATCCATTCATCCACACATCCTCAACAGCACCCCCTCCTTCCTCCCTCCCTCCCTCTGGGTTATACACTCCTCCCTGATTGCTGAGATCTCTCTGGGGACTAGCTCAGCATTACTTCCAAGATCATAAAGAGGGGCTGGCCGCCGGCTTGCTGCTGTACACACTCAACAAACCATCAATATTTGCGCATATGTACCTTCAACAAAAATCTAATTGTACGGACTGGGGGGTTTTGGCGTTTAAAGGAGATTATTTCAGGAAAAAGAACAACAACATGTGTTTTAGTGGCAGATGCTGGCACTTTACACTAAGTGGCTGGACTTCATACAAGTGGCTTTAAGAAATGGGGCGTGTACCCCGCAGGTCCAAGCAGACTGTATGAGGACACATTGGGTCATAAAAGCACTTGTTGACAAGTACAATTAATGTATTAATAACAGCCTGTGTAACTATAACACAAATATGTACGCTTGTTTAAAGGGTATTCATCCAAAACAGTTTAAACCGTTAGTCTAATTTGCCTACACTGTCCCAACATACGGTAGAGAAACCTGACATTACAACAAACCCTGCTCAGTCGCCGGAAAAGGCGTGAATGTTTCCCACCTCAAACCAAGTCGATGAGTCGATCTCCTCGCTCCTTCCTTGCGGTCTTTCTCCTTCACCTTAAAGCCGATGGGTGTGCGCTGCTGTCGGGCACTCCTGTTCAGACGCTCCGCTCCCGGATCTCCAGACTCTGCATTGTCTGTCACCGGGACTCCCACCCTGTAAACGGTCAAGTCTCAGGATATACACGCGTCACTTTAAATAGTGAGTTTCAAAGTAAAATACCGATCGAAATCAAGCGTCGAAATCAAGAAAATCTGGGTCAGTTCAGCTCACAATAATGGCTAAAGTCGTCGGTACTTGGGTAATTCAGGAACAAAAAATTATCAAACATGAACTACTGTTTGGTTCTGTTAAAGCGTTTCCTTTTAGACTTTTAATTTGAAGGTTACAGCTCGACATTTCCGGTTGCGCTCCGTCTCTCTGTGGCTACTTGACACAGTTTTATTGGTAAACTTCATGCTTTGCCCGAGCATGTGTAGAATTGCAAAAGTGATGGGCACGGCAGTTCTTTTAGATGTACTGAATCACTAGAATCAGTTCACTAAAAAGATTCGTTCACCAAATCACCAACTCATGTAGCGCTTGTCGGGAGAAGCGACAACCGACTCCGACCTCCTGAACTGATACACAGCTTGGCTGTGTTGCTTTGGCAAACAGGTCTGTAAAAATGAGCTTGTTTATAAATCATGATGTCTTAGGTGTACAGTCCTGTAGTATGCGATTTATCAGGTTTGCTCAGTAAATTGGGCTCAGTGAGTGGTTCGTTCATTGAAGAATTCAAACCGAATATGCACCGTTCCCTTGCAAACTGCCGCAATGATAGGATGCTGCAAGTTTAATGCACCACTTGTTACATACTGTGTCCTATTGTATGCAAGTTTTTGTGGTGGCAATTTAGCAGTAAAAAAAAAAAAAAAAAAAAAGGTAGTTTTGTCCGACAAAAATGATTCCAGAGAGTGAAGTTCAATGCCTGATTCGTTCACCAAGTGATTCAGGCGTCAGTGCATGCAGTCCCTGGTTCGCTGGCCGCTTGACTGGCAATGCTGTTTGAGCTGAAGTGAGAAACAAACGAATCACTAGGGAAGTGATTCGGTTCTTTTGAATGAATTGTTCGCGAACAACACACCACTAAATTGCAAAGATGTTATGCACTGGTCGCATCCAAACTCATGACCTCTCGGTTTCACCGTCCGTCTCAAAAAGCGTGGATAAATTATAGCAGCTGATTTCTGAAGGCTAACAGTCCCATTTATCACGCTCCACTGCAACATTTGAGCAGCTGAAATATTAAACACTCTTATCAGACGAACCAATTCCAGCCGATATCAACAGGCATCAGCTTGACAGCCATGTATTTTTTTTCATACACGGTAAATTAATCATATCCAAACCAGGTCCCATCTTCTTGCTTCATACTACCGAGCAGCAGGATACCGGTGTGTTTTTATGCTGTATGAGCTCTCATGTCAAGGTAGGAGAAAAACTGCAGCTGCAGGGTAATGATGCAACAGACCTGCCCAAACTGCAGCATGAGAGAGGGTTGATACTGGTGTTTGGCAAACATGATAGAGCCCAACACCGTAGAGGCACACCCTAAACACACTCGGCTTTTAAACCTAGCATAATTTATTACACACAAGGAGGGCTGTGGGTTGTATTTTGAGCTCTGGCAGAACACACAAATTCCTCACTAGCCTGAATAATCTCTCATTCCTTAAATCCTTAACCAACCCAGATAATCTCCTCATGTTTGGACAGGGAAAATGTGTTGTGTCATACATTGTTGACAACAAAAGAGCTATTTAAAAAAAGGGATATGCTCAGAGATACGTAATAGTTTACACAGTCAAACCTGTGACACTGTTTAAAAAGACAAACTTTAATTTAAAAAAGGGTAAAACACAAACTGAAGTACTTTTTTTTGGAACAAAGAATCTATGAATGGGAAAGTGATCTTATCTTTGAACCGTGCCCAACAGAAAAATTGCCGACTGTTGTGTAAGAAAAGAAAAGAATTAAACTGGAACTAAGCCTGAGAGCTCAAACTATGCAAAGTAAGGCTTTAGTTTTTGCCTACTTATTTAATAGTGTTTCAAATTCCAGCCATGAATCACCTACTTTAATGAGCAGTAAAACTACCACTCAGTCAAGAAAATTATAAACATTTTGTGGCTGAAATCTTTGAACTGATTTGAATGACATTCTCCTTCCAAGTTTAACTATTCTGACTTACTGATTACAGTTTGTCAGTCATAAACTCGAGTTGTGAGAAGGTCTTTGATCACTTGAACAATGGTATTGGGCCGGATCATATACAACCCACAACCTGTTGAACTCCTCCATGAATGGTCGCAGTAGGTCTGGCTCCTCAGTGACGATGATGTTCTCCATGTTGGCCTGCACAGCTGTCAGCGTCCAGTTGAGAGAGCCGGTGATGAGCAGCCGGCCATCCACCACTGCGAACTTGTGATGCATGTACACAGAGCCCACGTTACAACGCACGCAGATTCCTGAGGACAGAAGAGGTGGAGACAAAAACAGTCAATTCTCCAGAGATATGTCGATCATATCAGATGTTGACTTTGTGACACAGGGCTGTAAATATCGTCAAAGAAACAGGACAATTTGAAGTTTTTTTAACAAGTACTGGATAACCCGATAAACATGATTAGATATATCTGAAAATCATTTACAAGGGGGCTGAACAAAATAATATTTGAACATCACAACTGTGATGTGCACATGCACAATAGTCACGTCGCAAAATGTGTGATGCCAGTCATCTGACCAGAAATACATCTTGCTGTCACCACTTCCTTGTTCTCCCGGACTAATAAGCGTCTGTTTGAAATCACTTTATTGCAGCCCCTCACTTGAACACACACAGAGTTGTGCGTTTATGTCTGTGTGTCACATGACCACAACACTGACACTGTCACAAACAGCTTGTTGTGAACTCACACATGGTTTGCTAACCCCACAGGACCACAGAGTGTTTACTTCAAGCATTTCCATCCCACATGTGTATATGTTTTATACAGTGATGTAAGAAAAAGACAGAGTTCCTGGTAATTAAGTTACCATCATGGGGCTTATGGCGCAGATTGAACATACTCTTAAACACTGACAACTATTCTTGATAACTTCAAGTAACTCAATAGGATTTATAAGTACTCAAAAGATTATGAAGTAGTGTGTCGCTGCAACTTTGCTCTGTCTCCCTCTCTTGTCACTGCAATTCTCACAGTTGGTGCCAGAGGGCTGGACACAGTGTGATACACTAGATGTAGGATGGGCATTTTATTTGAAAGATCCAAATGGTAACGATCGGACCTGAATTACTGAAAATATCTTTTTTTTTAGTACTTAAAATATACTGTACTTTCTAGTGTGAATTCCTGTCATCTTTTGTAGTGCAATATATATAAAAAATGCAATATTCCGGCTTTCCTAGTACCTTTAAAAAAGTCGCTTGAGGCAGAGGATAGGTCCTGTTTATTTGCTTGACACGCTGCCACAGTTCATGGAAGTTTTCGGAGCTTTAATATCAGAAAAAAACGCTTCTACATGCACATATCAGATAGAATATGTGTACACTTTGCAACGTGTATCATTGCAAAACAAAAAAACATAAAGCGCAGCCAACAAAAATCACGACTACCTAGGCTCACCTCTCCACCCCAGTACAGGTAAGACCGCCCCTTATATAAACTACCGGCTTTCAAACACAGTGCCCACGGGACCCAATCCAGCGAAACCAATGGCAGCTTATAACTGATAAGCAAAGCAACATTATGGCTCCTACATGCAATATCATTTTTTGTTGTTGTTGTTGTTTTTTTATGTTGTGCAGCCTCAATTGACCGTTCAGTTTGGGTGCAGCAGACGACTTTCAGTCAGAAGCCAAAGCCAATCACATTCTGTTTGGATTTGTAGTTTTGCCTCCATGACACCTACAGTCCAGAAGATGTCCCTTTAAGACCACTTTCCCTGCAATTTCAGAGCCTGCGTGCATCAATCAGCCTTGCTTTTATAATTGAGATGTTTTATAATCCAACTCTGAGTATCAAAGCAAACAATGACAGCACGCCAAGCCATAGCAGTGCGCTGAGGTGCCAATCAGATTCAGCTTTTTGAGGAGAAAAGTTGATTGTCTCTAGTGCCAAAGTGGTTCTCATGAGGTCTGCAGTAAACACTCACACTCAGAAACACTTTGCTTAATGAAATTCACTGCCTGGTTGCCAATTTCTTACTTACTTAATTCTTACTTAACCATATGCACTGGCAGTAATTCATTAGATGGAGAGGGCGAAGGGGGAGAGGGAGACGGTGCGAGTGAGTCTGACACGTGACAAAATCTCTCCGAGCTTTCAGAGCATGATTACTCTGACTTGTAAGAGCGCTTGTCTGGGCAGGCTCCATTCATACAGACAATTCCTTTTAGCTCTCCATTCACCACTGAGTAACACTGTCGAGTTCACTGATAATGACACTGAGATTCGAGAGCACCTTTTTGGGTAAGATCTGTGTCATATTTCCTGTATACTAGCTCTACCCTGAGGGCTGGTGTGGCTTTTTTTAAAAATCTACCTCCTGAGCCTGTATTTGTGGATGTTCTTTGCATAATTTTAGTGCACTGTTTGAAAGTCTAAAGAAATCCCTCTTGACTATTTGCAAATGAAAATCATTTTCTCTCACCGGCCTTACGTAGTACTCCTGTCTGGGATCCCTTGATGGCAGCATAGTCCTTGTCAGTGAGGACTCGGATGATAACACCCTTGCTTTTCAGTGCCAGTACAGCCCTGCTCAGGTCCATGTTGGAGAAGGCAAAAATACACAAGTCCAAAGAGGAAGAAGCAGACAGGATGTGGCTGAGGAGACGGGAGAAAGAGGTCTCTACACCATGTGGCAACTGGCACAGACAGGTACTGTAAAACAAAGAGGGAAAAGAGTGTGGTATCATCAGAAGGGTTCCCTAAACAAACTATCATCATATCAATCATCAAACACATGACAAAAATCACAGCTGGTAATTAGGGTATTGGGGATTTTTAGACATATTCTAATACTTATTTTAGGGTACCACACAAGGAAGAAATAAACACAGATAGGGCCAACATGGTACACTTTTAGAGGGGTAGAAACTCTTATTTCTTGAATGTGTAACATGCCCAAACCAAAATGTCTATGAACCTTGAGCTGCTTCCTTAAACTGTGAAGGAGAGTTTTAGCATTTGAACATTATTACAGCTTAAAGCCAACAAATATGGCTGTTATGCTCTGCTAATGTACTGCAAACAATGCCTCAACAATTTTAACGTACCTAAATGGAAAGCACTCTGCTGGACAAACTACATGATAAAATCATTTCTTATTAACTTATTTCTGCATTGGGTGTTTTGCAAAAGCATTCTGCAAACACTTTCACCAACCATGAAGTATTTATGACAGGCCATTTTTCGTTTTTGGTTTATTAGTGCGGTAAGGATTGGGACAAAACGCCCCTATTTGTTGCCAAATGCAGTTTGGTCCTCATTAGACACTTCTTATTCTGGCAAAAGTAGGAAAAGCCCCAGTGCTTTTGTACATATCTAGATTTTTTCCTAGGTCAACACCCAAGGCAGAGGTTCATTCAGTAAAACAAACAACACTTAGGTAATAAAAGAAAAGTGTCTTTCAATCAATCAATCAATCAAACTTTATTTATAAAGCCCTTTTCCTACAGGAATGTGACTCAAAGTGCTTTACAGTCAAGTTAAAAACAAAAACAAAAAACTATCCCAGATGCCCCCCTAACCCCCACCCCCACCCGCACATACACACATTAAGAGAATGGGCATGAGGCTGAGTGCTGATGAACCAGTTGAGAAGGCGCCATCAGAGGAGCCGTCAGCACCAAGAGCAGAGAGCCACCCGCAGCCACAGGACACCGACACAGGGCCAGTGGAGGGATGTGTCAGACAACAACTTCCGCCAGGAACCCCGTGGCCGGCCCCTGCAACCACAAGCGACCACTGCTCCCGGTGCCGAGGGCTCCCTCAGAGGATACACTGGGGGGCGTAAAAATGATGAAAGGATAAAAACAAGTAAAAACTAAAATATGAATAAAACACAGACCTAAAAAAACCTAGGCTAACTAGAATAAATGAAGATAGAACAAATAAATATCAATTAAAAAATATATAAATGTCCTGAAAGTACTTCTTTCTGTGAAGTTTTGGCTTCGTTGGCCATTATAACAACAGTGAGCAGCCTTTTAACCAACACATCAACTGTTCAACTCAACTCACAATCGTGAAGTGGGATTGAAGATGTGCTCCACACAGGCCATCTCTGAGGGGAAGAACAGAACCTCATTGATGGTCTTTCTAGGCCTGAGGCGACGGCGGAGCCAGCAGAGGAGCTCCACACTGAGGGAAAAGGTTACCAAACCCAGGCTGACCGCCTTCACTGTCCAGACCACTGACATTTCCTACACAACAAAATAACATATATGAGTCGTCCACGTTCAAACATGCAGCTTTTCTAGCAATAACTTGAGAAAATTAATATGCACAAATGAACAAGAAATCAGACTTTGGGTTGGCAAGATTCTTTGTTTCAATCAATAACCACTCTTCTACACACCACGAGGTTACCAGTGGGGTGCCACAAGGATCAATTTTAGGACCATTACTTTTTAATTTGTACATGTTACCTCTGGGTGGTGTCATCAGGGGACATGGCATCTCCTTTCACATTTATGCAGATGACACTCAGCTCTATGTGTCTGTGTCTCCAGATGACAACAGCCAGTTGGAGTCACTTTTAAATTGCCTTTAAGATGTAACAGCCTGGATGTCACAGAATTTTTTGCAGCTCAACCAGGACAAAACTGAGGTTTTAATACTTGGTTCAAAGGCTCAGAGAGAGAAACTGACCCCCAAACTCCACAAAATAGGACTTAACCCCAGCCAAGAAGCACGAAATCTCTGGGTGGTCTTTGATGCTGATTTTAATTTTAAAACTCATGCTAGGGGGGTCACTAAAGCAGCCTTTTACCATCTTAAAAACATTGCTAAAGTACGACCGTTTCTCTCTCTGAGGCAGACAGAGAGACTAATGCACGCTCTTATAACCAGCAGGCTTGACTACTGTAATGCTCTCCTCTCTGGTCCACCAAAAAGCACAATAAACCAGCTACAGCTGATCCAAAACTCTGCTGCTAGAGTTTGACTAGGACCAGCGGGAGAGCTCATATTACACCCATTTTAAAGTCTTCGCACTGGCTGCCTGTTATTTTTCACATTGATTTTAAAATTCTTTTACTGGTTTATAAAGCTCTACATGGCCTGGCACCAGAATACCTTTCAAAGATGATTGTAATTTATGGACCAGGGTGGCCTCTCAGATCCTCTCAATCTTCTCTTTTAGTTGTTCCACAGAGCAGAACAAAAAGATATTTTATTGTCTGTTTTAGTCTATAAAAGTTTAATAACTTTTATTTTTCTTGTCCTGATGTAAAGCACTTTGAGCTGCTATTTCATTTGTATTATTAGTGCCATATAAAAAAAAACTTTGATTGATTGATTGACTGAATATCTTTATGAAGGTTTCAAAACAAGTTAATTCTGGCATATTCTTTTGCATTGCATCGAAAATTAGAATTTGCTGCTTCGTGTTTTATAGTTGTAAATAAAGAATTCATGAGCTTGTGTCTGCTGAAAAATTTCAGCTTGGGAATTTTTCCCCCTCAAAAAAAAAAAAAATCAATGTCATGCTTGTTAAGACAAGAAAATCTTGAACCCTGAATCCAAACTCTTGCACAATCCCAGTCACAAAGTCAATGTCTGCAACTATCTGAAGTAAAACAACAAACCCTCTGGTACTTTAAAGGTTGATATCTGGGTCAATGACATATAAGGTTTTTAAACATGCCAATTTTAAAACAGCAAAAATAAGGATATATTTTGCAAAAGTTCAAATACTAAGGATGTTGTTTATACAAAAATTAATGTTAAATTTTTAAATTATGCATTTTTAGTGCTTTTTCATATAGATGAATTGCCCGTAGCCTTAAAAAATATCATGTGGTGTGACCATAATTTATCTCAAAATTATTACATTTTTTTAACATACTTAATAGTTTTTTACAAATTGTCGGTAATATCAAGTAGATGGAAACAAAGTGTTCGCATTTCATTTGAGTTTTTGTAAATAATGATCTCACATTTTAGCTCTATAATGTCACAGTCACTAAATTAAATGTAGTTAACTGGCTAATTTTTTCTTTAAATTGAATAATAATGATAAAAAAAATGTTTTAAAACTACCTGTCACTTAAGTATATTGTATCAGGTATTAATGTTTCAGTTAGAGAAATTAGATATTTTAGTTTGTCTTTAATACAATTAATGTTATTATTGGTCGCACCACATGATATTTTGACACTTTTGAAGTTCAGAAAAATTACAAATAAGACCTGATTTTTTAAAAGTTGAAGTGACTACATATATGAGAGAGATACTACATATAGAAAGTATATTTTTGTGCATTTAAACCTTTTCCATTTTAAAAAAGTACAGCCGGACAGAATATTTAGGCGTCACGTCATTGACCCATCTGTTTAGATCAGAGGTGTCAAACTCAACCACAGCAAGGGTCATAATCTGGGTTTAAATCTAACCTGAGGGCCAAACAGGGTCAACATTTAACCCAAACTGTCAGCCTCCTTTTCAATAACAAAATCAGCAATGATTATAAAGCACTTGGAAATTCATAAAGTAAATAAGATAAATGTAAAGGCAATCAATAGATGAGTTCAAAAGATCAGAACACAGTAGTAAAAATAGAAAAAAATCCTTTTAAAGAGCGTAGACATGAGGAGAAAGTTGAAATCAAGAGTTTAAAGTCAAAATACGACTTAAAATTTAAAATTGGAATCTAAATGATTAAAATGACATAAATCTAAATACTGAGTTGAAAAAAATCAAAGCACAAAATAAAAAGTCAAATCATATTTCACTTGTAATCCTGAGATGCAAAATTGGAAATATGGAAAAAACACAATTTCCCCCCCATATTCTTGACTATTTATCAAATCTTCCTTACTCTTCAATTTCCCAGATTTTAGTGGTTTATTAAGGACATTTTAAATAATAGTGCTAAAGTTTACATTATTATATTGGCGGAAATCTGCAGACTTCATACTGGTGGGCCAATACAAATATGATATGATCTTGTGGGCCACATATAATTGTTCTACGGGCCAGATTTGCCCCTCGGGCCTTGAATTTGACACCTGTGGTTTAGATAAACTAATAGTTAAGCTAATACTTTGATCTAAGATGGCCGAAACAATTCACTAAATCGGTGGGAAACGCTGTTTAAATCCAAATTAAACTCTTTTAGTTGATTATTTGTAAAACAAGGACAACACAACGCCATACAAATCAAGTTAAGGGCCTACAGTCAAACTAAATGAAGGATTCAAGGGTTTAAATTCCCCAAATATGACAAAAAATCAAACATTAGTTTGTTTTTGTCGGAAACTCACCTCACCTGAGAGTTAGCTTCTGTCGCCACCACGCGGGAGTACGCCGTGTCTGTAGTCGTCATACGTCACGGACAATCGACTTGAGCGACGTGTGAGACAGCCAATAGCTGACCACGCTGTATGAGCCGCTGTCCAATCATTTAAGTCGATCGGTAACCGGTGCGGGGTCTGACAGTAGCATTACCCTGTGGATTGCAACGTGTATTTCCGACGACCAAAGGTAAAGAAGCTCAAACTTTCTCTTTAAAGTGTCATAAAGTTATAAGTTTTGATACTGTAGAGGCACAGGAAAAGGTACTCTCTCACTCGAGTTAATTTTGTTCGTGTTTTTGTCGTGTGTTGAGTTTTTATCACAGTAAGATCATGAGCAAACATGCTAACATTAGCCTCCTGACTAAGTTGTTATCAGTATAATGTAGCAGCTGCTCAGGAGACTTGATCCTTGTTAGTAAGGTTTTAACTTCCTTCTTACCTGTCACGGTTGTTTTTGACTCATTCCCACGCAGACTTGACTGAATCATTGTACAATGGGTCGCCGCAAGTCCAAGAGAAAGCCCCCTACCAAGAAGAAGATGACCGGGGATTTGGACTCGCAGTTCACCTGTCCCTTCTGCAACCACGAGAAGTCCTGCGATGTCAAAATGTAGGTGAAATATCACTCATTACCTATCCCAGAACAACTGCAAAAACTTTAGGACTTATGTTTTGGTCATGCACACCCCTCAACGACCACTGGAGACAGATATTCGATGTGGTTTCTAAAATTTGTGGTCAGACTATAACACCTCACTATCACTCAGCCATTTTCGGCGTAATACCTCAAGTTTGCAGGCAAATGCTCCTGAATTTGCTTCCCTGCTTGCACGCAGACTCATACTCTTTAATTGGAACGCAAACTCAACCTAGGCCTTGGCGATTTGGCAAAAAAAAAAGTGATCACGATATATTTTGTCATATCGTCCGATCTCGATTATTATCACGAGTTTTTTTTAACTGCCTGTTTTAAAGCATCTGTACTAAAAACTAAAGAAACTAGAGATTAGCTCAACATTTTATTAACATACAAAGTAAATAGAGTAAACTGAATAAGATAGAAAAATAGTAAAACCATTTTAATTCAACAGTACGACAAATGTTGATAAATACTAGATAATACAGTGAATTAGTTTACAGTTCTGAGTGTTTTTGCAGGTACGCAAGACCCAAAATAAACAAATCGCCCCCTCAGAGATAATGAGGACGCCTTAAAATGTAATCATTAGATGATGTAAACATAAATGATACGATTAATCGCTGTCTAGGTCTGGTGGCTGCACTGCTAATTGTGGCTAAACTTCTAATGCTACTCGTGCCGTCAGCAGTGGCAGGTTATACAGACTCTGCTCACATTTTCATGCTTTCCGCATAATCATTGGGGAGGAACTTCTTCAAATGATTAAACAGATTTGTTGTGTAGCCGGTTTTTGAGGGCACCGATCATCGACATACCTTGCTCATCGGCTTAATTACTCGACATCACTTTGGACATACCCGAACCAAGGCACCGCCACACAACTGACGTTGAATAACTTCTCAACAATAACATCTTTGGAGGATGACTCAAAGTCACAGCTGACAACTATCTTGCTGCCCTCAGCTCCGTGTTTATCTCCATGTTCGGTCATTCTGCTTACTTCTCCTTTTTACTCCTTCTTACAGAAGTGAGCAAGAAAAGCTCGACTCTGATTGGCTGTTCAGATGCACATTTCCTCTATGTTTGATTGAGTAAATATACTCTCATATAGTGCTGGGCGATAGGACGATAGATATCGTGGGCACGATAGAAAATGTCTATCGTGCCATTTCTATTTTTATCGTTTCGAGCGATAGGCTGTATTTTATCCATAGGGCTTGTGCCGTCAGATGATTCATAGTAACAACAACAATAATTGCACATTCAGTAAGTGTATTTGGTGTCAAACGGGAAAGAAAACAATATTTTCTTACAAAGAAAAGGATGCGTCGACATGTAGGCTCGCATTTCTCTTTCGATTTTGCGACATGACGCCGCTTTACGTGCCCTCTTCGTGTCCAGCGTCTCCCGCCGTTGCGGGTTACCTGGGTGACACACTTGAGGGGATCATTTTAAGCAGTGCTTAATTTGTGCCGGAGAAAGTCGGAGCGCGCTCCGGGACCTCTTTTAATCGGATCCGGGACCTATTTCAGCCGCTCCGGCACCTGTTTCATCTGCTCCGGGACCTTCCCTGTAGAGGATGACATTTTTCGGGAATTCCCGTGGGTCACGTGATTCCCGCGGGAATCCCACGGGATGGGAGTAATTTTTTAATTAATCCCTTGATTGGGACGGGACGGGAAAAAAAAGCAACAGGAGTGGGCAGGAGCGAGAACAACATCAATAGATGATCAATTTCAGACGTGTTAAACAACCAGATGAACAGGAGCGTCCATTTTTGTAGTCATCTCTCAGTGAGAGCCAACACTCTTGACCGCGCTAGCAACACAAAAGAACTACAACAGTGGTTTGGCTTCCTGTCAGTTGGGAGCGCGGCTGCGCATTTCAATCCTTCAAGCCAGGAGCGAGGAAACGTAATTTTGTGACATTCTGTAGTTTTTCAATCAGTTCTGGAGTCGTGGCGAATCAAATCACCTTACCTGTCTGCCCCTGATAGGCGAATAAAGCGCTCGGATTCATGCTCGGGTCTTGCTACGTGCTTCAAGAGTAAAGTAAACAATGATGGAGGCAGAGAGCAGCTTTGGAGGAGAAACATCTAGCAGTGTGAACAACCTCTTCAAAAGAGCCCTAAAGACCTACCTTTTTAATAAAGCCTTTGGTTAGTTTTCCTCTATGCTTTTACTACCTTGCCTCTTACATTGCAACTCTATATTCTTTATTTTTTTTATTCTTTTATGCTTTTTAATGCCAATCTGTGACTGTCATTCTATTGCTTTTTTATTGTTGCTGCTCTTTTTTTACTGTAGTACTGTAGCAGATTTTTTGTAAATGTAAAGTGCATTACAAATTAAATTTATTATTATTATTATTATTATTATTATGGAGTGCTTTGGCTCACACTATCAGCGTTTTCTGTGAGTGTTGCATAACTTTGGGTTAGCACAGACATGAACGCACTACAGCCATGTATTTATTTATTCATTTTTCTAGTTTTAAGTGCTGGTCTTGTACTGGCACTGTACTAGGGCAGCTGTATACACTTTAATTTTTCATAGAACTGAAAGCATACCATAGCTATATCGTGATATATATCGTTATCATGATATAAAATGATCCATATCGTGATATACATTTTTTTCCATATCACCCAGCACTACTCTCATATACTCTCAGCAGATCAGCGTGATCGAACTGAAATTTATCACAATCATCAATCATGATCATATAATCGCCCAGTCCTAACTCAGCCCCTTAATTTCTACACTGGTTGAGGGATGTTCTATCATTTCTACCTTTAGAGAAACTGAGATACAAAATATGTAAAACCCACAGAAACTTCACCCTTCCCTGGAGTATTGGACAGTTACAACCATTGTAAAACATGCTCAAAACATCAATTTCCTGAAGTTAGGAGAAGAGGTCACTGTCTGACTATTTTTGTATTTTTGTTTTTGTAATTTTCTGTTTAATTTCTTTTTTGTTCAAGAGCCTTGGGGGAGGGGCATTATGTTTGGGCGCTGTATGTCTGTTAATAGAAAACTGCAGAATAAAGTCTTAAAAAAACTTCATTTTTTTGTGTCAGAGGATATCTAAATGCAAACTCTTTTGCATGTGTTTTTGTCAACAGGGAGAGGAGCAGAAATACTGGGATAATATCCTGCACCGTCTGCCTGGAGGAGTTCCAGACCCCCATCACCTGTATCCTTACTCATATATGCAAATATCACTGCTTTATTGTTCTACTATAGCCAAACAACGAATCATAATCATCTGTTAGCCACCTTATTTTACAGATACAGTACAACTATACATTTTTTTCAAAGCAACAAATTATTCTAAACAGTGTGTCTGCTTAAAGGTATATTCCGGCGTTAAATTAATGTATTATTAATTAATTTATTTATTAATTTAGGCCAATTTATAGCCACAAATAATGCTCAGAACAACACCTAACTATATCAACAGTACATATAGGGTCCTAGCCACAGCACTAGCCACCAAACATCTTTTTTTTTCTTTTTTGAAAATATTTTTATTGAACATTAAGCATCACATTTTTATCAAACAGTGCATACTTATTTATTTTTTTCATTAACACCCAGTCCCCAAAACAAAAACAAATTCCAGCTCAATCACAGCACAGTCCTGCATAAAGAAGTAGAGTATCAGAATGTTGAAACCTTGAGCTGTGTCACCCTGCTGTACTTCGTAATATAATAACAGACTTCAGGAGTCCACCAGGAATGCTTGTCGGATAGAAAAGCTTCAGCACCCTGAAATAGTTTTCTGATGCCAGGATCAGGAGGTCTTGTCTGTGCATTGATGTAACTAAATGAAAGCAGCATCTTCATTGTCAAACAGCCACTGATGTAGAGTGTGAAACACCTATCTGCGGCCATGTGGTGATCAGAGAGCAGCAAGAGATTGAACTTATAGTCCGAGAGCTTTTAACCATTCTGTACACAAGTATTCCTGTCACTTTTCATGTAAAACTTCACTATAACCCTAGAATTATCTTAGTTCTTGAAGGAAACTGAGCTGAATTTACTCAGTTGTCATGGAGGTAGCTCAGACTACACCCAGATGCCGTTTAAACTATAAAATTGTGTTTTCCTTTCAAAAGGGCTTGTACCTATCTGTTTAAACCTGGCTCTTTGTTGACACAAACTGTGTATTTGAGGCAGCTCATGTTGTTTCAGATGCTAAAAAGACTAAAATTGCTTACAAAAGACTTCTCTGGCAAAGAGCAGATGATGTTTTACTTATTGAAAGTTTATGAACAAACCTCTATCACCGACTTCTGCATAGACACGGAGTTATGATCCTATCTAGACTTTACTTTTTTTTTTTTTAACTCAGATAAGTAGTTAGCAGTAGTTCCAACTTATTCTGCAAAGTTGTATCTGAGCGAGCAACAGACTAGATTTCTATTGATAGTCAGCCTGACTCATTATTACATAATCAGAGTTTCTTTGAAAAAACTCACTATTGACAGGACAAAAACAAAGAGAAAAACACGCGTATGGAACTGGTTTAATGTATAAATACTTTCAGTTTGTATCATATGACTGAATATGGTTGGTTCTTTTCATGGTTCTAGTTTCATAGTTCTTTTCAGAGTTAATAAGGTCCTTATCAAGAGTCCCTTGCTGTTGTAGTTCTCAGCTTTGTGAATCCTAAAGTGATCTAGGGCGTTTGCCATTAAAAGACAGTCTTCTATCAGTCAAACATGAAGAGGAGGCACGTCCTCCAATCACCTGTTAAACAGTGCGTCAGAGTTGCCAAACTAAAGTCGTGTGACGCAAAATCATAACAAAAAACTCCCATTTCAAAGGAAGAAGCTCCAGTGTATTAATATTTGACTTGGATGTGTTTGAAGCTGTCTCAAATGGTGTTTAGATGAGTCAGTTTTAGAGACTGAACTATGAGTTAAGATTGTTTAGGACAATTAGTCAACTTCTTCTTCCATGACGCTTGTCAAATTGACAAAATTAATAGGCGATATTGTTGTTTGAATAAATAACAACATCAACAGCTCTTTGACTCAAAAGAGGAATAGAGAAATAAGATAGACTGATATGCGCTCAAGTTTACACAAAATAAAGTCAAGGTGCTGTACACAAAAATCTGAAAATGGGAACAATACAAGTCACAGAGCTACCTGTTTCACTTTTTTCACATAAAGGATCCATTTATTCAGCTTCTTAAAAACAAACAAACGAAGTTAAAGGCTTTATGTCTCAAAGAGTGCCTCGTTCTGTTTTCTCTGGGGAAATATATTGTTATTTACACAATAGTGAAAAAAGGTGGAACAGGACATGCTTTCTTAATTGAGCTGTGCCTCCACAATCTTCCCTCTGATACAAGAAATAAAAGAAATTAAAATCGGATTGTTTTCAGCTCATCCAATCCGTTTTAAACAACTGACCAAGTTTTAGCATTTTGTTTTTATTAATCTACTACTATCATACATTTACATAACTTCTTACTTTTAATCAACAGAGTTCCTTTTCTCCTTAACCCCTCACTCCTCAGACCTGTCAGAGCCGGTTGATGTTTATAGTGACTGGATAGATGCCTGTGAAGCAGCCAATCAGTAGCCCTTGTTGAGCTGAATGTCTCTCTGTAGGATGAAGAAGAGGATGTGGCCAATAAACACAGGATCATCAGGATCATACTGTTCAGGGGACAGTGACTAGACTTTGGTTTTCCTCATATGATCACTTGAGTTGTAAAGCTGTGTGGACAGCAGTGTGACTGATAAGTTCTTCTTTCGTACAAAGCAACTCTGAAGAGCTCTGCCCTGATGTCTTCCTTGTCTACACAGATTATGACCCGAGTTTAGAGTCTGTATTTCATGGTTTGTTGTAGAATTTGTGATCAATTATGATGACTTATTTTTCTTACTGATTGGGAGTTGCTGTCAGTATTTCTTTTCCTCATTCCTTCTGTTTGAATGTGTCCCAATGATGCTTTACATGCATTGTACACAAGGCTCAAAAATGTAGTCTGTGAAAATGAGTTTCCTGCTTTTTATTTTGTCGTAGCAGAGAGGTTTTGTCACCAGCTCGAATATCATTTTAGTGAAAAAAGGACTCTGTATGGTGTGGAATCCCATCTTGGCACCCTGAAGTGGGAAGGAGACAAAGTAAATTGTTTTTGGGGTTAGAGAAATGTGAGAGACCTTATGTTGTGGATCTTGACAGAACAGGAAAAAACTGACTGACTTTGAAAGAGCTGAACATTTTTAGGCTGTTTAGATGGTAAGACTTAAAAAAAGTGTAACCAAGTGAACCTCACAGTTTAGGTAGGATATTACAGTTTGTGTAATATGAGCAGTTATTACCCAAAGCTTTCTCCAAAGAAAAATCTGTCATAAACGTTGGTTTCCACTCAAAAGGTTGGAGATTTCTGTGAACTATCTCAATTGAAAAGTTTTGAATTGTTCTTGAATCCTTTTTTTTATTTTTTATTTTGTTTTAGCTTAATTTTCTCTAGGTCAACAGTCTCAGTATATACAAACCATGTTTGTGATTAAAGCCGCTTATTTAATATGTGATCAAGAGTGATTCTATATTTTAAGTAAGAATCATAATAGAAACAATTCTGCCTATGCAATAGTCACTGGTGTCAAATAATTAAAAAACAAGCTGTATTTTTTGAACTCTGAGTTTGAAATGTGTGATCTTAAAAATAAATGACCATTACAACTTGATGACTGAGAGTGTTAGTTGTTTGTAATTTTTGATGTGATGTTATTTACTGTTTTGGTTACATAAGAAAGCGAGTGTGGAGTTGTAAGCATCAGACTCTGAATCTTTTTTATCTCCGTTACAAAACTCGTGTTAATGTAACTTTTTGACTCCTCCTTCAATCATCCTCCAACCCCCATTATTTACCTCAACATCATAGTTTCAAATGTAATTACTGCTATGCTATTACTATTGACCTGATGACTTAAACTTGCCATCAACCAAGCGAGCATACTACTGTGCTCATTATCTCAGGCACAGTAATGATTTATCTGCATGCACTACTGTTGTTAATGTAAACCTCTACCCATCTCTCTCTCTCTTTGCATCCCCCTCTAAACTCACAGCACTCTCAGCAGGTGACTGTCTCACATGAATCTGGTTCTGCTGAAGGTTTCTGCCCTTAAAAGGATGCTTTGATACTCATGGTAGGTAGAGATGTGATCAGAGTGGGTCTGATATTACAAGATGGGATTTGATCTCATTTTATCTTGATGTTAAGGTCTTTGTAAATATTGTGAAGAGTATGACTAAGACCAGTTTTTTTGCAAAGCATCTTGCAATTACATTTGTTGCGAATTGGCATTATTTCTGGAAGGAGTTATTAATTTATTGATTATCCTTCCTCGCCTGTTAGCTTTTACTACACAACCACCATGTCAAGGGTCGGTTTTGACCCATATCTTAAATCAGCTGTAAATTACACTAAAAACAATTCTCTATCACCCAATTTAGTTCTCGTCTCTAGGTTAACTTGTTAGGCTTCATTATCCATGAGAATATTGCTTACAATATTTTTTGGTGTGGTCCTCTGGGCCTTTCTTTGTCGGTTCACCCCTCATACAGACATCTATACTGAATTGATCTCACATGTCTGGACATGCCCAACGTAGTTTCTCGTGAAGGGAAAAACAGGCAAAATGAGAATTTCCTAAATCTTACATGATTGGAAGAGGATCTGACTGTCAGTGTGGTGCCTGACAGTGCACTTATGATTTCAGTTTTTGCTCTAATTATTAGATATTGATCTAACCGGGTCAACAGCGACCTCAACACGACAAGGGCCATAATCTTAATAAGAGCATTTTAGAATTTAGTCAATTTAAAAATCTAATTTACGTGGTTCTTTTAAGCATTTAAAAACAAAAACGGGTCGGTACAGACCCTAACACAGGAGGAGGGTTAAAGAGATGATTCAAGCATAAAGGGATTCTGGTTGAACAACAGTAAACATCATAGTTGCACTTAAGATAAAGGTAAAGGAAAATTTGTATTGTAATTTGTATCAAAGAGCCTTAAAAAAATTCACATTTCTGTTTTTTTTAAACTAAAACGTAACTTGAAAAATCAAAGACTCAAAATACATTTTTTTTTTTTTATTACAGTTTGAACATTTCTACTGTTCCTTTTTTTTGTCATTTCTGCAGGTGAAGCCAGCCATGAAAAACATGTTTTTTGTTAAACCTGACACAATGGGATCCCCTAAGCCAGTGAATGGATGGAAAACCACCAAAAACACATTTTAATAATTACACCACTTTTATTCAAAGGTGCCAAACAGCAGTGGAAGTGCTGGTTTTCAAAGAACAATGTCTCTGTGCGTGCCTTCTGATCTACCCTCCTGTGGCATCTGTGACCGTGACACATTTTCAGGAGTCCAGGATCCATTCATGCCCGCTGAGCGCAGGATGCAGCAGATCACAAATGAAAGCAGACACAGCGTAGTGAGGCTGTGCACCAGGCAGAGCTGAGTGATAGTAGATGAGATATGGAGTGCCTGCCTGGGCTCTCCACCCAAGAAGGAGTGTGTCGTGCATGCGCGTGCCTAACTGTGCAGTGTGTTTGATGATGGACCCCAGCTGGAGAGGTATTGCCACTGCCTTATGAAACATGCTGGAGGATGATTACAATGGAGAATGATTATCACTTAGTCTCTCATCTGTCTGCGCTCGTCCCCTCCCACTGCCTCCCCCTCTCTCTTCTATCTCTCACTCCTTTCTCCTCTCCCATTCAGCACGTGAGGTCAAGTGTCACTCCGTCTCCGTTGTCAAGGCTGCCAATCACCCACACAGTGAGTGCAAGGCAACTGTTGCCAAGGAAACAGAGCAATTCGGTTGCTAGGCACCTGGAGCTGTGCTCACAATAGTCATTTTGTTGCTTAGAACACACACATACACACACACACGCATGCACAAATACGCACAAAAACCACAGAAACAGCTTTGCCAAATCAACAAGTTTACACAACGTCAGTGTGAAATGTGTATAAATTATGATTACTTTCTGTGCTAATAAATAAGAGATTTGCTTACACAGGAGTAAGAAATCATGGAGTAGTAAACGATAAGAGAGTAATTTATCACAGGCGCATTCACAAACAGATGCTAATATACTGCTGAATTTGCAATGAAGCGCAGAGTTTTTAATTTATAGTACTTAGCAATAATGCTAATGTACCAAAAATGTATTTCTGGATGTTTTATTCCAACTTCACAGCTCCCTGATAAATCAGCATGCCCTGACTTTAAGAATTCTTCAGACCTGCACCTCGACTTGATCAATAAAAGACATAAACATCCATCATTCTGACTAAAAATAGTTACCCATAAAATCAATCAATCCCTTATTTCCCCACTGGCACATGGACTCGGTGAACCTTGCTGCAATGTGGCGATGTTTGTGCATTCAAATATATGTAAGGAATCGAACGCTGGTTTTCTTTAGACCTATCAATCCCTTATTTCCCTACAGGCATGTTGATCATGTGAACCCTGCTGCAGTTTATATACATGTCTGCCCGTGTGTGCATCTGTGTGTGTGTGTGTGTGAGTCTCCTCTCCATCATGACAGCCAGTCAGTTGAGCCGAAAGCTGAAACGTCAGCAACGGGTGCAAGCCTTGACATGTCCTCATGTGTTACTGTCTCCTGTTGCTGCTACAGGCATCAAACTCTTCGCACATTTTTAGCATGAGCCAGGAAGACAAAAAAAAATAGAAGAGTAGAGGCAGGAGCGGGAGCAGGATGATGGCTATGCACAGCTATACTATCCTGTGGCACAGCAAGGGTTCCTGTCCCCGATATCTAAAAAAAAAAGCTGTTTTTGGCACCAATTTTGCAAACTTTAAAACCAGTCTCGTCTGAGAGACATGTTTGGTGCAGAGTGTGAAGGGCTGCGAAAGACCTTCATCAACTGATAAGATTATAGGCTCACTTGTGTGCTCGACTGACTGACAAGGATATGTAATCAAGAAGGTTTGGGAATTAAGGTCTGAGTCTGAAGACTTTTGTGTTAAGCTCCCTGAACTAATGCCTGGGGGGTTTAGCTTAGTGGCACGGTGCTAGTCTTCCCCCCACTTGCTGCCAGCGCTTTCACAGGACGGACTGAATTCGGACGGCGAAACAAACTCATTTCCTCCACAGGTGTGAAGAGTGACATGGTTGATAAAGCTATGATGATAAAACCTTTTCAGTGGCTGGATTTGATTTGACCGGCCTCTGATTGCGTTCTATTTGAAAAACCTTCCTGATAGAACAAAATAAACCCTTTCCCACAAAAAGTCGCTCATAGGTGCCTAATTAAAAACCATCCCATGTTTCGTGTGTGTCTGCCATTGTATTCCTCCAAAAAGATCTCTGCTTTTTGGACCCTTGTAGATGACAAAGCTTCCTCTCGACTACGCGTATTCTCAAGCAATAACATCCACATCTGTATTATCAACCCAAGAATACCCGTTGTCGAGACCGGAGCAAAGAGGCCTCCACCCCCCACTTCCATTACTTTCTCCCTCCTTTTTTTCTTTCTTTACTCCACTCCTTCTCTGTGCGCATCCTTCAGCTCTCTGAATGTGATCGCAATGTGAAGAGAAGGAAGGAGGAGGTCTGTGCGGAGGCAAATCTTTCAGGACAGCATCTGGGATAAGAAAGACAAAACACATATTTATCCTTGAGTAACACTGCAGCAGCAGCAGCAAAAGGTACTACTACAACATTTCACGCATGCTTAAAGTCACGTCTTGTTCACGATGTGAGACTAATAACCAGATTGTAGGCTTTATGCAATAGCTAGCGTACACATGCACAGACACACACACAAACACAGACACGCAGGCAGCCGGCTATGCATCTTTACCTGAGCTGCACTGAGTAAACAGATTGCACTGCCAACAGCTAGTCCCTTTGCTCTCCCCGGTATCAAGCAACCGTTTAGCCCGGCGCTGAGGGAGAGGGCAGGCTCACCAATTATCAAATAGGTGTCAGTGTGTGTTAGACTGCACTGAGGGGAGACTCTGATTATCAAACAGATGTTCAGCTCTCACCTTCATGCCTTCCTCCATTACATTTTTCCCTTCCTTTTCTGTCTACCTATCTTTGTCTCCTCCTCTCACTTATTGTGGGAAGACTCTCTAGTAGCACACACACACACAGACACACTCTTCTTCTTTTCCTCGCTCTGTCCCATGGAGAATAAGCCTGACTCTCCCACCATCTACACTTGCCAATTAGAGACACAGTAGTTGTCAATCAACAGCTGTGGAGGAGAGAAAACGAGAGAGAGGGGGAGAGTCATAGGGAAAAAGGGGGGTGTTTTTTTTTTTTTTTTTTTGCATCAGCACCACAGACAGCTCCCCCTGGAAAACTCCAGCTACTTCCCCTACACAACTCTCTTTCTCATGTTCTCCTCTCTTAACTCCTCCACTCTAATCATATCATAACCCCGCCTTCTTCTTCTCCTCCTTCTTCTTCTTCTTGTTTATCCATTTTACACCCTCAAGTCCCCGCTCTCTCAACCTCAAATCAGCTTGTTTATCTGCTCAGACATGTGCATTAACCCTACACCCATCCCCTGAATCCTTTCACTCCTCATCAAACCTGCGCACCATGAGACCTGACACTTCCAGGGAAAGTTCCCATCTGCCACCGACAACCCCTCTCATCTCACTCACACCTGTGTTCGTGTACATGCTAACCCGCTGTCACTGCTAAAGGAAGTGCCAAAAACAAAGCTGGAGAAGATGCTGACACTTGTCTCCCTCATTATCTAGTTTCCCCTCTCTCTCTCTCTCTTTCTCTCTTGCATTTCCCTCCATCCCAACTGTCCACGTCTGGGGCCGCAGATGATGACAACTCAAGTGGACGTGTCTTCTGTTCTCACCGAGAGCTGTGAAGAGATGTACAGAGGTGTCAGGGATCTGGTGTAAAAATACACCCTGCTCCGGCTGCTGCTGCTGCCCTCCTCAGTACACAGGACCAGTGTGTGTCTGCTCCGTGTCACCCCAGTGTCTCTGTCTAATTTAGAGGCATGCTTCAGTGTAGTTTTTAGCTGTTTCTGAGAGAGAGTGTGTGTATCTGTGTGTGCATGTGTGTGTGTGGGAGTCAGTCTGGAATAGATGGGTGTGCCTGCAGAAGCAGTTTTGAATAAATGGACTAGGGCCTTTTGTTTATTTTCCACTGTAGTTTTTTCTAAAAGGTTGTATAACACTTAAGGCTGCGCTAAATGCACTTGTTTGGTCTACTTTTTTGAAATGGATATATTCAATTACTTTAGTATATTTTAAGCTTGATATCTTTAGTGTTTATAAATGCACGTAGAGAGATGAATGATGAATTTTGCAGAGAAACAAAGGCTTTCTGTTTTATTCTTTAGACCTGATCTGACCCCGTCTACACGTTTCAAAACTACACCTCTGGCCCCAATTGAAGCTGCACGGGCAGAAAAGAACTTTATTTCATAGTGGTAGACATCTGGCATGCTTTTATAAAAAAAAAAAAATCCATTTCCTGAATTGACTTGATTGAAAGTGAGTTGGCTCCAGCTGGGACTGCTAATAAAAGGCGCTCGGTCTGTGTCATATTTATGCTCGACTTATCAATCCTTTAATGTACCTGGTGTTGCAGAATCACAAGTGGCAGTGCTAGAGGCAACAACAAGAGCTGCGTTGGAGCTTGAGATGGAGACAGACTGAGCAGGACGCTGGGCTCTGCTGCTTGCACATCACTGCTTAATTGCTTGGAACTAAAGGCGCTGTTATGAAAGATGTTTATGCTTATGCCTGCAACAGCAAATCTTTGCAGTCATTTTGGCTGCACAGTGGAGTCAAACAGTCAATACCCAGACAGAAAAGTAAACGATACAGTGCTGGCTTTTGCAACAAATACAGCCAAGAGTACAGAACAAGAAACTTTTAGTGGCAAACTTAACAGAAACACTTTGGTTTCCTTAATCTTCCTGCTGGGCCTAAAATGCACCATTAAGGCTTTATTTGGCCTACTGGCCCAGATAAGCAGACAACCACACACAACCACTGTAAAAAAAAAAAAAAAAAAAAAGCACTTAAACCAGCACCTGTCTTCTACGTGACACGCGTGGATATCAAGCTTTCTTTGTTTGTAAATACATCCGCTCCCACTGACAAGGAGAACCCAGTTCAGAGTGGCAAGCGTGGATTGAATCTTTAACCCTTTAGAGGGAGAGTTGAACCATCTTTGTCTCTGCTCCTACAGGCTACAAAGGAAGGGAAGGGAAGAGGAAGCCACGTTGACACATGCTGCTGCTGCTGGAGGTGGTTAAATATTAAGCTGCGTTCAGGTGCAGCCCTCATCAAGTCGTTTGATGGGAACTTGGGGGTGACGCTGCTGGGACCAACCTGTTTTAGTTAGTTATCAAATCATTACGCGTGCCAACGGCTAATTGATCGTGCGTAAATCCCACGCCGTGCATGTACAAACGGCAATTTCAGCCTTAGGTTTTAATTCTAATTGGGTTTTTTTCTCACTTCAGGGATGATCAAAATTTTCCCGTTATTTTAGGACAGCCTAAAGTGATGGGACCTTGACCAACGCCGCATTGTCAACTGGATCCAAAACGCTTTTCATGCTCAAATAACAGCGAAAAATGCTTAACTTACCGCTTTCCCTGAAGAAGCAACTCCATATGCATCACATTGTATCCATGCTGAGGAGTGAGAATAGGCTAAACCGTGCAGGGAAACGCCCCCCTCCTCCTCTCTCTGCTATTCCTTTCTCTTCTGTGCGCTTCTCCTTCTGCTTGTGGGGAATCGTATAACCACTCCTTGTTTTCTGCTTTCTCTTCGAGGGAGGGATGGAGCGACGGATGGATGGATGGATAGATGGATGGAGCCTCTGCTGCGGCACCAGTATCACCAGCAGCAGCAGCAGCATCCCATGCAACTCCGCTACAACCTCTCACTTCATTTCCTCCTCCTCTCTTTCTTTCTCTGTAGCCCATGCCTCCATTCAGCCCTGACGCCGGAGAGCATGCCCTATAGTGCACGGGTTCCCAAGCTGGGGTTTAGGGTCCTCAGCGGGTCTCACAGAAATGGAGTGTGGTCGCTTCTTAATAGGGGCGGACAGACCCTTAAAAGATAATGCAATCTTCTGCAACATCTTTGTCATGACTGACCAAACCCTGCTGTATTTTTAAGGTGACTTGATGTAATAAAAATGAGTTAAACATCATGGAAGTCTAAAGGTCCTTACACACCAGGAGTGTTTTTTTTCGTGTGATTATTTCGGATATCAATATTTTTTTTTCGAACCCATATCCTGTCAATACAAGCGTTCACATCAGCGACATTTTCCAGTTCTGAGATATTGCTGCATTTATTCTTTCGGATCATGGTCGATTTTTCTAAAGTTTCGCATACTGTGTGTCCACTTCTGACCAATCAGATTGCGTGTTGTTGCGATGTCAGATTCACCGGTATATCCAACATGGCTGACCAGCGGATTGTTTACGTGTCGGAGAACACGTTTAACACTACAGTTTATGTAGGCCCAGAGTTTTTTGTCTACAAAAATAGTTGATTGCATTTGTGTGGACATCCAGCCTCCATCTATCCCTTCCACAGAAAAAAGCGAAGCCAAAATAACCTCCTTATAGACAGGTTTCTTGTGTAAAAACAATACAACCATAATACTACAATAATACCATGGAGCAAAAGCCTGTGTAAGAGTGAACTGATATCAGTGAAGATGCCGTATTGTTTGCAAGTTCTCCCCGACACAATTACAATAAAATGTCATTTCATTGAAAAATCGCTTTGTCTTTCATCGCATCAAAATCAGAAAAACACTTGCTGAAATTTTCATGAATTTCCAGGTTGTGATGTTGTTTTAGATGTTTCTAATATCAGGAGCAGGGTCGTAATGTTTGCCAATTGTTTGTGTTGCTGATTCGTGTAGTTTACAGCACAACAGCTCCTTGTCGTTTTTTTTCTCCGTTGACTTCGCTAGTAAACAAATAAAAAATGTCTCTCTTTCTGCCCCCTGGCTGCGCGCGCATACCTGCGATGACGTTGCACAGAAACCCGTCTATAAACGCTAACATATTGCCAAGAGGTCATGGGCAGACATAAATGCGCGATGGAGCCACATGATCGGCATCCCCCATCATGAAGGCTGGTTCTACTTCAGTCCATCACCAGAGGAAGCTCTTAGGATTTTGGCCTCACTTTGGGCATCTGTTGTCCCATCCATTTTATACAAAACCTATGATTTCAGGAATAAGAGCGCAATAAAATAGACTCATAGAAAAGGGTGTGATGTAATTCTACCCTTTTCACGGTACATTGTGGAAACCATGCACTGCCTGACTCCACTTTCAGTATTTATTGCATGACTGGTGCACTGCGATACATTCTTTATAACATGTGATATTGATCCTATTCGTTGTAAACATGGCTGTGGTGTCTGTTAAAAAGTCTTTTACATTTTATTTTAATAACCTTTTCACATGGATCTTTTATGATGTATATTGACCCACATTTTAGTTAATACGATGAGTTCTTCCTGCTCATTACTGTGAGGTTAATCATATTGTTGTGCATTTGTTTTATTTGCTGTGTTTTTTTTTATTTGTATTCACTAAAATTGAACTCTGAGGTGTATTGGATGCAGAAATGGAGGAACATGGTGTCTCACAAAGCCACCGCTCAGTCAGTCATTAGCGCTGAAATCATAACAGACTGAAACGGGACTGAATGGTGTTCCCTGCAGAGTCTTAGTACAGGTTTATACATGGCCTGTGGTGAGTGGGAGCGTGTATGTGTGTGTTCCTGCTCCTAATCCTGTCTCCTGGGACCTCTGTATCAGGTTGATGGTCTTCCTTAGCAGACATGCTGGATGGGATTGGTAGTAAGGCCCTCCATAATCCTCTCCTCATCTGGTGGCCTGAAAAAGATCTGCCCATTGAAACCTAAAATGTGTAGTGTGTGCGTGTGTGTGTTGAATACTCGGTAATGATCCACACAAGCTTTGCACCAGAACAAAATTGTCTTTATCCTAAATTCTCCTCCATTTTTCCCCTTCTTCCTCTCCTTGTGTTAGTATAGAGACGTCACATACAGAGAAACAGACAGACAGTGAACATGTAAATTTGATGTTTGAGAGCTCACAAAGCACTGGAGCCTTCAAGGCCATAAAACCCGACAGCATATTTCCTCAAATAAGCAGCCGTGGAGTGTTTTTCTACCACGTACACACATAGAGACACACTCACACAGTGTTAATGGCTTCATAATTGTCAGAGGCAGACCATTGAGCATAATCAGGAGACTGCAGCAAGGCAAAGACCAATATTTGTAATTTACTATGACAGATAGTACATTTTTATTACCCAGGGACTGCTGGTTTGTTTTTGGATGCGATAAACCACACTCATCCACATACTTTTTATCTCTCAGTACACATACTCACTAACACTTACCCTTTTCCTCTGCATTTCTTTTTCTTCTCTCTCTCTTTCTCTCTCTCTCTCTCTCACTCACACACACAAACACACACACACATAGTGGTTCAGCCCCAGACAGTGTGTGACCTCAAGTCAGGAGCATTACGGGGAACAGACAGACACTGAGTCAGGGAGTAAAGTTCAGCTAACTGCAGGAAATCACAGCTACACACACTCAAGCATATACTCCCATACACACCTTCAATCATATTAAACCCTTTTTATAAATACATGAGATGTCTAAGAACAACCTGGAGGGAAAGGTGAAATGTTTTGTTTATTATTATGTTTGCTGCTCAAAAACTCCTCACTTATCTTTCACTGGTGCCTGTGAAATGCTTTATTTTGGCTGCCTTTCTAGTGATATATAGTCAGACACGCTTGTAGATGTTACTTTTCACACAGTTTTGTCAACATGAAACAACCTGAAGGTTATGTCTTTAATGAAAACATCTAAGGATAGCTGCTAGTGCCCACCCTGCCCTCTGTTTAGCCATGTTAGCATCTGTTAGCTGTTGTTACATTAGCAGCTGTTATAAAGTTTCCTAGCTTGTTATTAAGTTATCAGTAAAATGTGGAGCACTCTGATGTAGAAGACTACAGAAAGCTAAAATCTTGGGAAATAATTAGTCATATTTTAGTTTGTAACAATCAGTTAGAGAGACTGTTACCAACAACATCTAAGGATAGCTGCTAGTGCCCACTCTGCCCTCTCTTTAGCCATGTTAGCATCTGTTAGCTGTTAGCAAGTTTCTAACCCTTTTATCAAGTTATCAGTGAAATGTGGAGCACTCAGTGATTTAGAAGACTATAGAAAGCTAAAATATTAGGCCATATTTTAGTTTATAACAATCTGTTTCAGAGCCTGTAAGCCAAAATTAGCTACAGCTAACAACCGCAGCTAGCTAACAACCGCAGCTAGCTGATATTAGCCTACTGATAGCTAGAAGTAGATGAAGGCTTCAGGTATCTTTTGAAGGGTTTAATAGGGCGGACCTTTTCCAACTAAAACGCTTGATAACTTTAATCAAACTACAGTAAATGTGCACATCTTGAAATTCCATAGCTGACATAAACCAGGAATAATTTACACCTTCAGTACAATTTATGATAAAATTTAAGCATTCCTGCTAAAAATAAACTAAGTTAAGAAATCACTAGAGACTAATTTGAGCTACATATTGTTCGACCACAGTACGTAATAGCATAAAAAGTCTCTTAACTTGACACATGACCCACTGCCACCCAGATATTCACTTTTGGTCTTTTCAGCAGTTTTTTTAAAGTCTTGAATTGATAAAATGATGGAGATTTGTATGAATTTCCTGAATTTATCTCCAACCCAAAGATTTCACACTTACACTACACCAGTATCATTTGAGCCTCTCTACCTCAGCCAGATATCAGAGGACAAGAAATTGGTTTACAGTAAGTGAACTCTGAGAATCAAAACCAGCAGTTAAAATTAAAATATCAAAATCAATACAGCTGATCAATCATATTTATTTATCTTTATCTTTTTAAGTGCTGAAGTTTCTCCTCTGTAATTTCACTCATTACACCTTAAATAGAAAGTGGCTTAGACATGGTTTTAAAAGTGAAGTGCGGTAAGTAGGCATTCTTTATAACCGCCAGCAGAGGGCAACTTCACAGGTTGTTATACAAGTTTTGATTACATGAAAACAAATGGAGTGTGCCCAAACTTTCTGCTGATTTAGTAATAAACTAACATTTTTTTCTGACTAGTTTATGGTTTTAAATGATCAATGTCATTGTCCTTTAAAACAGCATGATGTTGGCCTATTTAATGACAGTCAAATTTGATCTAATGTTGACACAAACAGGGTATGCTTGAGGGCACTTTTTGATGGTCAAGTAATGTGGCTAGTCAGTGAGGATGGTATCAGAAAATGTTGAACTCCAGATTTCAAAAGGTGATTTATAAACCGGTGAGTGACGCCTTGGTGCCAAAGTTTACCTCATATGTGGTTCTCCAACAAATCTTAACTTTTGCTGGAGTATGTTTACACCATTCGTATAACAATGTGTCATGTCACTTCAATCTTGAAGTGTAAGAGGGCAGACAATGTGATCAGAGACAAGCAAAAACAAACCACTCCTGTATGAAAGTCTCAAACATCAATAAACCGAAACAAACATATCAAATACCTGCTGGAGTGAGCGACATTATTAAAAATGTCTCCATGTGACATTTTGAAATTTGTTTAAACATTTGGAAGAACGAAAAGTCTCCAGTCCAGCCTCTCTACCCGATCACTGCGGTGACATGACATTTTGTGTGTGTACCATTTAAGAGAGAATTTCTCATGTCAAAGAATTTGCCAGACATTAGAGTAACACGGGGAGATTTTAAAAAAATTGAATGGTGTTGCACTCTGATGCAGAACTTTCAAATGTCAGTGATTCATACTCTAATTGAAGTGGAAGGATGCTCGTGCAGCTCAGCAGTCAGTTAGTGGGACTGAGAACGTGGAGGCTGGCAATCAGCATGGAGAAACTCTGTGTGTGCGTGTGTGTGCGCCAGTGTTAACAAGAGGGACAAATAGGAACAGGGAGAGACACACAAATAGGAACAGAGAGAGAGAGAGAGAGAGAGAGAGAGAGAGAGAGAGAGAGAGAGAGAGAGAGAGAGAGAGAGAGAGAGAGAGACAAGCAGGTGCATCACTAATGGCTTTTTAAAAAGGTTACAGCGTAGAGCTCTTCTTTTCTAATGGGGCTCCGGCTGTGCTTGAGAAGCAATTTCCGGAAAAGATAATGTTGTGGGGAAAGCGCAGAGAGTTCTCTGTTTGAGCAAGTGTGTGTGCATGTGTGTGTGTGTGTGCCTTGTCTTTAACAAGACTGATAAACACAATCTCACCAGCTTAAAGGGAGAGACAAAGAGAGAGAGAAAGAGAGAGAGAGAGAGAGAGTCCACAGTGTCTACATTTCAAAGTAATTGTGCCATTACATTTCATTTATTAGCTTGCTGACTAATGCCTAATGTGGGCCAGCGGAGGTCTCTGGTGAAAAACATTTTAAAGAGCTTGTTTCTGTTTTAGCATATTTTTACATTCCTAATGTGCTGTTTGATTCCATAAACATTAAAAACTGCTTAAATCTGAAAGACCCTCTCAGGGTTTTACCCTGTTTTCAGGTCACCATGGTTACACTGCCACCCCGTGGTCAAAGAACATGACTACAGCCCTCTGAACCGAGCTACTCTTCCCTGCTGTTTCTGATTTAGCCCCTCATGTCCTGATTTGTACTTAATAATTTTTTAATGGTGCTCTCAATCATAGACTTTATTACAAATTTGCTCCCTGTGTAACCAGCCGAGTCTGAACAAATTATACTGACCAATAATACACAGTCCACAGCATACTACATCAAACTGATGGATACGCCACCAGGGGTCAGCACTTTGCCATAAATGTCTCCTGGTTGTGTCCTAATCAGAAAAAAGTTCAAAGATTTGAAGAAACATAAGATCTCATTTTTCTCTAATCATTCTTCTTGTTATGGATTAAGATTTGCAGAGCACACAACACAAATGCACAGCGCAATTTAACAAAACTGGACGCGGCTGCAGTTAGTTGGTTTTAAGGCTCAGTCAGCACAAGTGGGACTTCCTGATTTGTCACCGCAGAGAACGCAAAGCAAAGCACTAAAATCAAAGATGGGGGAATTCAATATAATTGTGCTACTGTCTCCAGTACTGGGACTACTGGAACACCTACTTGGACTCTTTTATTCAACAAAGCAATTTTTAGGATTATTAGCAAAGGCACACAGCTCGTCTGAGTAATATTCAAGATTCATTAAAGGCCAGAAATCTCTCTTTTATACTTCAGCATACAGTGCTCACCGTTTTAGGTTGCTATTGACTTGAGGTAATTGTGCACAACACTGACTCACTGAAGAGGCATCAATCGAGTGAAGAAATGTTTATCACGCAGCGCAATAAAATGTAGTAATTTCAATTTATTTTTGGAAATAAATACAAAACAGACACATTTTTGACATGAAAATAACATTATCTGGACAGTTACGGTGTTTTATCCCTCTTCAGTTGTTTACAAAAATTTTAGGCTGAAGAGTTTTATTGAAGGTAATCTCAAAGCTATAATGAGCACCTTCTGCTATAACAGGCATGGATAGGGACGCTTCATCAGGGCTCCTCCTAAAGGCCTGCAGTTACACACAAGTATGGGTGTGTAATTATAGCAGCTACGTCTGACAGTTTAACTTAAGAAAACTGATTGCCAAATTAACAGTTATGCTGCCATACAGTGTGCTCATTATAGACATACACACAAATCCCAGCAAGCACTCTAACACACTCACACACACACACACACACACACTTGCGCTCAATAAAACCGTAGCGTTGTCTTCTTAATATATCCTATTGCTGTCTCTACAACTTGTTTCACCTGTCTTCAGTGTCTTCCTGAACTGTGCAGAACCAAAGCAGGTTATAAGCCACATACATGGGCTGTTTTCTTCCAGTCCTGCTTTCGATGGAGTTCCTACAAAACAGCTTCAGACAGAGTCAACTTGTGCACACAAGTTAAATGTATCAATAATGTAGTTTATATAGCGTGTTAAGAAACCTATATACTGTACAAAACTATAGAAAACTCAAGGGTCTTACTGCTGTGTAACACACTGATCTGTGCCATTGGTTTTCTAAAGTCAGTGTGACACAGAGATAGCTGACTGTAGCAGGAACATTTAAAAAAAAAACCTGACAACTGATATAGATGAAGGGAAGCATTAACAACAGATGCAAGTGACCATATGCTGTCAGCAGCAATTTTTCACTGATGCCACGCTCAGATTGGAAACCTTGAATACTGTTGAACTGTTGTGCTGCTGTCTTTCAGGCTGTGAGTCATATAAATTTGGGGTACGTGATAAATTATCATAATTTTGCTGCTCCTAGGTTTGTGAGTAATAGCAAAGTCACTGAACAAGAACATTTGGTGGAGTTCTGGTGATATTAGACGTTAAAAACAAAACAACAGTAACATAATTTTGAAGAAAGCAGCTTTACATCATCTCCAATCTGGATATTAATTCTGATGCTAGGAAATTTAGCAAGATTTATAAATATCCTACAGATGTTTTTCTATGTATGGTTGTTGTTTTTTGGAGTTTAAGTTTGATGTCTTGGTAATGGTTAAGTGTCTCATTTACTCTGTTTTGTATTATTGTACTAAATTTTTTTACTACAGCATGTCAAAGAATAGCATAGTAGTGAATGGCATTGATATGTACTTTAACATATCATACCTAAGTGCACCATGCTATATGGTATTGGATCACATTATATCATATCCTACTGTATTGTATTGAATCGTTGTGTATTACATTGTATTGTATCATGTCATATCTAGTTGTATTGTAACCAATTATATCTTACCTGTTTGTATCCAGTTTTATTGTGTCGTATCTAGTTGTATTATACAGTACCAAATCGAATCGTATCTAGTATTATATCTAGTTGTATTGTGTTGTATCACATTGTATCATATTGTACCAAATTGTATCGTATTGTATCTAGTTGTATCATATTGTACAAAATCGTATTGTATCGTATCTAGTGTTATCATACCGTACCAAATTGTATCGTACCCTATCAAGTGTTATCATATTGTACCTAAGTGTATCGTATCTAGTTGTATCATATTGTACCAAATCGTATTGTATTGTATCGAGTTGTATCATATTGTACCAAATTGTATCATATTGAAAGATAACATAAAAAGAAATTCAATATATTCAATATGATACACATTGTATTGTATCGTATTATAACGTATTGTAACGTATCGTATCGTAAGGTATTGTGTCGTATCGTATCGAACATTTCGACTATGCCGCCTGGAACACAGCAGTTCCACAACATGTCAGCATTTGGGGTTCCTACCTACTGCACTCCATCAAAGAAAAATGCCCACCATGTGAATGAGGACACACTTTTGGAAAGACAAATAAGCCAAAATGTAGAAATCTAGACTTAATTTAATTAAATTAAGAACTGGTTTCATCGTACCGAAGTTGTGAATGTAAGACTTTTATGCAAACTAAAAAAATTCACATTGGAATTAGATGGATTTCTTAGACGAAACCCTTTGAATATTTCACAGCATTGACGTAAACCTACAGACATTTATAAACACACATCGGAATAGTAAGTATATGGAAATGTTGTTCACTTCACGTAAGGGATGAATTAACTGATACTCAAAAGTAAATGTGGTGTTATGAGCACAGCACATGTGTGTATAAATTTCTCCTCTGCCATGTCACACAGTATAACAGGCAGATCTAACCCATATTCCCCAAATTAAATTAGAGTTTTACCAAACTCTAAAAAAGTTATTCTGTGCTTTTCATCAAACAAGTGCTATCTTCTTTCAGAATGAACTCTGCTCTGTAATAACTCATTTTGATGACATGAAAGTCTTTGATCTCAATCCTTAACCTTCATTTTATTGTCCTGAGTGTTACAAATGGTCTTTCCAGGATGACCATCCAGTGATTAGGATTTCCTTCGCTCGTTAAAAATCTCATCTCTTCTGAGTGTTTTTTTTTTTCTCGATTGATCAAGTGTTTTATCAAGTCGTCACCAGCCAACAGTCTTTTTAGTCGCTGTTAGGTCTTTTTGGACAACAGGACAAAAGGAGTAGGGCACAATATTTCTTCGTCAGCTCTGGCTTTGGTGAGTCTTTCATTGATTTTTCACCTGAAAAAAAGAGGCCATCTTGATGGGCGAACAGGGCAGAACTGGGTGGAGAGCCGTGTTTCCATCTCCTATTGGTCTTTAGCAGATTACAGCCATGCTCTCTGTGTGCATGTCCCCCTGTTCTGCCTCTAGTGATTGGATGGACCTTCAGACCTGGGTGGATTTGACTCGTCTGAGAGGTTTCTGTCCTTCGGGGTGAGCGGGGCAAGGTGGGGGGACTTCAATAGGCAGGTCTAGACTGCGCTGGTGAGGCAACGCCGTGAGGGAAGGAGCACGTCGGGAGGGGTGGGGGACGGGATTGGCTGATGGTCATGTGATCTCAGAATACGGTAGCCCTGGAGCCTAAGAGTTGGGAAAGAGATACATATACATTTAAGAGGGCTGGAACGAGTTTAGTAATGTAAGATACTTTAATTATTTCTAGACGTTAAAACTTGAAACAGAGCAGATAAACTTCACTTGACTGAAACAGAGAGAGACAGGAATAAAAATGATGTTGAGACGAGAGATGAAGAGTACATAACACAGATAACAGATGTAAGGAAGCACGTAGGATACATTCAGACACACTGATAAATCAGTTTAAGACAAAAGATAAACATTAAGACCCAACACTAAGCGATGACAGCGCTGTTTGCAGCTCTGGTTGTTCTTTAAGCTTATTGCTAAAACAAACATGCTAAGTGCTCTCAATGGCAATGCTTCTGTCCTGATTTTAGACATGCTACCATTTGATAACTATCAGTAAAAAAACAACTAAACAGCTCATCCAAACTCATTCAGAGGGAGATGTGAATTTGTATGACAAATTCAATGACAAATCCACCTAATAATCCCTTGATTTAATCATGAATAATGATCACTAAGTTCTGAAAAGACTAAAAATCTATGCTTGCTGAGAAGACTGCATTGTTATGTTTCTTTCCAGGCCATCAACAAAGAAATACTTATATCAGCTGACCAACTATATATACCAGATTACTAAAAGAGACAAAGTTAAAGCAAATGTGGAGAGAATATTGCTAACGCTATCTAAAGGTGAATAATGTACTGATGTGCCCTAAGTAAAAGCACTGGATTCTTTTGTGTAGAATTTGTGTGAAAACATTTAAAAAGAGAAATAGGGCCACATGAAGAGAAAAAAAAAACTACAGGAAGGAGATTAAAGTCGAAATTTCCAGATTAAAGTTGAAATTTCGAGATAAAAAAATATCAAAATTATGTCAATAAAGTCGAGATTTTGAGATTAAAAATTGAAATTTCGAGATAAAGGTCAAAATTTCAAGATTACAAAATGACAAAAAGAGTTGAAATTTCAACTTTTTAAAATTTCGACTTTAACCTCGAAATGGAAATCAAAAAAATCTCCCTCCTGTCATTTCTTTCTTTCTCCTCTTGTGGCCCTAATCCTCTTTCGTAGAAAATCAATTACTGATTGCTGATGATCATTCCTCTGTAGACCATGAATGCCCACAACTCTGGAAGCTGATTAGTTTTTGGCCAAAGCAGCAGTGGACAGCCCAAACAACACTGCCGCAGTATTTGTGTAACTTCGAGAAACTTTTAAATCACATACTGTATATAAATATATATATGTGATGTGTTATAAAAGCTTCTTCCTGGTTGAATCCCCCATCCCTTACCTGGACGCCACTTAACTTTTCGAGTGGACTCTCCACACGAGGCAGGGTGAGAAGGGGAAACCCGATAGAGGGCTCTGGGCGCTGCGGAGGGGGAGGAGTCTGCATCGCAATCTGGGTCGGCTGAAAATTGTTGATCACACATGAAACCTGATAGAGCAGAGGAACAAAGACAAAAGGTAAAAGAAAATTGATGGTTACGATTTTTTGAAGATGGATGGATTGGTGTGTGTTATAAGAGAAATAAAAACAATTAAGGATGTATGAAAGATAAAAGTTTACAGCACTCTGATATTTGAGGCAGACTGGATATCGACCCTGGGAGATTTTACAGGGAAATAAAGTCAAGATGACCAAACTAAACAACAAGATTATAACAAGATGATAACAACAAGATAACTATATATCTTGTATATAATCTGTACCTATTATTATTATTATTATTATTTTCTTTACAACTATTTTTGTACTTTCATTAGGTCTCTGTTTTCTTTTTTGTATCTATTGCACTGAAAATGGAGAAGCTCTCCAATCTTGTTGTACCTTTCTTATAATGACAATAAAGGGCATTCTGATTCTGATTCTGTAAATTGTCCTGGTAAAGATTTAGATGTATCAATTCATCTTCATGCTTGAACATCTCCCCTGCAGACACAAGTGAAGGGTACCCACTCGAAAATCTTGGTGATTTAGTGGCATTCACTGCCCATCTATCTTCCTGCTTGGTAAATTATGGTAAATTATGTAACTTGTGATAGGACATTAATATTGAGGGCATAAAAGGACGTGTTTCTTTACCAAATGCTCTTCCTGTCATTAAAGCAGAAGTAATTTGTGTTTATTTTAAATGCGACAGCTACAGCATGAGAAAATAAGATAAAACTTTATTCATCCCTGAGGGGGAATTCGATATCATAATAATCATCAACATATTTGGTTGAAGAAAAGGGAGAACTTCCATGAAAACACATTAAAAATTAGCAGACGAGAGAAGACAGAGATAAAATACAATTTGGTAACTGAAACAAGTTAGCAAGCGAAAGGCAGGGCTTACATTAGTTAATGACACAACCATAACTCTGTAGTTCCCTGGATGTTTTCCTCAGGTGTAATCTATAATTAGAAAATATCCAATTTAACCAACTTTATTAGAGAGTTATCTTAATTAAATGAGACAAATTAGATGGTAATCAATATTGAGGGAAAAAGCATCACTTTTGTTTAAACAGACTGCTGACTGAGCTCAGCTTTTGGGGTATTATTTGGGGTATTTTCTAACTATTCTATGATAAAACTCTTTCAACTCCTCTTGGCAACTTCAGTGCTGCTGTGTTTCCTGCTCCCTGCCTTATGAGAGTTTACCTTCCTACAGCCTTTAACACCTTCTCCTTTCTGTTTTCAGACTCTTCTGCCTCCCTCTTTTTTACCTCCCATGTAACACCCTCCTTCTCACCAGGAAGGCAGCGATGGCTCCTCCTGTGACAAACCCTGCCAGGACGTCATTCCAGTGGTTTCTGTGTTCGGTCACCCTCATCACTCCCACCAGCACAGCCAGAGACAGCAGCACCAGGCACAGGGTGGGTTTGGTCAGACGGGTCCCTTTGGTGCGGAACACCAGGGTCACGTACATCTGAGATACATAAGAAACAAAAATGACAGGGTTTTTTTATTCACAGTGAGCTGAAAGAGGTGTTGGATCCACAGGTCGTCTGTGAGCCTGCTGTGATAAATCAAACAGTGTTGTTGCGTGAATAGCCTGAATCGGCCACAAGAGGGCGCCCTCTGCTGTGATTTTGAGCAGCTGAATCATAGCGATAGAAAGCAGAGCTGCTTGGACTGGTTTGATACTTCTTTAAATGACAGAAATGTAACATCAAAATAAAAGTTTTTACGAATGTTGAACTTTTAGATGTCAAACACACAAGTTGACTTTAGTGAGGAGGATTTGTTCAAGTATCAGGTACTGATGTTACAGTTCCACCTGGACTTACTCTAATTTTTGTTTTCTCAAATTTGAGTAAAATAAAAACTTGTCTTGCACACTTCTTGATTTACAGTTTCCATAAACAAGCACAGTTAGACACACACATCACCCTCTTATTCCTTTGACCCGCTGCCTTGTAAAAAAGTCCCCTTACCACTGTATAGATGGCTGAATAAAAGCTGAGCGCTGCATCTTTGGAGGGGAAGGATTTACGAGCAGACGCCACCAGGTATGGGTTCCCTGTGCAGGCACGTCGCTCTGTGATGTACTGCAGCGGAGACTGGCAGCCCAGAGCTGTGTAGTTTGGTTTGCAGGCTGTAAGGAAATGTGGCGTCTGGTTCCCTGTCACCACTTGACCTGCGTTGGCAAAGATGGTGGTGGTGAAGAGGCCGAAGGAGTAGACACCTGTGTGAGAATGGTGGAGGAAGTGAGCGGTTTGTTTGTAAACTTAGAATAGTGCAATAAATGTCTGGAGTAAGAGTCAAAATAAGCATTTAGAGTGGAGTTGAATGGTCACATTTTGTGAGTATTGTGTGGGAGTGAAAGGCCAGACAGATAAAGTCTTTTCTTCTATGCATGACTCCAGAAATCTAATAACTTGGATGAATCGTGAAAACAAAACATCATCATTCAGGACATAAAGACAAGAGCTAGAGAAAGTAGTCCACAGGAGACCTTAAGGACCCAGGCTCCTCCTGGATCTTTTTGTAATTAAGCTAACCAAGTCTTAATGAGCCACCATCCCTGAGTGCAGAGGCAGAACCTTTAATGTTCAGTACTCTCACTGACCCAGAAAACGTACGATCCTGCGGAGGAGAGGGTTGAAATAACAGCAGTCGGCGGTCACTATGGTCTTCTCCTGAGCTCCCTCTGCTTTGACGAAGAAGCTGGTCACTTCCCCGATCAGAATCTGGGACGAAAAGAGAAAAAAAGACAAAAACGGAAAGTCAAACTGTCTGGTTGCAGATAAACAAACTTCACTGAATATTTTACATGTGAAACACAGCGCCAGTGTCCATCCTTTAGCCTTGTACTTGGCCGGTGATTTTTTTTTATCCCTCACATTTGGCTGATTTTATGCTGCATTAGTGTATCTCAACATTAACACCTCCTATTCACTCTCATCAACGGGAGCTTGTCAACCTTAATATCTCCTTCACTTTTCCAATTTCCTTTTTTTTTCTGCTCAAATTCACAGCACTCCATAAAACCATTACCATACTATGATTAATAGTGTCATGCAGGTTAATAACTTTAAAAGAGAGGATGGGCTTTGCCAGATATTTGATAAATCAAACCAATCGAATCCCATTTTTATGAAATCTTTTAGAAGGTATTAACTCACCCTTTATTAACACCTCCGTAAATTTTTTACTATCATCGCCCTAACACTTTGTACACACATTTAAAGAGCATGCACCTCAAGACTCTGGCAGCCGTTTATAATACAGTATTTAGAGCTTTAATAACTAACTAGGACACTGATTTCTTTTGACTGGGGAATAAATTGACTGAACACCACGTAACACGTTTCTAGACACCACTGCCCCCTGCACACTTAACCTGTCTGCTGACAAGCATGCATGGATGGAGGTTACACACTCATACAATATGCATGGCCCAGAGCGAGGAGCGTGGGATGAGGCTTATGCACCAGTGCTCCCTGCGCTCGGTGTGACAGATGAAGACTGAGGTTCACACCAGCACTCGTGTTATGGACAAAGAAACAACAGTGTAAGGTTTAATAAGAGCTGTGAGGGTGTGAGGAAGGGTGCTCCGTGTTTACACAGAGGGGAAAAGGTGGAGGGTTTTTCATTATTTTCAAGTGGTGACTTTAAGTTGGTCACTGTGGTGTCTCGTTCACTTTAATACTCAATCTAAATTCCACGGGGTGAACCTCATAATCATAGATAATGCGTATTTCTCAGCTGATACAGTAAAAATCCAGTTTTCCATGTCATGTCCCAGTCTTTGTGCGTGCTTATCAGAAACTTTCTTTAAGATCCATCCATTTTCTAACGCTTATTCCCATTCCCGGGGACACCCTGGACAAGTCGCCAGTTCATCGCAGGGCTAACATATAGAGACAAACAACCATCCACACTCACATTCACACCTATGGGCAATTTGGAAGTGGCCAATTAACCTAACCCCACTTAGGCATGTTTTTTGGGATGTGGGAGGAAACCAGAGTACCCGGAGTAAACCCACGCAGACACAGGGAGAACATGCAAACTCCACACAGAGACGCCCTGACCCGGATTCGAACCCAGGACCTTCTTGCTGTGAGGCGACAGTGCTAACCACTACACCACTGTGCCGCTCGTCTTTAAGACCCACTCCATTGAAAATCCTGTTTTTCTTGTTGTCTACATGTTCATAAGGCATTTTTCTGATGCTACAGGACATATCATGAGAAAACTAAACGTGAAACTGCTTTTCTGAGTATTTCTTCGTTCAAATCGCTGTGAATCTCTGGCAGACCAAAATGGCAGGTTCGGAAACAGTGAGATTTCAAATGTAACCACTCCAAGCTCCGCCCCCGGAGCCCCGCTATGCAAGCCTGTCTTGCCTAAAGACATTAGTGTCCAAGAGCTGAGTAGCTCCTATGTTACTTGCTACCTCTGCTACACAGGTCATGTTTGGCTGCAAGCTAACCTGAAGACGAGTGTGAAGAGCAGTGCTGTCTCCGCCCACGACTCAGAGGTGAATTGCTAATGAGCTACTGGAGCTCTGCAGAAGAAACGCCCTTGAATATGACACAGGTGACATGATTTTTGGTAAAAAGTGTTGACCACTGACAACACTTTAATAGGAAAAAAACAAAAACAATCTGAGTGGGACTTTAAATGCAACAACCCAGGTCAAAAAACATGGATGTCCGCAGCTCAGTTTAAAGTCCAGGTTGAGGGAAAATATAGTGTCTGGAGGTTGTCACAACAAAATTGTTTTCTTACTGACCTCCCAGCCAAAACTGAATGTTTAAAAAACTCTGATTGTATAAGAATTCAGGTTCCAAAAGCATGAAAAATGGAGCATTACACTCTGCTCTCACTGGGGACATGTAGGTGGGCTGAGTGCACAGAGGCGTTGCCCTCCAGGTCCTCTCAAATGTCAATCATCTCGACAGAGTGGCCTGAAAGATAGATGATGGACTAGTTGACTGCTTGCTGATTTTCCACTCAATTCTGTCTGAGTCTGATAAGAATCTTATTTTTCACTCCATGTTTTGATGTCTTGTGCTTCCTGTTTTATTTTGTGATCACTCACTGTTGTCTCTGTTTTGGTTCGTGTCTGCTCTGCCCCCTTCCTGGTCCCTGATTGTGTCTTATCACACCCCATTACCTTATGTAAATAATCCTCCCTGTGTCACAGTCTTGTTGCCAGTTCATCGCTGATGTTCAGGCATTCTTTCATAGTCATAGTTGAATTTTGATCCCTGTCTGATCCCCTACCTTGATTTTAGTCTCATGTTTTGGATACTTCTGCCTTCTCTGACTGCCTTTTTGTTTACTGAACTCTGCCTGCCAATAAACCTTGCTCCTGGATTGTGGAACCTACTCTGTGTCGTGTATTTGAGTCTTCCCTGTTCTGCTGCCTCTTCTTGACAAATCCTGAGGAGTAAAAAACACTTCAATCTTGATGGATAAATCCGTACCATTGTTTTCCAGCCTGCGGCCTCTTTTAATCATATCCTGTCAGATACAGTGCAATGCATCACAGAAAAAAGAAAATTAACTAACTTTAACACGTCACAGTTTTTCTTTTGGTTATGTGTCCCATTGGAGTGGCACTCTGGGCATGTCGTCTAGAAACACAGCATCAGCCTGTTGGTAGGGCTGGGCGATAAACCGAAAATTTAGCGATACCGAAATTTACAATAACTGACATCATTTTGCCCATGTTAGTATATTTGGTGTCAAAAAAAAAAATAAATAAAAGTTGGTTTTGGATGTGTGTAGGTAGGCTGTGGTCACATGTCACTTTAAGATGCTGTCCTATGTCAGAGACATGACTCCACCCCATCAAGTCCATAACAAAGAGGGAAAGACAGGTGAGGAGAAGGAGGACGGTTCAAAAGTTGTAGCGGCTGAAGTAGACAAAGTTAATGTGGGAGGGGGTGAACAGCTTGTGGAGTAGTCATCATCCATTTATCGTTATCGAGGTGAACTGTTCAATATATATTGTATTGTTTGAGGCCATATCACTCAGCCCTACCTGTTGGGGTGTGGATGTGAGTGGTGGTGGATAGTTATCAGTCACTTGATTGGCTATAGCCGCACTACCAAATCTTATTGTGTGACACTTTTGCTGAGCAAAGGTAGTCTGTTGAGCACTTATGGAGTGCTAGTGTCCCAGTACCAGAGGTCCTCTAAAGTAGGGATGTATTAGGGCTGGGCGATATGGCCTCGAATCAACACCACAATATATTGAGCAGTTCACCTTGATAATGATAAATGGACGATAACTACTCAACAAGCTGCTCACCCCCTCCCACATTAACTTCGTCTACTTCTACAACTTTTGAACCGTTCTCCATCTCCTCATCTGTCTTTCCCTCTTTGTTATGGACTGGATGGACTGATGTCACGTCTCTGACTTAGGACAGCGTCTTAAAGGGACATGAGACCATAACCTACCTACACACATCCAAAACCAACTTTTATTTATATATTTATTCAGTTATTGTTGTAAATTTCTGTATCTGTAAATTTTTTTCCCAGCCCTAGAACGTATGTTTATTTTCACTTTTCCAACTTCAATCAAAAGCTGCCCTTATCAAGTCTTGACCTGGATAACTTACAATATCTACTGTCTTTCCAATTGTAAAGTAGAAGGAGCAGTTAGATGATTACATTCTCAGATACACTAAATGTGTATGACTCAGAGACTGTAACACAGCAAAGTGACACAGAGCAAAGTTTTCAGCCTCCCACCTTTAGTATGACACCAGAGGAAAATGTCAACCAAGTGGATCGAGTCACCTTGATTCATTGTGTTTCATTTCGCCAACAATGAATCCTCAAGGAGTCCTGGGGATTACACTGACACAACCAGGAGAAGTTTTTTTTGGGACTTTGCAGAATTCATATTCTGATATCCGTGCTGCAGATATTCAGGTTTGCAAGTCCTATTAAAAATGACTGCTTTTGGGATAGCTTCAAACATCAGTCATACTTGTCTAACCAGCTGCAGGAGCCAATTTGGCAAACTTGGAATGAGCCTTTGAGGGGTTTAATTATGTTGCAATCAACATCTTTGCCTAATCTGTAATCTCAGTTTCAAGCTGACTAATTGCCAACAACAGCATTTACGAGTCTCTTATGCCTTCTGTCCTGCTGGCTGCAAGCTGACTGATCATCGGTGAATGCTATCTCCTCCACTCCTCTTCCTCCTCCTCCTCTCCCACACTCACTTCACAAGAGCATCTCCCAGAAATACATCGGGTACAGTTACGGTTTATTCAGCACTCGTTATTTTTGCAACAATAACATGAATCTAAGAGAGCACATCAATCTTACTTTCAATTCTAGTACGGAAACTGCAACAGTGTTTGAATCCTGTTCCTTAAATCCTTAATAATAAATGTGTACATTTTTAACTATAAAAGCACTCGGTGAGCGCAGACCTCCGCCAAGCAGCTCATGTCCCCCTTATATTGTGATTCACCCCAAAACTTTTACTGTTACGTGTCTTTTATTAACGTTTATTTGTGTTTAAACTGGTATGTTCACTATTCAAAATGTTCCTAAAACAAGAAATGCCCTGACCGGGATTCAAACCCAGGACCTTCTGATTGTGAGGCAACAGTGCTAACCACTACACCACTGTGCCGCCCAGCTGTACCACTGTGCCGCCTATCTACAGCACTGTGCCGACCATTGGTTATCTTTCAGCATTGAAAATTCCAACGACACCCTTATTTTTGCGTGTTCTGGATCACAGTATCCAGAATTTTGTCCGGATCAGCACCAAAATTTAATGGGATCCTCTTGGGGCTGACACGCACCTCTGGTGACAATTTCAGGTCAATCCGTTTGTTACTTTCTCCGTAAAGTTCAGGTCAATCCGTCTGTTACTTTCTCCGTAAACCAACGCTACCGAAAACATAACCTCCTTGGCGGAGGTAACTAATGTATTGATCCAAATCCAACATAACGGTAGCTACTGTAGGTAGTCGAATACCGACACTAGCTGGTATCTTATTGTAGCCAATGGGATTTCAAATATGTTATCTTTTAAAATTAGGTCTTTACAGTGTAAAGTCAATATAGTCCTTAGTTGCTCATTATTGAAGAAGTAGTATCATACTATTTATGGCCTGTTAACATTACCTTTGCTTTTAAAGCTTTAAAGCCTGCAGCATAATATTGACAATGGTTGCTGTGTGATTATGGTGAGTTCAGAGAGCTTGAAGAGCAAATATTCAAAGAGAAATCTATATGATACATGAGTCTTCATTGTCATATAGTGTTTGTAGGATCAAAGTCTCTGGTGTTAATGCTGACTTTACTGGTCCCCTACTGTGACGGCTGTATTTTTTTTCTACATTAAAGATGGTGGAGTTTCATAAAGAGACGCAGTTCAAGTTGATGCCATCAGGCCCTTAATGGTCTCATTATTCTCTCTTTCTCCCTCTTTTCACAGAGATGTGAAAGTGCCATGCTTCTTTATCTTCAAAGCAATTACTTTTTGAACGACTCCCAAGTCATTGTGTTCTCTCATCTCCTACAGGGATGTTTCGAGCTATATTTCTCCCACAGCCATGTATTTCAAAGTACCGAGAATCAATACTACTCGTATTTTACACTGATCTCACCAAAGATTATGGCTGCTGCTTCACTGGGCATCCAATTCAATTACAATAATAGGTCTGAAATAGAAAAAAATGGGAATATAATGATGGGACGTGGCTTTTGAATAACCCTGGCTCTGATTTCAAGCATGACACCCATACAAAGGATATAGCGTTAGTTCAAGTCAAAAAGTCAAGACTAGCCTTCTGTACATCAGCTGATTGTACTACTGGTCCAACCCAGCTGACAGCTTAGGTAATTACCCTCCAAGCATCCAACTGGCAAATGTCATATGGGCTTTCCACTTAAACTGCATCAATCTGCCAACTCTTCCTAATGCAAACTGCCTAGCAACCCGCCACATGTATTGTTACAGATGCCTGCTCTAGGATCTTTGCTGCTGCTCTCCCTGCATTGGTTTTTCATGTATGCATATGACACAGAGGGCAGATGTGCTCTCCCCGCCTTCCATGTAAGCATATGGAAGGGCTTGTAGCTCTTAAAAACAGTTATCACTTATCATTATTATCAAAAGTTATAGTCTTTATTGCAAGTGCTGATATCTTTTTGTTTTCGTAACAATCTTGAGATACCACTCAATAGACTTTTGGTCACAGGAGTTAATTCAACATTGACTTTGGCAGAGATTCTTTGTGGGTAATACGTTGTGTTTATGGGGTGTCAAGTACAGTGGCCCTGAAATAATAATAATAATGCATCAGATTTCATATAGCGCTTTATCAGAGACCCTCAAAGCACTTTACATTGGATACATCATTCATTCGCTCACACAGTCACACTTTGGTGGTGGTAAACTACCTTAGTAGTCACAGCTGCCCTGGGGCAGACTGACGGAAACGTGGCTGCCATTTTGGGCCTACGGCCTCTCCGACCAACACCACACAACACTCACAATCATACACCAGTGGAGGACACACACTGGGAGCAAGGTGGGTTAAGTGTCATGCCCAAGGACACAACGGACTGACTTGGGATAGGGGGGGAATCGAACTGCCAACCTTCCGGTTATTGGACGACCACTCTACCTCCTGAGCTACTGCCGCTAAAGGTCAATGGCACAAGTTTTCCTGGAGGGCACATTTCATACAACAAAATTAATTCAATGGGAAAATATTTCATTAAGAAACTGAAAGCATTTTACAAAAAACAAAGTTTCACATAGACACAAAATATGTTTAAGAAAACACAAGCAAATTTTGAAAATATGAAAATTTTTGGGAACTCAAATAATTTTTGAAAAAATAAAAACATTTGAAAAAAGACAAACATTTTGGAAAAAAAAAAAAGACACATTTTTCAGGGAGTTAAATATTTTCGGTTAAAGGAATACCATTTTGTTTTTTCGAAATTAATTTTCATTTTCAAAACATTCTTGTTTTTATATTTTTTTGTGTTCCCAAACCTTTACATGGTTTAGAATTTATTTGTGGTATCTAAGATATCTCTTGTGTTCATGTGAAACATTTTCTACGTTTTGGAAAATGTTTTGGTGTTTTATGAAATATTTATATATTGCTTTCCTGACATATTTGTGCCATTGATCTTGAGGGCCACCGTAGCTTCAGTAACACAAAACATCTCCAACAATTTCCCAACAAAGTAATCCTGAAATATCAACATTCGTCATTTTTTTGCTCTTTAAGTTTGCATTGCTAAATGTCACAATGGAAACATTATCACTTAGAGAAATTCTGAAACTTTCAGATAAAGATTTCCTATCTGGTTTTAGTCATGGTCATTTATAACCTTGATGGCTTGTTTCCCAAACTCCCATTTTTGTCCAAAGGTCTCATTCCAAGGTCATGTTGATTGAGGCCAAATTGGGGCTGAAATATGACTCCAATTGATGTCTAACTTTACGTCACGTCTGTCAAATATCTCATCACAAAAGGTAAATTTTAATAGGAGTTCAGTGTTGTTGGCTGAGGTTCTTGGCAATATTGGCACCTTCCACCTTGTTCTAGATAAACACAACTGCTGTCTACAAGTGTGTGCTATCTTAGGGCTTCAGATACACTATCAGCACAGAAGTTGGATTATACTGTAGCCAAGGTGTTTATACAAACAGTGCATTAGAAATCACATGTATGTTGATATCGATAGTTGTAAAATAAGCTATGATAATTCCCATTTTACCTGAGCATATGATTCGAATGTATCCATTGAAATATTGAGTGAAAACTATAAAAACCTGATATAATATAAAGTATAACATCGAGTCGCCATATTGCGTACCATTCCAGCCTCTCTGTGTACCTGCTTCCATCTAACACACACATCTCTATTTCAGCAGAGTTCCTGTCACTTCGCCGCCATGTGTCTGGCAAAAACAACAAAACCCATTTGACATTTACAATCCAGCTCTGGCACTGTGTAGATAGAAGTCTTTTTGACATCTTGTCAGCAATAACAAGTACACAAAACAGGGGCACACCTGCAGACATACAAAACAGAGACAAAAAACTCAGTGCCAACAAACAATGCAACACCTGGCTGAGACAAACACGAAGAAAAAGACATTTCTATACAACAAACAAAAGGTATTGTATTTCATTTAAGTTAATGAAAAAGTTTAAAACTAAAGAATAATGTGTTGAGGGAAGTTTTTGGGGTATTTGTGCAGAAAGGAAAAGTATAATTAAGAGATAAGAGAATAAGACAAAACGGGAGATTTGGAGACAAGCTATCCAGGCGAGGGAGAAGATGGGGTAGCCTGACATTCAGCCATCATGAAATGCAAAATACAGCAGATTTTCCAGAGCATTAGTCCGCTTCTAATGGAGGGGAAGACAGCGAGGTGATTTGACATTATTTTTGAGGGTTGAGTGGATTTTTTGAGAGGTGCAGCAGACGGGTACTCTTGGTGTACCAGCCCACAGCAAAACACTCCCGCTTTATTCATGCTGAGGTGTCTGCTGCTGTTCCACTGCATGTCACCAAACCAGCCTATTCAGATAATAGTGTCTAGGCCTGCATTCACAAAAACACTTAAAAGTCCAAAACACCCCAAGTGAAAATCTTTCCTGACAGATCCTGTTTGAAATGAGGACAATTCTCCCAGAGTAAGACGTTAAAATTAATTCTACGCCGATGTTATGCTTGAGCTGGGGAAATAAAACAGTTTCCATATACAAGATGTTTCATTTTTGATAAGCAAAAGTGAGCAAAGGGGCTGTGAAAGCGGGGAAGTAGTTGAAGAAGTAGACTTTAAACTTTAAAGTGTATAAGGCAGGTATTTGAGACTTGCCTGTGGGTTCAACTTTACCTTTCAATCTGTAATTTTCAAAAATCTCAGAAGAAGGAAAAACTTTTCACTCCTCTGAAAATCAACTGGAAGGAAGTGAAAAACACTTGGCAGCCAATTAGTTTTGAGCAGATGTCGACAGTGCTCCAGAGGCATTTGCAGCATTTTTAAGTCAATTTTCTTCATATCCCGGGTTAGTCTGCGATTTAAGCTGAGACATCAACAAGTCTGAAGAGGTGCTGTTGTAAAGCCCCAGACTAGGGATGCAGCGATTAACCCATAGTACTATTAACCGCGATTTAAAACGTCACGGTTAATTAATCCCACAGGCTCCGCAACACCGAATGTTTGTTATCACTCGCAAAAAACGGATGACATGCTATTTTGGCGCAACCTGCTCGAAAGGAAAACAAAGTTACACCAGCGATGCACCTGCTTTTAGTGCCGTGCTGTCATATGATCGGGAGACACGTGACTACTCTGCTGGAAACAACGCAAGAAGAAGAAGAAGAACGCGGCTACGCTAAATGAGCTAATGATGGCAGAAGCACCCGGGAGCGACGCTCTCTTTCCGCCGAAAAAAAAAGTAAAGTCGGGAGTTTGGGAGCATTTTGGTTATCTTAAAAATGACCAGGGGGTCCTTCAGGACGACGGAGCACCAATTTGTAAAGCCTGCCGCAAAAAAGTTGCGGCTAAGGGATCGAATACATCAAATTTAATGCAGCATTTGCGGGATCATCACCCGACTTCACACACTGAAGTAAAGGTAACACACAATGACCGAGTAAAATTACGTTTAGAACAAGTTACCTAAGGAAACATTGAGTTGGTAGGGAGTCAAGTATAAACGTGTCACATACAATCAGTGGCGTAGCAGTGAGAGTTGAGCTCTAAATTCAATGTAAACAAACAGCCGCAAAGCGGCATGTTTTACCTGACTCCGGCACCATCTGGCGGAGTCAATGAAGTTTTCTTCTTCCCATCTTGGGATCTAATTAATTGCATTTCAGTTATTATTAACACGGCATAAGAGATGTTTTACTTCATTTAATACTTTATTTATAAATACTTTATTTCAAACATTTATAAATAACTTAAATCATTACTGCAAATCCAAAGTTCATGGCATGTTTATTTATTTTAATTTTTCTTATTCACTTTTAGCTTAAGACTACCTCTAGTTCTGCACTTCAACAACCTACTGTGGCGGCATCCTTTTCAAAGTCTGTGACCTATGCTCCCTCTTCAAAACAAGCCCAGGATTTGAATGAAGCTGTGGCCTATTTCATCTCCAAAGACATGATGCCATTTCAGATTGTGGAAAAACCTGGATTTCTCCATCTAATGAAAAAGACAGTGCCACAATTTCGAAAGTAGCCAAAAAGTATCTGTGTATTCCTGCAACACGTGTGCCTTCAGAAAGGGTGTTCAGTGCAAGTGGCCATATCCTGTCTCCTCAGCGGTCAAGACTGAGCGCCGACAATGTGAACATGCTCACATTTTTGCACTATAATTTGAACTGAAAGGACTTGAAATAAATGTGCTGTTTGTGAAAAGGGCCCTGATGTAGATGGGTTCTGTAGCCTTTGAGTACTTGTTCTGTTAAAAAGGCAAAAAGGCTTGCATTTTATTCCAAAGATATGGACCTTGTTTCTTTTTATTTTCACTATTAGAGTATTATTGTTTCAAAAGGCAGCTGTACAGCTTTCACCATGTTTGCAAGTTCTCTACTCAGGTCAATAAATGCAGAAAAAATAACAAACTGAAAATACGAAATAATTTTGTAATATAGTTGATCAATCACTCCATATGTATTATTCTAAAGGGAAAACAGATGTTTACGGAGCAGTTTTGTTCTAAAGGGAAACACATAGCTAATATGTAGCTTCTATTTGATTCCAAAAAGACAAAGACACTGTTTATTTGCTACTCTCCCTTTCAAAGGAGAGTTAGATTTTTTTGTTTATCTTTATTTATTATTTTGTACTGTGGTGTTTGATTACTGTTTTCTGCCAATAAATAGCAAATTAAGAACACTCAAGAATGTTCATGTAATTTTATAAAGTAGTATTAGTAGTGTTGTGAAATTTATGTATAATAATCGTGATAATCGTGAAACCGGGATTATTTCTCATACTATAATCCTACAGTGAAAATCTATAATCGTTGCATCCCTACCCCAGACAGATATTTTTGTGGGAGAAAATGGGAAAGAGAGAGAGGGTAGAGAGATAGATAGGGAGGGAGAGTGTAAAATAAAAATTGAAGAAGAGGAGAGGAAAACCTCTTCAACTCGTCTTCTCCAAGAGAGTAGAGATAACACAACCTCTTTTCTTTTTTAAGGAACAACAGAAAAGAAAGCTGTAAATAAGAGTTTTTGTTGTGAGGTGTTTCTCATCTCTGACAACTGTATAGATGAGCTGAAAGGAAGTCTGTGGGAACAGTATGGCGCAGAGAGAAGCTGGCTGTGGAGGTTGAGTGGGCTCTAATTGGCTTTCTTTCATTTTCTACCTATTGTGACAGGATGGCTGGTTGACTGTAGGAGATCTCCCTCTACTTTTGTGAGCACCAAACAGCGTGTATTCGTGCGCACAACGTTTGAAGATCAAAAGAGGAAAAACATGAAAAAGAAAAAAAATATTTCAGGAGGTGATATCACATAAGAGAACTTTATAAAGAGTTTATTTGGGTTGTAATGATGATTTCTGTCATACGACTTTTTGCATCCTAGATGTTTGATCAAGCATCACTTTCAATTTTGCATAAAAATACACAGAGACAGTCTTACAAAAACAAGTATGCAAGTCCACCACCTGTACGAGTAACAGTGCATAAGAAACTAGTAGAAACATTGAAAGCAGTAGAATGTCTAACTGCAGGGGAGAGTGGGGTAAGTTGAGCCACCCTCTGTTGCTTGGAAATGGTAAAAGACATTGATCACGTGACCAAATATTTAGGAGATGGGCATCAATTCATGGAGTCTGTGAAGGTTAGAAGCACATGGGTGAAGAGGTTAGACATTTATTTACAAAAAAAAAACATTTTTCACTGTTGAAAGTGAATTTAGTCTGTCATTAGTTTGATTAGAATTGTGTTCAGACCAAAAAAGATCATTTTAAATTTGTTTTATACATCAATTGTGGTATCTATGAGCAACAACATCAGGTCAAAAACCTAGAATAAAAGTCCATCATTTTAACTTAGAGGACTAATTAAGTCATCATAGTAGTTCTGGGGTAAATTGAGCCAAAGGAGTCTGATGAGAGGATCAGAGTTTCAGTTCAGATTGTTGAAATGTTTCACTTTTTCTTTTCAAAAATACAGCTGTGAATGTTCTGAATTACTTAAAGGTATTCTCATGTAAAAATGACTTTTTACAAAACAGCTTTTTAGCAGTTATATGCAATAATAATAAAAAAAAATTACTATACCACAAAGAAGTGACTGTTATTTAGGGAGAGAGAGGGGGAGAAAGGGCTGGGGAGGAAGTCGGGTGGAGAGTGGGGGGGTCGTAGGGATACGGCTCAACTTACCCCACTCATATGATCAACTCACCCCATACACGGGGTAAACTGATCATAGGAGACCACTTTGTTTATTATCAAGACAGTTCTGTTTACACTCATTCTGTTGGTTTGCAGGGATGCACAACATCTAGAAATATATGCAGATACACTAGTGAGAGACAAAACTATGATTGCCTTGATGTAGTGATCCGAAATATGAAAAATGCCTCATCTTACCCCACTCTCTCCTATATGATCTATAACAGTATTTAGCAGTAGACAGAGTGATGCAGCATTAAACGCTGATTTGACGTCACGACACATAAAAAGAAATTTTAGCTTGAGCTTAAATTTTACGCCAGCGTGTCTGTGCGTTTCGACCACATGTGTAAGGAATTTTCGTCATTCTGTCATTAACAGCTCAGGGGTTTTATGATTAAACGCTAAATTTAGCTACGCATTAACACCATGAACTTCCACATTATGACTCATCGCCATGTTAAATTGCTTATCTTAGCACTTATGGATGTATAGTGCAGGTCTTTTCTACCTCAGTGTCTAAGAAGGATGTAATACTGGCTGAAAGGAACATGAAAAGCCTGATAAGGAATACACCGAGTCGACACAGAGCTTCTGCAAATATCACATGACATTTGTTGATATTGTGGGCCCAGTGCTCTACTTTAAAAAAACACACACACACACATGCACACATAAATCCACGTAGGCGGCCATGTCACACACACCGGCGATGGTAACCATGACGATTTAGCTGCTTCAGCTTCATCATCACCCACACTCTCTCCATCTCCTTCTCTCCATCTCACCCTGCTCTTATGCTGTGATTCGTTTATTGCCTGTCAGCTTTCCCAGGTCTCTGCGGAGGAAGAAACTAGGCTACCGAAAAACCTCCTTTTTGCTTTCTTTTATTGACAAAATAATTGCTATCTTTTCTTCTTCTTCTCATTCTCTCACGATTCTCATCCCCGTTGTGCTCTGCATAAGGTTTCCTCCATGTTTTGACATATGACCTGGTTCATTTTCTCCTCTCCTCTGCTTTCCCCCTCTGTCCTATCTCGTCTCCTGTTATTTGTCTCCAGTTTCTGCCTCTTGGTCCTTATCTTCCCTACTGTTCCTAAGCCTCTCTGCATCTCCTCTCTTCTCCTTCCCACCCCAGATTTGATTCTCTTGCTGTGCTTATAGTCACGCAGAAACAGAGGGATCCTGGATGAGTGTGTGGAGAAACCTTGCAGCTAATCCAGCAGAGTTAGAGCACGAGTGTATGGCTGGATTAGAGCATGTCTTACAGGCTATCTCAGAGGGAGTGGATAGCCGGTCAGGCGTATCGACGTGGGGCTACATAGCCTGCTGTCTTCATCTCTCAATCGTCTCGCCAGTATGATTGGCAGAGGCTGGGTAAAGCTGTGATTATCCTCTATTATCCCTGCCCTTTGTCACTGTTCAGTTCATGAGCACAGCTGCTGACGTGCACATCTGTCGGTCTGCTAACACAAACACACACATGAACACACTAGATGGCAGACAAACAATTGATTAGGATCAAATGAAAACCGATTACACCCTCAAATAAAGCGGTGGGCAATTAATTTTTACATGCGGAACCCTGAACTGTGTTGGAGGGCCGAACCAACAAAAACTTCAACTTCAAATCAGGGGGGTTCACATACAGAAAAGCAAGCCCAAATACGCAACTACTAGTTAAAAACAAGCCCCCAAAAATGACTTCTGAGAGAAACAAGCTTAAATTCTTTTATAATAAGCAAAATTGACAACTATAAGGCATCTATGAATATTTTGCCGATGTTTAAACTTGTCTCTGTTCACGAATGCAGATCTAGGATGTACGCTCAAATGTATGCATCCAAACTGAAATAAAACAACGGCTATGTTTTCAAAATAAAAGCGACACACTTTCATAGCATGTTGATGATTTGATTGACAGACCTCACCAAGGGCCGGGGCAGGGACATCCAAAGGGCCGGATTTGGCCCTTGGGCCGTAAATTGCCCAGGTCTGCTCAAATGTGTCTTTTTTTAAGGTGAGCCTTTTACATAGAGTTTATATGAAACAGTTTCAATTGGTTAAAGCTCTCTTCGTATGACCTGCAATAGCAAATCAGACCTTTAGTGAGAAAACTGACTCTCTCTATAAAGCCATACGAAGCCCCTGTGTCACTGTTCAAGATCCAGACATTGTTTTTAGCACACAGATGACAAGAATGTCGATTTTCTATCAACCCATGAGGCAAAGTTTGAAAGTGAGGAGGAAGACACTTTTCTCAGAGGTTACTATAAACTCTCATAGTGAGCAGCATCAGGGTCAAAAGGCAGAGAACTGACAGAAGGGAAGAAAGTAAAACTAACTGAGTCAGCATAGGTTGGAAACTCATCCTGAATATGCCCACTTCTTAGAGTGTTGTGAAATATGTCTGTAGTATTTTATCATCTCAATGGCTTTGTATAGTCTGTAGAGGACGTGTTTTATGTCCCCTTCAAAAAGCTGCCTGGTAAAGAAACACTGTTATTATATAGCTGTGAAGTCTAGGGCCAAAAGTGACTCTGGATACTGAACTTAAAACACTGAGGGCAGAAATACTCAGAGAAATCTCTGGATAAACAGGAAGGTAGGTGCAGCATTTAAAGTTAATTATAGTAAACAAAAATCATCCAAGAAGACCAAGGCCCCTTCAGGAAGGTCTAATCTTCACTTCGCCAATTTTTTTTCTATAATGAGATGGTCATATTGCAGTACATTGCTTCATAAGTAAAACTACAACATGTCCTCAGTTGATGTCATTAAGAGGCTGGGACTCCAACTTCTGTATACTCCAAAAAAGTCCAGTAAATCTCAATAAATAAACCCAGGTCCCCGCCCTCAACACTCCAGGAGCAAAGGAGGTTTCTCTGCAGAGCTCCTCTTTATATCCCTCTCTCCATATTGGGGTGGTGATGCTCCAAAGTGACTAATTTCTAACCCTATCCCTAACCCTAACCTTCTTAAATCCAATCCAATCCAATCCAATCCGCTTTAACTATACAGCACATTTTAAAAAACATTCAAGTCTATCAAAGTGCTGCACAATACAAATAAAAGGACAGACTATGCTGAAAACATCAAGATGAAATAAATAAAAGCAGGTAAATAACAAATAAAAATACAAATGCAAAAGAAAAAAAAGTGATAAAACGACTATAAAAGACAAAAAAGGACAGAGATCACACAACTCTCACGCTGAGCTAAAAAAAATGAGTTTTAAGACGTATTTAAAAGTAGAAAGAGTGGGAGATGTTTTTTAATTTCGAGTGGCAATTCATTTCACAATTTGGGAGCCACAGCTGAGAAAGTGAGTTTTTGGTACCACTAGTTGGAGCTGAGTGAAGATTTATATTCCAAATATCAGTCGTCTTAAGGTAAATGAATACATATAAACAATCAAAGTGAAGTATGACTTATTTAGCCTAGCTAAACTCAGGGTGGCAGGATTCTGCGGGTAAGCTGTACAAACAGAGAATAGCTAATGGTAACAGAGCTAGCACTACCAGCCATCAAACCCTGTAGGTTAACATTCACATGTTGAATTCACCCATCACGACCTGCACAGAACTTTATCTCCCTTTTAATCAAAACACTACCAAACCATGCTAAGCTAGGAGGTGTTATCTGTTGTAAGTGCTCGTTTACATCCAGATAGTGGGGCATGACAGCAGAAATATCTAGCTTGAGCTGGATGCATGGTTATGCAGTTCAGTCACAGTTTACGACCTGCATTCGGAGCCTACATTAGTTAAAAATTTTAATGACTTGTGTAACTAACCTGTTCTCCAGAGCCCACCAGTGAGAGAAATGATATTTGATTGATTAGCTAACTAAACAAGCACGAAATGTGATTTCCTAGCTCATCCATATATCTCCAAGGACAAAGTTTTTAGTGCATAACTTTTCCTCAATACTACTCATTTATGCAAAGAATTTATAGGAAATAGATAGATGATAAGGACAAAACGATAATATCTCGATATTTCGGTGATAACAGTGATTAATAATATTGAGCATGCTTTGAAAAGTGTAAATCACAAACAAAAAACATGTTTCGGTAAAAGCCTTGTATTACACTGTCTTGTGAATATTAGATTTTGGTAATGATATTGTTGTTATTGAACGGCTTATTGTGGAAAAACAGGCCCATGTTGTTAAAAAATACAAATTATCCTATATATTTTATTTACTTTATACTCTGCCATCTAATAAACATAGTATATAGTATATAATCATTAGTAGAAGTAGTAGTCGTAGGTTAGACTCAATGTATATGTGCCTACTGAGTATATTTTAGCATAGTTTGAGGTGAATAACCACTGCTTTGAACACAGAGTATACCAGTCATTTAATGTGATTAACAAAGGGTGTTTTTTTTAGACACCACAGCCTGAGAACTAATCAACATAATGCTGCTGGCATTTGATGATGCAGACACAACACTTCCAGGAGAGGTGGGCAAATTTCAGTCTAGACAGATGTACTATTTCGAAGTAAGCAGCACTCTCACAGACTGAGAAATGAAGTCACAGTGGAAGTACAAAAAAAGACAAAAAAGGTCTAATTTCCTTGATGGTCCACTTTGAGGCCAAGCCCCATTAGAGTTCATTTCGACAAGCGAAGTCAACATCTAAAATTAACTAATTAAATAAGTTTTCTATTATTTTGTGCACCCCTTTTATACTCTAACTTATGTCTCATTTAGTCTTCAAACTTAGTTTTTGCTTGAACTCTTATTTTGGCCACTTCATCTATATTTGCAAATAAAAGCAGTCTGTCTGTTGCATGTGTTTAGCTGAAAATCGCATCTGTTCTTTTAGAGCAGGAAAGTGAAAGGAGGATCCTTCCCTCATCAAGATCATCCCACTGGAATAATATAAAACAAAATCTGCTTTGACTTTGATACTCACACGCATTCAACTTTAATAAAAGTAATTGCAATGTCTAGCCTTTAAAACCACAAAAATATCAAAAATTTCAGTTTTGGGAAAAGTTTTCAAGACAGCTGATCTCTTCATAGCACGCTGTTCGGGACAGAGACCAAAAAAAGGGTTTGAGAACAACACAAAGATCTTTACTCGGCTCTACATTTCCTTCCAATCCTCTTCTGTCTGTCATGTGTGACTCCATTATTCATGAACGATTGTCTGAGGCTTAACAGAATGCAAACTTCTGCCCAATTTGCATGTGGGCATCGGACTGAATGTTAGTGTGCATGTGCATGATAAAAGAAAAAAGGACTTCTGTCAACTGCAAGTACATCGCAAATGTGAAAAGGGGATGATTGAATAACTATGTTGAACTGTTTCTCATGTTTTATGATCTTTACAAAATTCCCCCATCGGCCTTACATTATGTCAGAATAAGGGAGAGTGTGATTGTGCGATTGTGCATCTGTGCGTTGGTGTGTCTTTTATGTCAATTACCAAGATGACAACTCTGATTACACTAACAATAGAAGGTAAATATAGAATAGGGAGGCGGGTGATCAAGTGGATGAAAGGGAATTTTCTGATCAACATTAACATAACAATAGCATGATTGAAGCAGGAAGGCTCACCTACAGCCTCTCACCACTTATGTATCGAGACCTTCAGTACATAAGCAAGACCTACAGGAAGAAACTGCAAAAGCAAAAGTGTTTATAGCAAAGAGAGAGACGATGCTGGAGTGAGACATTTCCACATTTCTTCTAAAGGGCTAATCAGGAGGATTGGGTTTTGCGATACCGCACAGCTGGAGGGTAAGCTTTGTGGAGGGGGAAGAGGTGTGTCTTAAAAGTAAAATCCGCTCAGGCTCAGGAACAGTGGATCTCTATTAGCTAAATTAGATTTAACAGAGGGTAAGAGGAGTAGAGGGAGCCAACTTTGACACACTATTACTTGTCTATTTTTGTAAACACTGATTTCCTGGATGGCACTAAAGGTTGTGGTTCATAGGAGAGAATAACCAAAAATATATGACCAAGGGAAGCTTCAGAGACATTTGCAACTTCGCATTTTACCTCAAGTATCCAGCGATTTCTCTTTAATGTGATGCTGACAGGAATGAGACTGAATATAGCTTGATCTTGTATTATGAGGGTATTGTGAGTTATTTTGTGTGTAACCAACAGTTTAAAAGTCTGTACAAATAAAAAATAAAACAAAAATGAACAGTCCCTTCAACTTAAAACAATCTTTTATTCTGCTGAAGCTGCTGTTAGCTGAAAACTGGTCATCTTTAGATTGGAACATCACATAAAAAGCGAAACCTTGGCCTTGTATAAAGATACAAGATAACTATGAAGCAGCAAGTCAAGTCACACATACTAGCTCCTGCAAATCTCTTGAACAAGGACAGCACAACTATTTACAGCAACGCAGAACTGACAGACATTGGCACGACACAGAGTGTTGAGGTATCTACAAGTCAGATGGAGAAAAGATATGATGATCCAAGCACGATGATGGAGAACAGACTAGTTATAAATAAATTACTGTGTGCAGCTCACTTTCATTTCTTTCTCTTTTCTCTTTGGGATAAACGTAACCAATGGATAATAGGACATGGAATAAAGCGATTTACTCACAATACTTTCACAATTAACACTTTCCCTCTCTATTGTTCTATTTTTTACTTTTTCGTGAGAAAAGTGAATCTTATGGTAGGTTAGACTTTCTTTTTCACAAGACACACATTTTGTAGACTCCAGATGCTAGCTGTTATGAAGAAATAAATGACAGAGTATACAGATCCAGTTATATAATAGGAAGAGGCTCTAGTGGTATTGAGAGGTCATATAATTTCACACTAATCCACAAAAAGAAGAAGACGCACAATTTAAAAAGTTACTGGAGGGAATGAAACTGATGGAGGGTAACACAGGGTAACAGGCAGCAAGTAGGTCTGCAATGACTTGTCGGCGTGATCGATTACGTTGACAACAAAAATTCGTTGACACAAAAATTTAAGTGCCAACACAATCTGTTACTGTTGTTGTAAATCACACTTCACGCTTATCTGTAACTGCAGTGGACTACAGGAAGTGCTGGGGGCAGTATCTCTCCCTGTTAACATCCCGCTGGAAAACAGAGAAGAAAATCACATGATTTACAGTGGAGCAAATGGACAAAGAGGCTCGAAAAGTCTGACCCAAAGTTTGGGAACATTTCACTGAAAATAAACCAACTCAACTCTCATTCCATGGTAGCACTACAGCGATGCACAAACACCTTAAAACCCCTGAAGCTGCTGTTTCATCACATAGCACAGAGATGAGTTCACAAATAACATTGATATGTCATATACACTTTTAAATCACATGCTCATTTGTTAATTAACCATCAGCCCATGATGAAAGTATCTATTACATTTGTGTTGTATGTCTTTGAGTCGGAAAATCATGGAGGAAGCTTGGTTAGAGAACCCCAGTTCACTTACATTAATGTGTACTTTACAGTGAATTACAGGCGCAGCTGCTTTAACATACTAATGCTAGGTTCCAGTTGTACTCGGAAGTCAGAATTTCTAAGCTCCGATTCGGTTATTCATCTGGAACGGCCCCCTGAAGTTGGATCTCTGACTTGGAAAGTTGGACGATGGTGTTTGTACGAGTAAAATACTGTGTTATCCGTTGTTTACAACTGGTATAGCTAACAACAACTAATAACGGCTAACAACAACTGACAATCGCCAACAACAACAACTGTCAACAGCTGACAACCGCGAACAACAACTAACAATGGCTAACAACAATTGACAACCGCTAACAACAATTGACAACTGCTAACGACAGCTGTCATTTGTAAACAACAGCTAACAACGGCTAACAGTCAGCATCTATATTGTTTTTCTGACTTGTTTACTGGAACGCTGTCAACTCGGGTGACACGTCATTCCCAGCTCCGACATCCGACTTCCGAAGTAACTGGAACGCAGCATTAATTTCAGCCCCTGTTGATATTAGCGTTTATAATGGTGTGAAGATTTTTATCAACTTCAGGTTAAACAGAGGTCCAAAATAGGTGCTAACAGGGATAATCGTGATAAATCGATCAATAGGAAAAAAAATCTATATATTAGTCCACCATGAAAATAGCCGTTAGTTGCAGCCCTAGGTGCAAAAAGGATGAAAATAAACAGAAGTAAGGATTTCATGAAAAAAAATATTCCCCCCAAGGAACAATGATAAATTTATTTCTATTAGAGTAAAGAATAAAAAGTCCTTTTTTTAAATCATGGCTTTGTAAGATGTGCTGTTAATGAGAAGGATATCCACTCTGTTTTTTGCAGGCTTGCTTTACTGTTGTAACCATAACAATATCTCACAGAGGCTACACATTATTGGAGGTTAAGAGATGGAAGGAAACCTATAACTTTTCATTGCAGTTCTGTGCGTCTTCTCACTCTGACCTCTGGCCTTTAGAGGGCAAAGACAATCACCATCCTCAGCTCTCTGTATTTATTTTAACCTCCAACTTCTCTTGAATCAATTAACGCCACTCTTCAACACTTTATGCGGAGGTATGACTGAACATTAAAATATCAACACAATGCGGCCATGATGGCACCCAGCAGCTGCTTTTGTAGATACGACAGCAACAACGGCCCACTGCGGTTTAGAGGACATCAAGGGCTCTTGCTTTATAAACCCTGGCGTGACTGGATGATGCGGTCTGCCTCCATGGTTCACCTTAATCCTCATCTTTCTGCCACATGGAGCTGTGTTATAAAGGCTCTTCTGAAGGTTTAACACAGCAGCAGCAAACAAATCATAAACAGTGAGCAGTGACTTAATGGCAGCAGTGGCTCTCTGGGTCTCTCTTTTTGTTTTTGCAACATCCCGCTAAGCTTCTCATTCTTCCTTTTCTTCACATTGCATTCTCGCATTCTCACCCCTCGCTTTGCTTTCTCGTGCTCTTTGAAAGGCCAATATTTGGTAGCATTAGCGTCTCTCTTTGGAGCACAAGTATTTAGCATTATGTCTGTGACCCACATAAAAAAGGCGGTGAACTAAAGCTCTACATTCAAAATTTCATTCATCTTTAGCCTCCAAAGCTAACCCAAATGTGTGTCTTTGTGCCGTACGGTCTCACACTGTGCCAAATGCATCTAAAGCCTATCATTACTATTTGATCCTGTGCTTGGTCACAGCTTTACAGTACTGACAGATGGGTGGATTGCAGTGTTCAATCAGGCTTTCAGTCTCTACAACACAAATCCCTCCTACAGGCATGTGCGAAGAGTTCGAACCTCACCATTTTTCGTCTTTTATAAGCTAGCCTGGTGTGATAAATGGCCTTAAAGGTGGGGTAGGCAGGATCTGAGGAAGTGCCAGTTTTTTGGGAGAAATCTTGAATGTAAACACGACCCCTTCAAACCAGTTTTCTCCTTGGCTCCTCCTCTGCCCTGCCTATCTGCTCCAGCAACTATGAATATGTTGGTGTTAGATTCCTGGAACCGGGGGCCTCCAACAACCATCCTCAACAAAAAACCTTGTACACAGTTTTGACATCACTCAGGTTCCCAAAATATGTTATGCTATGGTATTCCCCTATATGGGCTCTCCATATGTTCAACTAAGGCTCGTTAAAATATGTTGTCCTTTGTTCTTACCCTACATGGACTCTTCTTCAGGTCAACTAAATGCCAGCAGAATGCTTGGAAATGTGGACGACTATATATACTTGAACAGTCTCAAACCAGTCTTTGTTACACTTGTGGCATGATGAAGCTGTAACCCAGATCTGCAATCAGTAAAGCTTGTCAAACTGACCATTTGTGACCTGGGCTGGGCATCCTTACAAGTAAAAAGCATTGGTGCTCCTGTAGATGCCAACAGACTACCAGGAAACACAATGTTTGCAGGACTTCTACAACTAGGATAAAGAAACATACTCCAGGACCCAAGGTAAACAGTTTAGCAGCGCTACAACATGTGGCAGGTCCCGTTTGATAAGAAACACTTCTGTTACAGACATTTGGCTTACTTTGTTAAAGTGGTTTACCTGTCCAGCTGAAAGGTTACAGGGTCCGTAAGATATTGTCTATTGTCTATAGCTATTAGCTATTGTCCGGATGGTCTTTCTCTTTTTAAAACGCCCGTTATTCTGCCAGAGTCTCCGGTATTTACTTCGTTTTCTTGCTTGTGTCGGCAGTCGTGGCCAAAGGAGGATTCAGATAATTTTCCGTACTTTTTGGTTGGTTTCTACTGTCTGATATTGTAGCACTTAGTTTGGGCTCGTGAACGTTATTCGTGGAGCGTGCCTCACAACCAATCAAGTTGGGGAGGTGGAGAACAACTTTGTTTACAGTCAGAATGAGCGTCCCGTTCAAAAATGTTAAAATGTTGACTATACAGGCAATAGAAAAAACAGCGATATTGTGATATTCCTAAATGTCATCAATGACTAATCGCTATTGTCTGATATTAAAAGCTTTTTTTGTATATACACCACAAAAAAAAAGATGCTTCTTTAACGGATTCCTCCCTACCCCACCTTTAATACTGAAACGTTGCCTGTACTGCATCTGCTGTTTCTTGATATGTAGTTGATGTGCTGAGAGAGCTGTGTGCTTATGTGTTTTCAGCGATTGGGATTAGCTACAGTTTTAGAGAGTCACAGAGATAGCCTGGGGCCATTCCGAGCTCTCAGATCCAAGCTCCAGTCAACACTGACTCCCACCTGCACGCTCACAAAAAATCGGAAGTGGAGGAGAAGATCTGCGCCGTCATCCACCCACACACTCACCTTCACTGATGCACTGAAACATGCAGCATATTTGTTGAGTACCACACAAGTGCCTCTACTTTACTCATCCTCTCACTTCTTTTCTCTTTGTCTCTGCCTCACATACAACTCCGCTCGTATACACTCATTGGTATTTTAAACGTGGTCAACTCTGGTGTGTCTGCTGTTCTGATCATACAGGTTTACTTCGTGAAAGCCCTCAGAGATTCTGGCTGCTTTTCCCTCACTTTGAGGCAGGCTTCTTTCTTTTCATCAGGGCCGAGAGACTTGTTGGTTTCTGTTTTGAACCAGAAAATACAAAAATTTCACCATGGCCTCTGGAGGTTATACAGTATAAAATCTGAATCATTTTCTCTTTTTTGGCCTTGGTGGATTTTCATACAATAGTCAGTTTTATCAACTGTTTTAGGCATTTAGAAATTAAAAGAAAAAAAATAAACAGTAGAAAATGAAGAAAACAAATGTACACACTCTTTTTTGTTAACAAAGTTTTTCACCTTTATCTATCCTAGAATATACGATACAATGCAATACAATACGATACTGTCACAAGCTAGGGGCATAACCTGAAATGTCAAAGTTATTTTATCTGGTTATTTCCAATCAAGACCTGCCCCTTTTTAGGCCTTAAAAAGTTGGAGAAAACATGTAAAGCTGCCCAGGAATAACAAATTACAAAGGGTAATGTACTCAGACAGACAGACTACAGACAGAAATTCCCACAAATGCCTCTGGATGACCAAATCTTCAGTCTGCATTGTTCAGAAAAGTAAAACAGAAAGGTTTTTACTTCCTTATTCTCTTAAACAACAATTCGTTTTTCAACATCTGTGTGTGTAAGTGTGTCCACCTGAGTTCTTACGTAGAAAGGGTTTCTCTCAGACAGGTTCTGCTAGTTAAGGGAAGCCTTTTATTTTTATCTCCACCGAGCTCCACCATATTACTTTTTCAATTCGGTAAAGCTTTTTTACTTCTCTTTTTCAAGGGTAGGCAGTAATTCCTGAGGGATTCCCAGGATTTTCCACCTTGTAAGCTTCATAGAGAGAGGGAATAGTGTTGGAGCCCTGGTATTTTTCCTCTAAGCGAAAGGTGTGGGTGTTACATGGGGCAACAGTGCCATCCCAAAATACCTTCTACTCATACATTTGTGTAGGTGAGCATGTACATTAGCCAGTGCTCATGACGTCATCTTGTTTCACATTTCTGTGAGATAGGTGTATATTATCCCAAATTCTCACAAAATTTATAGTAGCTGCTGATACAGAGTGTTCAGTGAGGCCTCTTTTGAAATACCCACCACTGTGTTACTTTGTGGCCTAAAATATTGTTTATATCTTTACATCTTTCCCTTATAAAGCCTCTTATCTGAGTAACATAATGACTGATAAATATGTTGTTCTGTATGCTAATATCAATAGAAAGTCCTCAGACTTTGAACAGATATGATACGATACAATACATTCAATTTCCTTCTACAGATTCAGTCACTAACCCTCTCTTGTTAGAAGAATTCATAATCAGCTATCATAGAGAGGTTAGAGTTAAAGTAAGGTTAGAATTGGGGGTTGGGGTCAGGGCATTAAGGAACTTTTGTAATTAAAGTGGGTTTTTCTAATATAATGGAGAGTATTTTGAGTTAGAGGTGTCAGCTTTGACTGCCATCAGGTCATTTCTCTAAATAACCATGACAGCAGTCATAGATAGGGAATGTAATCTGTATCAGAATTTAATTAATTACAAAGTTTGTACTCCAGTCACACAAATTAAAACTGGAAAATGATCATGAATCAGGGTAACCGTAGAGTTACCTGTAAATAAAGATCTTAACTCCACAGGTGACTTCTTAAGATCCTGCATGATGTTGGTGAAACAACTGGACTGGGAAGGTGTCTCTCATATTCTTTGAAACTATCATCATGACCAATAACCAGCTATCTTTTCAAGGGTCATGAACTTCCACCAAAGTTATTATGGATTAACTTACATTAAGGGTAAACAGTTCTCATACCAGCAACTTTAAACCAAGAGGCAAAGCTTTAGTGTGGTGATCCCATATGAGGAAAGCTTGAGATGATGGGGCAGCACTTTAAGCCTCCACTTGCCTTGAGTAGTCCCTGACAAAGTTCCTGAGCTAATATGAGTGGGCTTCAAGTATGAAGATTTAATAAATTTACTTAAAGATGATGTAAATCAAGGCAAAAACACTTTTTAGGGCACTTCATGGATTTTACACTTCATAGAGCAAATTACTCACTCTGTGAACACTGTTGTATAACATCTTCCCTGGCACAGAAAGAAGTTGCATCATGGGAAGTGTAGGATCTAGTTAAAATTTGGCTATTGCAGTGTCTGTGGTTCGAGTGTATGCCTCACTCTGAAATGTTAGCCTCTTGATGAGTTAAAAGAGAGCTCTAAAACAGACCCTCACAAAACAATCAGCACATCCACCACATTAAGTGAATCCACTGCATTGTGAAGCTGCACACGCTTACTATGAAAGTATTAGGCCCACATTCAAGAAGCTGCACTGTAAGCTCTGTCAGTTTTGTGATAGGCAGCGTTTACTCCTTTACTCAACAGAGAAGCAGAGCCTGATTGTCTCTGTGTCAAATTTAACACAGGTGGTGCATTGCAAAGCACCTTGAGATGACGACTGTTGTGAATTGGCGCTATATAAATAAAATTTGATTGATTGATTGATTGATTGATTGATAAAGATAGTAAACACAAAGATAGAACCTAAGACTACGTTTACATATGCCTGGCTATTTTCGTAAATGGACAAAAACTGCGTGCACACCACAGAAAAGTTTTCGTTAACACTTACACGTGTATATATGCCGTCAAGGGCATGCCAATCCTGTAGGAGGCAGTGTAGCGAGAAGCTCAAGCCCACATTAGCAAATAAGAATCCTGAATCGAAGCAGCAATAACAAAGTCTTGTCAACTTGTATTTGCAAATAGAAACAAACACAAAGGGATTAATGTGACTGCAATTCTGCATGCATCCATGATCACCATAGATTGTAAACATAGACTGTAGGTTGTAAACAATGTTGCATTTAACCCAGTTTACGGCACACACCATCGGCTACCTAAATGTCCGTTTTTCTCTGTTTACATGCAAACTCTGTCTCTCTACTCTGGCTGGAGTTTTTAAAAAGCATCGTTTTCAGGGGCAAATTCTCTGTTTGCCTCTAAACGGAGGGTGCAAACGATGGTTAATGTCTCCGTTTTTAAAAATAACCAGGTAAGTATAAACGGGGCCTCAATATGTTTAAAAAGAATCATGTGCTGATACATTTACAGGGTTCCTACACAGTTGGAACTTCCATACTTTTCCATACCCTACTTTTCAGAGTTAATTTTGGAAATACCTAGTTTTATATCTCAGAAAACAGTATTTTAGAACTGTGGTAATATAGTCTGTTAACATAAATATTTTCAGTACTTTTTTTTTCATTTACCATACTTTTTTAGACCTTGAAATTGATCAAATTACTTCCAAACTTTTCCATTTTTTCCATACTTGCGTAGGAACCCTGCATTTACTGACTCTTACCATTCAGGCTAAATTAGCCAAATTGAACACTGACTGAATCTGTTCAGATAGGTACTCTGGCCTAAACGGTCAATTAGTCTTTTTCCTTTGGTGACTGTATTTCAATAGAGGTAGATTAATTCAGTTTAGCTGGTCAATAACTTGAAGAAATAGCCTTGAAATAAATGTGAAAACGAATGTTGATAAAATCGAGACCCTGAATTTGCTATAAAAGAAAGTGAAATGATATTTTTGCCATTTCGCCTTCTTTTCTGGAGCTGTCAAAGCCAAACATGCAATCTTCACACACACACACACACATAAAGCCAAAGGTTACCTCAATGCATCCACTCAGTCAGTCACGGGAACTCCTCCATTCACCCTTTCAGGCTAAAAGTCTGACTCTATATAAAGACAGAAGTGAAAGGAGTTTCTATCCTTTTACTGAGTCTGAACACAGGCTTGTGGGAATAGAGAACATGAATGATCTACTTCCATAAATGCCACTTTGCACTCTAGGCAAGAAATTAAACAACAACAACAACAACAAAAACTTGCTTTTCTGCTTCCACTCTCACATTTTAGTTGCCTGCAGTCTCCATTCATTACAGTGCATTCTAAGCAGCTAACAAACAGTCACACCTAGAAATACAAAGTGCACCAGTACAAGTGTCAGATTGTACTGTGTGTGAGATCTTTATGTACAATATGTCAATAAAAAGGTTAATAAAGGGATCTCAAAAGTCTCAAATAGTCATGTTGAAAATATCTATGAGAATGTGATCAAGGATGGCAGTGAAGTGGCCTCATAGCTACAGAAACAAATGATTCAGGTCATAATTATGAGTGTTTGTGTCTATGTTTATGGTATATGTGTATGCATGTGTGTGTGTGTGTGTAAGCTGCCCTAAGCTCCAAGGCATCCATGTGATAATGCCACTGACTGCTGGACATCAAAGAAACTACCCAAGGGGGACAAGATAGACCATCACGGAGAGAGCTTTGATGAGGATGTGAGGCTGTTTCATTATTAATAACCTCCCACTGTATCGACAGGAAAGTATGGCTGCTGTCATTAAATTCTGTAAATTGCAGAACATATACAAAAACGACAAGATATTGAATTTTTATTTTCAGATATTTGTGAGTGAAAACCTGTCGTTCACTTCAATAAATGTCCAAATCGAGTAACAATATTTTGGCTTGTTATCTGCTGCGTGAATGTGCATGCAGCCAAATATTCATGACCTACAAATTGCAATCCTGTATGCCTGTTTAATTATTAAAGAGCTGCTCTGATTTACATTTGAAAGTCTTGTATGAAGCCTGTCTGGTGAAAATAATGAAACTCTCCCTCTTGTGCATAAAAAAAGGAGGCCATTTAGGCTGCATGTTTGATTCTGTTTTAGTGCCGTGCAGTCTGGAAATAAGAGAATCTGTGCACACTGTAGCTGTCTCTACGGAGGACAAATATAGTGTCCGTTGCCATGGTTATGACAGGGAACGCATCCTCACAAACAGAGCAGAGCAAACCACGAGGATGCACACCTACACACTCATCTCCTCTCTTTCAACCGACAATCACCACGTGCAGATGAGGAGGGACCAAATGTGTGTGCGTGCGTGAGTGTCGCATATTGTTTCATGTGATTATGATAAGCACCTGTGGAGGAAGGTTTTTTTTTTTCAATAAGTTAAACACAGACTCACCGTCACTGTGGGGATGGCGGTGACAAGGGAGTAGACGAGAACGGGTGGCGCCTTGCTGTTGTCCTCTGGTCCTGGGTACGGTTTGGAGTAAGCTTTGTCAAAGCAAAAGAAGCCCTGCATGTGCACGGGGAACGTGTCCGTGTACTCAAAGTAGTACGCCAACAGAACGGTTCCTGCCATGATGACCAGCTGGAAATAAAACATATTGGTTCCAGCTTTAGGATTGAATCCACAGGACAGAGTAGGAGGAGTTAGAAAAAATAAAAGACAACCAGGTAGAAAGAAGTGAAAACAGGTATTTACAAAAAAAAGAGAGTTTTCCCTTCTAGAGCAAAATGATGGATGCTACCATAATGTTAAAATGAATCAAGTGTGCGTGGAGAGATAGTGAGAGATGAGGATGTGAGGGAGGGAGGGAGGGAGGGAGAGAGAGGGAAAGATAGAGATAGAGGGAGACAAATAAGGAGAAAGTCAGATAGAGTGGAGGAAGAGAGAGCAAGGACGGAGATGTAGTGTGAGAGAGAGATCCCTTCAGCGATGTCAGCGTGTAGAGTGGGAGGGTAAAGACACAAATGGAGACTGATTAAAGAAAATGACGCTCAATGGAGGACTAAAAAGGAAAAACTGAACAAGGTCGGGAGACAGACGGGGGTGAGCCACAGATGGGGAGAAAAGAAGCTGAACAGCAGAGGAGGGAAGGAGAGGAGGGAAGGAGAGTGAGAGAAAAAAAAGAAAAAAACCACGGGGAAGAGCAGAGGGTCGGATATGAAGAGTATGTGTGTAGATTACACAACAGTCATGTATCACACCACAACTTAGCCATGTGAAATACAAGCCATGAAGCTTAAAATATGACCTTTAAAAGAATTTCGATGCAATTTCTGTTGACAAAACGTGTTAGCAATTCATGCCTGAATGTAGGCGTGAGGTAGCAAGAGAGGAAAAGGGGCTGATAAAGATAGAAACAGTGAAAATGTGCTATTGCACAGAAGAAGCAGATAACACAAGTGATGATTATCCATTTAGACTCCAGTATTCAGCATGCTTACTCCTTTCCACTGTTCTCCACAGAAGAAGACATTTGCAACAGCAATGTGAGCTTGTCTGAATACAGAACTTTAAATGTTGGATTGTTTTTTCTCGCTGAGGCAAAAAAAATAAAAGAAACAAATGCTGCAAGTCTAAAAAAGGATTGTGACTTTAAATATAGGAAGCTCCAGGTTAGTTTCATCATAATCTGCAGTCCAAATGTTGGCTTTATTAACTTCTATTGTGAATGAAGGACAAATTTATCAGCAGCAAAACACAAGGAGGCTTTTCTGGCAGGCACAGCTGGTTTACAGCTTCAGGGACACAATGCAGGAGAGAAATCTGTGGTTTTAAGTCTGGATGCATTTTAGCCTTTCACTTAACAGAGGGAACAACAAATGGAACATCTTAATACACTGTATATACAGTATATGTTTATATATTGTCATGCATCCATTCACCATTATTACTGGTAGAAGAACTAAAAATGAATAATAGCTCCTAATGTTGTGGCTCTTTTTGTTTAAAAAATCTGCATCCATGTTCTGGTTCTGACACTAAAAACAGGCTTGCAGAACTGGACAGAAGAGCGTTTGTGTTACTAGTATGATGTTTTTCTGTGAAAAAGGTCTGTGACTTTTATAAAGACTAATTCTTTTTTTAATGAATGAAGTTAAAATACTGCTTCCATGATCTCTCAGCTAACAGATACACGACTCTCTAAACCTGTTTCCTTTCCAATTTTAATCACCATTTCACTGCCTTATGACGTTTAGCGCCAATAGTGCTGAACTTAACAATTTTTAGGGTTAGGGTTAGGATGTACTGTGATGTATTCAAGCCCTGACCTCGACTGCCTCTCTATCTCTCTTTTCTCAAATTCATAAATCAATCAAATTTTATTTCTAGGTCTAGAGGGGTCTAGCAGGTCTAGACCACGCTCATTGTTTGATGAATTATCAAGACCTAACCTAAGATGGGACAGATTTAACCCATCTCATCGAACATGAGTGACAACAGCAAGGAAAACTTCCTTTTAACAGGCAGAAGCCTCAGGAAGGACCAGACTCATGCTGGACAGCCACCAAGCCACTGCTGGGTTGGGGAGGAATACAGAGAGATAGGGGGAGAGAAAGAGAGAGAGAGAGAGAGAGAGAGAGGAGTGGGAGAGAAAGACGTCACATGACTTAAGCACCAGAGAAACTAAAGGGAGTCTGCACTGTCATAGCCAGAGACGCAGGGCTGTAACCGATTTATGCCAAAACAGACAATCTACTGGTTCTGAATGCTAAAATTATGTGTATCGTCAATAAAGATTTAAAGAATTACCTTGACGATAAAAGCTAAAAGCTGAGAGAGATCTTCTTATCCTTTGTGACGCAAATTTTCAAAATATCTGTTTCTCTAATTTTAGTTCAAAGTGTCCACAGAAAGATCTGGAATTAAAGTTGTTCCCTTTAACTAAAAAAAAACAAAAAACAGAAAGATAGCCTACGCACAGTCTGTAGTGTTCAGGATCTTAGATAACGAAAAGTTGTCTCTGTTTTGCTGACTTGATTTCCAGTTATCTAAAATTAAATATATAAAGATTTAATGTAGAGTCCCTTTTATGATTTACAGCCATAACCAGGGAAAGTAATACAGTGGCAGATGGCTGAACAAGTGACGAACAACTGAGAGAACCTCCTCCAACGTGTTTATCCTTTCAGCAGAGTGACAGAGAACCCACTCAATTTAATGCTTTTGGGAGGGGAAGGGGAGACTTGTTACAAGTAGCACATTTCAGCTTTATTACACATTGAAGAGCCACAATGAACACAGGAGAGACGCTGACCTAATTCTAACTCCTCATACTGCTCCACTCTTAGATCCGCTCCCTTTTTCCACCTCTCTACAGAAAAGTTAAAAATCTGAGCGTGATATCCTACATGAATCGGAAATCAAACAATTGATCATTCCGCTACCTCGGCAAAACTCACTCTTAAATCCCAGGCCGTCACACGACAGAGATGGTGCGCTCTGTGGCCCTTAGTGGCAAAATCACGGGGGACAAACATGCACATGTATCCACACGTTTGAGACTTCTTCAAACACCTCCAGCCTGAAGTTTATATTTAGTCGACTGATACTGAGAAGGTACATGCTTTTTCATGCGCGCGCGTGTGTGTGTGTGTGTGTGTGTGTGTGTGTGTGTGTGTGTGTGTGTGTGTGTGTGTGTGTGTGTGTGTGTGTGTGTGTGTGTGTTTGAATGTATCTGCAGGCATGTGGGTGAATTCCCAAGTCTGAAGAGGAACTCTTGACACAGGCAACATATCTCTCCATCATCCATCCCTCTCTTCTCGCCAAGGCATGGTAGCCGTGAGCGAGGGAGGAAGTGTAGAAAGGTGGGAAGAAGAGAGTGAAAGAGAGAGAGAGAGAGAGAGAGAGAGAGAGAGAGAGGGTCTACAAAATCATCAAAGTTTAGTCAAATATTTGTAGAAAGCTGCCAAACATTTCCCACAGAGATTATTCAGGTTACTTCACACCAACATGTGATTACTCACTCAAGTGTCTGTCTGAACTCTCACAGCCATGTTTGCTAAATTACACATATGAGCACACATTGGTAATGAAGATGCTCACGCAGGGATATGATTATTGACGAACAAAATCTGGGACTTTCAGTGAATTGAGTCATTGAACACCTCATTAAGACAAAAAAATCCACTGACTTATTACAGGCTCTTAAATGCCATTTCATCTCCCTTCCCTCCTACATGAACAAACAGGCGACTTCCTTTTCATTCTGCAGCCAAAGCCACTTTGTCTGAATATTAATAAAGGTCAAAGCAACTCAAAAGTTGATGGCTTCTAATTAGCAGAGGGACACAACCTGCACAAGTCACCTTGGACCATTTATTTGCATAAATATTATTTTTAAAGCACTCTGTGCATGTATGGGACGAGACCACTGAAAAAGAGTGACAGAGAGGGGTCAACCCGGGGTAAACATCACTCTGTCGACTGACTCATCTAACTGCAGGAAGTTAAGAATCACACTATAGCAGCTGTAAGTGTGTTTATCCATCGGAGGAGGTAATTACTTTGATTATGACTGTTGGTCCATTTTCATTTCTGTATCAAAAAGGTCCTGATCTTGAACCTCTAATGACATATAGAGTCAAGTCACTGGTAAATGTGTTGAGGTTATTAGATGAAACTGGAAAAACACACTGATAAAAATATCTGCATCCATCTGTTACCTTACTGTCTAACTCCTCTAAGTCTCTCAATCTCAGCAGATTTCCCTGTTCTATGCACCAAGGCTGCAGCGGTTAGTCGACATTGTTGACAAAAATCGATACTTTGCAAGAAATCATTCTGGAAATCCGTCTTGTAGATAGAGATTGAGACAAAACATCTAATATGACAAATCAATCTGGTAATTTTGTTGAGACCAGCATTGAAAGCTCTCCTCCAAGGAAGAGGAGAGCTCTCGGTCTGATTGCATTTCCATGAAGAAATAATCATAAATGTTCTTCCTTGAGCTGTGAAACTCCACTGCACTCGGTGATCGACTCATCAGGGCTCCCCCAACAAACAAGCGGCTGCTGGAGGAGAGTGGGTGAGTTGCATTTAGTCCTTTTGCTAAAGAAATCAGGCAAAGCTAAAAAGATGTTTGGTGGCTAGTACTATGGCTGAGACCCTATATGTCCTGTTGATGAAGTTAGGTGCTGTTCTGAGCATTATTTGTGGCTATAGAGTGGCGTTTTGGTTGAGGTTTGCACATGGAGACGTAGATCACTGTCTTTTGCTATCGTGCGGTTGTTACTAAAGTTGGTATAACTAGAGAAGCAAACAGACGGCAACATTCATCTGTCGAGGGGGTGTCTTACTCAGTGTTACGGTGTGTTTGACCATAACTTAAATTTATGCCGGAATATCCCTTTAACACACCTGAGTAATTAACAAATGTGCTAAAGCTTTACATCTGACAGCAGCCAACAGAGTATTTGGAGGCCTGATAAAGTAAGGTGGGTTAAGTTTCCATGATTTCTGTGTTGACTGAAATATTGGTCACACCAACAATGACACTAAAATGTACACCATTCGCAAATGTTTGGTGCTTTTTGTCCATTTTTTTCTACCTTCATACAAAAATCCTCGTGTCACAGAAGAGGTAGAAAGGGGAATTAATAAATGATTTATAAAGATTTAGTATTCTTGCAGCTCATGAATTAAAAATCCGGGCTGATTCTACCAACAGGAATGACAAAAGAGGGCTCTGTTATGGTCTGATTTCTAACATCAGTCAGCATATATTTGCCCACCGGATGAACCTAAAGTTTTAAAAAATCAGGAGAGTTTATCTTTCATGATGACCTCTTTTTGACTCACCCTGTCAACTTAAAAGACTTATGAAGCAGAAGAATTAAGGCTTAATGTTCATACCTTTCCCCTTCAAAGAACGTGAAAGCAGGAAAATCAAAGAGACTAAAGTGGCATTGATGTGACAGAAACAGAGGAAAACCTCCTGCCTGCAAAACCCTTTAACCACACATCTGAAGAAGAATGGAGAAAAATACTTTTCTAAGGGGAGGAAAAAGGGCAAAATAGAAGTGGGAATTATTACTGTCTCCTGGAGCTGAATTGCGGGCTGGCACGAGTGGTTTCGGTCTACTCTTGGCCTGTGTGAAGCTGCCAGATGGCAGAAAAGTCAACTAATAATCAAGCATGTTTACAGGAGGTGAGAGCATTTGTATGGAGGCTGGTGTGGAGATGATAGCACCCTGCTGGGAGTAAATGAACATCACACTGCTCAGGAGACATGCTGCTTGAACCTGGACTCAAAATGCCAGATTTGTTTTTCAAAGAGATCAAACTGTTCCATGAATGGAGATAGTATACGATATTCAACCACGAAGAACGGATGATGATGATGGATGATTTTATTTTGTACTCATGTATCTTTGTCATGCCACTTGTCACATCTGGACAGATTCTCCTCATTTTTTCACCTGTGATCAAAACATTATTTGGGAGACCACTTAAGGTGCAATCTCCTTGATTTCCTGAGAGTAACTGGCTGGTTTTAATATTTCGCTTCAAACAGGCTTTGTAAATCAGCTATGTTAATGAAATTGATTGCTTTTATCTCACTATATCAAGTATTATGCAAGCTAAAAGGGGTGGGCAAAACCCATAACTGTTAGTTTCAACTTTGCCAAACTGCTTCTTGTGCTTCTTTAACAAATAGTGCAATACACTTTATTTTTCTGTACCATACTTTTTGTAGCAAACCAAGTTTGTGAGGGAGCTCAGCCAACAGATTTAAATCGACACAGAAAAAGATACTGTTTTGGAGAAATAACTGACTGGAATCTCTAACAGCAATGCTCTTATCATGAGTGTCCACGGGGTTTTTCAGGGTTTAGGTTAAATGTCCTGAAAACAGCATGAAAAAGCTGCACCATCCTCATCCTCTCTCACATGATTTGGTTTCTAAATTAGCTCAAATCACGGATCTAATCTCGTGGTTAGAGGCAGTGAATGTTTCTCAGCAGCTGAGGTGTCATATTTGCCTGTTGTTAAAAAATTGTCTGATTTCACACACACACACACACACACACACACACACACACACACACACACACACACACACACACACACACACACACACACACACACACCACCTTCTCCTCCTCGCACATTCATCTGCATAAATCACATGTAAATGATTTGAGCAGGAAGCCAGTAAACTCCTCTTCAAGGGCAAATCATCAAATCAACATGAAAAACCAGCAAACAAATGGGCTTGACTGCCACCTGGTGTCGCTGCACTGTACTGCAGCACAGTGCAATGCAAGATATATGAGGCAGCTAATAGAAATGAGTGGACAAGCCGGAGGAGGTAGAGCCCTAAAGAGAGGTCGGGGAGAGGCAGCGCTGGGAAAGTGGAGGAAGATAAACAGATGGATAAAACATTTAATGAGACATTAGTATATCACAGATTGCACCAGGGCAGAGCTGAGTGTGCCGCTGGGAAATAAAACGGAGGAAGGCGGCAGAAAATAAGACAGAACAACAGGAGAAAAGAGAGTAAATGAGGATATATGAGAGAGGTGAAGAGGAGAGAAAGGTAAAACACAAAAGGGGAATACAGGAGGAGAAAAGAATCAAAGCAGGCATTTATCTTTTTAGGCAGTATCTTGCCCTCCCTTTTTCATCTCTCTCTCTTTCCCTCCACATCTTTTGTCCATCTGAATACTGGGTTCATTAAATCACCATGTAATGTGTATCTTCAACTCTTCCCCTTTCAATTATCTGTCACATAGCATCTCTCCTCAATCACTGCCAAAACCGTGCTCTTGGAGTCTCCCCCCTTCATGCTGCATTGACTTCTACGTCTCTCAATCATCCGTGCTGTCAGAAACTCTTTGAATCTGCTTGCTCACATGCACACTTTGTGTCCCTGCATCCCACAGTTTCTGCCTAACATGCATCATCCATTATTTTGTACATCGCCTAATGGCAGATGCATGCATCCGGTCTCCAAAAAGGACCCAAATCTCTGTTCTTCCATTCATTGACGAGATTAAAAATAAACTCTTCTCTTGTATACACTCAAATTCACAATTTAAAGATCGCATCTTTAAATGTATTTTTAATTTATCTATATTTTTCAGCAAAGGAAAGGGAATAATTTGACTTACAAACTTGACTTTGATGCAATCTGTCCCTGAGCCAGAAAGGATGCCAATTTCATGAATTGTGAATATCTTGATTTTGGAATGAGATTCAACTGTTATAATTTATTTAGCAAACCTCATTCAGCGCAAGCAGCATGCAGCAGCTAGAATCAGCATTAATTTTGGAGTCTTTTAATTGGATATATCTCAGAAAAGAAGCCAAAACCAGAGACAAGATACTATCTCTCACAAGCTATTTTAATTGAGAGTTATCCCAACAGCAGGGGTCTTATATTTCTATTTCTGATGGGGTTATTTGGCCTCTAAGCTGCAGCCCAAGATAGACAGACACTATATCAAGCATTCCCTTATGATATGAATGAGACTATGTGGTGATGTACAGGGTTTCTCATTCCTTCCCCTCCCCCCTCAGGTATAAATAGGTGGGTAGCATGCAGCTAACAAGTGTTTCAAGCATCCACCCAGAGCGGGCAGCTGCTATTCACGGAGTCTCAGAGATAATGAGGGGGAAAAAACGAGCAAGAGAACCATGTGAGAATGAGCTGCTTCTAGATTAGCTGATAAATAAGGATATTGATGATGCTTACATTTTCTATAAAGAGGTTAGAGATAACCAGTTGTGTACTAGGATATTTATTTCCACATATATGTGCAGAGATAGAGGAATTGAAAATGAGTTTATTTCATGCCTGGATATTTGTGAATATGATTTGTTTAGGGGGTCTCAGCACTATGAACAAAACATCTTTCGAAAAGAATAAACACATGCAGAAAATGTGTTGCCAGGAGGCAGAGGATGTACTGAGGCAGTGTTAATCACAGCAGGGAGTGTTGAAGAAGTCTAAGCACACACAGAGGAACTGAAGGCTTGATGCATTTTGGAGCAACCTGTGCCGTAAAGTCTTCACACTTGAGAAGAAACAGTGGAAGATAGAAGAGACTGTCCGTGTTTAGATATGTCAACATGAATGTGATCAACAAGTGGGTAAAGATTTCTTTAGGGCAATATCAGGAACTAAAAATGATAAGATAAGCAGCAACTGTAACTTCACAGTAAACATTTTTCATGGTTGTTCTTTTTTCACTGACACCTTTGGCGATAATGAAACAACTCTCGTTATTAACAGACTTAAGTTCTGGGAAGTTGAGGTTCGTATTAATCTAAAGATCATGATATCAGATCACTTCATGACGATGATGGTCATAAGATATTATGGTGATATTTATGGAAAACTTGAAATTTAAAACAACACAGACAGTAAAATTGAGATGTTACATAATATTCATGTTCATACATAAAGTCCATAAATTTTACTAAAAACTCAATAACTCACATGTCATCATCAAATTTCCATTTATGGTCAAATATATGATTCATCTACATCACTTGCACTGACATTGCCACATAAATAAAACTATTTCTCATGCTTTTATTTTGATATTTTTCTGTCTTGCATTCAGGTTTCTAAACACTGTAAACCTGAGCTTTTATTTTGAAGGAAAAGCCGCTTTTGGCAGATCATAATTTGAGGAACTAAATGAAAACAGTTAAGAGAACAGTAAGAAAGTGTAAATGTTCAATTAATGAATAACCTAAAGAGGCACAAGCTCCGATGCTGGATTTGGATTTTTTAAAAGGGATGAAATTCCTGTTTTTAAAAGTGCTTAATCATCGATTAGTAAGCTGCTTCAAAAAAAGTTCACAGGCAGTCTGCTGCTTCTTCTTTGTCTGTCCTCACTTTTGTGATGTGTGGCAAACAGCATCAAGGACCTTCGCTATAAACTCACAGTATTACCGTTTGCTTATTTTTAGCATGATATCAATATTTGTGTTTTTAAAAAGACAGTTAATGCAAATACTGGTATTTTGCAAGAGCCTTTTAAGAAAGAAGAGAAAATATATTATCTATATGTGTGTACGGTATGTATGTATGTTTGTTTATGTGTTCCTCTAAGTAGACCTGCAGGGGAGTTGAAATCCCTCCTAATTTGACACACGCTGCAAGCTATTTGCACTTAGAGGCACCTCTAAAGTTTATTTTAACACTTTGTTATGACCTGACATAATTTCTTTCTTTTCCAAACCTCAGTTCCAACTTGAACAGCCCGAGTGTCATCACAGCAGCACATTAACAAGCTTTTGCTAATTGGTCCAGAGCACCAAGAACCTATGAAAACCTTTTTGTCAAACCTGGAATGAAGTTTATCCTTGTTAACAGATTTTGAAATTAATCACAACGAGCAGGTTGTCATTTTAAGATTAGATCTTGTAGGTAAAGAAAATGTATCCGTGAACATTTTTGCATTTCCCTCTAAGTTGAATTTTCCCTGTGCCAGAAAAAATGAACTGTATTTCCTGTAAAAAGTCTGTTTCCTGTTGCAAATTAGTATTCTATCATCTGAGACAGAAACCTACAGTATGCATCCAATTCCTGCAAGCAGAAAAATAATTCAGGAGAAGTGCAACTGATGTTACAGAAACTACTGAGCAGGCAAAAATGAGGGCATCTGCAGAGACGGTGGGGGAAATGGGAGATAGGAGCAGACGTGGGCCAACACCTTAGTGTCATCAGAGGCGGCATAGGCCTTCGACCTGAAACATTATGTGGTCCTATGCTCAGCGGTCCGTGTGCTTCACAGAGCTTGCTGTGCCACAGGAGGACGCAGCCAACAAAGCATGAGGAAAAGGGAGTGGAGAGGAGGAAGATATGCTACTATGAGCTGGCATTTGTAGAGAAACAGAAATGCTGGCCAGCTAGAGCACACCCTGCAGATGATAGCTGCCGGGAATTAGCAGCTACAGCATGTACAATTACAGTAAACAGTGATGATGATCAGATTTTATTATTATTCCTATTCACATCACATTACTACCCACGATCTGAAAGTTGTCAGATCAGTGAGATCTACTCAGAGAGTCCTCTTGTAGTCTCTTGAGTACTTTGAAACTCGGCTTCAGTACAGATTTTCCACAGTAGGAGCGGCTCACACCAACAAGTAACACTTCGCCCACCCACCCCCGTGTCTGAAGCCAGTCAGGAATCAGTGGAATCAAAATGACTTTTTAAAGAGGGTCTTTTGAAGCTGTGTTCTCTGTTCGATGCCAGACCAGTCTCTTTTGTGGCGTTCACAGCAGGACAAGAGAAACAGCAGCAAGACGGAGTGAAAAGAAAAAAAAAAAGAGGAGTGAGAGATCCACAAAGAAGAGACAACTATTTTGCTTTTCATTATGCCGTTTCTGTAAAATACAGCTACAAGTCAACATTTCTAAAAAAAGAAAAAAAAGCAACAACAAGCCAGTGTTATTTTTTATTGTTGAAGAAAACCAAGGGTGGTAAAGAAAGACAGACAAAGGGAAAACAGAAGAAGAGCAAGAAGAGTGAGAGGGACGAATTCATCAGCTGGTCGAAGAGAGATGGAAGATGAGCCTTGAGAATAAAGAGGTGGTGATCTAAAACGGCCCTGACTGAAAAAGGGATGAAAGGCCATGTATCTTGTTTATGGTATCATGATCTGTGTGTCATATATTGCATTCGGTAGTTCATACATTATGCTTTTGTGTGACTATTTTTTTATTAATGGTATCATATTTCATGTGTCTTGCATCCTGTATCATGTACTAAATGTATGTCTTATATCTTCTATCATATATCATTCTCTATGTCTTTATTTCTTGTTTCCTGTTTTGTGTATCATGTACCTTTCATGTTTCATAAAACGTGTTTCATGGCAGTGTAGAATGTTGTACGGTAATGTTGTGTATTATTTTTCTTTTAATATGTTTTATCAGTCTTGTACTGTGTAACATGTTTTGTGTATCACATATTTTGCATTGCACACAAGCGTTATGTATTGAGTTTTGTGTTTCGTGTATCTTGAATCATGTTTATGTTCCATTTGTAACGTAACGTTGTATTGTAACGTTTGTCATGCATTCTGTATCTGACTGTTTAGTGTACACTGTATCATGTAGGGCTGAGCGATATGACCTCAAATCAATATCACGAATACTGACATGGGCAAAATGACGATGGTTATTGTAGTAAATTTTCGGTTTATCGCCCAGCCCTACGATCATGTAAACACTGTATTTTGTTGCCTGTGCATACAGTGTTTTATCTATCTTCCTCTGTATTTTGTGTACCATGTATCATGTTCTATGTTTCCATTTCTAGTATCTTGTTTACTGCATCATCATGCCTCCTTGAATTGTGAATACTGTAAAATGAATCATGTTTTGTGTCTTGTGTTTATCATCATGTGTTGTATTGTTGTGTTGCATTTAGTGTTCTTGTTCCCTTTCTTCAAGTACTGTGTGTTATGTGTCCTTTATTGTGTATTATGTTTAGTGTATTTTGTATCCATTCGTCATTTGTCATTTCTCAGATATTGTGTATTTTGTTGTGCATTCTGTAAATCATGTATTGTGCACTATGTGTTACCCTGTTTTTCCTTGTTTCAGTCATTGTGTATGTTCTATTTTGTTGTAAACTGTATCAGGTGTTTTGTTTTCTGTGTTTTATGTCCACAAATGTTATAAACAAATGAACTAATCCAATAGATTAAGTAAAAACCACCCCCATGCCAACAAAAAACAAACAAAAAAGAAAAAAAGTCAACATAAAACCCTAATACTGTGTTTACTTTTTGATCATAGTGGTATCAGTGGTGGCTTGGAATTGGCCAAACTAGAAAGCTGTAAAAAATAGCCAGCAGCTGAAAAGATGTTACTGAAATATCTCAGAAATGAGGCGTTACAGGAAGGAAAAACAGTGGGATGCAGAGTTTTGAACCGTTAGAAGGGAAAGTAGAAATCAGCAACTAGATCACAAGCAACAGAAAAAAAAAGACTGTTTGAATTGAGAAGAAATGGCTAATGAGATGCTAATGTAACAACAGGGGAGCGATTGCCCTCCAGGAGGAGCTATGCTACAGCGGGCTGCTCTGGTATCAACACAAACTGGGGAGAGGGGGTGAAATGCCTTTTATTAAACTTCTGCAATGTACACAGATTCGTGTGGGTGCATATAGGGTGATTAAAGTCAAACTGGAGTTACGTTACTCTACCTCCGGCTGTGCTGGAAGAAAATAAAACCAATAGCTGCATCTGCAAAGAGTGGGGGTGACTGAGGAAAGAATAACCGTCCAAAAAATACCCCCCTCAAAAAAACCAACCGCTTCCCAGGGGTTTAGATGTTCACGACACCTTCCTGTCTGCGATACAGGCCGGGGTGAACATGAGGACAAGGTGTACTTAAAAGAATAAAGAGAAAAAAAGAGCAAGCTGTGACCAGAAGCAAGAGGAGAGATACCAAAAAGTGAAGAAAAAAATATGTTGGGGACCCATGAGGAAACACAAAGCCGTACAGGAGCAAAGAGGAGAAATGAGGAGAACGGTGGTCTTTGGAAGAGCAGAAAGAGTTTTTAAGTGGGAGGAGGAGATGGGGCTTTACTAGTAAAGGGGAATAATGGAGAGATCCATGGTGCAAAAGATGCAATTACTCAAGGGAGCGAATGCTGGAGAGGATGATTTGGAGGATCTGCATGAAAAGAGTGACTGGGCAGTGTTCAAAAGACTGTCAAAGAGAATACAGGAGGAGGAGGAGGAGCAGCAGCACTGACAGATATAGGCCTAGAGGTATTATAGACTCTCTTGAAAAAATTTGAGAGCAGGAAAATCATTATAACAAGTCCTCAAGAGGGTGTTGAGAGTGGGCCAATACAAATGCACAATGAAAGACAGTAAAAGTACGATAAAAATCTCAAGTAAACTCGCAGGGATTGTGGAATATTTGTGCAGTAGAAGGATGCAGGTGTAACTGAGGTGTATTGGAGAGAGCTCTATTCATGTAGTGGAAGAAAGAAATACAGCGCAATCTCAAGAGGATGTTGTGAATGAGTGAATGGGCACAAAGAAAGAGAATAAAAGCGAGGTTGAAGAAAAACCCTTTGAGAGGTTCAAAATATAGAAGAAGTCCTTCAGCAGGTGTACTAAAGAGAGATGCAGCTTTCTAAAGGTAGATCACAATAAAACAAATAAATCAATGCAGGCCTGAATAAGACAAAGTTTTATAAATTTTCAGTTGACTTTTAAAAGTTTTCTTGAGCCGGCGGGACAAACAAACGTCCAGAGCTTTCCTTGTTCTTCGCCTGTGGGTAACTATCGCGAAACCATTTTCTTGACTGCCACGTCTAGCACCATTTGACTCAGCGATTTTCACAATTCTCAAATGTCAACATTCTGGCTCGTATGAAAGAGAGACATTACATTTTTTTAAGGGTAAATCTGAAGTAAGAGACGATTTGAAAGCTCTGAAAGCACCTAATTCAGCTAAGTCTGCTGGGCTTGTCACAGCTCAGCCGACCTGCAGGCTTGGAGCACGTTAACAGTATTAGCTGTATTAGCAGTAGCACAGGCTAATTGGTTTTCCTTTCCTAATTAGGCCAATTAATTAGGAAATGCAGCTGAGACCGTGAGCACTCCAGCAGGTCATTCATGGATTATACAGAGAGGAGAGGAGCTGTGAGAAGAGGACGGGCAGTAGAAGGAAAGAGGTCGAAGAGATTATGAGCAAAAAGGTCACATGAGACGGCCTTTGTTGGGAGAATACCTCGTGCTGAAAGTTATCATGGAGCGATTCATGAACTGAGGGTAGTTACCCGTTTGTGATGATTCAATCAATCGCTTCTTCAGGGAGTTGGTGAATAGGAAAAAAAAAACGCAGCTAATTCAGAATATTTCCCAGCTGACATTCTTTGTTGTTAATCTGCCGTGAGAAACATGTGAAATGATGGAAGAAAGAGATGTGGGAGGAGTGAACGTGGACAGGAGAAGGAGGAGAGGGAGAAGACTGGAAAAATGTGCTTTTATGTGTCCATCAGTTTCCGCTGGGTGAGTCATGATTCCCACCTGGAGAGTTTATAGCCTGCTCTTATTTCTGCACACTTTGATGTACATGTGTGTGGGATTTAAACACAGCGCTCTTGATTTTTTATTTTTAGAAAATTAGTTTCTAAAGTCAAAATTAGGCTGTTGGCTGAAATATTACCTTGGGTTGGATGTACAAAAAAGCCAAAAGCAAGATGTCCAACAAAATTAAGGTTACATCTGGGCTCACATTCTACATAATGAACACAGAAAACAATCAAAGAGAACGACTTTGAACCATCACTCACCTCCACAAGGAGGAAGCAGGGCACGATATAGGTGCTGGTCTTCTGCAGGCTTCTATCATCAGCTAGGGTCCTCATTGGTCTCCTCTGTGTTGACAGCTGACCGCCAATCATCTGCAGGGTCAAAGGTAGCTGTAAGGCTTTTGTTTACTTTGTTAAAGGATAATGTGGGCATAGAGCTGCTGCAGCAGGAAAACAAACTACTTCATAGTTTAAAATGCTGAAATGATAAGTGTTGAGTATCACACAAGGACAGTAAACACAGAAAGCTGACAAAGATGTGAATGAAATATTTTAAACTTGGGAATTGAATAACAAGCATTTTCAATGTTTGCAAAATTTCAAAAGGGTTAGAATGAGCTTTCACCTACTCGTAAGGACAGAGACCGAGTAGATACCGCGATGGTCAACATTTTATTCACTGGGATAACTTCAGCTTTGTGACCACAGTGAGTCACTACACTGTTGCCTGAAATCCAGATGATACAAGGGAGTAAATACAGCAGTCTCTCTTTATTCTCGTCTAGGCTTAGAGTAAATGTTGGGGTGGAGGTCTTGTGGTAACTGACCAGAGGCAAAAAATTTTTCTTTTATCTGGAAAGTCAGTTTCTTATCCTGAATCTTATTATTTTAAGTATTTGTTTCAATATTTTCTGCTCACTTTGTTATATTTAAGAAGACACAGCACACAGTGGAGCTGACATGATGTGATTACTGAAACACAGACAGTAAAAAATTAATGTCATGAGACACAAGAGCAGAAATGTAAATCAGAACATTTAATAGGTTCTTGTTCTTTACTTGGTTTTTCCCCACTATACAGTGCGTCACATTTTCACCCCACTTTCATCATTGAACAGATTTGGTTTGATAATTCCAGAAAAGGATGTCCCTATACGATATTGATATCAGATATCGGTCCGATATCAGCAGAAAACAAATATCGCATTATATCGGCTTGCATCTAAAATCTCCGATATCAGCACTCTGATACTAGCAGTCCATTCCAGACTCGGCCCCAGCATTTCTATCTAGCAGCACCCAGATCCAGCATGTAGAGCCCAAATACTCACAACAACAGTGTGCACTAAGGTACTAACAAAGTACCAAGGAGTAGGAGAGATGTCGGCAGTAATTTTGTTGAAGACCGAATAAGATGTTGCAGCTGAGTGCAAAACTTGTCATGCACAAGTTTGTGCTGATATTGGAACAATATCTGTATTGGCCAATACTCAAGGCTACAATATCTGTGTTGTATCAGAGGTTAATAAAAAAGAAGTTGTATAGAGACACCCCTATAAATCCTGATATAAAGTGTCATTTTGGGCAAAATATCTAGCCGGTAGCAAAGTAAGGATGGGACAGAATAATGTTATGCTGACTTTTGTGTTGGTTGTTATCGGAGTCACTTTGGAGTCAAGATAACTGGCCAGAGACAAGGATGACAGCAGTGTTACAGAAGATGAAGATGTGGCATAACAGACTGTGGTAAAAAGAAGTTCAAAGATACACTTTGAAGACCAAAAATAGGAAGGAAAGTAAAAACTGTTTCGGTTCTTGCTGCTGAGATGAGAGGAAAGATAGGAAGGCTTCACCTGCAACAGCCCTTTGTTACATTTACTGCCTATTTTAGAGGGAAATAACTCCTACATGCTAAACTATAAGACTTAGAGGGGTGGTCTGAGTTGAAGAGAGGGTCATGGAGGATGACTTAAAAAGACCCAGACTTTAGTGTCAGTAAAATACAAGCCATCCTCCTCATACACAAACACATCACAATACTACAGTAATGAACTCTTAAACATGAGTTTTTGCTTAGTGGGTATTTTTGCTTCCAAATTGAATTTCAATGCCAGAACTGATTTGATTTTTATCAGTAAGGTTTGTATGAAAGGACTTCCACTTTATAAAATGCTATTCATACACTACAGCGCTTCTTTTTCTCTCTAGCTAAAATTAAAAACACTCTCTACTACTGATATAAAAAGATTTCTCCTGTTGCAGATGTGGCAGCTCTTCTTGAATGACCCCTTCTTCCACTTTTAAAAAACAGGCGCGCTGTGAGTCCATCTATTTTAAAATCTTCAGTGGTAATGAGCACTTTTGCACTCAGCACTTCTGACCTGACATCCTGATCGGTCTATGAATAAACCAGAAACCTTCAACCCTGCTGACAGCACATGTGCTTCATGTTATCAATTTCACATATGATCATCTCTGAGCACCAAAGAAGAAAATATCTGGCGGGAAAGAAAAAAAAACATCTATTTTTGTGCACACCCACGTTAACACACGGAACGCACACCTACACAAAAGCTCTCCTTTCTATACAGATGTTGAGATGCCCACAATGTGTGATAGTCTGTGCATGATACATCAAGTATGCACACATAACTGTGCACACACACACGCACACTGGTAGGCAATCAAAAGTGTTGAATGGGGGGAAATGAGGTTGAAAGGAGGAGATGTAGAGTGGAAAACAGAGGAACGATGATCAAAACAAAAGCCTGACAGAAAGAGATAAGAGAGACACAAAGTCATGATGCAGACGTTTGGAGACTCCTCTGAAGTAGACAAGGGTGGGGTGAAAGCTGGCCGACTCAGCAGTGGGGAATTAGTGCAATTGGGCTGGAAAACAGGTAAAAAGTTGTAGGAAAAAAAAGAGCTCCATCCTCAAAGTGGAAACAAGGGAGGACGCTGTTGAGGAAAGTTAGAGCAGACAAGCAGACCGAGACATGCTAGAGGCTTTGAGACATGCAAATGATGGCACTTGAACTCCAAAATGTCAGTCTCTGTCAGTTCTTTTTGGATCAAACAGCAAACACAATTTTTCCAAGAACTCCAGAGCCCTGAAATTAAGATTTTATCAATCATAAAGCAGACGCCTTGAGCAGGCTCTCTTGTAATTTTATTCATTCTACTACCAATTGGTTCTCCTCTCAGATATCCAGCCTGGTCGCTCATCGCCTTGACAACAATTATCTCACTGACTTTATTGCTGAGGGCGAATCTCTGCTGCAGTGTCAGCCCTTTCTCTAATCAATGGTCGTTTTTGGTTGAGAGAGGAGGGAGGCACCTCACACGGCCGGAGTATTCCCACATAGTGCATCAGGAAATTTAAATCCGAAGACACATTGACAAAAAAAATCACGTTTTAACCCTCACATTATTGTAAGTCTTTAACTCACTGCTATTATAACACAGGAAAGATGGGAGAATACCTGAAAAAGACCTGGGAACATAACCATCTGGACCTGTGCTGCAGGTATAAATTGAATATATGCTTCTTCTTACATGTTTAAAGGAGCCTCTCAGTGCATGCATTAATAACTATTCAGATGTTATAATCTCACACATCTGAATTCCTAAAGATCCCATCAAATCTTAAACGTTTAAGTTAAATCATTCACTCAGCAAAGAAAACCACAGGTTTCCACTGACAACAAATGGAGCCGTGATCAAACTTAAAACCCAAGAAACCCATAGTCGAGGAATATAACGGTCAAACTAATTCAAACTTGCAGGATTTAAAATTTTTCAAAACTGTGACAGTGTCCAAAAGCTCCGGCTTCAATTATCTGCCATTCGAGTCCCTCTTGGCAGTTTCTGTTCCATGTAGGGCTGGGCGATAAACTAATAATTTGCTGATACCGAAATTAACGACAATAACTGATGTCATTTTGCGCATATTAGTATATTCAGTGTCAAAAAATACATAAATAAAGGTTAGTTTTGGATGTGTGTAGGTTGGCTATGGTCTCATGTCCCTTTAAGACTCTGTCCTATGTCGGGGACGTGACTCCACCCCATCCAGTCCGTAATTAAGAGGGAAAGACAGGTGAGGAGATGGAGGACAGTTCAAAAGTAGTTGACGAAGTTAATGTGGGAGGGGGTGAGCAGCTTGTGGAGTAGTTATCGTCCATTTACAGTTATCGAGGTGAACTGCTCAATATATCGAGATATTGATTTGAGGTCATATCGCCCAGCCCTAGCTCCGTGCCATTCACGATTTTGTCCCTCTATTTTTAGTCAAATACGACATGTTCGTGGCCTCAGATGGTTCAAAAGTCCAAAGATTTCCTTCGGTGTTTACATGCCATCATTACTCATGCATTTCCACAGGCATTGTGTATTGTGCTCCATGACAGAGACACACACAAACACACACATACTCTCATACAGAGAGCAGTACAAACTACCCTCACTGTATTTAAGTGTGTTAATTATTCATGCAGCAGCTCATATTCTCGTTTTCACTCCTCTTTCTTCACTATCGCCTGTGTCTGCCTCATGGGAAGCACAATCGCAGCATTATCCTGCTGTTACACTGTAAGTACAAGCTCCTTTTAGAGCTCGGCAACAGTTTTTAAGGATTTCAGTGGTAAAACAGCTCTCACTGATCCCAAGTAAAAAGAGAACAGGTTGTACTAGTTGAAACTTAAGACAGAAGGATTGTAAATAGACATAAGAGTACACACAAACACACATATATGAAGAGGTGATTGTGTGCTGGAAATACAGCGTTTAAGTTCTCTTTCATGTGTCCAAGTAAGAGGCAAAGCAGGCAGAAGGCTGGCATGACTGATCGCCTCTTGTGTGGCTGTCCGTGTCGCTCACTGTGATGTGCATCCTTAAGCCTCATTCTGGCACCACGGTAACAAAAGAGCCACTCTTTATCTCACTGACACACACACACACACACACACAGAGCCAAATACACAGTGGCCATCATCGTGGTGTTCATTACATGTCAACTTTGATGTCAGTCCAACAAGTGGGGCTGCACAGCTGATGTTTCTGTGTGTGTGTTTGGTGTGTGTGTGCGAACAAGAGAGGGTTAGAGATAAACCATTTATCTGTACTCCCACTCACTCACATATATACTGTACATACAAGCTGTGCTGTTTTCATTTACATAAACATAAAAAATTCAGTATAAACATCCTGTGTAATGATAATATTCCAAATGTTGTGTAATGTTTATGAACCCGTTTCTTTGTAGAGTCCAAATGTATGCACACGTTGTATCTATCAGCTCTGGAAAAACTGTTTTTGAAACTTTTATGGCAATGCATCTTTTCGAATAAAATCATCTGAATCAAATCTAACTGAGCGTAATGAAATTGAGAAAGCGTTTTGCATGGAATCGCTCCTGTGTTGCATCTCAGGTTAATCAATGTGGGTCATAGTGATGCACAATCATAGTCACACTCATGCACACGCTCAGGAGTATCCTATATTCCCAAAAAGAAGCAGCAGAAAAAAGGCGAGCTGTAACTGGTTTTAAAAAGTCTCACCTTAAATCTCTCTGTGTTGGAAGCTTCTGCTGCTGCAGCTGCTGCACAGTGACTGTTGCCTCCTCCGAGTGTCCGTCTCTACAAGGATTTGCTCCTGCAGCGGACTTCCATTTCTTGCTTGCACTCTGGTCCCAGCCTCTCGTCTTTCTCTTTGCCCCCTCTTGTCTCTTCCAAAGCAAAAAACCAGCCCCTCACTTCCGCTGCGCTGCCACTGAGAAGCCCTTCGGCACTGTGTGAGAATAGAGAGCGATAGAGTGAGCTTGCCTCACTGCCAGGCAGCCAGCCTACAGCCAGCCCAGTCTATATATGTCTGCACTCTGCCGCTAGGTCGCAAAGCTAAATATGATGATCTTCAACAGCACTTCAAGGCTAATTAATCAAGTGAAGGGATCCACAGGCTGCTGAGGGAGGCTCCTCGGCACAGTTGCCTGTGGATGCAAGGAGAGGAGCAGAGGCAGAAGAGAGAGAGAGAGAAAAAGAGAGCGTGTGTGAGAGTGAGCATCTGTATGCATGTGTGTGAGAGGAAGAGAACGGGAGGCAAAGAGGAGGAGGAGGAAAAAACAGAGTGGGAAGAGGGAATAAGAGAATGAGACAGCTGGAGTGGAGCAGAAAAGAACCATCATGTGCAACAGAGAGGGGGAAGCAATGAGAGAAAGAGGAGGAGGGACTGTTTCAGAGGCTGAGGCATAACGGTGGCCAAGATGGTAGACACTGTGCACTTTAGTACCCTGGAAACCACTTTGATATTAGGTGACACCACAGGCCAGGGCACAGATTTCTGCCTCTGTGGTGTTGTCTCTTTGTGTCTGCACATTAACAGGAACACAGCGAGTCAAGTGCGTGAGAGAAAGGTGAGTGATCTGAAGGTGGTGTCAGTGTTTGTGCGCCTTGAGAGCTAACCGGGCTGACAGTAATGCCACAGTGAGCTCAGGTGAGCTGGGATTTAAATCCAGCTCAGCTTTTGTTACAGTAGGCTGTGAGTTAATGATGCATTGTATGGTGGAAAAGTGAAAAAGTGGAACACGTCCTGCACATGGTCCTATGTGGGTCAGAGGCCCCCAGGTGAAAGCTCACCAGCAGCTCTTGGCTTTTTAGTGTATGTGTGTGTGTGTGTGTGTGTGTGTACACTGAATAATAGCATGGGTTAGCCCTGCACAAACTGTCTGTCCCCCCTCAGGGCAAAAACAAAGACAGTGTGTTTCCGTACGTGTAAATAGTTGTGTGCTGCGCATGTTTAGATATGCTACAATGGCCCAGATGGATGACTGGACAGATGGACAGCTGGTAAGTCCCAAAGTCAATGTCAATGTGTACTTGCCGCCGATTTGAGCCTTTTTTTATGAAATACCTACCTTGCATTTAAATGAACAAATACAGTATATCTATTGCATTAAACACTCATCTCTTTTAGGTGTTCCTGCACATCAAACAGCTATTTTGGTTGTTAATAAAACATGTTTACAACCGGGTACAAAACAGTTTGGGTCTAAATTGCACCAATCTCTACACTGGTTAGAATTTTGTTAAATCTAACTCATTTGTTTTTGAAGGTACTAAATTTACACATTCTGCATAATAAGGCCAAATTGAGGGCATAGCTGACTTGATCTGACTGGCTCAAGGCCCATCTCAACTCTGCCTCTTTGCCTCTTTCTAGGTTAACCAAAATTAGGTTGAGTTAACATTTCCAATTATGCCACTGCTGATGTTGAGACCATCCATAGCCAAGACATTAGTGTTTCTTTTGTTGGCATTTTTAACAGATGTAGAAAATTACAAACATCCCTGTCTAAGTTCCTTTTACCTGTAACATTTCTCATCACCTTTTCCAGTGTGTGGTTGCTTCATATCTGTTTTTTTTTTTTTTAGGATGATATCTCTTTCACTCAGCTTCTTGTGTGTTCTCACTAATCTCTCGGCTGATTCATCGCTTCTCATCGTCTTGTCACTGCTGTTGGCTTGTCAACCATTATCCACCAATTTTAAGTCTTTCTGCTCTCCGAATAAATTGAGAGTAGTATTAGAAAAATCTCTTAATATTGACTCCTGTTGCTATGAGTAATGATCTACAAAAAGGAGGAGGTGAAGTCTTTAACTGAAGGTGTGCTGTAACATCTTTGTATTGATTTGATGTATGTGAGCAGGTTGTCACTAGCATCGCTTTTGCTATTCAAAATCAAAATGTCAAGGGGTTCTGACCAATCAAAATCAAGCATTTAACGCATTTAGGTGATTAGCAAAAAGGCCAGGTAATAAGCTTATAAGTGGTTAGTAGTTTGTTTTCCAAAATGGCTGATTGAATTTGGGAGAAGTTCAGGTTCTGGTATCTCACTTAAGGATAGTTCAACTAGGGGTGTCCTGATACGATATTGATATCAGATATCGGTCCAATATCAACAAAAATCAAATATTGGATTATATCGGCCTGCATCTGAAAACTCCGACATAAGCACTCTGATACAAGCGGTCCATTCTGGACTCCACTCCAGCACCTCTATCTAACAGCATCCAGATCCAGCATGCAGAACCCATGTGATCACAACAACAGTGTGTACTAAAGTACTAACAAAGTAGCAAGTAGTAGGAGTGATGTCAGCCCTGTGGCAGTAGTTTTCAATAGTCTGAAAAAGATGTTGCAGCTGAGTGCAAAAATCCTCATGCACAAGTTTGTGCTAATATCAGATTAATATCGGTGTCGGCCAATATTGAAGGCTACAATATCAATATCATATCTGAGGTAAAAAAAGTTGTATCGGGACACCCCTCATTTCAACATGCAGTGAGGGAAGAACCTCCAATCTCACAACTAGGGATGCACCGATTCGATATTTGATATCCTGATATTGAAGAAAATTCTAGATTTATTATCATGACAATGGGCCTGATGCACAGGGGCTGATCTATTCAGCCTAACTCTCTGCTATGCGTCATGAGTGGCATCCACAAGTAAACACGCTGAGCTGATGCCCACATTGTTTTCAAAATGGAGCGACTAAAGGGGTCTGATATCTTGGATGTAATCAAAATACCTCAGCCTACAAGCTCGACGACCACTTGCAATACCTGCGCAGCAAACATTCTGAGGGGCAGTGGTAAAACTTCAGTTTACAACAAAAGGTAATTCAGCGAGGTGAAAAAAGCGGATCGGCGCATCCCTGCTCACAACTGATGAACAACTAGCTATACTTCCTAAACCACACCTGCCCCAGAAATTCTACCATTTCCCTTTTTTTGCTCTTCCTCTTAACCGCAAAAATGTACAATTAATCATTGACAAATTAACCAGGATCACGAAATCCCAGTGAAACCTAATTTCAGTGGACCTCTCACAGCGTGCAATCGAACTATGCCATTAAGAGAAATAAGATCTCAGAACACTTGGTGACCATGGGAAACCCGCGGCGTCTCACTCCATCTTAAATCCCTAAATCCTTCCTCACTTAATATTTTCCAACCAAATGCAAAAAAGAAACAGCATTATAAAAGCCTCCCACCCTCTTGCAGCACTCAAACAAATCACTCACAGCTGGAGAGGGACCCCAGTCCACTCACAGTAAAGTGTTTTTTTTTTTTTTATAAGAATGATGGATAAAACCACATGGTGTCACAGATGTCGTAGTTCCCATGGCAACGTTCTGCATTCATAGACTAGGATGACAAGTGAAGACATGCACATAGGCAGAAATACACACACACTTACATATTCGAAAGTGCACATACCCTGTAGGAGGAACAAGTGGCACTTAAAACTAGCCCTCCTTGTGGACTGCTGACCTAACCAAACCAAGATGTAATTGTTTTCCATCACAAACAAGCAAAGCTAATACACCGAGCCTGGCCCAGTGGTGTCGGTGTCAGAAACAGTCCTCTATGACAAAGTTCAGTACAAAACTCTGAGGGCAAAACTCTAAATTGGAATCCAAATTTAAAAGATAATGTCTTCAAATCACTGACAGTGTGACAAAAAGCTCAATTTTGCCCGTTTGATCGCATGTGAAAGGTAAGTATCATTTTAGGCAAGTTAAAGCGGCGTAATTGCTTCATCTCTTCCTTTTTATCATCATTGTAACTGCCATTTGAATGAACCATAGACATCCACTTAAGCTTTTTCTCCATTATAAAGACTCAAAAATTACTCTTATCAGAAGCGATTATTTTCCACACATACAAGTTTTTATAGAACAACCACACCAAGTTGTTGCAAGGACATAGAAATAACTGTAGTAGATTTCAATAACTATATTAGTATCTCTCTTGTACAGCCTCCTAAAGGACATCTACTCTATTTGATCTTCTATACCTTCACTATCACTAATACTGCACGGATATGCAGCTATCAGATGCATACCTGTGATGTTCATGGATATGTTTGTCTGATCTTACAGAGAAATGTAAATGATGAAGGATCACCTATTATGATGAGATACAGAATGAGAGCGGTTGTCAAAGTCAAGGAGGAACAGGGCAGGTGAGATCCTGGAGGGCTCTGTAAATAGAGCAGGTACACAGAGGCGGTCCATGCATCACACCGAGATAGCTCAACACACAAGCACACAAACACACACACATACATGCTGTATAAACCTGTCATCTCTAAGCTTTCACTCCTCTTAGCACAGGATTAAATGGGAATTGCATCTACACAGGATCTATCTGCATGTCATGATCGACATCAAAGTAGATATCAAACCGTATTTCCAAGGGTCTGGAGGTTTGGGCTTGTTGGTTGGCAGTAGATTTATCCAGAATCCGTCCTCTGCAACAGACAAGCAACACACATTTGAATTTGGATGATTCACTAACAAAAAGCACAAACCCTAATGTAACATTCAGGTGGCCATCATCAATATTTTCCTACAAAACAGGATCATCCGGCTGCTTTTGAAGTATATAAGATGGTGTAAACCCACCTGGGAGTTATCTGCGTGTTTGATAAGTGTTCAAGCATCTTCAAGCTCCTCCTGTTTTGATTTTAAGGCCCAAAACTTTGCCTCTGATCACTGTCACACCTCTAATCAGAGTTTTTATCTAGTTAGCAGGGATCTCTCTGCAATCAAAATGGCTGTAGGTTACTCAGTCGCACTAACTGGTGGACTGATAAAACAGCTGTTGAATAGAAGTGCTGTCTCGACTAAATGTCTGCAATCAGCCCTTTATTATTCCCAAAGCCTGGTCACACAGACTCACAAAGTACCCTTGAGTGTTTGCATAGGAAATTAGAGCTTTGAAATAACTGTTTTTGAGCTTATCTTTGCAAAAATAATATTTCAGAGGGGCAGGTCTCAGAAATGGTTGGAGAAACTATCAATCAGCTTGTTTTGGAGGATTTGAGTGATGGATTGACTGAACAAAATAAAACCTTATTTTGGGAATCGGGGTCTGATTCTAATCCCATCTGGCAGAGAAAGTCAATGTATCTGATTTTCCCTGCACTGTGCAGATTTTTTACCCCATCCCATACACACACTTGTTGTCAGACTTATCCAACAGACACTGGATGGAAAGAAGCAAATAATGTGCCTCTGTGACGAGAATGTGTTTTAAAAATAAGGAACAAGGACTGAAAAGACAAATTCTTATACATATCATTGCTGATTACCAATTGTACCTCCTACAACCAACGTTGAGAATCTTGATTGTTCATTGATTTCCATCTCCCTTCCTCATACATGAAGTATTTTCACGCTCACTTCCGTGGCCCTAGGGTGGCCGGTTAATTACACATAGTGTTGTTCGGCTGGTTTAACACAAGGGTTTTTTCCTGCAAACAACTATACTGTAAATGGGTTTCACAGTATGCTGCTAATATATATGCTGCCTTATACTGAAAAAATAAAGTCCACAATAGAAATCTACGGTGCCATAATTCAGCGGTGCTCTTTCTACACTATGCAGTACAAGCAGACACACAAACACAAACTAAACGCGAGCAAACAATGGAGAAGTTGCTGGTATGTATGAATAGATACAAAAGCACAAGTACAGAGTATTGTGAAGAAGTGGTTGCCAACAGATACCTTCAATCCACATAAATACAAAGACATACACACACAACATATAGAGGGGACAGTTTTGCCTTATTGTCAAGGGAAAGCTGTGTGATCCATGCGCTTGTGTGCTCCCACTATCTGGCTGTTCATGTAAAGACTCCCCCTTGTCTCAGGGAATCAGAAGTAGGCCGAGTCCGTGGATGTGCTCTTTTCATACACCATCACTGTGGATCACAGCCAAGGACATCCTTGCTTCAAATTGCCATACTAGGGAATTTCAGCAATAAAGAATTCATCAGATTTGTAGCAGAATAGGATTATAAAGATACAGCCCAGGTCAACAAAGATGAAATTTATGTGGCTAAAATACTGACCATCACCAAAGACGTTATTACACTAGTACTTCAGGGGTTCTTATCCCAGATTTGGGCATATTAAAACAGCAATTAATCAGGAGAAAATGAGCCTGAAGTGTTTTGTGGTATTAATGAAATATGAGTAAGCTATAATGAAATATACATAAAAATAGCTTGGCCTAGTTTCATCTCATGGTGCTACAGTAAAACAGTGTCTTTGGTCTGTCCTTGCTGTCACTCTCAGAGAAAACCCTTTTCTGTCCCGAGTCAACGCGCATGAAATGCTTCATTTTCCTTTTTTTGGGGAGGTGAGTTTCTAAAATAATTTTGGACTATTCCCAGTGTGGGGCTACATGCTGCGCTGCCACTAACTTAGTCCAGTTTGTTTCAAGGTACTCTGCTTTTTTGTTGGTAAGGATGCCTTGAGCTTTTCTTACTAACAAGGTTTTGACTTCGAGAAGAGCTTTTATGATACAGAGGAGTCAAAATTAAATCAGTGCTGTGTCACTTTTCCAGTCCCTAATGGTTAGACAAAGTGGCCTTCAGCTGGTGTGACACATCGCTCACTTCTCATGAAGTCATCTTCTTGATAGTGGCACAAACAGTGCTTCATACTGGCAAGTGGGTGAGTAAGAATGGCATGTAAGCAAGAAACTGCAGATCATTGGACTAATTTGACTCCGATTTTAGTGGGTTTACAGATTATTTAATCCATAGGTCGTAAAAAGGTCTGCACTGTGCCACTGTAGTCAACAGAAATGGTTTCACAATGTGGAGTCATGATCATTTTCTCTCAGCACCATATTGACTACATTTTAGATTTACTGAGATTTCCTGGCTGAGCCCATAAAACTAATTCATGTAATGAACCGTGAAGACAAAACACGAGACAGCAAAGCCTGGAACACATCAGGTTACACAGAGAAAAAACACAAGGAGCTGAAATCCTCCATCCTATCTATTGTTGAATCTTATCTGAGCTGAAAGTGGTGTATTTAAGGTCTCTTGCCCTTTGACTAAAAACTTGGTAGCTTGCTCCTTGTTCTCATCTGTCATTTTGGATTTATGAACCCCACAAACCCAGTACATTTTAGTGGAATAGACCATCAAGTCCACAGAAGTGATTTATGGCATATCTGCAGCATTTATTACATTCCAACTGTTGATTTAAGCCAGTAAAGCATTTTTCTTCTCAAAATGTGGCAAAACAGCACAGTTAGCTGATTAAACCAAGACAGATGTAATATTCACCCAAAATGTTTATTTTCCTTCTTTTTCTGAGAGGAAATTATGAAGTAGGGGACAATATAACGTGAATGGGTGATAACACCAAATGGTGAAACATTACCCTGATGCTAAGGAGAAGTCTTGTCTCACCTTGTTTAGATTCTATCATGTGCTCGCTTTACATTAAATCTTACTTATCTGGAAATTTGCAAAAGATTCTCATCATTATGAGATCTGTTGTATATCTGCTATTTAACAAAATAAATCACCTAATGGTTGTAATTACACCTCTGCTCAATAGGACTCATCAAAACAATGATACACATATGCAGAGCAGGATGTTATGTCCATAACTTGGGCTTAAACCATAGACTGTATATAGAATGGACGCTGTCTGCCTCCTTGCTGGGTGAAGCCACTCCAAGAACAGCAGCTTCTGGTGACAGGTTGCAGTATAGGTCATAAATCCCGCCTCCACCAGCAAAGCTTACGGGGCTGTAGACAAACTTTAGAAATTTATTATACAGAACATAAATTTTTCTCCCCCCCGCTTACGATGTTCACATGTAGTTACAGTAAGACTGGTTTGACTCTTTTTTCTGTACAGCTCTGTTTTTAAAAGTTATTAGGGGGTTCATGTTTTCTATGATTGACACCTGATACAGCCTATGGGCCTACAAGGATTACGTTGCTTACCCAGGGGGCAATATTTTTTATGTAGGATGGTAGGGGAAGGTCCCGCGTCCTTTGCCTCTGATTGGCTAGAAGTGCTGGGCTCCGATTGGTTATTCCTCATGGCTGTGAAATGTCATCATCTGTCGGGTTAGGGTTATGCTGCGTTCGAGTTACCTTGGAAGTCAGAAGTCCGAGCTGAAAATGACGTCACACTTGAGTTCCCAGCGTTTCACTTGCCAAGTCAGAAAAAAGCTAAATCAGAGGCAGAAACAAGATGGCTACACCTACAAAAGTTATTTTTGTGCCTGCCTTATATTTGGACATGGCTACACCTACGAAAATTATTTTAGTGTTTGCCTTGTCCGAATACAAGGCAAGCGCTTAGATAACTGTCATAGATGTAGCCATCTTGTTTCAGGCCTCTGACTTTGATTTTTCCAACTTGGTAACTGAAATGCTGGGAACTCGAGCATGGCGTAATTTTCAGCTCGGACTTCCGAGCTAACTCAAACGCAGCATTAGGGTTAGAGTTAGGAGATTCAGAATACTGATAATGTTCTGTTTGATGTACAGAGCCGACAGCCCGCACTAGGCTTTAGTGTGTGATGACGTTTCCAGCTTTTCTGGCCATTCAGAAGCGAAGGAGGGCGGGAGCTTCCCCTACCCTTCCTACGAAAAAAAATATATCGCACCCTGGGGATATGCTGTTTGAGCCGGGCATCATCACAGCAACTCTGGGCGTACAACACTACTGCGCAATGTTGGTTTCAGGAAATGGAGGGAAAACGCGGAATTACCGAGAGCTTTTTGGCTTCAAATCTGTATACTGGCGGAAAACGGAACCAAGTTGTCCATAGTATATACAGTCTATGGCTTAAACCTTCACACTTCTGAGGCACCCTTCGTTTAAAGACAGTTTTACAGTTGAGAGTTTTTCCCATTATCAGCTTTGACTTTTAATCATGAGATACACTCACCGGCCACTTTATTAGGTACACCTGTCCAACTGCTCGTTAACACTTAATTTCTAATCAGCCAATCACATGGCGGCAACTTAGTGCATTTAGGCATGTAGACATGGTCAAGACAATCTCCTGCAGTTCAAACCGAGCATCAGTATGGGGAAGAAAGGTGATTTGAGTGACTTTGAACGTGGCATGGTTGTTGGTGCCAGAAGGGCTGGTCTGAGTATTTCAGAAACTGCTGATCTACTGGGATTTTCACGTACAACCATCTCTAGGGTTTACAGAGAATGGTCCGAAAAAGAAAAAATATCCAGTGAGCGGCAGTTCTGTGGGTGGAAATGCCTTGTTGATGCCAGAGGTCAGAGGAGAATGGCCAGACTGGTTCGAGCTGATAGAAAGGCAACAGTGACTCAAATAACCACCCGTTACAACCAAGGTAGGCAGAAGAGCATCTCTGAATGCACAGTACGTCGAACTTTGAGGCAGATGGGCTACAGCAGCAGAAGACCACGCCGGGTGCCACTCCTTTCAGCTAAGAACAGGAAACTGAGGCTACAATTTGCACAAGCTCATCGAAATTGGACAATAGAAGATTGGAAAAACGTTGCCTGGTCTGATGAGTCTCGATTTCTGCTGCGACATTCGGATGGTAGGGTCAGAATTTGGCGTCAACAACATGAAAGCATGGATCCATCCTGCCTTGTATCAACGGTTCAGGCTGGTGGTGGTGGTGTCATGGTGTGGGGAATATTTTCTTGGCACTCTTTGGGCCCCTTGGTACCAATTGAGCATCGTTGCAACGCCACAGCCTACCTGAGTATTGTTGCTGACCATCCCTTTATGACCACAATGTACCCAACTTCTGATGGCTACTTTCAGCAGGATAATGCGCCATGTCATAAAGCTGGAATCATCTCAGACTGGTTTCTTGAACATGACAATGAGTTCACTGTACTCAAATGGCCTCCACAGTCACCAGATCTCAATCCAATAGAGCATCTTTGGGATGTGGTGGAACGGGAGATTCGCATCATGGATGTGCAGCCGACAAATCTGCGGCAACTGTGTGATGCCATCATGTCAATATGGACCAAGCTCTCTGAGGAATGCTTCCAGCACCTTGTTGAATCTATGCCACGAAGAATTGAGGCAGTTCTGAAGGCAAAAGGGGGTCCAACCCGTTACTAGCATGGTGTACCTAATAAAGTGGCCAGTGAGTGTATATTATAGTAAGTCCAGTACAAGCATTACCTTTTTGAAAGTCATTTCTGATCAGGCGGCAGAGCCCAGCACCTAAATTGGAAAACAATAAAGTGAGACATGTTATTTCCTGTATTTTTTTTTATATTATCAAAGTATATGTTCATCTTTATCGTTAGTATAAATGTAAGCCGATTAACTAAACTAGATAAATGCCCGGGAAAAGACAGTGAAATCCACCCAACTTGTTTTAGGCTAGGCACCACATGAAAACGTATACAGGGCTCTCAAGTCTCACGCAATCGGCGTGAGACACACGCATTCCCACCCGTTCACACGCTCACACGCCACACATTGTATTTCTCACGCATTTAATGAACATGGTGATGTCCACCAAGTTGCACCTCTTTAACTATGGAACAGGTAGGAATCAACTCAGTTTCTCCGAGAGTTCAGAAGCTGCGTGCCACGCGCAAGCCAATCAAATAAAGTATATCTACTGAACAGCCAATCAAAAAGCAGCATTGCTGTATCCGGGTAGATTTTGATATCTTGCGGTTTGACTACAGAAGAAGACAGACACTCGCCGTAATAGAGCAGGTTTTTATAAGGACGAGATAGATCCGATGATTACAGTAAGTCAGTAACCTACACATGCAGCGATCTCAACACCTCATGGCAGATAAACTCAAATGATAAACTAAAGCCCTATGCTATTGCTATTAACAGCTGTATTGACGGATTTAGTCTCTGTACAGCCATTTCCAGCCATTTCCTCCTCCGCAAAAGCAGCATTTCTCATATATCTCAAATATAAGTTCTGATACTCATGACAGTGTAATGCTCATGTACCAAAGGATTAAGTATCTCCATATTTGTGACACCTATACTAAAGCACAATTCATCTTAATGTTCCACAGTGCTGATTTTAACAACTTTATTCTTTGAGATTAAAAAGCGCATTTTTTCTAATTGTGCCCCTTATACTCCGTTGTATTTAAGAGATAATTATACTTATAATTACCCCCCCCCAAGGAAATCTCACTCTAAGCTTAGTTCAAAACTTGAGAGCCCTGCGTATAGCTGTGAGCTAACCTCAAGCTTTTTCTCTTTCATTACCGCCTTCCTTCAAAAGACGACATGTCATCTTGGTCATTAAATGAGAACAGAAAGCATATGAACCTGTTTAAAGCGGTGTCTGTTGGGGTGTGCAGTCATTCAGAGCGACATCAACAGGAAACATGAGGCTGCTGCTGCTGCTGCTGTGTGGAGGGCTGGCCTCACCGTAATGACTGGAGTCAGGTAACCATCGGACAACCACCGACTCTTTCCCTTCACACGGACGGGCTCAGACACGGAGGGAGGCGGTGAAGGTGGCTCCCATCGACGGTTTTACATCTTAACGTCTGGAAAAAAGGGATTTTGACTCGTTCAACAAACTTAACGGGGCTGTAAAAGTTTGTTGGAGTTGGCAACGTGTCGTTAATGAGAGGTACGGTGCGTTCAAGAGCCAGGGCGAGGAGGCTTCTCAGGTGTTCATCTCCGCCAGGAACTTTTAGTCACAGTTTGCTCTTTTTGCGACATTATTCACTGAGCTGAGAGGAGGATTGCTCATTTTCTGTCGTGGCTCCAGTTTTTACACATTCCACTTGGGTTTCGTTTCCCGTTTTTCCGCCCATTGGGCTCAGAAACTTCGAGCGGGCAAGTTTTAACAGGTAAGTGTGTTTTTTGGCATTTTCGACTCTTTCCACCTGAAACTCAGACAAAGTAAGGTTTTATTTCTGGTTGTCAACTTTTGGAGACGGGCCGAGCATTCGAAGTGAGGCCAGTCAGAGCTGGACAGCCTGAGCAGCTGTTGACTTGTCTGACCTCTATTAACCATTAGCCTACTAACCAAGGAGTCAAACAATGACTAAAAAGCCTTTGAAATGTAACCTGACTGTCCAAACTTCAACTTAAAGCCAAACTGCACCCTAACACACTCTAAACTCACACAAACCCAAAACACACAGACCTGTTTTGCACTTGAATAGCCTACCTAAAGTCTCCCTTTTTCCAAATGTATTTATACGAGTTACTGTAAATGGACTATCATATCATAAGTAATGCAGTTGTGATCTTCAGTAGTGTTTTTACAGCTGCTTTTGTATATATTTCTCTCAACATAAGGACAAGCTGTAGCTCCTTTATTGCATGTATTTGTTCTCAGCACAGAGCTTTATGGGCAATTAAGTCCAAAAGCTTCAAGCCTGCAGGGCATTTAAAACTGTTTATGGTGCAGTGGTTAAGATAGCATTGCAATATTTTGACACTTTCCCTGCTGCTGCTGTTGCAGCTGCATCTTTATACCATAATGTGCATCAACACACTCTCACATTTACCACAACACACATACAGGCTAGATCACAAGTATGGTGCATTGCATTTGACCACACATTTCCTTGTCTTACTCTCTTATGTTTGACTCTGCTTTCTCATCACTTTTAAGAATACCCCTGCTAGATCTGTTCTTAGGATGAATTAAAACAAGAAAATTACTGCCCTGAAACCCACCAAACAAACGGTACTTAGCATGCAGCTAAGCATACAGATTTACAAGCAGAAACCCCTGCAGGAGTTCCTGACGTTGCTCTTCTTCTATCAGGTTAAAGAAGTAATGGCCTTGAGGCCATATCCGGGGTAGTTAACCCCCTCTGTCTTAATTCGACTCTCAGGAAGGATTTACTTTCTTGGTTTGTTAACAAGCTTGCTTATGTTAAAGTTTCAAAGAGAACCTGCATATAAAAGATCAGTGCGCAGGATGTATGGATGTGCAAAAGGTGATTTCTAGTCATTACCGCTGTTTTATGATGCCATAAGTATGACAGTTTCTGTCCTTGAAAAAACATGAAATACACCGTAGTTCATGTGTCCATGAACAAGCCTTCCTAATGAAAAGATGGTAAAACTCACAAAAAGGCCGGACTCCAGGTTCTGTAATAATGTTGATTTTGTGTTCAAATCAGCCATTGAAGCTTCTGAACACATGGCTATGATCAATCACTCTAATGAATGAGGGGTCACTCTGTCAGTCACTTTCATAGCTGTTTAGTGAGGATCTTGCTTATCTTGTGTTCTAGGGCACCTTTGGTTACAATAACTCAAAGCTTAGTGCTGTCTACCTTGATCAATCAGAGCGCGGATATGTCAACTTATCCACTTCCCTCATTTATCTTTAAACTACGAAATCTATGAAACATATCTTTTTATTTTTTGATTCTGTCTCAGGAAGAGACACAAATGTTTTGTACTTGTTTCATTTTTGATCATTTTTCCCTTAAAGCCCCATGACTGGTACTCCAAGTCCGTCTTTGGAGGCCTAATTTTAAGGTGATATTGAAGCTGCATAACTTTAACCTAACTTTCACCCCTTAGTTAAGCCGCTTGTTTGTCGTACAGGACATGGGTATTTATATGCTGTTATTGGTTTACAAATACAACAAGATTAGATACAGATCAAAGTTTGTGGAGGGAGCTTAAATAAAGCTTTTTTAGGACTCATTCTTAAGATTTTTCACATATGACTTTCACTACTGTTACGTTTCTAATAGAGAGATTCAGTTATTCCTCCCTCTGATCTGATTGCATTTTAGCGAAGTAGACAAACAAAATGGTGAAGTGCCTGCGTGATGATGTGTTTATCACTTTCACACCAGTTTGGTTTAGGTATGAATCTGCTCAATCTAATCACATGCATGAAAAGGAGAGACTGACGGGAAGAGAGTGGGCTAGACTCTGAAGTCAGATAAAAGTGAAACTGTGTGATCGTCACCATCACCAATCAGGAGGAGTCTTATCTTTTCGAATTGTGTTGCAGGAGTCAGACTCTAAACAACAAAGCAGAAGGAGATATAAAACTGAAAGTAAAGAAGGAGAGACGAAGAGCGGCTTGGATTGATGATATCCGCTGCCTATTTGATTGTAAACTGGATGATGGATGAGTTTTCAGCAGGAGGGAAATTCCTCACTGCCATTGTGCCCCCAAGCAAAAACTGATGGTCTGTTTCTGTCCATCCTTGGTTTAAGTGATACCAGATTTTCACCGCTATCTACCCCTTACACAAAATAGCTTTATTGTCTGAAACAGTGTTCACAGTGACTATTTGTTTCTTTCTATATTTCGACTAAGCTACTCAGCGTGGATAATAATACCCTATGTGTCATATTGCCACTGCTCTGACTGTGTGTTCAGATTGCACAAACAGGCTTCAGGCTGTTATTATTATGGCTGTGGAGGGGATTAGCTTCAGACGTCACCAGGTGAATATAGATGGTTTGTCTGGAAACAACAGATCAGTGCAGCACCGGCCACACAGGAAGCTATTTTTCTTACAGTAATGTTGATATCATTATTCAAGCAGCTTACAATAAGAAATGAAAATCTTCTTTTGTCTCTAATTGAAAACCATTTGTTTCAAACTCTATTTAGCCTTTTTAGTAATTCTAGTTAATTAAAAAGTATTCTTTTGTGCGTATTTGTTCTTTGGTTTTACTTTAAATCGGCATTTTTCGTGTGTCGTGTTTCAAACTACAGTTCTCTGCAGTCAATAATATGAGTCGCTCATATGAGTCTGTCACAGTGTAAACAAACATCATTTAAAAGTCATCACCCCACTTCCTTCTTGTTTTTTTTTATTATTTAACTTTAAATTTGGTATCAAAGTCTTATTACCTAAACAAAATTTCCACAGTGACTCAGTCAAACACACTGAGAGATGATTTCTTGGACCCAGAAAAGAGCCTCATGATCGTCATAGTAAATGGGTGGAACGCCCCATTTAAGCAGACTAACCTCAAGGGATTGCAGTTTTTGTTTGTGTCATTCATAGTTGCCTCCTTTTCAATTACACTGACACTAAATTGCTCCTCAGTGACCACATAACCTGCGGCAGTTTTCTGTGTTACGTCAGCATGTCAGTCCTGACATACCTGAGATACCAGCCACGCCCCAAAGTCATGTCAGAACTGTGAATTTCAATGACTTCAGCTTTCGTCTGTCCTCCTGTCTTCGTGTTTTTGCAACAAAAGGTGTTTTTCAAATGGCACTCTTAATCATTCTGTTTGCATCCGTGCGTGGTATCCCTTTTATCTGTTGGTTGAAAGATTTAGAAGTGCATGTAAACAAAAGGTTAGAGAGAGAAGAAGGGTTGAAAGCATTTACCATCTTCAGTTTACTTAATGTCTATTGTGCACTGTACACATGCCCTTCTCTTGACACAGACAACAAAGTGTTAGTCAAACAGACAGGGATTAGACAGATAAGTGATGCGTTGTGGTTGTAAAGGTACCGGACTGAGAGTTTAACTTCAAAACAAAATCATGAGCCTTGTTTGACAGGATAATGTCTTTAATGTCCCAGCATTTAACAGCTTTGTCATATTTTTGACAGTCAAAGTGAAGCAGTGTTGCCTGCACATGTTAATACTTATGCTGCGTTTCAATTACTTCGGAAGTCGATGTCAGAGCTGGGAATGATGTTGATGGTGTTCCAGTAAACAAGTCGGCAAACCAAGATGGACGCCTACTGTTAGCCGTCGTTAGCTGTTGTTAAAATTGTCAGCTGTTGTTAGTTGTTGTTAGCCATTGTCAAATGTTGTTAGCTGTTGTTAGTTGTTGTTAGCGGTTGTCAGTTGTCGTTAGCCATTGTCAAATGTTGTTAGCCGTTGTCAGCTGTTGTTAGTTGTTGTTAGCTTTACCAGTTGTAAACAACGCATAACTACTTATTTAATTTCACAAAAACTCTTTACTGTTAATGCTCTGGGCTGTCATCTTGGATTTTAACATTGCCATCAAGCCGGGGTTGGTGAGGATCGTCCGACTTTCTGAGTCAGAAATCCAGCTTCAGGGTGGCGTTCCAGATTAATCTCCGACTCGGAGCTCAGAAATCCCGACTTCTGAGTACAACTGGAACGTACCATAAATACACTCTCTCTGTAGCCAGTTTATTCAGTATGCTTAATTGAATCAAACACAGCCGATTGAAAATAGCCACTCTCAAAATCTTACTACCATGGTGGTTATTGTAAAGCACAGGTGAGGGTTTTCAGCTAATAATAATGCAGACTGAAATTTATATCAATTACTTTTTATGATCCACAAAAATAAGTCAAGAAAAGATTAAGTGTTTCTTTGGTCACTTTTGTATTTGCAAAATTGTTGCTATGGAGTTGCGGTCAGGGGAAGTAATAAACTGTGTACTGCCAAAACAGCTTTTTTCTCATTTAAGATAAAAATTTAGAAAATGGATGATACATATGACGGTTAAAAAGGAGAAAGTTGGGTTTTTTTTAATTCAAAAAGGCACTACTCGATTGTAAAAGTACCTTTGTGTCCACAGAAGACACCAAAATAGACACAAAATTGTAGAATTTATTCTTTTTCTTGTAAATGAAGAATCAGCATTTGACGGCACGTTCACCAACCCACTACTGTCATTTATAATCCCTGTTAGTGTCCGCAGGAAATTGCTGTCAATGAGCACAACAAGTCATCAATTAAAAGCAGAAGTAGAGCCACAGATTTCCACGTGTGTGTATGTGTGAGAGAGTGTGTGTGTGTATATATATATATAACTCTGGTGGTGGAGAGGAAGAGATGGAGGTGTTCTCACAATTAAGCAATGCCAACAAGCTGTCTAATGTTACACGTCCGTCCAAAGCTGCAGCTAATGTGTGATTTTGTTCCCTAGTCTATTAAATGGTGAGAAAGATGTCTCTTCCCTGCCAGTTTGAAAGAAAATCACCTGTTGCTGTATTTCTTAAAATGTCAACAGCATGGATCTACATCCCACACTGCGTAGAAGTGATTTACCGAGGCTGTTTTTGTTTGTGTGGTTTTTGTTCTGAATCTTGGCAGAAATTCATAAGCAGAATAAACATCCTTTTCATCATCAGAGAGGGCTGAGGATGTCTTCACAGTTCCTTTTGCTGCTTATAGGCATGCCTTTTTTTTCTTTTTCTGGTGCTCAGTTAAATGAAATATTCTGACTCTTGTTGCTCTGCTTATACCACGGACGCTTCATCGACACAAGTTGTTTTTCTTTTAAGTCTGACTACCTAATTAATGAATTTGTCAATCACACTTTGAGGCAATATCCTGGGGAGGAGCGGCAGTGCAGATTTGGGAGCCTTGGCGCAGTTAAAAGGAGGCCTTGTCAGACCATTTAGGATCAGACTTTTGCAGTAAAAGAAGCGGCATTAACACACTTACATCCAGTGCCAGGGTGCATCATCGGACAGCACAGTTGACAGGCACAGCCTTTAAATGCACATATATTAACCAGCAGAGGAGTCTTTCCTTTTGGTACAGCATAGCCTCACAGTTATCTTTTTGCTATATCTATAACTACCTTTATACTACAGTCTGTTTGTTTCTATTGCAGCACCATCTGAGTGGCACAATGATCAATGATAAACATATTGGATTTTTTCAGATTTTCTTCATCTTTTAAAGATGGTATGTCTGTAAATCTCTGCAGTTCTTATGTGTGTAATTCTTTGCCATTTTATGATGAGGAACAGTTTGAAATTGTTGCGCTGTTTGGTCGTAGAGTCTCTGACAGCGTAGTGAATCTTCTTTCATCTTCACTTCTGAGGGACTGGTCCTCTCGAGTGCGTCCTACCAAGTCATGTTATCTACCTGTTGCAATAGCACCTAATTAGCAGGGAGATGTTCCTTTTTTAAACGCTGTGTTGGTCTCAAATGTAAAAATGCAAGTGTATCTTCTACTTCAATATTTTGCATGTTGACTTTGCACCAATTTTGATTAAAATATCTGGTTTAAATGATTTGTAAACTGCCAAAATCTGCTCTTATGAACAATTTATGCCGCCTCTTTGGAGCTTTGGTAAACAGAACTTTTCTTTTGTACCGTTCCCCCTGCTTGTGGTGAATTACTCAGTATTTGTCTAACCGGGTCAAGCAAGTGTTTCTACAGTTTCCCCCAATGTGTTTATGACCTTGGTGTTGACTAAAACCTCAATAAAACAAATGATGTTGCCATAGTGAGCAGGAGCATCCCCTTGTAGTGGCCTTTTTGACCTCAGCCCAGACTCGGCGGTTTGTTTGTTGACTTAATTGTTGTTTTCATGGGTTCTGGTAAAATATCTGAGATTTACTGCCCTGGGAAAAATTACTTTCGAGCGAGAAACTAGAGTGAAAGTGCCAAGTGATTTCAGATCCTTGAAACGGCTCATTTTAATAACCCAGAGCTTTTACGCCAAAAAAGAAAAGATATCAGTAACTTTATTGTTTGTTTTTTTCTGCTCTGAAAGAATTATGCCAAGGCACGAAGTTTGACAAAACTCACCGTGATCCAAGTTCTGTTTGTTTGAATGCTCCATCAGCTTTCACACATTAATCGAGCTGTAACACATTCCCCCTGTGTACTTTGTACATAGTTTGAGAAAAGCTTGCATTTTGAAACACCTAGTCAAACATTAATTTTCCAAATTTTTTAAGAAACTTCCTTAACATGTAACCAGTGCTATTGGTTAATGTGTGTTTGAAGAACTGTCTGTACGGCTCACAACACAAGAGCATTCAGCCACTAAAAAGACTGTAAAATGATTTTATTTTGAGACGAATAGGCTACATTGTTCCATTAAGATTTAAATAAAGGAAAATCTGAAAGGTAAAGTGATTAACAAATGAAAAATTTTTAAAAGGGACAAAATCTCAGTGTGAAAGAAAAGCAGCCAAAAGCAAGAGGAGAGGAAAAACCTGATAACTGCAATATGATTAAAAAAGAAAAAAAAAAAAGAAAATTCAACGTTTCAGGTTGACTGGATACTCTTGACACTGGCAAAAGTGTACACAAAAGTCCATGACTCAGCATTGTTAGATGTTATCAGGCGGTTGTGAGTGTGTTTTCATATTTCAAAGTTTATTCAAAGTCAAAGTCTAGATGAGAATTGTTAAAAAGAGAAGTTCTATGTTGGAATGAGTTGGTTTGATACGTTCGAACTCTAATTTAGGCTGCGTTTATGTCTTATAAGCTTGTGTGTGTGTGTTTGTGTTTGTATGAGGTAATGTGTGTAATTGTTACAGAGCTATGAGGCCCTGCAGCACACGGACCTGCAGGCTTTTGAGTCCATGACAATAGCCAAAATGAAGCGAGACCGGATTACACCAGTCCTGCATTCCTCTCCAAACCTGTTTGTGACACACATACACTCTCTTTCACACACACACAGACAGACACACAGCTCAGGCCTGTGCATGTCATACAAATGCCTGCTCACAGTACAAAGAGGATGTTTCCATCAAGAATGGTCAGAGCAGATGCAAACATTAGCGGTGTTACCAAAAAGAACACAAAATTAAAAACTATCACAAGGAGTCACTCTGTAAAGACAGGCAGTTTATGATTCATTCATCTCCAGTGAAGGTCAAAACCTTTATTTTGTTGCATTAACACAGTTTAACCTCTGCATACTGCCAAGGTGGTAAGCTGTTGGACCACAGAACAGCAAAAACCAACAACCCAGCAGCTCGACCAAAGACCTGCATTGACAGTAGGGCTTGGCGATAAACCGAAAATTTACCAATACCAAAATGTACGCCAATAATCAACGTCATTTTGCCCATATCGGTATATTCGCTGTCAAAAAGATAGATAAATAAAAGTTGATTTTGGATGTGTTCAGGTAGGCTATAGTCTCATGTCCCTTTAAGACGCTGTCCTATGCCAGGAACGTGACTCCGCCCCATCCAGTCCATAACAAAGAGGGAAAGACAGGTGAGGAGATGGAGGACGGTTCAAAAGTTGCAGCGGCTGAAGTAGACAAAGTTAATATGGGAGGGGTTGAGCAGCTTGTGGATTTGTTATCGTCTATTTATCGTTATCGAGGTGAACTGCTCAATATATTGTGATATTGATTTGAGGCCATATCACCCAGCCTTAACTGACAGGATGCATCATTAGCCACTTCTGTTCATAAATCCAGGTTCACAAAAACCCCTTAAAACAGCAAAAACAAGTGGTTATGATGGTTATAATGTACATGATTGAGCGTTCGCATAATTCTTCTTTCCATGAGCAGATAACTGATTTAAACCGACACAGCTGTGAAAAACTTTTTTTCGTGAACGGTGGCACTGCCGAGCTCGTAACTTAAGGTGCACCACTGTGATTTAAGGAACTGTTACACCGCTAGCCTTGTGGAACAGCTGTGCTGTGTCTGAATGTGAGAAACTGACAGTCACATGTTGTGAAGTGTCCCGGTTCGAACACGATGTGTGACTTTGAGCTGTTTTTTTCCTCTGAAGATGCAGGCAGGATGTGTATGTTGTGACACAGCCCTGTGTGTTTTGTCAGTGCATGTCAGAACAGGTGTCTCAAACTCTGATCCCACTCTTCACATAACCCACTCGAGTTCCTGTTCTCTTTCTCGCTTTGACCCGTGCTCCCCTGCAGGATTCCCCTTTTTTTATGATGTCTGTGTCTTTTCATTTCTGTCATTCTTGCCTCCCCCTCCTTCCCATCTCTGAAGACTTCTCTCTCTCTGCTCTTCATGACTCATCAGCTGTAAGGCAGGCGAGGTCACAGGGATGTGGGTTTCGTTTGTACAGAGACTCAATGAAAAAGTCCACCCTGTTGACCTTTTTCTTTCCCTTTCTATTTATCTTTTTCTTTTCCTTTCCAATTATATTGGCCCCCAGCATACAGAGACCAGACTTTTTATGCTCTGAAATTTCCTATAATTGCAAGTACATCATATTTCTCGAGATGTTGTGTATACAGTATATGTCGGGCATGACACCAGCTCTGTTTACCAAACTGAAAATATTAGGTTAAAGGGTTGTAATGACATCCAGCTAGTGGCAGTCTCAGAGTCTGTGTTTCCCATGAAACCAGCTAGCCTGTAATCTTCACTCCCCTTCAAAGCCTTACGCACATACACACTGTATTTCACCTCAGGGTTAAAAACCGGTGTTTCCCTTCTTATCATGAATGCTAATACGTGTCTCAACTGTCTGTGCACAATGTTTGAGGAGATAAAGCCGTAGATAGAAGAGTTCATGACTGCCAAAACTCTGAGACCACAGTGATTAAGTCAGTCAGAGCTGATAACACATTGTCTCCAGCTCTGAAGTCCCACAAGGTCAAGACTGAGTGAACCTACAATTTAACATTACGGTCATGCAGATATATTCAGAAAAAATAGTCAGTCACAGTTGTAGCTGTGTTCATTTACCAAATACAAAGGCAGCTAAAAACTGAGGGAAGGTTTTATGTTTGAAGGACAACAATAGCTGTTTGTGATTGCCACTTCACTGATTTTAACTCCTTTGAAAACAAGGGTCAGAATGAACTGGATTTGCATTTCTACTGTTATCGAGACCAAGGTCTGTTTTATCCTTAAAGACCTTCCTTGAGGGCTCAGAACCACACGCTGTGAGTAACTTAATGACAGCAGCTCATTTGACTAAAAGTAGTATTTTAAGGAGCTGAGTGGGTGCAAGACTTCCTCTGTTTTAACTTTTATGATGACAAAGCTGTGTGAAAAGTAACACTCTCAGATGGTGTGTAGCTTTATATCAGGCAGTAGCCGCAAATCTAAGGTATATAAGAAGTTTTTGGATCTGAAAATCCACTCTTTAAGTTTGCTGGACTGACAAGTGAAAGGTGAAAATAGGTGTCCTAAAAATGTTGAACATTGTGTTTGTCTTAAACGTCTTTACATTTGAAGTATCTGAATCTCTGTTCTCCATGAGAGCCTCATTTTGAAAAATATGTACAAATTTTATGCCAGTTTATTGTGCTTGTAGCAGAAACCTTAACCCTGCAAAAAAGGACAAAAAACTATCTAGTTTGTTCAGTTCAATGAAAAAACTCCATGGTAAATTTGGGCTATTTTTTTTTCTACTGTATAATTAACCGCATTGATTTTGATATTGACATTTTTTTCCATTCAAAGGAATATTCCGGCGTAAATTTAAGTTAGGGTCAAACACACCATAACACTGAGTTAGACACACCCCCTCGTGGGATGACTGCTTGCTTCTCTAGTTATACCAACTTTAGTAACGACCGCACAATAGCAATACACAGAGGACTACGAGTCACTAAGGTAGAAGAACTACTGCGTCTGCAGTGTAAAATGATTATTATGATGATTATTACTTCATGGAAATGATCAGCTGCACTATCCCTTTAACAGTAAGATTGTAAATTTCTGCACGGATTTAAAGTTGAATATTTTGCCCCTCCCTCAACATTACTCAACTATCAAGACTCTAAATTCTTTCACGCATTTTCAACAGCATGTTTTTATCCAGCCCTATGAATCCCTTTCACTCTTATAAAGTTGAACATCACTTTAACTCACTGCATTAAACATGTTACTGATAACAGGAGTACACTAACTTCACCGATCACAGAACTCTGATCATTTAAGCGATTTTCACCTCCAAAACAGTCTTTCGAGGAAACGTACAGTCAGACCAACACAACAATATGACTTCTTGCCAGTTGGATTACAGCAAAAATCCTGCTTGCTAATCAGACTTTATGAGCCCAGATGACTCATCTAAGCTGCATAGCATGTTGTACTTGAGCGTCATCATGCATATGTATGATCCGGATGACCGTGTTAATCTCTGTAGGCCTTCTGCTGGTTTGATGAGTGGATGACAAGGTTTTACAAAGGCTTCACCCCACTGTCACTTCTGATCTACTGCACAGCTTAATGGCTTTGAAACCGTTTTATTTCTAACCCAACTCCCTTCAGACCTATTATTTTAAAGGCATACAGCAGATGGGGATTTTTGTCATGGCTACCGATCAGAAACTCGTACATCTAGGGAATGACACTGAACATGATGAGCCTTATAGAATAACCAGCCTAACGTCAACCAGCAGTGTGTTTCTTAGGTGGGATAACAGCTGCACAAACTGTCATCTTATTGCACTAAATCTGTTCGTCGGACAACATTTTTGATACATGTCACAGCATGCAATCTTTTTCTTCATATTAATTGTATTTTCACCTCTTGAATGTGTGGTTGCTTTGAAAGGCCTCCGTTATTTGTCACACAGAAGTGTCCACCAGTGAATCAAGGTCTGGTGGAGGTTCTTACCCGTTTAAAGTTTGTTCTTGTTACTGTTGTTCACTCAAGGTGAATTAATGTTGTATCTCTTTTAAAAACAGATATACGAAGGTGATTGTTTTGTACTCTGTCAGGGTTGACCTTCTATTTGTGATTGTCATGGGAAGAAGGCTGCACTTTTCTAGTTTTGGTTGGTTCTGCTGACGTCTGTAGGCTGGGACTGGTAGACATTTGGGTTTCCGCAGAGTGTTGCGTAGGGCTGGGCGATAAACTGAAAATTTACCGATACTGAAATTTACGACAATAACCAATATCATTTTGCCCATGTCAATATATTTGGTGTCAAAATAAATAAATAAATAAAAGTTGGTTTTGATGTGTGTAGGTAGGCTATGGTCTCATGTCCCTTTAAGACACTGTCCTACGTCAGAGATGTGACTCCAAGCCCCATTCAGTCCGTAACAAAGAGGGAAGAGACAGGTGAGGAGATGGAGGACGGTTCAAAAGTTGTAGCGGCTGGAGCAGCGGCTGAAGTAGACCAAGTTAATGTGGGAGGAGGTGAACAGCTTGTGGAGTAGTTATCGTCCAATTATCGTTATCGAGGTGAACTGCTCAATATATCATGATATTCATTTGAGGCCATATCGCCCAGCCCTAGTGTGGTGTGGTTTGGATGAGGTTTGCGGCAATGGTTCTCTTCCAGAAAACAATGGATTGCCTCTCTAGGTGGGGAGTGAGTCTTCGCCCCAAGATGTAATATCTTTAAGGGTAAAATGTTGTGTGAGTTCAGCCGGTGAGTTGGTGCAGTATCAACTGTTATACTAGTTGTGCTGAAGAGGAAACTGAGCCTGAGGGCAAAGCTTTTCAATTTATCGGTCCATCTGTGTTTCTAACCCTTATCTATGCTCATTAGCTTTGGGTAGTGACAGAGGCAGTGAGATCCCAGTTATATTCAGCTAAAATAAGTTTCCAGAGGGTGGCCTCAAAGTAGAGTCAAGAGCTCAGACTTCTGGAGAGAGTTCGGTAAGGGTTGCTGCTCTTTTACGTTGAAAGAAGCAAGCTGAAGTGTTTTTTTTGTTATTGTACCCAGTGGTGAGGTTGGCCTCTTTTCTGAGAAACCAGGTGGTGGTTGACAGGCATCAAAGCTAGGTTATGAAACAAGGTCAGTTTCACTTTGTAATTTAGCGAGTTTTATGAAAATTAGTCCCAAGCACTACTGTATAAGTAGAGTATTTTGAAAAGTTTTCCACGCTTTTCTCATCACATTGCTTTTAGGAAGCACACTGATCAGCTGTTTAAGCTTATGATGTTCAAGTTAACTTACATGTAACCATGACATTTTTGCTCTCCAGCTCCACATAATTTTTTGCAACAAATGCAAAATATGAGGGGTTTGATGTAAAGACGAGACGAGATTGCATTCAAAATAACAAGTTAATACAAGATATTAGGATTATTTAACATAAATACAGATTTTATACATTTTTGTAAGAACTCAAGCCAGATCATCTGGCTACATAAAAAGCAATATTGGACCAAACTGAGGGCATGAAGGCAACCTCAGAGCCCCTGAAAACTTGATGTTTAATTTAGAAATGTGCAGGTCTCATAACTTTCTGGATCAGCTCAAATACAGATCAGATGGAGAGTCGAGGGTGTGAGTTGTGTATATAAGAGTCCTTTTACCGCAGCGGGATACTGTGGGCAGGGCCAGGCAAAGGCTAAAACCAGCATACCTCCTGACGAACAGAGACGTTATTGTGTGTGCGGGGGCTTTCTGGGGGCTGGATTTGTGAGTGTGTGTCTGTGTGAGATACCTGTCGGAAGTCTATTGATCCTCCCCAGTCCTATTTATGACTTTATAATGTTGGGACTAAATGAGAGCAGAGGAATTTCCTCCTTTGAGGTGCATGATTTAGTCAAATTGCCAGTGTATTAAACCTGCTTTAGTCTAACCCCTGAACACCAGGACCTGTTGAAAGATTTCTTTTGATTTTCCCTCCCGGTGATGCCTTTGATGCTCTCAAGCTTCTGCGTTCAGCGGCGATCATTTGTGCTAGCTTACTGTATGTAAAAATGAAAAATAAATACTGCGGTAAATATGTGATTAGGAGGCTCGTGACATCTTTGGATCTTTTGAAGTTACATCCTTTTATTCTCCGAGTTTAAGCTAAAGTAGGATTGTCATGCCTGAGAAGTGCAGTGATAATAAATGACTTTGAGACAGTCGCTGCGCTGTAAATAGTTGACTTTGATAATCCCCAACACACTCCAAAGTGTACTACACTGTTAGCTCTGTGATGTAAAAAGCACACACACATCACACATTGACTATCCATCCTTCAGTGACACAGAGAGAGAGAGAGTGAGAGAGAGAGGGAGTAGAGGAATGCAGTGTTTTCATTCTCTCAACCCGAACTGTCAATCAGAGGAACTTGGCTGTGTACTGCTGCAGCAGCACTATCCAAGTCACACAAATTCCACCCATACCGCCCACCCGCACACATACACACAATAACACACGCGCACACTATCACACACACAGTCCTCTACTGTGTGTCAGATTTATTACTATGTAGATAAGCAGGATATCCATCTCCAATAATGCAATTTGTGCTGCAGAGTCTGTAAAGCAGCTGAAAATCAATAGCTGATGAAAAAGCACTTTAACAACAGATTGTCTCCGTCCATTTCTCAAGCAAGACAGCGACTGCCTCTTTGATTGCACTGTCTCTGATTAAATTTGTATCTGATTTTTTTTAACAGTTAGTTGGCTGTCTGTTTAAGTCAGGATATTCCCGAGCGTTAGATAGCGAGGACAGCTGAGGATGCACAAGTTCAGGGATCAGGGTCATTCAGATTTCACGGTCTGTCTGCAATCGTCTAGAGGACGACAGTGTTTTTGTTTTTCCTGTTCCCAAACACACGGGTAAGGGAAGGATATTTCTAATCTACTGTGGCCTTGACACCCTTAATCTCAGGGTCACAAGTCTAAAAATAAGACAAGGCTATTCGAACAGACCTGAAAATGTGTGATGTGTCTATGTTTTTCTCTGCATTAAAGCAAAAATGCACCGTCTGTAGGCTGATGACAGGATTTGGTGTATTGGAGACGTACTGCTGGCTTGAAATAAGATGGTGAATCTCCACTGCTCACTTTGATTGTGTGCTGAAAACCAGGAAAATTACATTTTGATTCCATCGGCTATCATCTGACCTGGTTAATTTGAAGCATTTGAGTCAAACCTAACATTATTGTATATCTTATGGTGCATTTTAGATCATGTATCAGGAGAGAGGCTAATTTTTCTAGCAGCTTTTCATCAAAGTGACAGGACATAACACAAATTCAACATATTATCTGATGTATTATTTAAAACCATCATCAACATCTGGGATTGACAGCCATCGATTTGGACTTTTTTGTTGTCGCCATAGTTAGAAATAGAGCACCTCTCGAAGCACTTGTCAGTTTTAAGTGACAGGCTCAAAAGCTGAACTATCTGCTCCAGCTGTCAGAACCATTTTTAAAAAATACTAGGGATGTCCTGATCTGGTATTGATATCAGGTATAGGTCCGATATCAGCAAAAAAACAAACAACGGATTATATTGGCCTGCATCTGAAATCTCTGATATCAGCACCCCAATCCATTCCAGACTCCACTCCAGCACCTCTAACTAGCAGCGCCCAGATCCAGCATGCAGAACCCATGTGATCACAACAACAGTGTGTACTAAGGTACTAACAAAGTAGCAAGGAGTAGGAATGATGCCGGCCATTTGGCAGTATTTTTTGTTTAAGTCAGAAAAAGACGTTGCAGCCGAGTGCAAAACTTGTCATGCACAAGTTAGTGCTAATATCAGATCAATATCGGTATTGGTCAATACTGAAGGCTACGATATCGGTATCTTATCAGAAGTAAAAAGGACACCCCTAGAGAATACAGTATTACCAGTTCCCACTTGTGACAGCAGTAGATATCATGATTTCTCCCCTCCTTGTTTTGGTCCTTTCAATCTCAGTATATCTCTGTAGTCCATAAATGTCTCTCCTTGTGTCCACAGTAAACTGCAAACCCATGATGTTGTCAGAATGGATCACTTTTATTTTGATTTCATTCAAAGCTTCAAAACTCTCCCAGTCTTTCTTGCATATGGCACAAATCCACTGTAATTGTAAGAAAAGAATACTTGGACCCTAAATAGAAACCAAAAGCTGTTTCGCTCGACTATAGCTTTTCAATTGAGAAGATTCAGAATTCAGAGCTTATAAAAGGCGATGAACAGTTATTCGTTTCAGTTCTTCTCTCTGCAGCAGGATAATAGGACTTGTCGACGCAGCGTGAGAAATGAGCCTCTAGCAGATGAACAACATTTCCAAGCAAAGATTTTTGAATGTAGCGTCACTAATACAGGTATTAGAAATTAATAAAGCTGTCAATGTCAGTGCTTAAATGTGCTCATGGTATTGTAGGTAATAGAGGGCAGAACATTTGATACCCCTAACCTAATCTGTTTTCTCTCTGTGTTTCACCGTAATCATCCCCCCACCTCTATCCTTACATCTCTCTAGGAAAACAGAGCCTGAACTTCAAAGTGCAGAGTAGCAGGGCGCCCAGCAGAAACATAATTGCATCATCGCACAAACACAAAAATGTCACAGGATGGCCTTTAATGGCCCTTTTCTCTCGCCTCCTATAAATCTGAGGCCAGTTTTAGCAGCTTTGTACCTTGTGTACTGTTTGGCCTGTAGTTAGTGAAACGAGAAAACTGCACTTCTTTGATCTTTCTACATGCCCCCATGGTTTTTAGCTCATGTTAGTTAGTTTTTGGTTGTTTTCTTGAGCCGCAGGAAATTAAAACACAATTTTTAATTCTATGCCTAAAATTATCAAGTCAATGATCGGCATTTGACTTAATGATAACAACAATCATGGTCAGGGGATCTAATCTTTCGCCCCTAGCACAGCCCGTTCTGTTAGTATAATATAATAATATCGACCATTATTCAGTGGTAGTTATAAAGAAAAAAAAGGGGTATTTACTGCTGTGATAGAGCTGATTCTCCATCAGTGCACATTTGTCAAGCGGGGGCTTGATCTGTACTGAAAGATGCCCTATTACACTCGTTAGTTCTCATGACTAACTCTGCACTACTCTGCTGCAGCTCCTGTGCCCTCGCCCTCTTAATAGCATGTCCACTGACATCCGTGCTGTAGGGGAGGGTTAAAGGAGAAGAAGCTATTTCCTGAGTAGTGTCAAAGAAGACCTCCAAGCCTAAAGCGTATGCTTTGCATTTTCAACTTTCACACTGTGTATGTGACATTACATTCACTGTACGTGCACTGTAAGCACTTTGAGTCTGTAATTGAAAAGATAAATCATGTTTTGTCACTGATAGAGGAAGGAGTTTATGTTGAGAGTGTACTTGTTTCCTATCAGAGTTAGTCCTGTTGATTAAAATAATTCCTCCTCTCAAAAATCTTCTCACGGACTTTTCTTTTACACCTTCGCAAAATGAAGTGCAAATGCTTCCCCTCCTGTGAAATTTGCTCACTTGTTAAAAATCTTGTTTTTTTCCCCTATCCTCAGTGGTATTAACCAAACAAACAGTTGTAGAAAAAGGTCTGAAAAATTTAGCCCTGTGCTGCTGCCTGAGTATTTCATTCTTGTGTGCACTCAGTTGTGCTCTACTTTTGAGTGTGTGCCAGAGATATCCAAAAGCAGAGATGTGATATTAAATGGTTCTTTAAGTTTTTCATTCCAGACACCCTACTGTTCCTCCATCTGTTCCCACAGAGCTAATGTCACCACACCAGCACTCAGCATATAGACTTCATGGCACCCCGCTAGGCAAATACACATTGTTATATAAACATGCACACATTCACTAAAGGCAAATATACATTCTTTAGCACAAGGGCTAGAGGAATGTTTGCAGTGAAACTGAAGGACTGTCAGGCAGCTAGAAACCCTCCTGAACACACTCTCTTAAGCTCTCCTAATTTACACTAGAGCTGCAGTGTATCATGTTGTCACTTCATCCATCTGTTGTTCTTTTATTGACTATTTATTCAGCTTTTTTCTATATTTACAAGTAAAACAGTTCTACAGTTTATTTGCAACTGTTCTGATTTATTATTGACTGTTCAAATGTCTTAAATATAGAACATTTACAGGTTCAAGCTTCTTATAGCAGAAAGCCATCGATTTTCGACTCTGTTGTTACAAGTTCAAGCAACATTATGCAGGAAAACATCCTTTTTTAAGTGCAGTGATATTTTACTCTTGCCAGCTTCTTGCTCTGCCTTTCTACATTTTCTGTTTCTGTGTCCTCACTGAGGACAGTGAGCTAAGTTGTAGGGCTGTCTGCCACAAAGCTGTCTCATAGAACATAAAAAATGCTGTGATAAAGATGGACAGAACAAGCGTTTGAGGTGCAGTGAATAAAAGCAGCATTCTCCCAAAGAGCCGGTCTGTCAACATGATTTTGATATTTTTCCAGGGCATATTTTATTGAAGATGTTTTTTCAACTGTACAAACCACTACCAGCATATAATAACACCCCCCAACTAGACTGTATGGTTAAAATAGCACTCAGTGGCTCAGTTTAAACTTGTTGCCAGCCGCATGTTTCAGAAAAGTTAGGATTAGGGGCATGTTTACCGTTGTGTTGCATCACTTCTTGGTTTACATTACTCTGTAAACTTCTGGGAACCAGGGCGACCGGTCTCTGGAGTTTTGAAAGTGAAATTTTGTCCCATTCTTGCCTTATCTAGGATTTCAGCTACTCAACAGTGCAGGGTCTCTCTCCACTGTCATGTTTTTTTATTGTTTGATCTACCAAATGTTATCAACAGGTGACAAGCTGGGACTGTTGGCAGGCAGGCAGGCAGGCCAGTTTAACAGTTCAGACTCTGACTGTGAAGTCATGGTGTTGTAACACTTGCAGCATGTGGTCTGGCATTGTCTCCCTGAAATATGCATCGTCTAGACGACAGCACAGCAGCAATGATGTCTTTCCAGATGTGTAAGCTACCAATGCCAGGTCCGCTTGGGCTTCCCCAAATGCTCACTGCTGCTTTTGAACAGTACACTGATGAACTCATCTTTAGTCCATGAATTAGGGCTGGGCGATATGGCCTCAAATCAATATCGCGATATATTGAGCAGTTCACCTCTATAACGATAAATGGATGATAACTACTCCACAAGCTGCTCACCCCCTCCCACATTAACTTTGTCTACTTCAGCGGCCGCTTCAGCCGCTACAACTTGTGAACCGTCCTCCATCTCCTCACCTGTCTTTCCCTCTTTGTTATGGACTGGATGGGGTGGAGTCACATCTCTGACATAGGGCAGCGTCTTAAAAGGGACATGAGACTATAGCCTACCTACACACATCTCAAACCAACTTTTATTTGACACCAAATATATTGACATGGGCAAAATGACGTTGGTTATTGTCGTAAATGCATGTATCGGTAAATTTTCGGTTTATCGCCCAGCCCTACCATGAAATGATTTCCACTTCAGAGTCATACCAACTTTAGTAACGACCGCACGATAGCAATACATAGCGGTCTATGTCTCCACTCACAAACCTCAACCAAAACGCCACACTATAGCCACAAATAATGCTCAGAACAGCACCTAACTTCATCAACAGTACATATAGGGTCCCAGCCACAGTACTAACCATCAAACATCTTTTAGTTTTGCCTGATTTCTTTAGCAAAGAGACTAAACACAACTCACCTACTCTCTTCCAGCAGCCGCTTGCTTGTGGGGGAGCCCTGACGAGTCAATCACCGAGTGCAGTGACTCATTTCCATGAAGTTATAATCATCATAATAATCGTTTAGCACTGCAGACGCGGTAGTTCTTCTGCCTTTGCGTCTGGTCTGATTGCATTTTCCGCTGCACTCAGTGATCGACTCGTCAGGGCTCCTCCCACAAACATTGGTTGCTGGAGGAGAGTGGGTGAGTTAAAGTCTAAACACTCCACATCGCAGAGGTTGCTAGTTCCACTCCCAGCCACGACCTTTTGCAGCATGTCTTTCTCCACTCTCTTCTCCCCACAATCCCTGTCTCTCTTCAGCTGTCGTGTCTAGTATTTGAGTTGTTATCTTTGTACTGTTTTAATTAAAAATAGGGTTTAATATGATTTGTAACCTATCATCAACAGTTTGCCCTGACATTTCTGGGATTAGAGTTGTAGATGGCATGTTTTCATAAGGTCAAAGGATTTATGAAATGACGAGATGATGTTGATAGTTCTGCTTTATGGTTTATGGTGTGTTATTTCTAAAACTGTCTTTCTGACTGAGGATTTTATATGAATGTGTTTCTGAATTTGTCAAAGACCTTTTCAATTCCCTGATCTTTCTACTCTTATCTTTTCTTTGGACCATGAGGGGGGAAAAAATCAGCTCAAATTCAGAGCCGTGCGGCTTCTGCCTTTCACTTTCTTTTCCAGCTGTAGCACCTTCAATCCGCTGTGTTTCTAAATTTAAGTGAGGTGTGGGAAAGGAAAGATGAAAACCAGCAGAGCCTAGATGATGTGGGAGGTCATACCACTGAGGTCACACAGACCACAGTTTGCTCAACTGGCACGCAAACAAATTGTTGCCTTGAGGAACAAGAATCTATCAGTTTTAATTAAACTGACGCTTCATTCTTCTCAGCCATCTGGGTTGGCGTCGAACAGGTGTTACAGGTGAACGGGTAACAGTAACTGAACACTGTTGCAGGTAAGCTGTGTTCCTGGCCATGTGCTCTATAGTTGTTTTCTTCTCCTGCTGTTTGGTTTGGAGATAGACTAGATATGGTTTAAGCTTTAACAGAGGCTGTAAACACGCAGAATTTTCACGTCCCACAGCACAGGTGTGGGTTGCTGTGCTGTCTGAGTAACACGAGCATTGTGGGAGTTGTGTGAAATTTCACAGTCAAGGTGCAATAAAATCATGGTTTGAGTCAAGATTTAGCATTAAACAGTCTTTATTTGTTTTGAGGGACAATTGTGGATTATTAAAATCATGATTATTTGAGTGTTGAATGATTTCAAGTCCCTCTAAAACAGTTGCTTTGATTTTTTTCTGACGTTTTCTGCTATTTTTTGGTCTGGATGGAAACTTCTTCATGACTGCATGGTTGACGGATCTTAACTTTGCTGCTTTTCAAAGATTTTTTTCAAAGGGGCCACAACATGAATGAATTGAGACTAATAGACTAAGGAGAGGAAACATTACATGAGACAAATTTTAAATCCCAAATGTTCTTTTTAAAGTGAAATAATTTCAACAGAGAAAAATGGCAATAGAAAGAAACTGAATAAAACAAGATGAGTTTTTGTATCTAACACCTTTTAAATAAAATCAGGTTTTCAATTTCTTGTAAAATGTCATTGCCTCATTCGCATAAATGAAAATATGATCACATCGGTAGATTATCAACTTATGGCAATACTATTTAAAACTTGGAAAACTAATAAAAGGTCGGGTGGGGATACCAGACTAGTGCTGGTTTACTGCATCAGCTGTGCACCTCCTCAAAAATCAACACGATGATTAGAGAAGCTGCAGTATGTTAGGGCTGGGCGATATGGCTTCAAACCAATATCACGATTTATTGAGCAGTTCACCACGGTAACAAAAGCTGCTCACCCCCTCCCACATTAACTTCGTCTACTTCCGCCACAGCTACAACTTTTGAACAGTCCTCCATCTCCTAACCTGTCTTTCCCTCTTTGTTACGGACTGGATGGGGTGGAGTCACGTCTCTGACGTAGGACAGCATCTTAAAGTGACATGAGCCTACCATAGCCTACCTACACACATGCAAAATCAACTTTTATTCATTTATTTTTTTGACACCAAATATACATGGGCAAAATGACGTTGGTTGTTGCTGTAAATTTATGTATCAGTAAACTTTTGGTTTATCGCCCAGCTCTACAATATGCACATGAATAGTAGGGGCAGTGTAGACGCAGAGCAGATGTGACAGTCAACACAGCTGCAGGTATTTAACGGCAGAAAATTAAATAGACAAGCTGGTATCTTCATCTGTATGATGAGTCATCACCACTACACAGCCTCAGTCATGCTGGTCTCAAAGCAAAAGTTAAATTATGTGGAAACCTTCAGAACTAAATGGAAAAAGTCTGGCACTGTCTGAGACTTTGGGAAAACTGGGTGAGGCATTGCTGATGGTGTGTTCTGTCCACCAGTGAACAGTTGCCAGAGGTGGCTCAAGAATTTGTCACTCATTGAGGCAGCAACATCCAGAATTAACATCCAAAATTAACAGATCACATCCCCCAAGAGTTATGTCATCTCTTGTTACCTTCCCTGAGATCAGGCCAGTCACTGCATACTGCTTTAACTTTGTGGTGTGCCCTTTAGAGGTAAGACACATGGTGTACTTATGGGGTCAAATATATTTACAGTTGTGCTCACATGTGAAGTGTATCTCTGCCTCTTGACACGCATTAGAAGATGATCTTTTGTGCTTGTCATCCTTGGACTCTGTGACACCATATATCTTGTTTGTTGTTTAAAATTTTAGTTTAGTTTAAAATCAAAATCATAACTCTGCTGATGGGAAAATTTGGCCTACTTTTTTTAGTCATTGTGTCTCTTTGTTTTTTATCTGCCTGGTTGTGAGCACAAGGTGGCTTCAGTGATGACAGATGTATTTGCTTTACAGATAAGTATGTCTTATCCTATAAATGATGAAATCTACTGTTGTAAAAAAAATACATGTGGATTTAATAACTAATCTCCTGACCTACAAGGTTCCTACTTTTTACAGATGTACATTAATTAGAAATGGAAAATAATTACTTTTGTTAGGAAAAAGCAGAGTTGCTGATTGCTTCCCGTAGGACTACAGCTTCTGTATGTAGGACACATAGTTTTAACCACTGAGATAAACAGGACATTTTTGTTAATGAACATCACACAAACCCCTCGACACGCACAATTGAATTTCCCTTTAGGTATCTTCTTCTTCTTCTACTTCTACTACTACTTCTTGTACTTCTTTTTTTTCCTCTACTTCTGCTTTTTCTTTTACTTCTGCTTTTTCTACTTCTACTTTTGCTTTTTCTTCTTCTACTGCTTTTTCTTCTGCTTTTTCTTTTACTTCTGCTTTTTCTTCTGCTTTTGCTTTGTCTTTTTCTGCTTCTGCTACTTCTACTTTTGCTTTTTCTTCTGCTACTTTATGTCTGCTTTTTCTTGCTTTTTCTTCGACTTCTTTTTCTTCTACTGCTTCCTCTACTTCTTTTATTCTTCTTCTACTTCTGCTTTTACTCCCCTTCTTCTACTCCTGCTCCTACTTCTTTTTCCTACTTCTGCTTTTACATCTTATTTTTATACTTCTACTTCTGCTTTTTCTTCTCTCAACTTCTTCTACTTTTGCTTCTACTTCTTCATTTCCTTCTTCTATTTCTTCTTTTACTTCTGCTTTTTCTTCTCCTGCTGCTTCTTCTGTTCTTATTTCTGTTGATTTTCCTCACATTTATAATTTGCTGAGGCCAAATACATTTTTGAGGGTCTTATCAGATCGTTGTTTTAAATCAGTGCATTGACTAATAATCGCTACCACCACTCAGGCAGAATTGGAAGTCTGTACCGATGCTTGTATCTGAGCTAATCTTGGCGCTCCGACAGCAGAATGGTAGAAAACAAGTAGATTTTGTCCCCTAATTGTAAGCTTTTTTTGAGGCATGTCTTGTTCCAGTCCATCCATTTTGGGGACCTGAACACCAGTTGCTTCATTCATGTCACTCCTCTTTCTCCGCCGCTCCTCCTTTCAACCATTTCTACTTTCCATCTCCTAACTTTTTGACTTTGTCAGCTTCTCTCCTCTACCCTCCTGTATCATGTCTAATTATCGAAATCAGTGTGCGCCTACAGGGATCTCTTCAATACCGCCTCATCAAAGCCCCTGTTTGTGTTTGCTTGTTTATCTCTGGCTGCTATTCTGGGCTCTCTCCTGGATCCCTGATGAGACACGAGCCGCTTATACTGTAAGCTGTCACTGCACCTCCAGTCATTCAAAACACTGCCAAATGAGATGTTCTCTTTTTACACCTTGTCTTGTTCCTCATTCTCATTATATATATATTCTTTAACATTGCTCTGCTTTTGCATCTTCTTACCCCAGTTCATAAAAGAACTCCACTGCAGTGAAAGTCATGCTGCAGGTTGGTTCTCAATCAAAAGTCTTGCCTTTCCCTTTTCGTCTTTTACACTTTTGTTTTCTCCTTATACACACCACTCCTACATTTTCGTACTGTTTCACATGAGATCTTTCCCCCTACCTTGCCACACCTCGAGGGCATTAAAAAACCTAAAATTGTGTGTAAGAAAGTGAAGTTTCTCACTATGTTATCTTACACCCCTCAAGGCCCCAGACAATCTTTTGGAGAGGCAACAGTAGCATCACTTCTGAGGAGTTACCTTCTGGGGAAGAGTGTAAAACCTTTTCGTAGAATGAAGAAGGAGGAAGACGGGGGACTAAAATGTGTCAGCTCCTTTTTCATGAATCACAAGTATCAATGTGTAGTTGTGTTATGAAATGAAATAGAGATCTAGGATTAAGTTAAATCCTTTCTTAGTTATCCATAGGCATTAGAAGAGTTCTGGTATCAATACTAAGTTGGCTCAATACAAGCAGTCAGTGTTTTTACAACAGTATTATATATTTCATTTCCTCACATCCACATCTGGAGGTACTCAGTTAATTTACAAGTCAGGGCAGTGTCAATTCACCAAGCCTTGAATCCAAGCCCAGTCTTGAGTCCTCGGTATTTAAGGCCAGGTGAGTCACAATGACCTGTGTCAAAGCTTGTTTCCTTATAATAAATATTCACTGTATCCTAGGTAGATAGATATTAAAGTTTGAGTACACACAAGGGCTGGGCGATAAACTGAAAGTTTACCAATACTGAAATTTACGACATTAACCAAAGTCATTTTGCCAATGTCAATATACTCAGTGTCAAAGAAATGAATAAGTAGAAGTTGGTTTTGGATGTGTGTAGGTAGGCTATGGTCTCATGTCCCTTTAAGACGCTGTCCTACATCAGAGACGTGACTCCACCCCATCCAGTCTGTAACAAAGAGGGAAAGACAGGTGAGGAGATGGAGGACGGTTCAAAAGTTGAAGCGGCTGAAGTAGACAAAGTTAATGTAGGAGGGGGTGAGCTGCTTGTGGAGTAGTTATCATCCATTTATCGTTATCGAGGTGAATTGCTCAATATATCGTGATATTGATTTGAGGCCATATCGCCCACCCCTAGTACAATGACCCCTCCTTTCCTTATTGGTACTTTTACATAACAAACTTGCTGCACAGCTCTTTGGGGCATTTGCTAAATCTCTGAAATTCGTGGCACCTCTTTGCTAAACAGGACAGCACCTGGAGGTTTCAGCTTTGCTTGAAACTGGATAAATGATTACAGCCATGAACCTCTTACTAATAAAAAAAACACAAAGGCAATAAAAGACTATATCAAAAAAAGTTTGAGTGCTACTCTCCATCTTCAGAGTCTGAGTCCAAGTCCATGTCATCAGTGCTCTAAACTGAGTCAAGTCCTCAAAAGACTTGGAGTTGAGTCAGTTCTAAGTCCTGGACTTTGGTATTACAACACAAAGTATCAGACTGGTGTCTGGAGGGGAAAGACAGTATCAGACTGTCTATGGAAATAAACTTGTATATGAGTTTTTCCGGGACATGCTTATGGGAGATGTTAACTGTGTGTGTGTATGTTGGCAAGGACACACTTGTGCGCTTCAAAGCTTTGTGATGGTGATTAGCGACAGCCACTGTGACAGTTTGGCATTTGTTGCTGAAATAGGGCGCTATGTTGCTCAGATCTCCCCCAATTTGAGCTCTCAGCTGCTGCAATGGCAAAAGTGTTATTTGATGTCAGACAGAGTCTTTACTTACCACATGGGATGGTCAGAGGCTGGAAGATTAATACTGTCATCGCATGGAAGTCTCCGGTTTCTTTTTCTGTCTTTATGAAAACACACCCAGCGCAGAGTTACATATGGGACCAAAATAAGAGTTGTTTCTCTCCTGGGGAGTTGTTTTTTCTTTCTTTTGAAAAAGGAAGGTTTTCTTTAAAGCTGAGAGTTGATGATGGCAGGAACACACTAATGACTGAGCTGCTTTGAGCTGGTTGCTATGTATGACTCCAGTCTATGCTCTCTCATGTAACTCTGAGTTTTGTGGAGCTCAAATATTGTCACAGTTATTGTCAGCTGCAGGGAAAAACAAGCATCGACACACATTAATTTTTTATCAGATGCCTCTGGTTGTGTCAAGATAAACTCAAATGGCTAAATGAGGGTGTGGAAGAAGTTTTTATCTTATTTTTAAAGTGCTGCTTTTGGTGTGGAGGACCAGCAAGCCAAGGCATGCATTGGTGGGATACTGAAGCAATAACAATCCTCCCAAATAGGAAAGGTTGAAGCCAGGAAAAGGCTGTGTTGTCACATATCAGCTGCCTCTATATCCTCTGAAGAGGTATGTCTGGATCTCAAGAACAAGATAAAAAAAAACAACTGTCTGGATCTCCCTTCCATACGCTTTTAAGACTTTCATTTACAAAAGGCAGATAAAGAACATAAAAAAAAAAAATAAAGAAAAAAAAAAAACAGTCTTTACAGCAGATATAAGATTGACTGCTACATCATAAAAGAAAAGCCTGGGTTCACTTTCTCAACTTGGTGAACACTGATCCATTTGACTTGCCTCATATTTGTTTAACCTCTGACCTCTAACCTTCGTCTCTGTCTTGTTGTGTCACAGGAGCCAAGATGGATGAGACGGAGAAGTACAAACAGCGGCTGGAGGCAATCGCTGTGAGTCCATACGTACACAGACATCTAAGCCTGCATGTTGCTAGTCAAATATTATAGCTGAACTCTGAAGTAAAGCTGACAATACTGTTAAAGCTGAGTGTATTTTTACTCATTAACAAGCTGCAGAAAAGAGATTTTTAGGTGTATCATTGTCAGCAGTTGCCTCCCCAAGTTAATGAAGTTACTGAATGTGGAAAACTCAAACTAGCAGTCTGCACAATATGATATAATTGTTTCAGTATAGACATCGTGATAAAAGTATGGAAGTGTATTACATTCACCAAAAAAAAAAAAAAAATACATATTTTTTTTTTCTTTTTGGTGAATGTGAATGAGTAATTTTTTTCTGTTTTTCAGAGTAAAATTTTTTCTTTTCTATTTTTCAGAATAATTCTTCTGTTTTTCAGACTATTTTCTTTGTTTTGTTTTTCAGACTAATTGTTTTTCTTATTCACTGGGATCATGATCATTTAAACAACAGTCGCTTTCATCCCCCTCTGCTCGATTTAATGGAAGCAAACATCGCCTGCTTGTTTAGTTTAATCAAGTTTTACTTTCTTTTGGGTTTGAGACACTGGGAGATACTCCTCTCTTCAAGTCGGATAGATGGAATCGTTATAAGTTTGTCTACTTTGCGCTATGACATCAGGATTTGCATACCCTATGTTTAACTAATAACATGCTTTACTCTCATTGACCCCGTTGTCAAAGTTATCTAGGAGCTGGAGAATCTGCTGATTTAGAGGAGCCACAGTGGTGAACGTTATCTGATTGTATGAGATTTTCCCAGGATCTTGAAGTATCTCGCTCAGTCAGGGAAAAAATAGTCTGAAACACAGAAAGATGAAAAAAATACTACAAAAAAAAAAAAGAATAGAAATGTGTCCGTAAAACAGAAAGAGGGGGAAAAAATATTAGTACAAAAAGCAGAAGAAAAAAATAATCAAAAAAACAGGAAGAAAAAAAAATTAGTCCGAAAAACAGCAAAGATAAAAAATTACTCAAAAAAACAGTTTCCTTTTTTTTGTAAGTGAATGCAATATGCTTCCATCTAAAAGCATGTGTAAATGTCATAACTTTAACTTTAGCACAAGCTTAACACATGATGATCGTTGGTGGAACAGATGTGTTGCCATATCGTCACCCTATTAAAATAATGGCCTAAGTCATTTTTGACGATAATGAGTTTTTGGCCTAATTCATCTCTTGAGCAGTGGCGATTGCTCTAAGACTGCAAGGGAAGCTCGGCTTCCCTTAAAATGTCACCCCCCAAAAAAAAGAAAAAGTGGTGAAATACGTACTGCTGTGTGTACATTTCATTAACTAAATACGCACTAGAAAGCCTTCATCTTTTGTTCAGACACTGTGATAAGAAGCTGATAATCACAGGTAACCGGCATAACTTCGTTCTCATTCATCCTCGCAGCGCCTCAGCGCTTTAAACAGCCGGACGCTGGGCTTCTGCTGACTTCAATGTGGAAGCTCAAAGTGGGTTGTTCCAGCAGCGAAACTAGACGCTCATTGGATAAATGCTGGGCTTTGTCCCACCCATCGGAAGCCCAGCTTCACTGGAGTTCTATGGCGAGAGGGCGGTCCCGACTTTCTCCCGGACTCCAAGCTTCTGCATCCATGATTGGATGAGCTGTCTGAGGCGAAATCCTTTTTTGATTGACAGCTAAACAAGCGAATCAGCGATCTTGAAGAATAAAACATCTACCAGAGCATTTTCCAAGTTATTCATTCCGTTGTTCTTAACTGCTCCGGAGACTTTACCGATCCTCAGCGACTTTTGTCTTTGTTAAAAACGACTGCCGTTGTGTTTGGCGACTCTGTTCTGTTACATACTAATAAACAAACACAATTACGATGTAGGCCAGAAAAATGAGCTTCCCCTCCTTGAAAGACCAGCAGCCGCCACTGCTCTTGAGGTGGTTTAAAGATGATTTAGGCCAAAACTCATTTTCGTCAAAAATGACTTAAGCCATTATTTTAATAGGGTGACGATATGTAGCTTGAGTTGCAGCGCAAACACAGCCGATCAAACACAGTATAAACATGGTCAGTAAACCATTTGGTAGGAGTTTTGGAGTTTTACATCACCATCTCTGCAAAGCTTGTTAGAAACAGGAAATGCTCTAAAATGTCCATGTAAAAGGCTTGACTTTGGACTTGATAAAACAGCTGACCAGCAGCAGAGGACATGGCACCATCTTCACTATTTAAGTGACCGTCATATCCAGCAAAAAAGTTTGGAAAGTCAAAGTTTCAGCATTGTCCTCATTTAGAATACCATTAAGAAGCACTTTATTGTAAAACTACACCTGGAGGATCAGCATTTTACAGGCTAAGTTTAGTTGCAGTAGCAGCTGCTCGTGTCTTTTTGCCTTCGTTTCAGATTCGTCTGCGTAGAGAGAGAGAGGGTGAGGAGACTAAGCTCTCTCTAAGCTGTCTGTATCATCTTAATAATTAATTGAATATGCAATGTTGTGAGCCAGTGTGTCCCTTTGGTCTCAATACCAGGTTGTCAAGGGGATAGCTGCTCTGAGCATTATGGGATATAGAGTTTACCTGACGTCTGTGGCGACGGTGTCCTTGTGACAGATGGTTGACCAGGTGTCCCTGTTTAACTCTCATCCAGTGATGTTTTATTCACCGCATCCCGTCCCTCTCTTTTATTTCTGTAATCAAGTCGCATTAGTTTGTCTCTGTGCCTGGCAGCCAATCACAATTTTTTTAGTTGACGTTTCTCTTTATGTGAACTAGAGTGAACTCCATGCCCTAACTATCATAAGTCTGCGCTGACTCTTATGCCATTGAATTTTCTCTCCCTCCATCTGTCTTTGCTCTCTGTCAGGAGAAGCGTCGACTGCAGGAGGAGCAGGACAAAGCCAGGAGAGAGATGGAGGATGAGAAGCTCAGACTACAGCAGCTCAAGGTCTGACACATACAAGCAGTTTGATCTAAGCTGTTTCATTCACTCGCTACACACCCACTCTCTCTCTAACACACATAACTGCATGCGTCCTTAATTTCTCTAAGTTAAATTCCTCTGCCACCCTATTTCCTCGGCTTGTTAGCAGGCAGATATCTTTAACAATTATTTCCTTTTCACACACACACACACATCCTTTCACACAAAGATGAACCGCACAACCTTCCACACTTCCTGCACCCGGCCTGTTACTCACAAGGTTAAAAGCGAGCCTCCATTTTTCAGAAATCAGTTTTTTTATGTGAATGTTTACACACTCTGCAAGTCACAGAGCTGCTCTATTGTTTTCACATCATTTCCACACTGGCGTTCCCACTTCCTACTCTACTGTGTTACACTGCCCTGGGGCACATTCCTCAAATTGTGTGAAATTTTCTGCAGCAAGTATTTGTGTGCACTCAGGTATGCATGTGTGTGCTCGTGTGGTCTTGAAATAAACTATTTTGCATATTATTCTCAACTTATTTTTGTGTGAAAGTGGAATTTTTGCTCCTAACCCTGAGCCTGAAATTCATCTGTGCAATCAAAATTCAAGTTGCATGCAGCTTTAGAGATTCTAGATGATAGTATCATAGCCCCGACTACATTCATTAGCTCTGACATTGACTGTATCCCCAGGGCAGATGTAAGGATGTGATATGGCGAGAGCAGCAGCTTAAACACACACTGCCCCTGACCTGCAGGAAAGTTTAGAGAGGGCTGTGTCCAGCAAAGCCAAATGCACAGGGAGGGGAACAGAGCGGGGCTTGTTCTCCACTGCAGGAAAAAACACAGAGATGATTTTGTGAAGCTTATAGTTAAGTAAGTAGCTACTGGCTAACGGTTGCCAGATTTTCAAAACATGGGGCTGCAAAGGAGTGCAGGGTTTTCTAGATGCCTGAGTGTTTCTCTCAGGATAAGACCTATAGCTGCTGTAAATAGATTGTGTTTTATATCGAAGCACAGGCAGCATCGTAATCATGTAAAAAATAATCAACCTTGGTGTTTTACTAGATTAGATCTACTAAAAGTTCCTCGCAGACATACTCTGTTTATTTCCGCATGTCAGGGTCAGCTACAGAACAGCGTTCCTGGAACTGGCAAGAGTTTACTGTCTGGCTCAAGGGCTGCACAGATGCTTACCCAAACAGGCACTTGAACCAAGGTCAACTCATTGCAGTGCAGCTATCATATCTGTACCGTCACCCTGCAGGTACTGTAAAAGTCTAGACGTGCAGGGAAACACCACAGCTTTATTAAATGTAATGTTTGTACTAAAATGTTCATTTTTATGAAAGTTTGAGGAGACTCTCATATTTTTTGCAGTACGTGTTGTTAATTTGTCTAAAAAAGTTTTACATCAGATAGCAATAGTTATAAATTAAAACTTGATCCAGACTTAAATAAAGCGTTTTAATTCTGAAGTATGAGGAGTGTATAATAAGAGGCATGCTGTGACAAGCCTAAGAAATGGCGCTGTATCCAGTATCATTATCATATTGAAATTAAGGCTGGGCGATAAACCGAAAATTTACAGATACTAAAATTTACGACAATAACCAACGTCATTTTGCCCATGTCATTATAATCAGTGTCAAAAAATAAATAAATAAAAGTTTGTTTTGGATGTGTGTAGGTAGGCTATGGTCTCATGTCCCTTTAAGACACTGTCCTATGTCAGAGACGTGACTCCGCCCCATCCAGTCTGTAACAAAGAGGGAAAGACAGGTGAGGAGATGGAGGACGGTTCATAAGTTGTAGCGGCTGGAGCAGCGGCTGAAGTAGACAAAGTTAATGTGGAAGAGGGTGAGCAGCTTGTTGAGTAGTTATCGCCTATTTATCTTTATCGAGGTGAACTGCTCAGTATATCGTGATATTGATTTGAGGTCATATCGCCCAGCTCTACTTGGGATTTTTATATCACCATCTTCAATTATGTTGAAGATAAACGATAGTTACAACTTCTAAAACATTTTCCTTGTGAGTTTGTATAGACTATGTTTCCTGCTATACTTCATGTAGAAATACACGGTGTGCCAAAGTCTGCAGAAATACACTTAAATGTCAGAGAGTACCTGAGCATTTTAGGATCCATCACTTTGGAGGAAATTCAACAAGAGCTAAACTTGATTTTTCATCTTTGTTGGATGAAAGTGTCACATCAGTGTGGCGAGAACTATGCAGTTGTACAGATGTGTTGTGGAGAAAGACGGAGGCATGTGTCACATATGTAACACTCTATTTAGGAGATGATGCTCGAGACCCAGCCCTAAAAAGCACTGAGAATTGGGCTCTTCTTGGTACAAACTTCAAAAACCGACTTGAGTTTTCTGTAAAGAGGGAAAAGCACATAGCCTGAAGCAACTTTTGTTCCCTGGGTCAGGACTATTTACTGAAGTGGTGTAGGAAGATAAGGATAAAAGTGAACACACATGCTATAAATCCATATTGCACTCTGTGGAATAGCTAGGATGAAAAAACAACGCCACAGACTCACTGAAGTTTCTCACTCTGTCTCTCACCTTTATTTTTTCTCACTTTTCCGACCATGAAACAGACACCTTTGCTTTACCTACCCAGTTCTTTCTCTCACTATGTCACGTCTCCATACACCTCTCTCCTCTCCTCTCTTTGCTTCTTACTCTTGATGTAGTCCATCCTCAGTTACACATTTACTTCTCCCATAATAACAAGCAGTGTTAATTTGACGTGTAATGAAAAGCATTTTGATTTCTCTGGAGCACATCATATTTAAATGCTGCTCAAAGTAATCCTTTGTCTTTATTCTGAGGAACTTGCTTCTACTACACAACTATTGGTAATACGAAACATTAAGACATCCCTTACTAAAGTCTGTTGAAGTGTACTTCAAGTATACTGTTTTTAAACTAAGTATGCTTTCAGTTTACTTTTTGTGGACTTTTCAGGGGAATACTTAAAGTTAATGTTAAGTATATTTGGCTTGTACTAAGAATTATACTAAAATTCTAAATATATTTAACCTATACTTATACATAAACTTTAGTTCAAGAAATACTCAAGTATGTATTTGTGCCTTGGGTTTAAGTATACTTGGTCATTGAATGCTTCCATATATCTTTTCAAGAGTATATTCTTATAGAGTATACTCTTAAAAAGATAAGCAGTACAAGCCAATTATACAAATATTAACTACTACTACTACTAACCCCCCCCCCCAAAAAAAAAAAAAAAGAAAAAGAAAAAAAAAAAAAAATTTAAATAAATAAAGGTATGCTTCAGTGTAATTTTACAAACTAAAAAGAGGACTAAAAGTTTATTTCTTTAAAGTATACTTATCGAGTATACTTAAAGTGTACCTTTATAAACTTTAAATTTATGAACTAAAAATGTTCCAATTTAGTCAGAAGTATTAAATTAGTATACTTTGTAGTACACTAAAAGTACATTGTTGGTAGTATACTTGATATACTTATACTCAAGCATACTTAATAAAATGAACTTTAAGTGAACTTCTTTTTGCTGTTAAAGGGATTAACAGCACCTAAAACAAGAAGTACTAACTTCTATCATTTGACACTTAAAGCTCCTTTGACGAGTTTTTAGAAATGTTCAAATAAACGAAATGATTACCGGTGTCTCTGTGTGACCTAGAAGGCAAACAAGAACATCAGTATAAAGACGAAATATTTATATTCAGATATTTTTACTATCTGAAGCTGCAGCTGCAGGGTAGGTGTCAGACAAAGTGATAAACAACATGCTTCAGAAACAGCCTTTGTTACATTTATCACACCACAGATTTGTGACGAGTGATACTTTTTATGTCAAGAGGAGGCATGGTGAGATTTATCAGACAAGACTATTTATGCAGTCGCATGACAAGATCTTATCAAGAGTGAGTTCTCGTCTGGTTTGTTGTGAGTAATAGTAAACTAAATATCAACAAGAGGGATTTGAAAGAGAATCTTCTGCATTTGATGATTAATATGCTTCAAATATACATCCTTGTTGGTTTAGTTGAAAGAAATACCAGATGAAATAATCAAATGTTCCTCTTTCTTTCTTTCCTCGTCTTTCTCCACTCTAGAGAAAGTCTCTGAGGGACCAGTGGTTGATGGAAGGAGCGCCTTTGTCCCCATCTTCCCCGGACACACAGAGTCCTCGCTCCCCTTTGTGGGGCTCCCAGGCCCAGAAGATGGAAGAGCACGTAGACAAGTATAACCACAGTGTTTGAGATTGTGTGTGTGTGTGTGTGAGAGGTGAAGCAAGCAGACGAGGAGATTCTTTGTGACTACCTGAGACAGTTAGCGAAGCTGACAGAGCATGAGAGAGCTGTCATCTTTTTGTTGTTTTTGTATAGTTTGAACTGCTTGTACTGTATAATTGATAGTCGCAGCATTCCCCTTTCTATTTTTGTTTTCTTGTCATTTCTGCTGTTGTCCTGCATTATGTATGCTTTATGAAAGTTAAGTTTATATTCTCCCAGCAGAGAGGGATTGTAATCCAGCCTGCAAGTTTCCAGAAAAACAACCAGCCTTTTCATTATTACGGAGGACATCTTGTAATTTCTGTGAAAGCTACACTCAATGATCCTAATCTTATCCCAGCTTTCACTCATTTTACCATTTTTTGATAAAATGCTCCTCTTACATACTGTATGCAGCCTCTGGAGTAGGGATGGGCGATATGGGCTGAGAAATCTATCACGATAAGATTTGCCATTCTGGGAATGACGATAAAAGTCCCAATTAAAAAAATTATAATTCCGATCAATATTTTTGACTCGTTTTGTCTTGAGAACACCAGTTGAAATAGTCAAATAAGATACTTAACCTCGAGTTTGAGTGGTAGGTTATGGAGAAAACTAACGACATCAAACAAGTCTTTAATGTGAAAATATTTTTAACATTTGTTAAAAACTCTTATTGCACAGAGTGAACAGCAGCAGATCCACTGTCCAATTTCAGGTATACCTGATTGCACTCATCTAAGCCCCGATCTTGAAGGAAATCCCTCATGTGGAACCTCATCCAGTAACGAGCTGCTCAGAAACGTCTTTATTACCTTCCCCAATTTCCACCGCATCCGGAACGGCTAGGAAAAGGCCATATCTGCCGATCGCAGCTGATCGTACTCATCCAGGTCAATGAGTCAATTTCCACCGGCTTCTTTCCGTTCTGCTGTGGATTGCCGGACTCCACAGCTGATCACAAGAGTTCTTCTTTTACCAGAGGCCGGAGCATATCGCACAGATTAACTCGTGCTGGAAAGGAAGTCGGGCACAGACACAGAATAAAACATCCGGCTTCTTTTCAAAATAAAACACTCCGTGTTTCAGGCAGATTGTATTTCACACCATGCAAATGGGCAGGGACAGACAAGTGGAAGGTTTTCAGACAGCATTTCACCTCGTTTACACCATGGATGAGAAGATGCTGATTTAAGGAGTCTAGAAGTGGATTTCCTCCTCTGGAAGGACACAATCTACTGCTTTTATGGTTATGTGGCTGTCTTCGTAGAGACAACTTGTTATCGTTCAATTGCCTGTGAATCCACGGGTTCTTGTGAGTTCTCACGATTACCGCTGTCCGTAATCCACCACGAAACACCTCACAAACATATCCAGTAGGAATTGGTGGGCGTGAAAATCACAGCCGTCCTGGATTGGAGCCGTTCTGGATGCGGTGGAAACAGGCGGTTATTCTGCTCTGTGTGGGCTATGGCTGTGAGTCCGTCGCTCGCACTTATGTCATCAACTTGCATTTATCATATTTATCATGAGATGAGAAATATTCATCAAGGAGGATTTTTCTGATGATATATTGTGAACAATAATTTATCGCCCATCTCTACTCTGGAGTCATTTAAACATGCAGCCTTTAAAAAGCAATCTGTCTAAGGTTGTTCTACCCTTAATAATGATAAATAATAGAATACAGCACATTAATGTTCTTGCATCATCGTTTAACATTTACCAGGATCATAATTTGAGATTTAAGTCTTGTATACTTTTGTAATTATCTCAGATTGGAGTCAGAGTGTCAGCGGCTGGCAGAGGAGGAAGAGAAGCTGAAGGAGCAGATGGAGGACGGCCAAACTGTAAGAGCTACACACACACACGCACCATCCCCTTCCCATTCTTCGGACACCAAGGAGTTGGAATATGTGTTGAACAAGCTTGCTGCCATCATCTTCCATTAGGCAGAACATTTTCCCACAACTTCAGCGTCTGGCTTTCTGCCATGAATAATGTAAATCCTCTTTTAATGTACCTTTGATGTAGCACCTCTTGTTCAAAAGCAGGAACGTTATGAATGTAATCTGCGCTGTTACATAAACAATTCAGCGCTTGATCCACTCTCGAATTGTTGTTTCACCTCGAGCTGAGCACAAGTGCGTTCGCCTCACATCTCTCAAGGTCTACAACAAAAGACTGCCCCTCCTTCTCCGCTGTCTGGCTCCAGGGTCTTTTTACTGAGGTTTCTCATAATCATCATAAATTCATCTTAACCTTGGCTTTCAGCTAAAACCAACCAGAGGATTACACATTTAATAGCCGCTCGAGCAGGGAAGACTAGACTTTGAATGTCTGACCCTGTCCTCTGTGTAAAAATAAAGCACTTAAAGAAAGAGCTGTGGTGTAGTGGGCAGGCTAGCAGTGAGTGACAGCTGATATCTGGTCGCTGAGGATAATTATCACATCTGATTGGGTGATATTTAAACTATATCAGGAATACATGTTCATAGATCTGTTGTAATTGAGTAGAAGCCACTCCAAACAGTAGAAAAAAGAACCACTTTTTACAGTCAAGGTTGGACTTTTCAGCTCAATCACCCCCCCTTGTGACCAGGCGGCCCAAGAGTCATGACCCTCCAACAGCTCTTCCTCTGTTTATTATGTCGGTCTGTGCTGCTCTTAATAGCATCTGTTTCCTCAGAGTTTTTGTGATGTTCTGGTATTTGCATTTCAAATGTTGTCTTTTTATATTCAGAGACTCAGTAAATTAAATTCCTCCTCCTGTCTTTATGACTCAACAGGAGGCAGAGAGAGTTGCAGAGGCTGGGGCAGGTAAGTGGGACCAGATAAACCTTTTTGGCAAAGAGAAATGTGGAAATTAGAGTGGAGATTTTAGAAAACTGCATTTCATTTAGCTCTCCGTCGGAAGAGGTGATGAATTAATGCGTATGAGCCTTTTTAGTTGATTTGACAAGCTCTGACATCCACGCTATATGGCAGAGAGCAAAAAAAAACCTTTTACCACACTATTCAGAGCAGTACATGTCAGAGCATGTAAAATTACATCATGTTTAAAACACCTGGAACAGAAAGACCACTTTTCTGGCTGTTACCACCTGTCAGCCTTTGCAGAGCCTCCTAACTTAATTACAAAAGTACTTGACTAAAAGTTTAGACTCCTCATGAGCACAGTCTGCCTGCTGGGGAAAAAATTAGATGTTTCTTTTTAACACTCTCAGTCAGGTTTCTGTTGTCAGAAATATGAGGAATTTTGAAATGCAGGTTTGTTGACAACATTGTACTGTGTGGAGTTGCTCACAAGCACATCCCATTTTTGTTTATTTATTTAGCAAAGTAAGGTCTTCTGGGTACAAAAGAGGATGAGGGCCACATGAAGAGAGAAAAAAATTACAGAAAGGAGATTAAAGACGAAATTTCGAGATTAAAAAGATGAAATTTTGTCAAAGTCAAAATTTTGAGATTAAAAAAATCGAAATTATGTCAAAATCGAAATTTCTAGATAAAAATTTTAATTTCAAGATTAATAACAATCAAAATGATGTAAATAAAGTCGAAATTTAAAATATAAAAATTTACATTTCAAGATTAAAGTCAGGATTTCAGGATTACAAAAGGTCGTGAATTATGTCGAAATTTTGAGATAAAAAAAAATAATTTTGAGATAAAAATCGAAATTTCGAAATTAAAGTCCACATAAATAAAGTCAAAATGTCATGAATTAAATCGAAATTTCGAGATTAAAGTTGAAAATACGAGATTAAAATTGACGCAAATAAAGACGAAATTTCATGAATAAAGTCGTAATTCTGAGATTAATGATAATAAATCAACAACATAGTCGCTCATCACTTGACAACATGTCCTCTGTAGAAGAGTTTGTAAAGCTTTACTTTAAAAATTGGATTTTGTAACGATGAAATCCTTGCTCTTTGGCGCACAAACACAGTGTGGTCATGAGTATGTGGACTCTGACAGGACTGTGCCGAAAATTACGACTACAGAAGAAAAAAACAGACAAACTCAGAGGACTTTAATCTCAAAATTTCTATTTTTTTTTTTCATTTCGACTTTTTTAAAATTCGGCTTGAATCTCGAAATGGTAATTATTTTTGTCTTCTTGTGGCCCTAATCGTCTTTCGTATCTGGGAGTAGTTTCCCAAGTAAACAGTTGGCTAACAAATAAAGAAAAACTACAACTTATATACTTTACTGCACATTTAAAAATGTTGTGACATGATGATGTTGCCTTAAATGTGAATTATTTCTTCCTCAGAAATTGCCCAAGATGCTGTTTTGCAGAATGGTGAAAACAAAACATCAGGAATAGGTAAGCGTAGAGTGAACATGTCACATCACACACACGCCACATTAATTATGTCCCACTGTTCTCCTCACTGATGCTTAAATCGATCCCTTGGCTTTAAACTTGTCCTCTTGTTCATTTTCGTCTAACCATCATCCAGCCCCACCCTTTTAAGACCTCCTAACCCCTATAGAAATACTTGTATGTATTCATTTAACTCAGGCATCTCAATAAATTTGCATCATAGAGGCAGGAGCGGCACCTTAACTCTGCACACTGTCATGAAAACTTTGTATTCTGCACATGCTTTTATGCTAATAGGCGTCCAAGTGCATAACTTGCATTTTTAGAGGGCAGCGGGTTCATGGACATGTCAGTGGGGATGCTGTTCAAGCTGTGAAGTGGACAAGAGAGTTCTGAAGATGAAATTGAGCCGTCCATTTGAATTTAAATCAGTCCGAGTCTATAACTTCAGACAGCCTGATCTAAAATTGCTGAAGCATGCTCTATAATCTGTTGCCGCTGGTTTCTATTTCTAAGTGTATTATTCATAATTAGGTTCTCTTGCATAATACCCCGAAAATAATCATTTACATTTCCTTTAGACTTTTTTTGGAGCTTGTCCATTTTGCTGCAACAACAACAACCCCCTATTGTTTGGATTATACTTCATGGCCTGCCGCTAAAACCGCACTGTCATTGTTTATTAGCATCTGAATATTTTATTAGCGTTGCATTAAGATTCATAAATGGAAGTCTTTTGTTGACTGCATTTCAATCGGCTGTACTGCTGTTTAAATTAGCAAACCGCTAATTGCAATCAAGAAACTGTGTGTCTATATTAAACATAATGAAACCTTTTAATCAGTGTTAATAGCAAATTGATTGCTCATTCTCTTAATGTAATTTTAAATTCATGAACAATGTTAGCGAGTGTGCAAAAATGTTCAATTTTGTCGTGACGTTGATTTGAGTTTCATCCCCAGACGCAGCAGAAGACGAGGGAAAAATAGATGAAAGCCCCGATCCAGACGAAGCTGCAGCTGTCCTAACCAATGGACAAGGAGAGTCAGAAGAACCCACTAATCACAGCCCTTCAGCAGAGAGTAATCAACACACCTCCAACGGACCGGTTGTAGCCTCTGAGGATGAAATTAGTCAGAGGCTGGAGCCGGAGTTGAGCCCGGGTGAGGTGCCAAATGTCAGCTTTGAGGAGGAGGAGGAAGAGGAGGAAGGCACTCTGGTAATGAGAGCAGAACGTGTGATCATAACAGATGAAGGGGATGATGTACCGCAGGATTTAACTCCCCAAGAAGATCAGCAGGAGACCGTTGATTCAGAAGAAACCCCTCTGAAGTTGAAAACAGAAGCAGGTGAGGAAGGAGGGGAAGCTGTAGACGAGGTGGGGGAGGTAGGGGTTAAAGAAGAAGAAGGAGAAGCTCCAGAAACTTCCACTCAGCCAGAGCAGAGTGAGGCGACCGCAGAAGCACAACCGCACGCTGAAGAGGAAGCCACAGACGGCGATGTGAGTACAAACCAAACAGATTCAAAAGCTGAAGGACAGGAGAGTCAATCAGAAGAGCAGCTCCAGTCCCATGTCGATGCTCTAGAGGGCGCCACAGTGGCTCCAGTGCCTGTTTACTCCGAGGTTCAGCTGACTGCTCCAACCACCAATATAGAAGCAGGGGGTGGAGCTGAAGAATCAACAGAGCCGGCTGAGGCAGCATTAGAAGACCAAGACCCTGCTCCTGAACCGGGCGAGTTCCAGGAGGTTCCTCTGGCCGATCCCAAGGAGGAGAATCCGAGGACAGAGGCAGGGCTGGGCGAACAGGAACCCCTTCTGTCACAGGCCAAAGCCCCCGACACCCAGGTAGAGCCAGCAGCAGCAGCAGCAGCAGCAACAGCAGCTAGCACCACATCCAGCTCAGAGACCCCCATCTCTGTCAGGGCCGGCCAAGGAGAGGAGACCCAGGCGCCCAAACGCAAAACCTGCCAGTGCTGCTCAGTCATGTAAACATCCCCTCTGTGCCTCCATTACCTCTCTGCCTCTTCAGCCTGCCAGTCCTTCCCTCTGCTGTTACATTCATAGCAAAACTCCCTCCTCTCTTTTCTTTTTACCCACATATTTTTTTTCCAAATCACTACTTCCCTCTCTGTCATACTTCCTAATCCCACTCTTACGTTTTCCCACTGAGGGATGGAGCGGACTTGTTAGTGTTTTAAGTGCCTTGAGGAGCTCTCTACCCAGGACTACTCTTTAAAACTCTTATTTGAACTCTTATGCTTTCACAATGTAGAACAAAAACTAAGTGTTTATTTAACACTGTTAGATTTTTAATTTTTTTTTTTTGAGAGGGGTATTTTTCAAGAATTTTAAAGCCCATATATATTCAAAGTCAAGCAATATATCAACAGAGGATGAAACATTTTTAACAGATGCATTTATAATTCAGAAGTGTCTTTATTCTTAAAAGCAGATTAAACTGAAAATGTTAAGGATCTGACAGGGATTTTGTTCTTATTTAATGAATAAAAGGCTGAATTATTTTATTATTTTCTTGTCTATATTGGAGGACATTTTAATCCAAGTCAAGAACATTTTATTGACTCTAGTTTAATAATAAAAAAAGGTGAAATTTTAAAGCAACAGTGGGCACATCTGAGTATTTTAGGCTGTTATGAAATAGAGATTATTTTGAAACAACTGAAAGTGTGAGCTTTGTGTTCTTACCAGATGTGCTCATGAAAAGAGGAGGAGCCAGGACTGTTGTAATACCTCTGTGTATGGATATACTGTATATACTGAATACAGGGAAAAGTGGAATCTGGAGCGTCTGAGTGCGATGTCAGCTTTCAAATTACTGATGAATGGTTGAATGATTAAACTGACATTTGTGATAAAGGTCTCAGTGTTCATCCAGCTTTTCTGTCTCATTATCATCACCATCATCTGTAAATGAATCTCGTGCACAAGTGCAATGACAATAAAGCATACCTGACCTGACCTGACCTAAAAAAACAAACACACTGGATAATATTTAATCATGTGTTTTATACTGTCACGTATTTAATATCTTTACTCCTTTTTATCAGTGACAAATTGGCATTACAAGATAAATGCTCACACACCAGTTTAAGCACTTCTTTCAGTAATCTAATTAGCACCTCTGATTGTGTCATAATTCTCATTTCTCTAAGGCCTCAACAAGTATTTCTTTTTTCAGTGAAGTAAAACAGGTCGGAGTTTGTGTTTTTCAGTTTTCAAAAGATGGATTTAGCCGTTTCTTTTTTGAAATGACAGTTTTTAATTGATCAAACCCTCTCAGTTGGACATTTAAAGGGATATTCCGGCGCAAAACTGAAGGCATGGTTGTCAGTCAGAGAAGCAGTTGAAAAAAACTGAGCCGTTGAGGCAGATTTGAAAAAAGCGTCCCACCCCCCAAACACAAACCTCTCCCCTGTGTGCTCCTCCATATCTCCCCCCTGAACCTGTATCGCCCTCCCCACGACACGCCGCCTCAGGCAGAGCAAGAAGCCGGCCGGCAGAAGATCCTACGCTAGCTTGAAATAGGATTCACCATGTCGGATTGCTAGTGACTAGTGGCAGTTAACGCCAGCTCTGCTAGCGAGCACCGTTTGCAGCTGCCTGGACAGCTACCGTGTTGACATTTCAGAGACTAATAAGAGTTAATTTTGTAACATGTGCCACAATAAAAGGCAAAAATTACCTGTTACACAAAAACTCTGCTGTCTAGGCGTCTGTTTTCAGGCCACCACTCAAAGGATGACCCGATGTTTCTTGGAGTTAGATTCCTGGCTTGGTCTCATTTCCTCTTTAACTTTGCCTTTTCTTCTGTTGGCTTGCGTTTTCTTCCCACTTTTGGCGGTAGGGCAAGCAGAACTATTTCTTTTTCGTCCTTCTCCATCGCAGTTCCTGTAGCTAAACTGCTACGCTACTTTTAGCCGTTCAGAGCTCCGAGGAGGGCTGAGAGAGTGGTAGGGGATGAGTCGGAACTACAGAAAAGGGGTGTGTCAAATACAGCGAGGTGATTGGATGGAGCAGGAGATTGACCAATAGGAGCTGTCTGGGACAGATGGCTCCCATTGGTCAATGTTTTTGCAGCCCTACGCCTACTAGTGTGAACAGATTTTTTCCATTCTTTTTACTCTTCACTTTGTGGAGATCGCACTATAGGACCATGATCGCCATATAAACAGGGTTCATAATAATTACCAACCGATACAATCCTCAACCATGCCTTTAAGTTAGGGTCAAACACACCGTGCCGATGAGTTAGACGCCCCTCGAGAGATGAATGTTGCCGACTGCTTGCTTCAACTTAAGTAACGACCGCACGATAGCAATACACAGTGATCTACGTCTCCACGGACAAACCTCAACCAAAACGCCACTCTATAGCCACAAATAATGCTCAGAACAGCAACTAACTTCATCAACAGGACATATAGGGTCCTAGCCACAGCGCTAGCCACCAAACATCTGTAAACTTTGCCTAATTTCTTAAGCAAAGAGACTAAACACAACTTACCCACTCTCCTCCAGCAGCCGCTTGTTTATAGCGAGAGCCCTGACGAGTTGAATTTATGATTATTACTTCATGGAAATGCAATCAGACTGAGACACTAAGGCAGAAGAACTACCGCGTCTGCAGTGCACACACAAGATACACAAGAACTCTGATTGCATTGCCACGAAGTAATGATCATAAATATTCTCTGCACTCAGTGATCGACTCGTCAGGGCTCCCCCCACAAACAAGCGGCTGCTGTAGGAGAGTGGGTGAGTTATGGTGTGTCTGAACCAAACTTAATTTTATGCCGGAATATCCCTTTAAGTCATAATTTGATGGTTTAATTTTTGTAAAAATAAACAAGTTTTACTTTTTCACAGAGTGACACAGACAAGAAACAAATTTATATCTAGCAAAGAAAGCACTGTATACACTCTACACACCATTAAAATATGAAATATTTACCATCAGCTGACATCATTATTTTAGTTCTCCAGAATATGACTCATCATTTAGATTGCGGGGGGAGTAGTAAACATGAACCTTCCAGGTAATTCTTCCTTCCTGAGTAGTAGTGAAGTTGCGTTAATAATTAAATGAATGTTTTATCAGTATTGTGAAACCACAGGATAAAAACCGGATCAGCCTGTGCATGTGAACTACTGTTAGACAGACTCCGCAGTACCTCTGACTTTGCTCTGTGCAGCTGTCATGGCTTCTCTAAACAGAGACTTGTTTGCTATTCGCACGCTCGCTGTCTTCAGCCTGATTTCTGCGAGTCTTGCGGCTCCTTTGGATTGTCAAGATGTGCTCCGGCCTATGGATAAACTCAACCCTCGTGACTGGGAAGGCATGTGGGCAGCGGTTGCAGACAGTGTGAGGAACATTCAGCCTCCAGGACCTGCGCTACTAAGCGACAGCACAGTCCTGTACTTCTACAACTCCACTTTCTCCAGAGCCAATCGCTTCAACTTAACCTGCTCTTACTTCTCCAACAATGTCACATTCGAAGGCCCTGACTACAAGTTTGATGTCAATGCGGTGGTGAAGTACAGCGGGACCGTCTTCTACTCGTCATGTCCAGACTGTGTGGTGCTGAGCTTCATTGTGGACTCGCCCTTCTACAAATCACAGGAGCTGTGCCTGTTCAGCAAGAGGAGGAGTGTAGAGGAGACGGAGATGCAGGAGTTTATGGCTCAGGTGAAGTGTATGAACATGCCTGAGCCTTATGTGATGAATCCAAATGTGGACCTTTGTCCGCCCAAAGACAACTGAATCAACGGCTCTTAAGACTTTGTGGCATGATATCTGTGAACAGAATGAAATGACTGTCACTACATTGACCTTGATTGCCCTTATCGATGTGAATGTCAAAACTCATGTTTTAAGAGCTTCAGGAAACTAAATCTGAATACTGACGATGGAAAAGTCAATCAGAGTCTTTTTGAATAAATAAAAACTTTGGTAATCATCCTGCTGTCTCTATATTGTTGTTGTTGTCGTTCATTTAAATGTGTATGTGTGCAGGGTGGGTGGAGCGAGAGCTGTATGTAAATAATAAAGAGTTGCACTTTGAGGGGTCAACAGTGAGGGTGTGTAGCAGAGTAATGAGAACACTGATGACCACAGGAGACATAAGCATGCAGAATTAACCTTCTCCTATACATTTGTTAGAGATAAGTTTTCAGTAGAAATTGGATCTCGCCTGTCGCTTGCATGTTGCACACTGAAAAAAAACCGTCATAATTTTTACCTTGTATTTTAAGACTCAGTAAGAACTTGAGTTTCCGAACCTTCCTCCTTTGTTAGCTTTTATTACGCACCCACCATGTTAAGGGTCGGTTTTGACCCGCGTCTTAAATCAGCTGTAAATTACGCTAAAACAATTCTCTATCATCCAGTTTGGTTCTCATCTCTAGGTTACCTTGTTAGGCTTCATTATCCATGAAAATATTGCTTATAATAGTTTTCGTGGTGGTCCTCTGGGCCTTTCTTTGTCGGTATAACCCTTATACAGAATTAAAAAAAATTAGCTTTAGAAATTCAAATTCAAAATCAGATGGCACAGATTTACTTCCATAATGCCCTGTCTTAAAAAAAAGAACACATTCAAAGTGCAAACCAAATAATCTACACAAAGATGTCAAACTTTTAGTTCCTTAGAGACAGTCCACTAACTTTTAACAAAGGGACCCATCAGCCACAAGTCAAGCAGTATTCTCGAAAAAGCAGGTTTTACAGTTTAAAATCCAGGGAAGTAAAGAAAATAAAGCAATGGAATTAATGTTTTATCACAGTGCACACAATCAACAGTCACAGTGGGAACTCAGATTGTTGTTTTGTTTGGCAATCAAAAAGTCAACAGGTGAAAGGAGGACTCTGCCCTCTGTCATAAAACCAGGGGTTTTAAAAAGCTGTCAAACTTCTCTGTCCACACTCTCCAACACGACTCAAAGATACATCATGCTTCTTGCCACTTGTGCCGTTGCTCTCTTCTGCTTTATACCTGCAAGCAGTTTGGCTCCTCCGAACTGTGAGAATCTGGTCCGGCCTCTGGATCATGTGGACGGTCATCAACTGGACGGACCATGGGCTATGATCGCATACAGTACGGTGGAACCGGAAGGCGTCCTGATGATAAACAAATATATAGACAGTTTGGTCATGAAGTTTTCTAATGCCAGCGATACCTCCAATACCAGCAACCATTTGTTAGAGTCCATCTTAGGTCTTGTTGGCTATTGCGATTATAGTACCTCCAACATCACACTGGAGGGCAACGGCTTCTTCCACCAGGATGTCTTCACAGCCTTCATCCATACCGGCTGTTCAGACTGTTTGTTAATGCGTGCATCAAATGTAGGGTCCTTGCACCTGTTTAGCAAGAGGAGGGAGGTGGAGAAGGAGGTGATGGACGAGTTCAAGACTCAGGCAGAGTGTATGAAAAATCAACCACCTGTGATGATGGATTCCTCCAAAAAGCTCTGTCCAGACCAGAAGCCCACCCTGTCTGAAACTGAAGACTTGGAACTGAAGCTAAAGGCCGGAGAGAAGTTTATGGCATTAGAGAATGAAGCTCCTGATGCATGATTACAAGTTGGGTTGTAAAATAATAACTCATGAGTGCTCTGTGACAATACTGAATTGTTTCATTGATGACATGAATAACTGCTAACAAAAAAAGAAGTTTAATAAAAACCCAATTCAAACCTGCCTCTCTCTTCATGGTTTCCTACTCTATTTACTGCTCTATTCGCTAAATAAAGATAGCATGCAAATTCCAGGACCGCTCTTACTGACCTTATTCCCTACATGCAGATATCAAATCCACCCAAACCTACTTTACCCTCTATCACTATTGCCAGGTGAAAATCCCCTAAAAACACGTGCCTGTAGGAAAAAACAGGTTTTGGATCAGGGAAAAAAATATGCCTTCAAAGATGTCAAAGGAAATGCTGAAGCTTCCCAGAGACCCATGATACTCAGACAAACGCAACATATTAAAAATCACGTACACGTTTGGTCGGGTGAAAATCACCTGGTGATAGTGTTCTAGGGTTAAAGGATGCTAAAGTTGTATTTTTAATCTATAAATAGAACAGCAAACCTTCATACTGCCAGTCAGACAAGTTTATGTATTTGCTTCAAATGTATATCTTCCAAATTGTAATATGAAATGAAAACATGTTAGGTGTATTTAGAAGAAAAAAATCCAAGAAGGTTTAAGGCTTTGTGGAAAATATGAGCACTACAATAATGAAATAATAATAATACTATGACAACGACAAGATGATGAAAATCTAAAAAATATAATGCAGACAGTAAAATCTTCAAAATGTTTTGTTTCCATGATCAACAGGATAACAGCACAAAAATGTTTCAGGGGGACTGTGGGACATTCAAAATCCATGATATGATATTTTCCCTACTGTTCATCTAATCCATCCCTTGAAATACTATCAATGTATTCTGTAACAGGCTGAGTTAGTCGAGGGGGGAGCAGTGTTAGGAAGAAAATCAGTGACATAGACAAGAAACAAATTTATATCTTGCTAATAACTGTATACACTCTACACACCATTGAAATATGAAATATTTAGCTGACGTCATTATCTAAGTTCTCCATAATATGACTCATCATTAAGACGGGCACTCAGTAGCTAGTCAACAGATAGTAGCATTTTTAAGTTGGCAACAGCTGAAGCTTCTAAATATTTATCAGGAGTCCACATTCACTGAGCTGGTCCAGTCCAATGCTGCTGATGTTGCAAAAACTATGCGGGGGGAGTAGTAAACATGAACCTTCCAGTAAATTCTTCCTTCCTGAGTTGCGGTAAAGTTGCGTTAATAATTAAATGAATGTTTTATCAGTATTGTGAAACCACAGGGTCAAAACCTGATCAGTCTGTGCATGTGAACTACTGTTAGACAGACTCTGCAGTACCTGTGACTTTGCTCTGTGCAGCTGTCATGGCTTCTCTAAACAGAGACTTGTTTGCTATTCGCACGCTCGCTGTCTTCAGCCTGATTTCTGCGAGTCTTGCGGCTTCTTTGGATTGTAAAGATGTGCTCCGGCCTATGGATAAACTCAACCCTCGTGACTGGGAAGGCATGTGGGCAATGGTTGCAGACAGTATAAGGGTCATTCAGTCTCCAGAGCCTGAGCGCCTAAGCAACAGCACAGTCCTGTACTTCTACAACTCCACTTTCACCAAAGCCAACCTCGACTTAACCTGCTCTTATTTCTCCAACAATGTCACATTCGAAGGCCCCGACTACAAGTTTGATGTCAATGGGGTGGTGAAGTTCAGCGGGACCATCTTCTACTCGTCATGTCCAGACTGTTTGGTGCTGAGCTTCATTGTGGACTCGCCCCACTATAAATCACAGGAGCTGTGCCTGTTCAGCAAGAGGAGGAGTGTGGAGGAGACGGAGCTGCAGGAGTTCATGGCTCAGGTGAAGTGTATGGACATGCCTGAGGCTTCTGTGATGAATCCAAATGAGGAGCTTTGTCCGTACACTCAAGCGCAAGACAACTGAATCAACGGCTCTTAAGACTTTGTGGCATGATATCTGTGAACAGAATGAAATGACTGTCACTACATTGACCTTGATTGTCCTTATCGATGTAAAAGTCAAAACCCATGTTTTAAGAGCTTCAGGAAACTAAATCTGAATACTGACGATGGAAAAGTCAATCAGAGTCTTTTTGAATAAATAAAAACTTTGGTAATCATCCTGCTGTCTCTATATTGTTGTTGTTGTTCATTTAAATGTGTATGTGTGCGGGGTGGGTGGAGCGAGAGCTGTATGTAAATAAAGAGTTGCACTTTGACGGGTCAACAGTGAGGGTGTGTAGCAGAGCAATGAGAACACTGATGACCACAGGAGACATAAGCATGCAGAATTAACCTTCTCCTATACATTTGTTAGAGATAAGTTTTCAGTAGAAATTGGATCTCGCCTGTCGCTTGCATGTTGCACACTGAAAAAAAACTGTCATCATTTTTACCTTGTATTTTTAAGACTCAGTAAGAACTTGAGTTTCCGAACCTTCCTCCTTTGTTAGCTTTTATTACGCAACCACCATGTTAAGGGTCGGTTTTGACCTGCGTCTTAAATCAGCTGTAAATTATGCTAAATCAATTCTCTATCATCCAGTTTGGTTCTCATCTCTAGGTTTCCTTGTTAGGCTTCATTATCCATCAAAATATTGCTTATAATAGTTTTTGCGGTGGTCCTCTGGGCCTTTCTTTATCGGTATACCCCTTATACAGACATCCAAACTGAATTGATGACACATGTCTGAACATGTCTGAAGTTTTTTGTGCAGGGAAAAATCTGACTGTCAGTGTGGTGCCTGACGGTTCACTTATGATTTCAGTTTTTGCTCTAATTATTAGATATTGATCTGACTGGGTCAACAGCGACCCTAACACGACAAGAGCCACAATCTTAATAAGAGCATTTTATAATTTAGTCAATGATTTAGTAATGATCATAAATGTTCTCTGCACCCGGTCGTCGACTTGTCAGGGCTCATCCCAAAAACAAGCGGCTGCTGGAGGAGAGTGGGTGAGTTACGGTTTGTAACTATAACTTAATTTTACGCCGGAATATCCCTTTAAGTCATAATTTGATGGTTTAATTTTTGTAAAAATAAACAAGTTTCACTTTTTCACAGTGATACAGACAAGAAACAAATTTATATTTAGCAAAGCACTGTATACACTCTACACACCATTAAAATATGAAATATTTCGCTGACGTCATTATCTAAGTTCTCCATAATATGACTCATCATTAAGACGGGCACTCAGTAGCTAGTCAACAGATAGTAGCATTTTTAAGTTGGCAACGGCTGAAGCTTCATGAATATTTTTCAGGAGTCCACATTCACTGAGCTGGTCCAGTCCAATGCTGCTGATGTTGCAAAAACCATGCGGGGGGAGTAGTAAACATGAACCTTCCAGTAAATTCTTCCTTCCTGAGTTACGGTAAAGTTGCGTTAATAATTAAATGAATGTTTTATCAGTATTGTGAAACCACAGGGTCAAAACCTGATCAGTCTGTGCATGTGAACTACTGTTAGACAGACTCTGCAGTACCTCTGACTTTGCTCTGTGCAGCTGTCATGGCATCTCTAAAAAGAGACTTGTTTGCTAGTCGTACGCTCGCTGTCTTCAGCCTGATTTCTGCGAGTCTTGCGGCTCCTTTGGATTGTAAAGATGCACTTCGGCCTATGTTCATGTAAATGTGTATTTGTGCAGGGTGGGTGGAGCGAGAGCTTTATGGAAATAATAAAGAGTTGCACTTTGACAGGTCAACAGTGAGGGTGTGTAGCAGAGCAATGAGAACACTGATGACCACATCTTCACAACTGTTATGTTTTATGGAAAGTAAAATTTGATCGATACTGGCAAGTCAGTGTTACTTGATATTGCAGCATTAAATTTGACTTAAATCATTTACAATATATTTTTGAAGTAATTTTCTCAGTAAATCTTATGAGTTAGTTATTAGCACTTAAAAAGACTTTGGTCATCTATATGTGGCTTTTAGTGGGAGAAGTGATGAGAGATGATGAATTTCCTGACTCAACAAGTGAACATAGCCACTTGGAATAGCTTTATACATTGTTAAAAGTGTGCCAAACATATTTGTCGTAGTTCCTAAATGCAGATTTTTTTTTACCCAAACAAAAAAATGCTAACCCCTCCCATTAGTCAGCACTTTCTTTGACTGAAATTGCTCAAATAAGGTCCTTTTTTTAACATGAATTTTATGTAACTGACTATAAAGTAGGGTGACCATATTCTGAATCCCTAAAAAGAGGACACTACTACGCAGGGCGGGTTTTTAGGGTCGGGTCAAATGTTTTTTTACACACTTCTAACTCAGTTAAACACATATTCTGAATTCCCAAAAAGACACTAAACCAGGCCTCTTGGAGATACTGAAAATTACTCACACAAAGTTGCGTTTATAAACAATATATTCATTTATCTAAAGCATTTCTCCTCAACCAAATTATCAGTCACATACAAATACTCCCCTCGGACAGGTCGTACAACCCCCTATAGGGCACATGTCTTGGTAAGAGAGGGCGTGTGGTCACCTCATGTGAACCTTCCAATTGAGCACCGATAAGAGAAAAAACAGTAAACATTTCACAATTAAAGACCATCATCAGATGTTTTTTTGGGGGGAGGTTTTGGTAACGGGAATCTGTGGCGTGAGTGTGTGTGTGTGTGTGTGTGTGTGTGTGTGTGTGTGTGTGTGTGTGGGCGGTGGGGTTGACTGAGTTTTAAAAAAGATAACTCACTTCAACAGCAGCAAAACAAAGATACATATAATGCATCGAAGATTTGACACTGTTAATTTTTATGAACTTATTCTTAACTGTTAACTTTATAAACACGTACCATTAATTCTTCACTGCAACAGTAATATTGAATACGCCATGAAATTGCCAAGTGTATGGAAGTAAATCTGTGCCATTTGATTTTAAATTTGAATTTCTAAATTCAGTGTAAAAAAATCAGTCTCTCAAGAGATTTGTTGAATAAAACTTCAACTTACAAACAACTGTGTAAAAAAATGTTTCAACATGGTTTTAAATGGTGGATGGTTTTAAAATGCACATGTCCTCTTACTGAACGCTGATTGCTGTGTTTTGCATACTGTAACTGTTTTGTGTTTCTGCGTGTTTTTTTTTTTTTATTTTTTTTTTTATGTGGAACTTCTTGTGCTGCTATCCTGGCCAGGACTCCCTTGTGAAAGAGATTCTGAATCTAAATGGGGTTATTTCCTGGTTAAATAAAGGTTACTAACTAACTAAAATTCAAAGTCTGATTTTGATGCAAAAAAATTCTGCTTTAGAAATTCAAATTCAAAATAAGATGGCACAGATTTACTTCCATAAAAGTGTTTCACATATCAGGTTTCCAGACAAAATAAACTTTTTACCCTTTTATTGCAGTAAGAGTGCTTCATGTGTGATGTTGGCAAAAATAAGTTAGTGTTCAACTTTACAGAAGACAAGAATGGCCTTGAATTTTTCTTTTTTTTTTTAACGCACTGTTATCTCGTGATATAGACTTTTTATCTCAAATATAACAAAAACAGCATTTTAGCCAACCTGAAATGGTAACTTTTACAAACGGCCTACATCATGGGTTATTACTGAAACGCCACAGCCACTATTGTCAACAGCAAGCCGCGGGTTTTAATGAAAACACTGATATCACGCACCACTTTGCACACGCACATTACACTTTAAACGTGGGAACAATTAACTCCCATATTCAAATCTGACAAGAAAACAATCTTTGTTGTGTTGTTCAGTTTGTTGCATAAAAAGAAAGAACAACACATGGCCGTTCTCGTCTTTTGTACCATTAGTTTGCAGTCCACAACATTTATTTGACTGTTGTAGTTTGATGTCACATTTCAGCTTAAGATCGATGAAAAGAAGAACATGCCTGCTGATAAAATGATTCACTCTGTTAAAGAGGAATAGGGGCGTTTTTGTTTTCACCAACCGCAATATTGAACAGTTTAGGAGAAACCAGACCACATCCAGTGTAAAGAATCAGCCCACGATGTAACTCAATGTTCGATTTCACAATCACAAAATCACAGGTCAGTAAGCGTCTGGTGTACTGGATATTTCTGAAACAACTATAAAAACCTGAATCAAACCAACACATTCACTGAAGTCAAGATACTTATTCCAGCAGCTGGAGAAGAGACAGACATAGACACAGACATGTTTGTTGTATTTGCAATAGCTCTCCTCTGTTTTGTATCTGTGAGCAGTTCAGCTCCTCTGGCCTGTGAAGACCTGGTCCGACCTTTGGATCAGATGGATCCTCATCTTTTGAGTGGACGATGGGTTGTGGTAGCCGGCAGCTTGAATGACTCATCAGCTGAGAAAGCCCTTAAAGACAGAGACAGTGTTGCCATTGATTTCTACAATTCCTCATACACGCAGTCAAACATGGTTGGAGGCCAGTGTCGGTATCATACCAGAAACGTCACCATGGACAATCACATTGTAAAGTTATATGTGGGGACCTTCAACTTCACTGGGACCTTCTTCTCCACGTCGTGTCCAGACTGTCTGCTGTTGACTCTTGATATTGAGTCGCCTACCTTTAAGTCAGTGGACTTTTACCTGTTTAGCAGGAGGAGAGAGGTGGGTCAGAAGGAGATAGAGGAGTTCAGAGCTCAGGTGGAGTGTCTGAATCTGCCTCCACCCGTTATAATGGATCCCACCAAGGAGCTCTGTCCAGAACAGACAGCCCACCAACCTGAGGAGAATCAAAACGTGTAAAGAGCCTGTACATATGAAAAATAAAAAATGGCTCAACGTTCAAGATGTAATCATATGATTTCATGGCTGTTTTTGAAGACTGATTTTTCACTTGAACTGATTTATCAGTCTGTTTATTCAACCCTAAATAAAAAGGCTTCTTGTGTGATTCCTGTGGACAAGAACAATTTTGTTTCACAACATCTTAAGTCGGCTTTTGAGGTACTCCTAAAGTAGACTTGTGAAAATGTCCTATTAAAATGTCCCAGAGGTCCCAGTTACACTTTCTGCAAGTGATAATTAGATGATTCCTGAAGATTTTCCAGTAACCTCTCATAAAAAGTCCCTTAACATTTCCAGACTAAAAAAAATCCTCAAAAACATTTTCAAGAAGGAGAATTGATGCAGACACTTTTGAGTTTGCAGTCTTTTTTCTTTGATAGTTTTTTAAATAATTTTAGCAAATCCTCTTTTTAGGGGTTACCTTTGCCTCAATGCCTTATGGAAGTAAATCTGTGTCATCTGCTTTTGAATTTGAATTTCAAAAGCTGATTTTTTTTTGCATCATAATCAGACTTTGAATTTTCTAAACTATTGAATTTCAAGCATGCATTTTTATTTCTGTCACTTATTTTTTCACAATGATGAAATAATCTCAGAGTGAAAAAATCAGTCTCTCAAAAGATTTTTTTGACACTGAAATTTTTTTTATGATTTTTTTTTTACAGTCCATTTTTTTAGTCTAATTTTAACTACATATATATTTTGAGAGACCATTTTTTTACACTGAATTTATTTCATCATTGTGAAAAAAAAACAAGTGTAAGAAAAAAAAATGCGTGCTTAAAATTCAGTGGTTTTGAAATTCAAAGTCTGATTTTAATGCAATAAAATTCAGCTTTAGAAATTCAAATTCAAAATCAGATGGCACAGATTTACTTCCATAATGCCCTGTCTTAAAATAAGAACACATTTGAAGTGCAAACCAAATAATCTACACAAAGATGTCAAACTTTTAGTTCCTAAGAGACAGTCCACTAATATCTGAAAGATGGAAACCATCAGCCATAAAGTCAAGCAGTATTCTCGAAAAAGCAGATTTTACAATCTAAAATCCAGGGAAGTAAAGAAAATTAAGCAATGGAATTAATGTTTTATCACAGTGCACACAATCAACAGTCACAGTGGTGACTCAGATTGTTGTTTTGTTTGGCAATCAAAAAGTCAACAGGTGAAAGGAGGACTCTGCCCTCTTTCTGAAACCAGGGGTTTTAAAAAGCTGTCAAACTTCTCTATCCACACTCTCCAGCACGACTCAAAGATACATCATGCTTCTTGCCACTTGTGTCGTTGCTCTCTTCTGCTTTATACCTGCGAGCAGTTTGGCTCCTCCAAACTGTGGGGACCTGGTCCGGCCTCTGGATCATGTGGACGGTCATCAATTGGACGGACGATGGCATTTGATCGCACACAGTCCGGTGGAACCGGATAACCAAAGCGCGTACAAATTGATGGACAGTCTGGGCATGAAGTTTTCCAATGCCAGCGATAACCACAACACCAGCAACCTTTTGTTAGAGCGCATCTTAGGTTTTCTTGGCACTTGCGATTATGAATCCTCCAACATCACACTTGAGGGCAACATCCTCACCTCCAGTAACGAATCTGCAACCTTCTTCCATACCAGCTGTTCAGACTGTTTGATATTGCATTTTACAAATGGAAGAGCACACGGGAACTTGCACCTGTACAGCAAGAGGAGGGAGGTGGAGAAGGAGGTGATGGACGAGTTCAAGACTCAGGCAGAGTGTGTGAAAAATCAACCACCTGTGATGATGGATTCCTCCAAGAAGCTCTGTCCAGACCAGGAGCCCACCCTGTCTGAAGATGAAGAATTGAAACAGAATCTAAGGCTATTACTGAGGATTTTGGATTTAGTCGATGAAGCTCCTGATGCATGATTACAAGTTGGGTTGTAAAATAATAACTCATGAGTGCTCTGTGACAATACTAAGCTGTTTCATTGATGAGCTTAATAACTGCTAACAAAAAAAGAGGTTTAATAAAAACCCAATTCAAACCTGCCTCTCTCTTCATGGTTTCTTACTCTGTTCACTGCAAAATACAAGCCCCAAAATTAACAAATTTAAGGAAAACAAACTATATAAAGTCTATGTCTGTGGTAAAAATTAGTAACACCATCAGTATCGCTGGGTAATTTTTACCTGAAATAATATACCCAAGAAAAAGTACTTGTCATCAAAAAACATATCAAAAGAGGACAATACTTGACAAATTAAAGTAGTTTTCTTTTATTTTTAACTGTGTAATGTCCAAAGGGAGGGAAAAAAGTGCCATGAGGGGACCATATAAAAATGCAACAAAATAACTGAAATTAGGCATTCATGAACAATATACATCAACAGTCACAGTGAGGACTGAGATTGTTGTTTGGTTTGGCTATCAAAAAGTCAACAGGTGAAAGGAGGACTCTGCCCTCTGTCGTAAAACCAGGGGTTTTAAAAAGTTTCTCTGTCCACACTCTCCAGCACAACTCAAAGATACATCATGTTTCTTGCCACTTGTGTCGTTGCTCTCTTCTGCTTTATACCTGCGAGCAGTTTGGCTCCTCCGAACTGTGAGGATCTGGTCCGGCCTCTGGATCATGTGGATGGTCATCAATTGGACGGACGATGGTTTTTGATCGCATACGGTCTGGTGGAACCGGAACCCCTAGGGGGGAACTATATGGTACAGAGTTGGGTCATAGAGATTTCCAATGCCAGCTATACCTCCAACACCAGCAACCTTTTGTTTGAGCGCAACTTACGTTTTGTTAACAGATGCGAGTATCAATCCTTCAACATCACACTTGAGGGCAACGTCCTCTCCGAAGGTAAAGTCTCCTCAACCCTCATCCATACCAGCTGTTCAGACTGTTTGTTAATGCATACAGCAAAAGGAGTAGAAGCGAACTTGCACCTGTTCAGCAAGAGGAGGGAGGTGGAGAAGGAGGTGATGGACGAGTTCAAGACTCAGGCAGAGTGTCTGAATAGTCAACTACCTGTGATGATGGATCCCTCCAAGAAGCTCTGTCCAGACCAGAAGCCCACTCTGCCTGAAACTGAAGACTTGGCAGAGAAGCTAAAGACAGTAGAGAATGAAGCTCCTGATGCATGATTACAAGTTGGGTTGTAGAATAATAACTCATGAGTGCTCTGTGACAATACTGAGCTGTTTCATTGATGAGCTGAATAACTGCTAACAAAAAAAAGAGGTTTAATAAAAACCCAATTCAAACCTGCCTCTCTCTTCATGGGTTCTTACTCTGTTCACTGCAAGATACAAGCCCTAAAATTAACAAATTTATGGAAAACATTCTATATAAAGTCTATGTCTGTGGTCAAAATTAGTAACACCATCACTATCGCTGGGTAATTTATACCTGAAATAATATACCCAAGAAAAAGTACTTGTCATCAAAAAACATATCAAAATAGGACAATACATGACAAATTTAAGTAGTTTTCTTTTATTTTTAACTGTGTAATGTCCAAAGGGAGGGGAAAAAAGTGCCATGAGGGGACCATATAACAAAATAACTGAAATTAGGCATTCATGAACAATATACATATATATAAATAAATAAATTAAAAAAAAAATATATATATATATAGTTTCTTTTCCACCCATAGAAATGACCAGCTGACTAAAATATTTCTTATCACCATATGAATTCCCTTGAAAATCACTACTTTGTGATGGTTAACCACTGCGCAAATAAAGATAGCATGCAAATTCCAGGACCACTCTTACTGACATTATTTGCCTACATGCAGATATCAAAGCCACCCAAACCTACTTTACTCTCTATTATTATTGCTGGGTGAAAATCACCATGTGAACACGTGCCTGAAGGAAAAAGCAGGTTTTGGATCAGGGAAACAAATATGCCTTCAAATATGTCAAAGGAAATGCTGAAGCTTCCCAGGGACCCATGATATTCAGACAAACGCAACACAATGAAAATCACGTAAACATGTTTGGTCAGGTGAAAATCACCCGGCTATAGTGTTCTAGGGTTAAAGGATGCCAAAGTTGTATTTTTAACCTATAAATAGAACAGCAAACCTTCATACTGCCAGTCAGACAAGTTTATGTATTTGCTTCAAATGTATATCTTCCAAATTGTAATATGAAATGAAAACATGTTAGACGTATTTAGAAGAAAAAAAATCCAAGAAGGTTTAAGGCTTCGTGGAAAATATGAATGAGCGCTACAATAATGAAATAATAATAATACTATGACAACGACAAGATGATGAAAATCTAAAAAATATAATGCAGACAGTAAAATCTTCAAAATGTTTTGTTTCCATGAACAACAGGATAACAGCACAAAAATGTTTCAGGGGGACTGTGGGACATTCAAAATCCATGATATGATATTTTCCCCACTGTTCATCTAATCCATCCCTCGAAATACTATCAATGTATTCTGTAACAGGCTGAGTTAGTCGAGGGGGGAGCAGTGTTAGGAAGAAAATCATTGCAATTTCCTAAATGTAACAAAAACACAGACTTCAATTAGGGGTGTTTGCATCAAAATCAGACTTTGAATTTTTCAACTATTGAATTTCAAGCATGCATTTTTATTTCTGACACATATTTTTTCACAATGATGAAATAAATTCAGTGTGAAAAAAAATCTCTCTCAAGAGATCTGTTGAGTAAAAATTCAACTTAAAAAAAACAGTGTAAAAAAAATTTCAACATGGTTTTAAAATGTCTTGAGAGATTTTTTTTACACTGAATGTATTTTATCATTGTGAAAAAATAAGTGTCAGAAATAAAAGTGCATGCTTGAAATACAATAGTTGAAAAATTTCAGTCTGATTTTGATGTGAAAAAATTCTGCTTTAGAAATTCAAATTCAAAATCAGATGGCACAGATTTACTTCCATAAAAGTGTTTCACATATCAGGTTTCCAGACAAAATAAACTTTTTACCCTTTTATTGCAGTAAGAGTGCTTCATGTGTGATGTTGGCAAAGAAAAGTTAGTGTTCAAATTTACAGAAGACAAGAATGGCCTTGAATTTTTCTTTTTTTTAATGCACTGTTATCTCGTGATATAGACTTTTTATCTCAAATATAACAAAAACAGCATTTTAGCCAACCTAAAATGGTAACTTTTACAAACAGCCTACATCATGGGTTATTACTGAAACGCCGCTGCCACTATTGTCAACAGCAAGACAGGGTTTTCAATAAAAACACTGATCTCACGCACCACTTTGCACACGCACATTACACTTAAAACGTGGGAACATTTAACTGCCATATGCAAATCTGACAAGAAAACAATCTTTGTTGTGTCGAGATAACAAGATAAGTCTTTATCACGAGATAATAGTGCATAAAAAAAGAAAAACACATGGCCGCTCTCATCTTTTGTACCATTAGTTTGCAGTCCACAACATTTATTTGACCGTTGTAGTTTGATGTCACATTTCAAGTTAAGATCGATGAAAAGAAAAACATGCCTGCTGATAAAATGAATCACACTGTTAAGGAAGAATAGGGATTTTTATATTGAACAGTTTGTGACTTTCAGTGGATCTCCCACATTTCCACAGATAGGAGAAACCAGACCACATCCAGTGTAAACAAACACTCGGCCCACGATGTAACTCAATGTTCGATTTCACAATCACAAAATCCACAGGTCAGTAAGAGTCTGGTGTACTGGATATTTCTGAAACAACTATAAAAACCTCAATCAAACCGACACATTCACTGAAGTCAAGATACTTATTCCAGCAGCTGGAGAAGAGACAGACATAGACACAGACATGTTTGTTGTATTTGCAATAGCTCTCCTCTGTTTTGTATCTGTGAGCAGTTCAGCTCCTCTGGCCTGTGAAGACCTGGTCCGACCTTTGGATCAGATGGATCCTCATCTTTTGAGTGGACGATGGGTTGTGGTAGCCGGCAGCTTGAATGACTCATCAGCTGAGAAAACCCTTAAAGACAGAGACAGTGTTGCCATCGATTTCTACAATTCCTCATACACGCAGTCAAACATGGTTGGAGGCCAGTGTCGGTATCATACCAGAAACGTCACCATGGACAATCACATTGTAAAGTTATATGTGGGGACCTTCAACTTCACTGGGACCTTCTTCTCCACATCGTGTCCAGACTGTCTGCTGTTGACTCTTGATATTGAGTCGCCTACCTTTAAGTCAGTGGACTTTTACCTGTTTAGCAGGAGGAGAGAGGTGGGTCAGAAGGAGATAGAGGAGTTCAGAGCTCAGGTGGAGTGTCTGAATCTGCCTCCACCCGTTATAATGGATCCCACCAAGGAGCTCTGTCCAGAACAGACAGCCCACCAACCTGAGGAGAAGGAGGAGGATCAAAACGTGTAAAGAGCCTGTACATATGACAAATAATATGGCTCAAGGTTCAAGATGTAATCATATGATTTCATGGCTGTTTTTGAAGACTGATTTTTCACTTGTCCTGATTTATCAGTCTGTTTATTCAACCCTAAATAAAAATGCTTCCTGTGTGATTTCTGTGGACAAAACGATTTTGTTTCACAACATCTTAAGTCGGCTTTTAAGGTACTCCTAAAGTAGACTTGTGAAAATTTCCTATTAAAATGTCCCAGAGGTCCCAGTTACACTTTCTGCAAGTGATAATTAGATAAATCCTGAAGATTTTCCAATAACCTCTCATCAAAAGTCCCTTAACATTTCCATATTAAAAAAAAATCCTCAAAAACATTCTTAAAGTTTCCATAAAGGAGTATTGATGCTGACAGTTTTGAGTTTGTAGTCTTTTTTCTTTGATAGTTTTTTGAGTATTTTAGCAAATCCTCTTTTTAGGGGTTAAGTAAATCTGTGTCATCTGATTTTGAATTTAAATTCCAAAAGCTGAAAAAATCATTCTCTCAAAAGATTTGTTTAGTAAAAATTCAACTTAAAAAAAAAAAAAAAACGTGTAAACAAAATTCAATAAAAAAAAAAATCAATGTAAAAAAATTCTGTGTAAAACAGACCGACTCCACATCCGAGTAATCAGGGAGAGCAATCAATTCTTGCCTCAATCATCCATCATCCAGCCAATCAGATAATGCTAGATTGGTCATGTGGCACCGACCCCAGTGGAAGATTGAGGAATCCATTGCTTCTTCCTGATTACCCGGATGTTGAGTCTGTTTTATACTGAATTTTTTGACACTGAATTTTTGACATTGAAATTTTTTTGTTTAGTTTTTTTTTAAACTGTTTTTTTTTTTGTCAAATTTTTACTACACGAACATTTTGAGAGACCAATTGTTTTTTTTACACTGAATTTATTTCATCATTGTGAAAAAAAAAAAGTGTAAGAAACAAAAATGCGTGCTTGAAATTCGATGGTTTTGAAATTCAAAGTCTGATTTTAATAAAAAAAATTTGCTTTAGAAATTCAAATTCAAAATCAGATGACACAGATTGACTTTCATAATGCCCTGTCTTAAAAAAAGAATTTAAAGTGCAAACCAAATAATCTACACAAAAATTTCCAACTTTTTGTTCCTCAAAGACAGTCCTTTAATTTTTGAAAAGGAAAACTATCAGCCACAAGTCAAGCAGTATTTTCAAAAAAGCAGGTTTTACAATTTAAAATCCAGGGAAGTAAAGAAAATAAAGCAATGGAATTAATGTTTTATCACAGTGCACACAATCAACAGTCACAGTGGGGACTCAGATTGTTTTTTTCGTTTGGCAATCAAAAAGTCAACAGGTGAAAGGAGGACTCTGCCCTCTGTCTGAAACCAGGGGTTTTAAAAAGCTGTCAAACTTCTTCTCTGTCCACACTTTCCAGCACGACTCAAAGATACATCATGCTTCTTGCCACTTGTGTCGTTGCTCTCTTCTGTTTTATACCTGCGAGCAGTTTGGCTCCTCCGAACTGTGAGGACCTGGTCCGGCCTCTGGATCATGTGGATGGTCATCAACTGGACGGACGATGGGCTATGATTGCAGGCAGTCTGGTGGACCCGAAACACGTGGAGAGGTTCAAAAGTAGAGACAGTGCAGTCATAAAGTTCTCCAATGCCAGCGATACCTCCAATACCAGCAACCTTTTGTTAGAGCGCATGTTTGGTTTTGGTGACAAATGCGAGTATCATCCCTCCAACATCACACTTGAGGGCAACGGCTTCTCCTCCAGTAACGTCTCCATAACCTTCATCCATACCGGCTGTTCAGACTGTTTGTTAATGCGTTTTACTGAGGCAGGAGCACTCAGGAACTTGTACCTGTTCAGCAAGAGGAGGGAGGTGGAGGGGGATGTGATGGATGAGTTCAAGACTCAGGCAGAGTGTGTGAAAAGTCAACCACCTGTGATGATGGATTCCTCCAAGAAGCTCTGTCCGGACCAGATGCCCACCCTGCCTGAAATTGAAGAGTTGGCAGAGAAGCTAAAGGCAGTAGAGAATGTAGCTCCTGATGCATGATTACAAGTTGGGTTGTAGAATAATAACTCATGAGTGCTCTGTGACAATGCTTAGCTGTTTCATTTATGAGCTGAATAACTGCTAACAAAAAAAGAGGTTTAATAAAAACCCAATTCAAACCTGCCTCTCTCTTCATGGTTTCCTACTCTGTTCACTGCAAAATACAAGCCCCAAAATTAACAAATTTAAGAGAAACAAACTGAAAACATATTAGATGTATTTAGAAGAAAAAAATCCAAGAAGGTTTAAGGCTTTGTGGAAAATATGAACGAGCGCTACAATAATGAAATAATAATACTATGACAATGGCAAAATGATGAAAATCTAAAAAATATAATGCAGACAGTCAAATCTTAAAAATGAAATTCAAATTCAAAATCAGATTGTACAGATTTACTTCTGTAATGCCCTGTCTTAAAAAAGAACACATTTAAAGTGCAAACCAAAAAATCTACACAAAAATGTCAAACTTTTAGTTCCTAAGAGACAGTCCACTAACTTTTACAATTTAAAATCCAGGGAAGTAAAGAAAATAAAGCAATGGAATTAATGTTTTATCACAGTGCACACAATCAACAGTCACAGTGAGGACTCAGATTGTTTTTTTTGTTTGGCAATCAAAAAGTCAACAGGTGAAAGGAGGACTCTGCCCTCTGTCGTAAAACCAGGGGTTTTAAAAAGCTGTCAAACTTCGTCTCTGTCCACACTCTCCAGCACGACTCAAAGATACATCATGCTTCTTGCCACTTGTGTCGTTGCTCTCTTCTGCTTTATACCTGCAAGCAGTTTGGCTCCTCCGCACTGTGAGGAACTGGTCCGGCCTCTGGATCATGTGGATGGTCATCAACTGGACGGACTATGGCTTTTGATCGCAATCAGTCTGGACGACCCTCTTTATCCCGCGGAGACATTAAAAATTTTTGACAGTTGGGTCATAAAGTTTTCCAATGCCAGCGATACCTCCAATACCAGCAACCTTTTGTACGAGACCATCTATAGTGCTGGTGGCAGTTGCTATAATCCTCCCTCCTCCAACATCACACTTAAGGGCAACAGCTTCTCCTCCAGTAACGTCTCCATAACCTTCATCCATACCGGCTGTTCAGACTGTTTGTTAATGCATTTCTTAAATAGAGAAGGATTTGGGAACTTGCACCTGTACAGCAAGAGGAGGGAGGTGGAGAAGGAGGTGATGGACGAGTTCAAGACTCAGATAGAGTGTGTGAAAAATCAACCACCTGTGATGATGGATACCTCCAAGAAGCTCTGTCCATACCAGATGCCCACCCTGCCTGAAATTGAAGAGTTGGCAGAGAAGCTAAAGGCAGTAGAGAATGTAGCTCCTGATGCATGATTACAAGTTGGGTTGTAAAATAATAACTCATGAGTGCTCTGTGACAATACTAAGCTGTTTCATAGATGAGCTGAATAACTGCTAACAAAAAAAGAGGTTTAATAAAAACCCAATTCAAACCTGCCTCTCTCTTCATGGTTTCTTACTCTATTCACTGCCAAATACAAGTCCCAAAATTAACAAACTATATTAAGTCTATGTCTGTGGTAAATTAACCCTTGAAAACTATCGCTAAAATTAGTTACACGATCACTATCGCTGGGCAATTTTTACCTGAAATAATATAGCCTAGAAAAAGTACTTGTCATCAAAATATATCAAAATAGGACAATACATGACAAATAAAGTAGTTTTTTTTTAATTTTAACTGTGTAATGTCCAAAGGGAGGGAAAAAAGTGCCATGAGGGGACCATATAAAAATGCAACAAAATAACTGAAATTAGGCATTCATGAACAATATAGATAGATAAAATTCCAGGACCACTCTTACTGACATTATTCCCTACATGCAGATATCAAATCCAGCCAAACCTACTTTAACCTCTATCACTATTGCCGGGTGAAAGTCCCCTAAAAACACGTGCCTGTAGAAAAAAGCAGTTTCTTGATCAGGGAAACAAATATGCCTTTAAAGATGTCAAAGGAAATGCTGAAGCTTCCCAGGGACCCATGACACTCAGACAAACGCAACATAATGAAAATCACGTAAACATGTTTGGTCAGGTGAAAATCACCTGGCTATAGTGTTCTTGGGTTAAAGGATGCCAAAGTTGTATTTTTAACCTGTAAATAGAACAGCAAACCTTCATACTGCCAGTCAGACAAGTTTATGTATTTGCTTCAAATGTATATCTTCCAAATTGTAATATGAAATGAAAACATGTTAGACATATTTAGAAGAAAAAAAATCCAAGAAGGTTTAAGGCTTTGTGGAAAATATGAATGAGCACTACAATAATGAAATAATAATAATACTATGACAACGACAAGATGATGAAAATCTAAAAAATATAATGCAGACAGTAAAATCTTCAAAATGTTTTGTTTCCATGAACAACAGGATAACAGCACAAAAATGTTTCGGGGGGACTGTGGGACATTCAAAATCCATGATATGATATTTTCCCCACTGTTCATCTAATCCATCCCTCGAAATACTATCAATGTATTCTGTAACAGGCTGAGTTAGTCGAGGGGGGAGCAGTGTTAGGAAGAAAATCATTGCAATTTCCTAAATGTAATAAAAACACAGACTTCAATAAGGGGTGTTTTCATCAAAACCAGACTTTGAATTTCAAAATTATCAAACTTCAAGCATGCATTTTTATTTCTGACACATATTTTTTCATAATGATGAAATAAATTCAGTGTGAAAAAATTCAACATGGTTTTAAAATGGTGGATGGTTTTAAAATTCAATTTCTGATTTTGATGCAAAAAAAAAATTCAGCTTTAGAAATTCAAATTCAAAATCAGATGGCACAGATTTACTTCCATACAAGTGTTTCACATATCAGGTTTCCAGACAAAATAAACTTTTTACACTTTTATTGCAGTAAGAGTGCAGTAAGAGAGCAATCGATTCCTGGCTCAATCATCCATCATCCAGCCAATCAAATAATGCTAGATTGGTCATGTGGCACCGACCCCAGTGGAAGATTGAGGAATCGATTGCTTCTCCCTGATTACCCAGATGTTGAGTCGGTCTGTTTTACACATAATTTTTTAACACTGAAATTTTTTTTATGTTGAATTTTTTTTTTACAGTATCTTTTTTTAGTCTAATTTTTACTACATAAATATTTTGAGAGACCAATTTAATCAATACATGATTACAAGTTGGGTTGTAAAATAATAACTCATGAGAGCTCTGTGACAATACTAAGCTGTTTCATTTATGAGCTGAATAACTGCTAACAAAAAAAAGAGGTTTAATAAAAACCCAATTCAAACCTGCCTCTCTCTTCATGGTTTCTTACTCTGTTCACTGCAAAATACAAGCCCCAAAACTAACAAATTTAAGGAAAACAAACTATATAAAGTCTATCTCTGTGGTAAATTAACCATAGAACACTATCACTAAAATTAGTAACACCATCACTATCGCTGGGTAATTTTTACCTGAAGTAATATACCCTAGAAAAAGTACTTGTCATCAAAAAATACATCAAAAGAGGACAATACATGACAAGTTAAAGTAGTTTTATTTTTAACTGTGTAATGTCCAAAGGGAGGGGAAAAAGTGCCATGTTCCTGGGGCATGTGAGTCTTCCCTGGTGAAGACTCAGGGTCATTGGCACAATTACAGCTGCAGTAGAGAGAACCAAAATATGGCAGATTTTGAGTGAGTAAAAATGACCAGCTGACTAAAATATTTCTTATCACCATATGAATTTCCTTGAAAATCACTACTTTGTGATAGTTATTCATAACCACTGTGCTAAATAAAGATAGCATGCAAATTCCAGGACCGCTCTTACTGACCTTTTTCGCCTACATGCAGATATCAAATCCAGCCAAACCAACTTTACCCTATATCTCTATTGCTGGGTGAAAGTCCCCTAAAAACACGTGCCTGTAGAAAAAAGCAGTTTCTTGATCAGGGAAACAAATATGCCTTCAAATATGTCAAAGGCAATGCTGAAGCTACCCAGAGACCTGCGGTACTCAGACAAACGCAACATAATGAAAATCACAAAATCACCCGGCTATAGTGTTCTAGGGTTAAAGGATGCCAAAGTTGTATTTTTAACCTACACAGAAAACAGCAAACCTTCATACTGCCAGTCAGACAAGTTTATGTATTTGCTTCAAATGTATATTTTCCAATTGTAATATGAAATGAAAACATATTAGATGTATTTAGAAAATGATGGAAAAAAAAATACCCAAGAAGGTCCAAGGCTTTGTGGAAAATATGTATGATGCTACAATAAAGAAATAATAATTATTAAAAAAATCTAAAATATATCGCAGACAGTAAAATCTTGAGAATGTTTTGTTTCCATGAACAACAGGATGATAGTACAAAAATGTTTCAGGGGGACTGTGGGACATTCAAAATCCATGATATGATATTTTCCCCACTGTTCATCTAATCCATCCCCTGAAATACTATCAATGTATTCTGTAACAGGCTGAGTTAGTCGAGGGGGGAGCAGTGTTAAGAAGAAAATCATTGCAATTTCCTAAATGTAACAAGAACAGAGACTTCAATAAGGGGTGTCCCAATACGATATTGATATCGGATATTAGTCTGATATTAGGAAAAAAAGAATATCGGATTGTATCGGCCTGCATCTAATACCTCCGATATCAGCACTCTGATGCAAGCAGTCCATTCCAGACTCCGCTCCGGCACCTCTAGCTAGCAGCACCCAGATCCAGCATGTAGAACTCATGTGATCGCAACAACAGTGTGTACTAAGGTACTAACAAAGTACCAAGGAGTAGAAGTGATGCCGGCCCTGTGGTGGTATTTTTCATTAAAGTCCAAAATAGAAGTTGCAGCTGAGTGCAAAACTTTTCATGCACAAGTTTTTGCTAATATCGGCTCAAAATCGGTACTAGCCAATATTGAAGGTTACAATATCGGTATCGTATCAGAGGTAAAATAGTTGTATCGGAATACCTCTAGCTTCAATGCATAGGTAAAATGTAAGGTATGTTTAAATCCTTTTAAATCCCTTTAAAATTTTAAAATGTAGATCACTTTTTCATAAACTTGAGATGTTTGCATTACAAGGTAGAAGATTAAGACCCTATCCCAACAAATGTACTTTTCATTCATGACAAAAATAAACCACCACAGTACCAACATTTTAAGTACAAGACAATGACAACAAAGTTCTGCTAATGCTCGTGCTTTCCCTGATTTCACAATAGCAGAATGTACTTTTTCAAAGAGGGGGGGGGGGGGGTAATGAACCTGCACTGTGTTGAAAGACTGGACTTTTTTTTGAGCCAACTCCAACTATAAAACAGGTCACAGCTTGTGATCCAGGTGCACTTTTAGGCAGAAGAGTTGAAGGAAGAATAGAAGCCTATAAGAAAAGAATAAGTATAATATCAATATGTTTTATATTTTCACTGTCGTTCTTCTCTTCTTGATATCCATGGGCCACTCTGCTCCTCCTGTCTGCGAGAGATTGGTCCAGCCTTTAAAACAGCTGGAGCCCCACCATCTACAGGGAAGATGGGCTTTAGTAGCTGGCAGTCTCAACCATTCATCATCCATGGAGGCCCTGAGACTCAGAGACAGCATCACCATGTACTTCTCCAACTCCAGTGAAACCTCCATCTTCTCCTACACCCAAATCAACCGCTTTGGAGATCACTGTCAGTCGCTGCCCTACAACATCTCAGTAGAAGGCAGCACCTTCACCTTCAACGTGGGGGATCGATTCAACCTCACTGGATCTTTCCTCTATACCTCCTGTCCGGACTGTCTTGTGATGCAGTGGACTGTGAAGTCAAGGAGAAGAGCGTCTGAGGACTTGTACCTACTGAGTCGAAGGAGGCAGGTGGAGCAGCAGGAGATGAAGGAGTTTGAGGCCCAGGTGGCGTGCTATGACCTGCCTGCAGCTGCGGTGATGGATGCCTCAAAGGAGCTCTGTCCTGAACAGGCTGAGACCCAACCAGCAATACCAGAAAAGACAGGAGCTCAGATTAAGGAGGAAGCAGAGTGATCACCGGCATGAGGGACTCAGTCACACAGAATGAGATAATATGAGTGAAAGAGTTTATGTGAATTCAGGTTTTTATCTCTACTATAAGGAAATTTAAAGAAGTTATTTTTTTCCAGCATTGGAGAAAATTTCAGTCTACACTACCAATACAGTGTTGCATTATGGGATGTATTTAACTGAATGTATCTTTGAGGGAAATATTTGTCTGTGGTTTTGATCTGTATGCAGAAATAACAAACCAGGCTTGATTTGACGTCTGTGATTGGCCACCCTAGATTCTGTCCAAACACCAAGACCAGAGTTCAAAACCAAATTATTGAGTTGGTTTTGTGTTTCTTTCATATATATATATTTTTTCTGTGACACTTAATTCATCTTTTGATTTTACACAAGTAATTATAGAAGTTTCAAATGTTTCTAGTCCACTGTGTAGGTTTTTAAAATAAATAACATATACACAAGAACATTACAACTGTGTGATGCTGTGTCAAAGTTATCTAGACATTAGATTAAAGTCCCACTCCAATCATGTTTTTTCACTACTTGAAGACTTCTCAGTGGTCTTTAAATTGGGATTATGAAGTTTTTAGCCAAAGTGGTGTTACCTGTGTCATTTTCAAGGGCTTTTCTTCTGCAGAGCTCTAGTAGCTCATTAGCGATTCACCTCTGAGTCATGGGCGGAGACAACACTGCTCTGCACACTTCTCTTTGCGTTAGCTTGTAGGCTAACATTGCTGGTGCAGTAGAAGTACCAGGTTACAAAAGGGCTATTTAAATCTCGGACACTAATGTCTTTAAGGGCATGATTAAAGCTAATACCATAATTAGTCTTCTTACCAGCATTGCAATCTGCTAACGCACACGCTTGTTCTGCGATTGTCCTCGATTTCTCCGAGCCTGGACTGCATAGCGGGGCTCTGGGGGCGGAACTTGGATTTGCTACGTAGGAAGTCTCACTGAATCTAACCCTGCCATTTAGGTCTGCCAGATTCACAGCAATTTGAATGCAGAAATGCAATTTTGCACTTAACCTTCCTCCTGTGTTAGCTTTTACTACGCACCCAGCATGTCAAGGGTCAGTTTTGACCCGTGTCTTAAATCAGCTGTAAATTACACTAAAAACAATTCTCTACCATTCAATTTGGTTCTCATCTCTAGGTTAACTTGTTAGGCTCATTATCCATGAAAATATTACTTATAATAGTTTTTGTAGTGGTCCTCTGGGCCTTTCTTTGTCAGTGTACCCCTCATACAGACATCTATACTGAATTGATCTCACATGTCTGGATGTGCCCGACGTTGTTTTTTGTGCAGAGAGAAACATGGCAAAATGAGAATTTCCTAAATCACACCTGATTATAAAAAGAGGATCTGACTGTCAGTATGGTGCCTGGCAGTTCACTTATGATTTCAGTTTTTGCTCTAATTATTAGATATTGATCTAACCAGGTCAACAGCGACCCTAACATGACAAGTGCCATAATTTTAATAAACGCATTTTATAATACGGTCAATTTATTTTTTTTGTTTTTATGTTATAAACTGAAGGTTCCTGACAAAGTAATAAAGTCTTGATGCAAAAAAGCTAATTTAAGTGTTTCTTTTAAACATTACTTTAGGGTTATTTTTCTCATGATACGTCCTGAAGCATCAGAAAAATGCCATATGAGCATGTAGACAACAAGAAAAACATGATTTTCATCAGAGTGGGTCTTTAATGCATGTTATTTTCAATAACGTGTGAACATGCACACATATACATGCCACCCTTGCGTGGGTCAGTGCCCCCCCAGTCAAAAAGTCTGTACACGCCACTGATGTCTGACAAAGGTCAAAGCATGCAATGTTTAATCAAATCTGGTTGTTTATTCCACAGATATGGGTCAAGATGAAAACATGCAGCGATATAATCATCCCACACCCCACGGGCACATTCTCCTTTCACTCACATAGTGTAAAAATTAATGTGTGTTGCTCACTAATTGGATTAGCACCATCCATTTTTAAACGCACAACAATAGGGTAAGCCTTCAGGACATGTGTTTATGCATGCACACATGTTCCTCCTTGTGTGTGTACTTTAGCAAATGATTGCAATGTGAGCATGGTTTGCAAATGTGGGCGTGCAGAAAAGGATTTAACCGAGGTTGTTCGTGATTATAAGAGGGGGAGGGGGGCAGGCAGTGAGTTTACTGAGTAGAAAGACTACCTTTGTGACCATCGGGCATAAAGTGAGAAAAGTGTGTTTTCTCAGAAATGTGTTTGTGACGGTTGGAATAAAACTTCATCGCATTTTCAAACAGGTATGTGCAATAACGTAGTTTGGTAGTGTGTGCATTACTCTGCGTTTGTTAAAATTCTCAAACAAGCCCAGATAGGCAGATAATTACTGCACAGGGGCTTTTTAAAACATATTCTTGAACACATATGTCTCTATGAGTAAACAGTGTTAACAATGACCACATTATTAAAAAAAACTGCACTATGAAAATGATCCTAAACCACCAGGCCTGCAGACAGCAGCTATTTCTGGTGCTACTTGTAGTCACAATGTGTATAATAAACAACAGGAAGTGGCTGGAAGTAAAATGTGCAGAGAAGCATGTCAGCGACCATAGGAGACCAACAGAACTGTTTCTAATTAGCAATGAGATGGGCTGTATTTATTCAAATTCATTTGCATTTTTTGACAAATGCCCTTAGATCTCAAAGTACCTTAGGACACGACTGACCCTATAAAGTAGGAGAGTTTACTTGTAGGGGCCGTCACAGATGTATTTTTAATGATGATCATGATGTTCCCATGCTTTTGATATAAAGTGTGCCCCTTTGTAGATAATGAGCAAAACATAAGTCTGTTATGTAATGGAGTTTTAATCTGCAATCGCTTGCAACCCCTCTTATCCAATGAGAGCGGAAGAGGAATTTTTGGTTAATTATACCAGCTTGCTCCAAAAATGAAACAGAACATGTCGCATTAAATACATGTTAACTTAAGTTTTGGAAGAGTTTACATTCAAAGTAATCAGATTACATTCACACTCATGTCAGTATACAAATAATAAGCAGATTGCATCACCACTGTGGTACCGTTGGATCATTGTATTAATGATTTGAGCTTGTTTGTTTTAAGCCAGATTTCCACAAGAATGTGTTTAAATTGAGCATGTAAGCAGAGATTTGCAAAGATTTCTCGTCAGAGTAAACTATTACACCAATCCTCTTTCAGTGTGACGCAAGACTCATTCTCATGCTCCATTTCATAATGAAACCTCAAGTTGAGAACTCAGTGAATAAGTGACAAATATGGAACTTTTATGAAATGCACAAGAGTGTGGCAGTGGAGCTGTTAGAATGAACTCTATGACCCTCTCCAGGTTTCTGTGAATGTGTAAAGTTATTAGCTTGATTATTAAACTGAGGTTGGGACTCATTTAGACAGCAATAAATTCCAACCATTCATTTCTCCCTTTCACTTAAGTTGCTGATATCACACATGATTCTCAAAACTAACAAGCCAATCAACAGTGATGATACAGAGGGACATATGGCCATATTTATAGTGAAATGTATGTGAGGACAGTCAACAAACAAAGGCTACTGTTTGCATTCAGCCACTCACAAGCTAATCAATTTGACGTTACAGCAGTCTAAGAAAGGGGTTGAAAGAAGATGTTACTGTGAGCAAGTCGTTGACTGTAAGCTCATGTTTTTCAGGAAGTGGCCGAAAGTCAACATTGTTAGCTAGAGAAGACGCTAAAAGCTAATATTAGGCTAAAGCAATCGACATGGTGCAAGGTTTGGTAGGAGGTAGATAATGATACTCAAATCAGAGCTGCATCCTCAGCAACAGTTGGCTGCATTCACATAGCAGACTTCGTAGAGCTTTAACTGACCATTTAGAATCAAGTTGAAGAAGAAGAAGAAATTTATTGATCCCCGAATTGGGCGAGATGTCATAGTGATGAGGCTGCCACATGAAAATGATGCATCAAAAAGCTCCATGTGGGCCACAGTGATGATCACAGATGGTGAATGGTTCCCCACACTCACCATTGCTAACAGTAATCAGTGTCAGTCAAAGCTCTCATAACTTTTTGTACTTTCACTGTTCTTACTCTAATTTACCAGCTCTGGGGCTGGTAAATGTTCTGCTGAGATGCTGACATACTCACTTATAGTTATCACCACAGCACCCTCCATTGGCCCTGCCATGCTGTCAGCCTCTATCAACTGTATATGGAGATGGGAATGCGCTCTAACTATCTATCTAACTATCTGTCCATTGAGTCTTTCCCAGTTCATCAGAGGCTAGTCACCCTCTCTGCTGTGATCTACATTCCCCTTAATGATCACAATACTGGAGTCCAGCCACTGTAGCTTGGCATGAGTCAGCATTGAGGGAGACTGGAGTTTGACAGGATGCAGGCCAAACGGAACAACAGGAGTTTTGTGTGTTTTTGTGTTATTAAAGAAAGATTTTAGGGTCAGTAATATTGATTCAGGGCAAACTTGAATAGTAAACAGTGTGTGTGTGTCCAGATCATAAGAGGGGCCGAACTCCAGTTTAAACCAGTGTACCCTGAGAGAAATCCTATTGTTTTTCAGTTTGTGTGTGTGTGTGTGTGTGTGTGTGTGTGTGTGTGTGTGTGTGTGTGTGTGTGTGTGTGTGTTACTCAGCCATTTACCAAGCCTGTAAGCTGATCAAAGAAAGGTCTGTTCAGCAAAAAAACTTTATTTGCTGCACAGTGGAGTAGCTACCTCGCAAAACAGCCAGCCTGTAATGCAATAATAAGAGCACCCTAGTTGTAGCTCATACAATAAGGTCACAATTCATTTAGATTTACATGCACTTTTTGATGCTGTAGACATGATATTTTGTTGAGCTTTAACAACAGGAGCTACAGTACAAGAAACGGTGTTACCTTTACAATAGTCCAAGTTTAATTTATGTTTAAATAACCTGAAAGACTCTACATTAAACCTGACATGGACGGTCCTGGAGTGAGTTTAGATTCAGAGTCAGGTTTTGATTGAAAAATACAAAATACATCCTGATTTTGTTTCTCTTCTACCTTGTACAAGTATTGGCACAAAAACACCAGTAGTCACCAAAGTAAAAGTCATCAGCGGTCACAGTGGTTGTAAACATCTACTGGGCTAGCACATAAGTAGTATACACTGAAAGAATCAAATGGGGCGCTCACACCAAGCGCGTGTAAAATCATCTACTTGCTTAATTTGTGCGAATCTCGATGCATGAATTAATCGTATTTACTCACTTCATTCACGCCTCAATGGTAATTTCAACAGTAATCCCTGCCAATTCAACAGGGAGGATCAAGTGATGACAAAAGTTTTTCACAATTTACCAGATAATCTGACCTCCTCACTCACTTATCCCCAGGTGAGCTCCTTTTTATTCCATTTTCGTTAATTGAAAGAAAAGGTATCAAATCATTTGGGGCACCAACACGATCAGTTTGTCCTCCAGTTTGGTATCGTTTAATACCAGTGAACAACTGTCCATTCTCATATGTCACCCGGCAACCTATGTGCTGATAAGTTATCACGACGCGAATATCCGCTCAAGTTGAGACATTTTCAGCTGCCGCCCAATTCACATCATTTGCGCCACCAGAGTAATAGGAGCGTCAAATCGCATCATTACATTGACTTAACATGTAATCAATTCGCACAAATGATTTTACTCGCGCTTGGTGTGTGGAGACAGAGTTTCCTGACAGAACAAAAGCAGTTGTTTGTGTTTCTTTTATTCTCTTGGTATTTCTAATCTATAATATGTCAACGTTTCTTTTAAAATGTGAGTTTCCTTTTATGTATTGTCACCAAAGAGGTTGGATGAGGTTTGTGAACAGTGAAGACAATATAGCACTTAGCATTTCAAAACTGCTCCACACTAAATGTCAGAGTTAGACGTCATTTCATCTGCTCTAAAACAGCAGGATATGAAATGCATTATCTTGCTAGATGTTGAATTCTGTTAATCATCTGTTGTTCATCTATCCCCTCTGTTCCTCTGCATGTAATCAGACTCACCACCTTGAGGCCCAACACCCTTACTTCTCCAAAAAGTCTTAAAACAGAAGAATTATCACCATGGAAGAAATGTCTGTGACCTGTCAGGATCAGGGGCCAGTCAACCCACAGGACGATCTGGCCACTGAGTCCCAGGTTCAAAGTGAAGTGGCATCAAACACGGACAGCAATTCCCCACTGCAAGACAGAGAGGCTCCCAGAGCAGATCCTGAAGAAGAAATCGACACCCTACAGCCTGAAACTGACGCTGTTACTACAACAGACAACCAGGAATCAGCATGTATGGGTTTGGACACCACAGAAGAGACACAAGAGATGGTAAAAGAGGAGGTTTCCCCCCCTTCTCCCCCTGACACCACTGTACCAAAAGATGACGCCCAGGAGAAAGAGGGTTTGTCCGGCCAAGAGGTGGACCAAGGAGAGAGTAGCAGTGATTTTCAGAGTATCGAAGACCTGACCCAAGACCAGGAATGTCAAGAACCTCCACAGACACCTTCTCTGACTGAGCCCCTTGATAAAGACATCGATACAAGCTCTGGGGACTTGATAGACAATAATTTGACAACAAACTGCTCAGCAGATGGTCTAAACAACAATAAAGCTGAAGATAATATCCAAGAGCCTGCAGCTGTTGGAATAACTTCAGCTCCTCATGATTCTCCCTCTGACAAAAACAACTTAGATGATGTACATACTACATGCCCTCCTCCTTCTGCTGATGAAAGTGAGGAAGAAAAGGAGGTGAGTGTTGAAATCACGCCTTGTCAGCAGCAGCAGCAGCCGACCAAATCAGATCTCAAACAAAAGCTCCTACAATCCTTGGCTTCTGCCAAATTATCAACCGTAAACCCCCCTGCAGTTACTCTAGCCAAACTGAGGGAGGAGCTGCTGATCCAGATCCGACGAGAAATTGCCCTCAGGGGAGCAAACCAGGAAACAGCGCAACAGGTGCTAAGCCAGGCCCTTCCACCTTTGACAACTGTTACCATGGAGCTGTCCAATGAAGGAGGGGCAGCTTCTTCTCAACACTCTGGTTATGTTGAAGCCGGGAGAGAAACACAGAACAGGGTGGAGGAAAAGACAGACGGAGAAAGCACACAAACAGGTGAAGAGGAAGAGCCCACAGAGGGGGGACTTGATAGGGACAAAGCAATCGGGAAGCAACGAAGTGGAGGACTGCATTTCACCAAAGCAGTCCAAACAAGAAAGCCTAAGCCTAAAAGATACAGATTTCTGTCTTCGAAACAGACCAGGATGGAGAGTGACGATAGCCAAAGTGATAGTGGGGTTTCTGCAGACTTCTCCCCCTGTAGCACTCTGGATGCCAACACCACCACCTCTCCAGGTGCTGTGGCTCCTGTGCCGAAAGAGACTCCCATTGAGCGGGAGATCCGACGGGCCATAGAGCGTGAGCACAGCCTGAGAAGGTCCAGAGGGCTCCCGAATCAACCCACTTTGCCAGAGTATGTGGAGATCCCATTAAAGAAAACTGTCCTCTTTCAGCCACAGGCAACTACTGCAGAGAAGATTCAAAGCAAAGACAAGCAGTTTGCAGGCAAGAAGATGCAACATGAGATCCATGAGGAGGTCCAGAGGGAACAGGATCTGGTCAAGCTTGGGAAAGTTCCAGGTTTCTACCACAAAGGCACAGTCCGCCAGCTCAAAGAGAGGAAAAAGCTCTTTGAGGCTTTTCAGGCACCTGCTGCCTCACCTTTGCCTCCACCAGCAAGGAGTAGGGCAAGGTCCTGGCCCTTCTCCTCAACCAGTGACATCTCAAACCTAGTGAACCAAGACACATCCACTATGAGGCACACAAGTAAAGAGAGGAGTCCAAGCTCTGTCAAAGGAGGAGGTTTAACTTCTTCAGCTCCCCGGGGACCAGGACTCTCTGAGGGGACAGGCTGCCAGGTCATTATTATAGAAAACAGCCTGAGTGCCTCAGCACAGAATCTCTACTCTGCCAAACCTAAAGCAGAAGTCAGCCCTGCTGTCGACTTTGCAAGGCCGAGTATCCCACCGTGCAGGACAGAAGGACACAACGGGATTAAAGTGAGCGGTCAAGAAAAAGAGAAGGAAGAGGAGGGGGAGCTGACACCCAAGGAGAACCCTTTTTTCAAGCTGCGGACCTCGACAAATCTAGTAAAGGTGGAGCAGGACATTCGGGAGGCTCAAGAGAGGGAGAGAGAACTTCACCGGCAGAGGGTTAATCTGTACGGGGATGGAGGAGGAGGAAGAGGAGGGAGGCCAGCCAACATAGAAAGAAGAAATACCAAGTTGACCCGCTCTTCCTCACTAAATAGAGTTCCTGAAATACACTCAACCAGCTCATCTTCCAGGCCCATGACTGGACCCCCAGCAGGTTTGTGTAGTGCTGAATTTTTGGACTAGGGGTGTCTGTGCAAGGTATGACATCAAGCGTAGACAATGTGTGAGTGTAGATGCCTTTGAGTGTGTATGTGTGTGATTTTTATATCTGTGGTGAGATGATGAAAACCCCCTGAAACAGCCCTGTAAGCACATTATCTTATTTTTCTCATGGTCAGTGGAAAACCGCCAACAGCTTTTTGAAACCAGCATTAGCCGTTATGGGCAATAATTTTACACCTGAGACCGTAAGCTGGCCGACAAGAAAATAAAATTCTGTAGCTCCATGATAAATAAAGCTTCTCATCCCTCATATTAATTGGAAAACCTGGGCTCAGGGAAAGTACCCTGACACTTTATTGTTCAGTAAGAGAGAAGTGTGTTGGAGGAGTAAAGATTCAGATGAAGTTGAAATTCAGCATTTACTCACTGCATACTACTTGTTTTTTGTTCTTCCTTGACATGATGTAAATAGAGCGGGTTTCAAAAAGAGAAATCTAATAAATTTTGTCAAAAAAGCAAGCTGTTAAATGTGCAATCAGAATCCTACAGGATGAGAGACAAAAGCCACTCAGATGCAGGGAGGAATCAAATAGAAAGAAATTCATATTGATGCAGCAAAACTGACAATTTTTCGTGTTGATGCCTAAAACTGGTGTGAAGGGATAGGTGTCAGCCAAGCAGCTGAAGAAAGAGCCCTGATAGATTTGACTGTCTGCAGGATAAAACTTTTTTGAAAGACACCACTTTATCACATACAGGACTAGATAAGCAAAGACTTATTTGCCAAAATTGACACCAAATGGAAGTTCCTCATTGGGGCTTTAATGTCCCTTTGTATTATCATTACCAACGAACTTTTCTATTCATTTAATTCTCGAGAAAGAATGTATTAAAGCAAAATCCAGACTCCAAAAACCAAATCAACTTGCAAACAATTTTGCATTTTCAGACTAACTTGAGACAAAAAGTTATGAGTATAACTTTGTAATGAAACACTGTGAAGCTCCATGAAAGGTGTATTTGACTGGGACCATACTATGAATATACACAACCTTGTTCATATACACCTGTTTTTTTATAGTACGCATATTCATCTGCCTAAATTGCTATTTATGAGCAAAGTAACAGAGGAAATGCAACATTTTCTACTGAGTACAAGGTCATGAAAAATGTTTTTGCCGCAGCGTCCACAGGCAGTTGTAAAAAGTGCTGGGCTCTTTTTGTCTCTGGATTAGCTTGAGCTTTGGATGCTGAGAATAATCACTGTCATGGAGTTCTGAACAATCAAATCAATTATTTAACACAGCTGGATAATAAACTTTTATATCGTGTGCAGCGGTTAAAAATAATTTTGAGAAAGGGGTTTGTAAAATAATGTGTTTCGCCAGTTAATGGGTACTTTTGTTCGTCATTTAGGGATTAGAGAAACAACTGCTGCAAGTTACATTTGACTGTATGTTTGGGTGTGACTTGTTGACAAAAAGTGTGGTCATTTTGTCTTTTTTAGGGGGAGCATTATGCTTGAATCAAAGGGTGAGGAACAAAAAATGCACCTGTAGGGTGTGCCGCCCAAGAACCTGAATGATCATGAGTCATTCAATATTGTATACAAAATTTCTTTCAGTTCTGAATACCATTCTCTGCTTCTTCACGACACATTTTTTGCCTTTTAATCTATCTCTATAAATAACACTCATGGAGACATTATGGCCCACATTTTGAAGCAAAATCACTGTAACACATTTGCCTCATTGTCACCTTGTTCTTTCCCATTCTGCCCTCAAACGCTGACATTTTTCTCTGTCTTGCAGTACGCCAGTCAGTTGGCAAGCTGGGCATGTGGCCTCCAGCCCAGGCTGAAGAAGAGAAGATTAGCCGGCCAGAGGTGAGCCAAAGATGCCAGTAGTTATTTAACAATGGAGTTAAGGCGTTGAAACTTCGGCTGTTGCTTGCTTCAACTTCCTAGAATTGGTGACATAACATCAAAATGTAGGGAAATAAGCTTCCTTAGTCTCTGCTTAGAGGATATCAGGTTGCACAATCATAAAGCTGTTTTAACTGAGAGTTAATACATGAATTGCAACGTTGCTATGGGGCTTCAATTAGTCTCTCAGCAGCATGAATGTGAACGCGTGTTCGAAACTGCACTGGATTGTAAAGGGATGAAAAAAGGCCTCTGGGAGGATGATGCTCGCATCTCTTTTGCAGCGAATGTGGGCCACAAACATCTGATAACATATTGAACACACAGTAAGGAGCTTATCTTTATAGATAAGGAGAAGAAGGCAAACAGCCCTGAGACAGAGAGGCTAAGTCTGCTGAGTGGCTTTGAGTGTGTGTATGTGTGTGTAGGTGTGTGGGAGTGCAGTCGATAGCAGAGAAAGTGAAAAGTCAATTGAATATCCCCTCACCTGCCTTACATCACTTTGCAACTGTGCTATCTCTGATTAGAGTTGAATGCTGCACCGTGGCTTTAGTTTCTTAATTCAGTTTGGCACTGATCTGCTGGTTTGTTAAGCCACACAGTTCACCGTGATGTTTTTGTTGTTCACTTTCCTCTCACTGCCTCATGTGGCTTTCAGTCTCTCTCTGTGTTGAGTGGTTGTCTGCTTTCTGCAAAAAAAAAAAGGCTTCTAATGTAGGTCTAATAAAAAAAAAGAAAAAGAAAAAGCACAGACACAATTTTCTTATAACCTTGTGTTCAGCAAGAGAATATCACAATTTGTCCATGTGAATTTTTCAATGCCTTTATGACTTGATGTTCAAGGATTCAAGGATTCCAGGAACATCTTTTGTCATAGCCCACACCTGTGACAGCCAGAATAATAAAATACAATACAATACAAGAGCAATCATAAGAAGGTGTAGAGTAATAAAAACACAAATGTAAACAAACTACTTATAAGTAGTTCTTATAAATTTATAAATTCGTTATCATAATTTACCAACTTAAGTATTGTTTGTTTAATTTTGCAAATTTATTAAAATTTTGTAATTTAACAAACTTTTCTTGCATTTTTTTTAAACTTTCCTTTCTTGCAAAGTTACAACCTTCTCCCTCATAAATTTAGATATTGTAGATTAAGAAGTGTTTGATGGTAGATTTTTGACTTTAAACTTGTAAATCTCTGACTTTATTACTGTAAACTTTTTCTTCGAGATCACAATATTTCTCTGTACATATAGGACTTTATATTTGCCAATTTGTGACTGAAATCTGTAATATCTTGACTTTATTGTCTAAAATGTATGAATGTTTTTCATTTTTCTCTTTTGATTTCAATGACCTAGAATTACAAAGTTATTCTCTAATGGGTTTCTTTCTTCGTCATTATAGCCAGGATTCCTCTTTTTACAAGTCCCTCCTTCTTCGATCACTTGTCTCTAATAGTCTTTGCAACAACCTTCTCTGTCCTCTTCACATTGCAATCAGCACTCATTTCCTCTTTATTCCCATCTTAAAACCCAGATCCTCCTCAGTCCAAGAAAGAGGACACCTTTGGTACAACGCTGGGAGGCGGGCCTGATCAACGGACACAACCAGGATGACAACTGAGGATCGAGAAAGGCTAACCAAGATTTTTACTTTTCAAAGTGAAGGGCTGAAAAGATTGTGAGATAAAAATAGGGGCTGTTTAAAAGAAAGTGGGAGCAGACTAGAAGAGGGAGCTGTAGTAAGGTGGAGTGAAGGAGAGGAGGAATCTGAGGCTAGAAGGAGGTCAGGGATTGAGGCTGTAAAGGGGGTCAGGAGAATTGGGAGCAGGGAAAGGATTGATGGTGGACTCAAAACCCACAGAGTCCTTCAGTAAAGAGGGGAGGAAAAGGAGAAGGAAGGCTACCTATTAGATAAGCACTTGGCCTGCTTAAGGGTACTGAAAAACTTTGAGACTAATGAATGTAAAATAGCAAAAACTCATAATAGCGCTGCATTGTTGAAGAAAATGTAAATGTAATTAACATGAATGAGAAACTGTCATGAAGTTACGTTTTCTCTAGAATAGTTTTTATTCAGTGAAGAAAATAGATTGTACATTGTACTAAAAATGTGTCAACAACACTTCCTTTATTCCTGTAACAATATCTTAAACTGATTTACTAGTTTATCACACTGGAACTGTGATGTATTACCATGTAATAACCCTGGCATTAAATCCTGCCTGTATGTCCAACAGAGACATGAGAGAGTTGTAGATTCAACTTTGTGGTCGACAGTAAGTCTGGGGTTGTTGTTTCATTACATTAACACAATGGGACAGAAAGCTGGAAATACTTCCAAGCATGAAACTATAACTCAGTGTGTAACAATAAGTGTTAAAGTCACATGAGACTATGAAATATTTTGAGGTGAATTTTGACATGCCTGACCATACACATCAAGCGCGATGTGATTTTACGACTTTCTGGGGGGGGGGGGGACGTGTCCCGGGTGGAAGCGAGAAGACTGACACAACAACAGACTGACTGTTTTTCAGTTCTGATTAGACACTAGTGTTGAGATGGCTGTCTGTCATGATAGCATGTACTGAGTCAGGGCCAGTACCAGATAAGCACATTAAACTATAATCCATAAACGTAAGGTAACAACCGAGACCTAATGGTGCTGTGACAGCAACGTGATTGAGTTTGAGACAGTGAAAATACATATGGTATGTTGTATCTGAACAGGTTAGCTTACGAGCTAAAGTTAATTAGCACAGATGAAAGTTAAAACAAAGACGTTTAGCAAACTGTTAAAGCACACAAACCATCGTCATATGAGAAATCCGACGCTATGACTCTCCACAAGTTGTCCTTCAGGTTGTTACCTTTGTAATATTTGTGTTTTTTATCAAAAAGCACTCTGTTCTTCGACACGTAAACAATCGGCCGGTCGGCCATGTTGGATAAACCGGTGAATCTGACGTCGCAGCAACATGAAATCTGATTGGTTAAAAGTGGTCACACAGCATGCAAATCTTTAGAAAAATTGACCGTGATACGAAAAAATAAATGCTGCAATATCGCATGACAGGAAAACTTTGCTGATGTGAACGCTTGTATTGACAGGATATAGGTTCAAAAAAAGATACTGACGTCCGAAATAATCGCAGGACCTTTACTTTCAATATTTTCATTCATTACAAATGAAAGCTGTATTTTATCTTCCCAGTCACACTGACCAAATTTCTAAAACTTGAAAGAGGATTTTCAACTTGAAAAATATTTGTTAAAAAAAACAAAATTTCTTCCACTCAAAGAAAAAGTCCCTGAATTCCTCATAAACCATTAATTTGTTTCAGCTTGTTTCAATAGAGACATGTACGTCAGACTTTTTCAGGCAGGATCTGATCTGCAAACACTTCATGTCTTATGCCATGCTTTTTGATTGCAATACAAATCCTCCACATCCTCTAGACAAATATTTTCTTCCTGCTGTATCTTCATATTGATCCTGTTAACAGCCAGGGATCAAACAGAAAAGCATCGCCATGGAAACAGCTTTGAAAGATTTTGAGTTAAGTAGACAAAATTCCTCTGGGGACCTTTGGAGAAGTGTGTTCATGTGTGTGTGTTTGTGGGTTAGACGAGCAGATCACGCTTTAGTGACCTCCCAATCTCCTGTGAATAATTCATCAGCTTATTCTGACTGGACGCAGCCCAGTGCCACATCGCCTCTACATTATTATAGCAGAGCTGCAGCAATTTAAGGGCTCAAAATTATTGATAAGCTTCTTTCCTCACTGGTCAACTGCCCCCATTTTGCCATTCTGCCAACTCCAATAACACAATACCAGAGGCATTGTACCTGCAGCAAGCTATGTACCAGTAGATTATACACCTCCCATGAGAGCACAATTGAAGGCTGAAGAGGAGACTCACACACTGTATGCTTTCTGTTTTGTTGTCCAGGAAAAAAGACCGAGTCAAAGATCATCCTCTCATATTCAGAACATCAACCCATCCAGACACGACAGTCAGCCTCTATTTTCCCAGTTTATCTCCCTCTCCTTTGATATCTAATCTGGCTGCTTTTCAGATGTGATGACCCAGCAAGAAGCTTCCGCACCTGTCTATCACCTGCTCAGCTCCAGACTCATTTCCATGATATTTCATTATCACCGTCATCCAAAGTCCTGCTGGCTCAAAGTCATCCCGGCAGCATTGTGTGAGACAGTCAGCATTCGGAGGATTAGCAGCTGCTCTTTTAATGCCTCATTGTTGCGAGGACAAAAGTATGAGAGGGAGTGAAGGAGATGTGTGTGTGTGAGTTTTGATTTTAGATGAGCAGATACACGAGTATGATGTGTGTGTGTGTTAAATTTTTGTGTGAATTCATATGAGTATGTATATTCAAGACAGACTCTCTATGGCAGTGGAGTGCAATGAGCTCACTCACTCAAATGCTGTTATTAAGTATAATTTTAAGGTACTTGTACATACTCAAGAGTATGACCATTTAGTCCTACTTATACAGCTCCACAAGGGGTGGATTTCATAAACAATTTGTACCTTATATTTAAGTTTTATCCAGCATCAATTTGTTTACAACAAACTGATTTTCTAATATTTACATTGTATTATTAATTTTAAAGCTCCGGTGAGAAGAGGTTTTAGCTGGTTGAGAACCAAGATTTATGACTTTTAAGATAAGATGAGATATACTTTATTGTCCCAGAGGGAAATTCATTATGGGCAGAAGTGCAGGTGGACTGTATCGCCATACAAAACAAGACCACGTCACGGAACAACACATGATAACACACAGCAACATCACAGTACAAGCACATGACAACGACAGAGCACCGATCGTACGATACGACATACAGTAGCAGCGAAAAGCGAGAAGGATAGACAGCACCAATAGGCAATAATAAAACAACTGCACAACCCCGATTCGATTTTAGTGCCTGAGAAATCTAACAAACTATTAAAAAAAAGAGCGACAACTTCTACAGATTGATATTTCATGTCTGAATCCACTGCCAGGGGTAGGTGTCAGACAGAGTGATTGACTACATACTGGATATGAATACCTTTTTCTGTCTGAAGTGTCCTGTCCTATGGTGTGCTATTTATCAGATCTGCTCAGTAAGTTGGGCTCAGTGAGTGATTCGTTCACTGAACGTTTAGAAGAATTCATACTGAACATGCACCGTTCCCTCGCAAACCGCTGCAATGGTAAGATGCTGCGGGTTTAATGCACTATTTGTTACATGCTGTGTCCTATTGTAAGCAAGTTGTTGTGGTGGCAATTTAGCAGTAAAAAAAAGAAGAGTGTAGTTCAATGCATGATTCGTTCATCAAGTGATTCAGGTATCGGTGCATGCGGTCCCTCATTCACCGGCCGCTCGGCTGGCAATCCTGTTTCTCACTTCAGCTCAACTGAAGTGAGAAACAAACGACTCACTCGAGGAACTGACTCAGTTCAGTACCTTCACTTAAAAGATTCGGTTCTTTTGAACGAATCGTTCGCGAACGAAACAACACTACGAGCGAGCACCGTCTGAAGCTTGCCTGGACAGCTACCGCGTTAACATTGCAGAGACTGATAATAGTTAATTATGTAACATGTGCCGCACAAAAAAAGTCAAAAATTACCTGTTCAACAAAACTCTGCTGTCTCGGTGTCTGTCTCCAGGCCCAGGAGGAGCTTTCTCCACCGCTCGAAGGAGGTTTGTTCAGTTAGATTCCTCGCTTGGTCACATTTCCTCTTCAACTCTGCCCTTTCTTCTGTCGGCTTGCGTTTTCTTCCCACTTTTGGCGGTGTGGCAAGCAGAAGTGTATCTTTTTGGTCCATCTCTGTCATAGCTCCTGTAGCTAAGCTGCTACGCTACTTTTAGCCGCACAGAGCTCCGAGCAGGGCCGGGAGATTCGGGGGGAACGAGTCGGAACTACGGGAGAGGGGTGTGTCGAATACAGCGAGGTGATTGGGTGGAGAGGTGGAGCAGGATGGACCAATAGGAGCTGTCTGGGACGGATCGCTCCAATTAAGTGAACAGCGCGGCCATTTTGAGAGACATAACAACACTTAGAGCATTGGAGTGACGGAGAACCGAATGGAGAGAGCAAAACTTGGACTCAACATACCGTACAGGGACAAGCTGAACAATGAAGAAAGAGAGGGTTGCCTAAGCAAAATTGCGGACATTGCTGGTCTCAACCCATATGATATGCATCAAATGCACTCGATTAAGTGGTGGTAGCATCTCGAAATCATCTTCGGACCATACAGTGTGTTCATATGGGTCCAGTCCAGCAATGTCCGCAATTTTGCTAAGGTAACCCTCTCTTTGTCCCTGTACGGTAGGTTGAGTCCAAGTTTTGCTCTCTCCATTCCATTCTCTGTTACTGTGTAGTCAGCTATTAAATAGTTGGTTTTTAAAACCTAACATCATCCTAATTTCATACACCACCTTTACGCACCACACCCCCCGTGATGACGTCGGCGCTGCTACACTTTGTATAGGACCATGATCGCCAGATAAATGAGGTTCATAATAATTACCAATCTCTCCAATCAGCATTAACTAGTGATTCAAGTCTGACCTTTTAACACTGTTCTGATCCTGTGCATCTGATTCCTGTGGCTATTTTGCACAATGGTTAAAATCTTGAAGTGAATTTGCATCTGAATACATCGTGCATAAGTCTCTCTAAAATGTCCCCCTGTTTCTAAGTAACACTGTCTAAAAATGTAAGGAAGTGAAAGCTCCTGCAAGGCACTCTTCATTCATGACTGTATTAGCACCTCCTGTGCGCAAAACACTACCTATTACTCACTGCTGATTTCTTTTTCGCTGAATGTGTAGGTAAAAAGCTTTTAAAGTTTTCTAATAAGAAGAAAATCTCACATATATATCACTCACTGTGAGTACCTGCTGTTGAAGCAGGAACAGATATAGCTGTTTCGTCTCCTCGTATGACCCCTTGCAGTGGTTGCAGGCATTCAACAGTGCAGTACATTTTCATTGCTGTCTATAATGGTCATTTCTATGATGGTTCAAAGAGACAAAAGTGTTGATTTAAACAGTGATATCTCAAAACGAATGAGTGGTTTTACTATCAGAATCAGAATATCCAGGGGAAATGCAGTGATTTCCAAATATAATCGGCTTTTTACTGCAGCATGCCTCCTGAAATCTCCTCCAACCACTGCATCCCCATAACCTAAAATAGTTCTGAGTGCTTTAAGATTTACTCTGTGGTTTTACTCATAAAATATACCTTTACTTATGTGCCAATAGGCGTTTTTACACACATAACACTGTGACACAAGTGTGTCTGTTTGATCTCCTGTTACTCGGAGTCATTTGTGTTTGCTCTGTCGACTGACAATAAGAGACTCAGGGATAATACCTTTGATTGCTCACATATTATCCTTTTTTGCATATCATAATTCCTGGTGTGGGCGTTTTGTTGCTTTCATGTTTGTGAGAGGGGGTCATTTGATGGCACAGCTGAGTCACAGAAACCCAACATAAACCCATGAAAGCACATTGGATGCAGTCTGTATAAGGTATTACACAAAGAAGCAGGGAGCACCTATTTACCATGTGTTCACTCCAAGAATTATATCGACAAAATCTAAATTTTACCTTTTGCTGCTGTATCAAACTTAAGTATAAAATATAAAACAAAACAGGAAAACTGGTGGCTGCTCCAAACTGTATATTTTAAGGACTACTCTTTAGAGTAACCAAATACAAAGGAGAAATCTTTGATTAGTACCTTACAAACTTACCTGTACCCTAGATGGGTTTTGTATCTCACCACCTGCAGTTTTTAATTGTTTAATTATAACAGATGATAAAATATTAGAGATTGCACAACCTGGCCATAAAGTGAATATGTGAAAGTGTCACTGAAAACCATTGGAGATACTTCCAGTCAGCCACTAACTAACTTAGCCGCTGACACTGTCAGGACCAAGTGTAATTTTCATGTTATTAAAATAAACTGAGTTTTTAGAGGAGCACAAAGGCACTTGGATAAATGTGCAGTGGACCAAGAGACTGGCTGTCTTTGAGAGGTTAGAGGTGCTTGTAAAGATGGTGATCACATTTTAAGCCTTGTGCATTGAGAGAAAAAATACAACAGTTACTGTAGCCTTTGAATCATGAGCGTTTTTTTTTTTTGCCTCACAAGGCTGTCTAGTTCCATTAATGTGAAGGCACGCTCACAGACAGATGAAAAGTCTGAAAGTTTAAAGGTCCAATTTTCCTGCCAAATCAAATCCTCATTTAAGTCATAATTCAAAAAATAATTTGAGTGCATTATATCAAATTACATCAAATCAATCCAACTGCTAAAACTTTCAGGGTGCTAATGAAATGCCTGCACCTTTGAGATTCAGTTTCTGTCTATTCTCCTCAAACTATGACACCAGAGACGCAGCATGGCCCACCATTAAAAAGGGCAGCTACTGCTCAATTAATTTCAAGATTGCCGCAGTCACTTGTAATGGATCTGAGTGATTCAGTGTGTGTCACATACACACTTTGAGATTCTGTGACTATAGCGTGAGGCTAGGCTGTGAGCTGTGGGTGCAAATGAAGGTGCTGCTCCGATTCCCCAGCATGTTGAGCTTCATCATTCAGACCTCTCGCCATTGTGCTGCCTCTTATTCAAACAGATCTGCCAACATTTAGACCTGAATACCTTTTCTGTGTGTGCATCCGACCACACAATGACTCCAACAAATATATGAGCAAGAATGTCTGCGGTGAATGAGTGTGTCTGGGAATTAGAGGTGAATAAATACATCCCCCATGTACCAGTCTGCTCCTAATAGAAAGCCTTGTGCAGTCAGATGTAATAAAACTCAGTGCTAACACAGAGTTAGCTTTTTGTTACTTCTTGTAGCTCCTCTCTGCTGAGTTAATGTCCACCATAAAAACCATATAAACAAGTGGGAGGTGTACTTCTCCCTTTTGATTCCTTTCAATTTCACACAGTGTATTCTCAGCAGATTCACCAACAATGTAGGAAATGAGAAAGTGGAGGTACAAGCGCCAAAACACAGTGTCCTTGGGGCTGACGCTTGTTTGGAAATGCAAAAAACAAAAGGAGTTCTTTAGCGGCTGTTGTGATACTAGCTTCAAGCACGTCAAAGACACAGCCTTTGACTGAACAAAGAGGCTGTTTTCAATGCCACGCTGAAGGTGTGTTTCTCAGATTCAGGTTGTATCTAAACAGTGCCCTCTGCTGTTTCCTTAGCAAAACTACACCATGCTGATTTAAGGGAGGGATGTAATCTGTGTCTTCTCAGACAAAATAAAAACACAGTACTTTGTATCCTACAAGCCTCCCTGTACATAAGTTTAGTTGTCCCCTCCAGGATCAAGATTATATCATATTTAAGAAGTACTCTGACATTTCCAACCTGCAATCAGAGGTCCTCTAGGCAGCAACCTGTTTGCTGTGTCTACTGAAGGCAGACCAAAATGGAAGCTGAAGTGAGATTTAATAAGTGTGATCAGTAGGCTGGTCCTTATTAAATAAATGTCTCTTTCACTGGGTGGCTTTTTAAACCAGTGACTTAAATCTGGTAGTGAGAATACAGGTGTATTTCTATAGGAAAAAGAAGTATGCAGTGCCTCTCTTACAAACATGTTGGTGTAATGCTTTCATATCTTTTCTTCAGGTTATTTTCAGAGCCTATTTTTTATGGAAAGGACAGATTGAGACACACCGGAAATATGGGAAGAGGAAAGAGGATGTCGTGCAAATCAATAAGCTAAAACTGCAGAACAGGAGAATTTTTTAACCAAAGAAACATGCTTTACTCTCCGGTGATTTTTTGTCCCTATATCAAACTACACAAGGTGATAAAGATTGAATTAAATATCCTAAGAGGCTCTGTTATGAGTACGGCTTTTCCTCTTCTTTTCCCAAAACAAAGATGTCTTTTTTTAATGAAAAAGAAAACTTTATAAAAGTATTTTAATAAAACATGTACTTGGATTCACCAGCTCACAAAACATATAAAAACAAACAAACATCATATCCTGTCGAACTGTGCAATTCTGCAGCCACGCGTGAAAAAGGAACTGAGAAAATAACTTTTCCTGTCATGCTGCGTAGCGCCGCCTGATGCTACACTGATAAACTACACATTAAATATAAACATAGGAATAAACAGAGGGAGAGAGAGAGAGAGAGAGAGAGAGAGAGAGAGGGAGAGCAAACATCCTTAATGGATCTGATGGATCGGGCTTGTGAATGTAGAGAGTGAGTTCCATGAAGGGGACATGGACCCGCTCTCTGCAGTTGCATCAGCACTGGCCCATTCCTGCAGATAAACAAATAAACACAGATGTGCAAGATGTTAGACTCCTCTGCAAAATGTTCTTGGCTGCAGTAAAATCAATACTTGTATTACTGCTTGATGAGAATCCATTTGTCTTGATAAAGCGCAGCATTTTAGCTTTTTAGTCTATGACAGTATTTCTGCTCAATTTCTTCTTAGATGTTTTTAAAGAAACACCATATTTGTTATTTTTCTCGCAGATTCTGCAACCTTGGGTGACTTTCTTCCTTTGGTTGGATATTTTATTTCTCTAGTGTCATTATTTCTCACAATTTTTTTTTTTGCTTGAGTAATTTCCATCATCTATTGGTGTTTCTCATGTCCAGAACTGATGTTATTTCCTTAAAGCGCTTCTCTGTAAGTGAAATAAGGTTTGAAATGTTTACAGCCGCCAATTGAAAAAGGAACATTTGTGTCTCCTCGCAGTGCAGCAGCTGTATGAACATAAAAAACTGTATTTGACAAGAATCTGTGAAAAATGTTGCATTTCTGGATGAATTTCTTGCTCTTTGGGAACGAGGTGATAAAAGGACACTGCAGATCCAGACACATCTGATATTAAATATGCAGCTCCTGTCTTGGGAGTCTCATGATAGCTGGTTGGTCTATCTGTCAGCTGGGGCCGATTCTGTCCTCATAGATGGATCTTCAGACGCATAGCGAGAATGAAGAAGAGAGCCTGGAGAAAGACTTCACCCGACTAATGATTAACGCAGATTACAACTAATACAAGACAAATCAACAACACCCTGCAGACAGCAATTGTAAGAAATATCTGCAGGTTTGGTTTGTGTAACACACATGCTAGAGTGTGTGTATATATATGCATGCCTGTGTTGTGCTTGTGTGTGTTTACAGCACAGACTTGAGGGAGGTTTACAGTTGTGTGCCAACATAGAGAAACATAGAGGCTGCAGAAAACCCATAAGAAAGGAGGCTATTTATGCTAGAGAACTTGTTTCTGGGTCAAAGTGAACATCATTACTCTTCTAGTGTTTAACGTGTTTCAAGTGGTATAAACATCAAGCTTACCAGTTTGATGTTCTCACTGTTTACACTTAGCTTGCAGTCAAAAGGCTCAATTCCAGCAAGTAATCCAATTATCAAATACTAACATTTAAAATGCTTAAAAGAGAAAAGAAAAGAAAAGTAAAGTCTTACTTCTGTGTTTGTTTCTTTTCAAGTCAAAATATTTCATTACATTAAAAAGGCCCATGTGTAAATCTGATTTGAGACGAGCCAAACAGTAGGACATTATTAAATGTTATGAGCAACAATGGCTGCAAGCAAATGTTTCTTTATAAGTTTTGAGGAATTGTTTCATAGTAGAACAACAAAATTCCCCCAAAAAACATATCAAAAAATGTTTTGTTTTGCTTTAGCTGGTATTTTTACCTATCAAAGTAGAAATCAGATCCTTGACTTTGGTTTTTAACATCTTGAAACAAGATTTAAATCTAGAATTGTCAGTTCTTTGTGGCTTGTTTTAGGTTTAATGAGATATTGTGACAGTTTATCAGACAAATACACCTCAGCTTTTGTAGCATATTCCCATTTAAGCACTATTTGCTGGGGTTTTTTCTAATCCAGCTGTAAGATAAAAACATTTAACTATTTTTAGATGTACAAAAACACAACAATTTACGTAGTTGTGACCAGCATTTTAAAGGTTTGATTTTTCACTGGGAACAAATATCAGGGGTGAAATGTGATGAGGTCAAAAAGTCTTCAGGGACCCACAAACACTCTCAGCGCTTTTGGTCATTTTGTGAGATATTTCATAGTCACATAAGTGCAGCTAGCCTCAACAGATGTAAAGGAATAAAAAGAGGAAAATTAAGTCTTTGCGAACCTTATCACTGATATCATCCACCTAAGAGTGAGTGCTAGCAATCATAGATTTATACATTGATCAATATTTACCTGAGAGGTGAAGCTTGTACGCCTGAGTGTAAGGTCTGCAAAAAGCAAACAAACAGGAAAGCAGATTAAAAGCTTTACATCAGTATCACTGTGCAATAAACAGCAGAACTAATATGATTGTCTTACATAAGATAAAATTAAAAAAAGAAATTTGGCAAGAAAGTAAAAATATCTGTAAATAGGATCACTTACCAACAACATGATCCTTAGCATGAACTTGGGTCCAAAACTGTGCTTGCTCTCTGTAAGAGTAAAACAGCAACATTTAAAAAAACACACTCGTTCAATACTTTATTACACAAATTAAATGGAATTAAATTAAAGAAATCTGCATCATAACCTTAAATGAAGCTCTTAATCAAAGCAAGCCTAGGATGAGATATTGATAAACTGTATAGAATGGTATAAAGAGGGATGAATTAAGAGCTCATTTTCTCTGCTGGCCATTTTGTATTTCCAAATGATAAATCACAGTAAAGAAAGCTATATGTGATATTAAACAGTTTATTATGTTGTAGTCATTTGAAAAATTTCTGCAGTTAACCTACTCTAAAAGTGTCATGGCTGTCAGAGTGCTCACATCAATCTCACTCCTTTACATTTACTACACTACAAGACCACAAAATCATCTTATCACCAAGAAGAAGGAAATACCTTTTTTTCCTTTCTTCTGCTGCTGCTTTAACTTTTCATGAGGACGAAAACAGGAAGAGCGAGAGGTTTACAACATTTCACAGAGGAAGACAATCATGACAGTGTAATGTGATAGCGAGAAAAACAGAAGCAGTCAGAGATTCATGTGTGCAATACCTTTCTGGAGTGTCACAATAACCACGAGGACGAGCAAACAGAGAAACAAAACCACAGCAGAGAAGGAGCCCAGAATAAGAGGCCAGTCCACGCTGGAGACATCTGGAGACATCAGACTCGCATTATTGTGAGGTTTTTAAAATACGTTTTTATGGAAGTAAATCTGAAGCTGAATTTTTTTCAATCAAAATCAGACTTAAAATTTCGAAACTACTGAATTTCAAGCACGCATTTTTATTTCTAACACTTATTTTTTCACAATGATGAAATCAATTCAGTGTAAAAAAACTCAGCCTCTCAAAATATTTGTTAAAAATTCAAATAAAAAAAAAACTGTGCAAAAAAAATTCAACATAAAAACAAATTTAATGTAAAAAAATTCAGTGTCAGAAAATTCAGTGTAAAACAGATTGATGCATATGGAAGTAAATCTGTGCCATCTGATTTTAAATTTGAATTTCTAAAGCTGATTTTTTTTTGCATCAAAATCAGACTTTGAATTTCGAAACTATTGAATTTCAAGCATGCATTTTTATTTCTGATTCTTATTTTTTCACAATGATGAAATAAATTCAGTGTAAAAAAAACTCAGTCTCTCAAAATATTTGTTTAGTAAAAATTCAACTAAAAAAACTGTGGAAAAAAAAATTCAACATAAAAAAAATTCCATGCCAAAAAATTTAGTGTAAAACAGAACGACAGAATTCAAAATCAGATGGCACAGATTTACTTCCATACATTTTGTCTAGAATATTCAGTGGTGTCAATAGCGATGATTAGAGGTAGATGTAGCAACTCATATTGTTGATAACAAGGCTTAGGTCTTTGAACTGTATCAATCCTTTTTGTTTTTTGTAGCTGAAATTCACAACCAAGGCTTTAGTGTATCTGTGTGTCTACCTGGTGATGATGGAGGAGGATGGGGGATTCCTAAAAGAGCAGAAAAGAAACAAACTGTCACATCTTGTGTTGAAGTATTGTCTAACCAAGCCACACATAAGGCGCCACTGGAGATCCATACCTTTTGTTACAGCCAGAGGGAGGCTTCGTTCGGAGTTGCTCCATGCCCCTCCAAGGAGGACACTGTATTCGCACTGGTATAAAACCAGCAGAGTTTCCTGGACGGGGACTTGAAAGGCGACCTGATAGTTCATCATAGTCGCATGTTGAGTGGCAACAGGGAGTTCATGATCGGCCAGGTAGAGGGAAAATACAGCATCGGGGTACGCAGGAGAGCCTCTGCAGAGTAAATGCCACACATCTGTCTGCTGCTGGAGAACAAGTGTGGGGAGCGGCAACGCATCTGAAAACAGAAACAACAGATTGAAAAGGTATAAGGAAGAAAAAGCTGTCCTTTCTTACAAGACAGTTATCTGTCTACACGCAGACTCTGATAAATAAATAGGGAGTAAAATACATTTGTGGCAAACATCAGTCTAATTCTGACTAGAAATAATGTTGGTGTTCCACTCTGCATATGAACGGTGTCAAAAGGGTACAAAGTTCAAGAAATGCCAAGAAACACTAGTTTGATTAAGATGCAAAGTAAAACGATAATTGAAATAAATGCAGGTTTTAAACATCAGATTCTTATAAAAATTCAAAGTTATACAATGAGGTAGAAAAGTGAAATTCACCAAGGGTGCTGTCACAAAGTTAGCAGGCACAGAAAGTTAGTAAATATGAAAAAGATCCTCACCCATTATTGAGATATGAACCATGTTGCTCACAGTTGAGTTAATTACTTCTTTTTTCATGCTGATCTGGTAAAGACAGGTGTAACCACCCTCCTCTCCTCCCTTAATTGGTCCCATGGAGAAGAGTCCTGGCTGGGGCCCACCGTTTGGAGCCCGACTTGCCTGGGGTTGGAGGATGACAGTTGCCACCCCTGTTTCCTCAGCAGTCCTTAGCAAAAGGAAGACCACTGGGTTGTTGTTATGACTAGATATAGACTGAGGGAGAGCGGGGACCGAGCAGCTGAAGGATAGCGTGTCTCCACATTTTACCACACCAGATCGGGGCGTCACAGACAGGACAGGAGGAGGGAAAGAGGGTACAGAGTGGGTAGGGTCGGCATCTGGAGTAGAGAAGAAAAGAAAAGAAAAGAACCATAATGATGCTTTTGTGGCTGCTTGATTTGATAATTGTTCACTCTTTAACCAAACTGGGTAAAATGAAAGCCAACAGATAAGAGCCAAAAACTGCAGTTCTCAAAAGAGCCACTTGAGGGAGACTTGTTTACAAGCTTTTCAGAAAATAAAATCCTAATAACATTATGTTTACACTTAAAGGGATATTCCGACATAAAATCAGTTTTGGGTCAAACACACCTTAACAACCAAGTTAGACACCCCCTCGAGAGATGAATGTTGCTGACTGCTTGCTTCTCTTGTTATACCAACTTTAGTAACAACCACACGATAGCAATACACAGTGGTCTGAATCATTTCTTTATCATTTCCTTAAAGTAATAATCATCATATCAATCATTTTGCACAGCAGACACAGTAGTTCTTCTGCCTTAGCGTCTCAGTCTGATTGCATTTCCATGAAGAAATGATCACAATTTTTCTTCCTTGAGCTGCGGCACCCCACTGTAGTCCGTAATGGACTGGCCCGAGGTCTCGCTACAAACAGCGGCTGCTGGAAGAGAGTAGGTGAGTTGTGTTTAGTCTCTTTGCTGAAGAAATTAGGCAAAGCTAAAGAGATGTTTGGTGGTTAGTGCTATGGCTGGGACCCTCTATGTCCTGTTGATGAAGTTAGGTACTGCTCTGAGCATTATTTGTGGTGATAGGGTGGCAATGTGGTTGAGGTTTGTTTATGGCTCCTCAGACCGCTGTGTATTGCTCTCCTGCGGTTGTTACTAAAGTTGGTTTAACTAGAGAAGCAAGCGGCAACATTCATCTCTCGACGGGGTGTCTTACTCTGTGTTATGGTGTGTTTGACCCTAAATTAATGTTACGCCGGAATATCCCTTTAAATTGTAAATTGAGTTACCTGATTTGTGTCTATCAGCAGCTGTTTGGTTTACCCTGCCATGGGTATGGACTGTATCTTTACACACATTGTACAGGTTTGATCACCAAAGGTTTCCCAATTTCTTGCTAGGGTAACTTTCAGCTCAAGAAACCAGCTAAATGTTGAATTCTAAGTCTTAAATTCACACTCATTTCATCATATGAGTACACCCCTTCTTTGAACAGTCTAGACTTAAATCCCCGTTAATGCTGACAGCCTTGGTTTGCCACAGTGGCTAGCCAAACCTCTTTCTGTAACCGAATAACAGGAGGGAACACACATTGTGTTTGATGTTGCTATTGTGTGTCTGAGTGAGTGTGGTTTCTATATGAAGTGCAGGATGTAACGGCACTTAACACACCCACTGAGCGGAAGACAATGTGAAACCACAGTGAGCACCTGCATGCTGCAGCAGCGGATGGGAGTGTTTATTATTTTATACCACATGTAGAATCACAACAGGGTGCAGATTGAACACATTAACTCCACATCCTTTACCCTTGTGCTCCACTTTCTGTAAACCGGGAAGAAACAACTTCATACAAAAGTGAAGTGTGCGTAAATCAAGTTACACAGACATACCATTTTGGTGCTCCACCCGTAAATAGGGACTGAAGGCGCTGTATCGACCGGCTTGGTCCTTGTAGAGGCAGCAGAAGAGTTCATGTTGGCCTGAATCTCCTTCTTGTACTCTCACAGAGAATTGAACCTCCTCTGCGCCTGACTGCCGCTCTTCAGAGTCCACCTCAACGAAGCAAGAAAAATAACAGAGCAAAATGAAATCACAGGAGACTGTGGTGGCACAGGGGATACACAAAAATATATGCTTTGAGTTAAAACCTGTTCCATGTATCTGTACAACATGAAGTTGGCCCCATGGTGGCCCTGTGGAACCCGGCAAACCAATACCACCAAGTCCCTTGACCTCAGGTGGATGTGAAGCTCAGGAGCTGGAAGTGTGGGAGAGGTCGTGGAGGCTGATAGGCTTCCTATAGACAGAAGAAGCAGTCGAGTTTCACAGATTCATCTAAGGTTTGGAGCAACCGTTCAGCTTTGACGAAAGAATTGAAAAACATTACTCTGATTACTTCATGTTGTGACGCTGTATTTGTACCAAACTGTTGATTACAAATCATTACACATCGTTTTACTGGAACTAAAACCCTTCCTTTAAGTTCAGCTATGAGAGATTTGGCAAAAGAAGGACCTGTTTGTAAAAAGGATTAAACATTTAGTTTCAACAAACAACAAATATTACAAAAAAAAGATGGTTTTGGTAACGTGATACTTGAAGTTTTTTTTTTTTTTAACAAAACATAAGAAACAATTGCCTACATTTAGAGACAATTACAGTGAATGACACTTACCCCAAAGTGACAGAGAAAAAAGTTGTAAAGCGTAAATCCAGATTGATTTTCCAACACTAGTAACCTGCATGTTTGACACACTAGTAGAAGACTGAACTGTGAAATCAGGACCAACCTACAGTCTCTCTCTTTCTCTCTCTCTCTCTCTCTCTCTCTGTTTTCTTAACATGCAGGACATCCACTTGAAGTCAGAACGATAGGGGAAGTTGAAGCGACAAATACACTTCCTTTTTCGGAGTCCCTCGCTCGCTCGGATGTGTGTTATGATAAACGTAAATAATAACAGGCAGGCGTCTGACTCACCCACATGTAGAAATTGGCTTGCGTCAGCATCTTAACGGAGAACTATTTCTAAACAGATCATCTGATGACATGAAACTGAGATACATGTGCTAAAAAAAAGGGTAGGCTTTATAAGTTCCTCAAAATTTGCTGGAATTCAACATTACTGAGAAAAGCTGCCACATTTTCTGAATATTTTCATTTCCTGTGATTTAACAAAAAAAATGAGTTTATCAAACATTAACAAATGAAAAATATGAAAGTTACAGCCTTACCATAGACTTTCAATTAAGGAGACATTTTAGTCTAAAATTAAATAGATAACATGACGTAGCCTATCATGAGGTTGCTAGCAATTTATAAATCATAACAAAATCACTTACAGTTTTTTTTTTTTTTTTTTTTACAATTGTATGGAAGTAAAACTGTGCCAACTGATTTTGAATTTGAATTTCTAAAGTTAAATTTTTTTTGCATCATATCAGACTTAGAATTTTGAAACTATTGAATTTCAAGCATGCATTTTTATTTCTTACACTCGGTTCAAATAAATTCAGTGTAAAAAAAAAAAAGGTCTCTCAAAATGTTTGTGTTGACAAAATTTGACTTAAAAAAACGTAAAAAAAATTAAGTGTCAAATTATTCAGTGTCAAAAACTTTTTTTTCAGTTGAATTTTTACTAAACAAATCTTTTGAGAGACAGGTTTTTTTTACACTGATTTTATTTAATCATTGTGAAAAAATAAGTGTCAGAAATAAAAATGCATTTTTGAAAATTAATGGTTTCGAAATTCAAGTCTGATTTTGATGCAAAAAAAAATCATCTTTAGAAATTGAAATTCAAAATCAGATGGCACAGATTTACTTCCATATCACTCCGCCTCTCGCGCGCAGCAGCAGCAGCAGCATCCACGAGCTCCTTCGGTGTCACACGCGCATGCACAGCCTGAGCGGTCTTTCAGACGACATGATTCCTCTGAGGTCCACGCCATGGAAAAACACCCTGAAAGTGAATTAAAAACGCCGGTTAGAAATGGACGAAGAGTTTCTACCTGAGCCGGAACACCTGCTGACATTTGTGAGGAAACTCAAAGAGGTGTTTGACCTTTGTGACGGCGACTCAGACGGTCTTATTCGACGTGAAGACTTGGTGAAGTTGGCTTCCCAGTTTGGCAAAGAAGAACAGGTGAGAATGTGCATTTCACTTTCAGTCTGTCTGTTCTCCTCCTCTTTGTCATTTTAAAGCTATTTTTCCACTTTCCCCGTCATTGTTTTCCTAAACCTTGCATCGAAGACCTTCTGGAAGCTATCTTACCTCTCGAAAAGATAAAACTTCAGGTTTTCACGTTGCCAGCTTTCACAAAGGCCTAAGCGGCGCCTTCTTAAGTTTTCCAGTTTGTTACTACACCACTTTTAGAAACCCAGGAGCAGGAGAGTCCAGCAAATATTCTTTTAACTTAGGCCTTACCTGTCTTTCTCTGTGTCCTGTGAAATGCCTGCTTTGTGATATGTTGGGGTAAGAAAACCTTGTACCTCTGCTGGAGAGGAAAAGTAGGCCTAACTCTATGTTCACAGAGCATCATGGGAAATGAAAATGTTGATTTTTAACTCTTCCCATTTTTATCCTGAAGGCAGAATACAAGGAGTTATCATGTCTTAGTTGTTGTGATAAACTAAAAGCCAGGATTTCTTCATGAGTGGACTGAACTCAACATTTAAATAAGACTGAGAAACCATGAGAGTAAAAAAAAACCACAAACATTCAATGGAAATGGTGGGTAAATAGAGAAAACTGACGAAGACATAAGCTAAAAGTCAAGACAGATTTAAAGATGAAGTTAAAAAGGGGCCAAAAAGCTCACAGTAGCTTTTTACTGCTCAGTTAAATCTCCCTTTCCCCTCTAACTTTAAGCCTCTAAAATTATCTCATAATTCCTAACACTTACACCTGCCTACATCTAACTTAAGTATATACTAGTTAGGGGCACAGCAATTCTTTTAGATGTACCGATTCACTAGAATCAGTTCATGAAATAGATTCATTCAAAAGATTCGTTCACCAAATCACTGAATCATTTAGTGCTTGGCGGGAGAAGCCTGCGACTCTGACCTCCTGAACTGATACACAGCTGAATCTTTCAGGATTCAGTTCAATTCATAGCTTCTGGGAAACGAGAGTGTTTGGCTGTGTTGCTTTCGCGAACAGGTTTGTAAAAATGAACTTATTTATAAGTCATGATGTTTTAAGTGTACTGTCCTATGGTGTGCTATTTACCAGGTCTGCTTGGTAATTTGGGGTCAGTGAGTGATTCGTTCACGGCGGCAATGATAGGACATGCTGTGTCCTATTGTATGCAAGTTGTTGTGGTGGCAATTTAGCAGTGAAAAAAAGGTAGCTTTGTCCAACAAAAATGATTCCAGAGAGTGTAGTTCAATGCCTGATTCGTTCACCAAGTGATTCAGATGTTGGTGCATGTGGTCCCTCATTCGTTGGCTGCTCTACTGGCAATGCTGTTTCTCACTTCAGCTCAATTGAAGTGAGAAATGAACGAATCACTCGAGGAAGTGATTGGGTTCAGTACGTTCACTTAAAAGATTTGGTTCTTTTGAACGAATCGTTTCGAATGACACAACACTAGTATACTGCCTACATCAAAACGTATTATTGGTGATGCTATTATGATAATTTCCTAAACAGTTTCCTTAAGGTGTGTATTTCAAGGTAGACTGGCTGAAAAACAACTCTCTAAGCGAGATCATTTCCCTCTAAAGCTTTTTTCAATGATCATGTTGGTGCAAAGTTCTTTGTGAAAGACGCACCATCAATCTTCTTTGACCCCCCGGCCTCAGTTTTTGATGAAACAGGGACATGTTTGTATTTTAAATGACTGTTCCTTGTGTCCCATCCCTTGTGTGGCATAGTAGTGTCTCCCTGCATGTCAGGATAACTGATCACTGATGTTGATTGGCTCCCCAGTGTTGTGTTGCTCATTAGCAGGAACATTGCAGATGCACTGATTAGCTCCCGAGGGAGACTTTTCACTGACCTGGGAAATGGGTTCGTAGAATGATGTGAATGCAATTTGTCACCTTGGGAACCTACATGTTATAAGACCCCACACTTGACCATACACTGCATCACCATTTGTTACTAATGGTTCATTTTTGAATCATGATTTGAACAGGATATTTCTGATATTGTGATTTATTTATAAAGACATGTCGTATTGTATGCTCATTAAGTCACCACATGCACAGTGCACACATCAAATCAGCCAGATGAACCATATCAAGCAGTTCCCCCCATTCCTTTGCATGTGCTGTCCTCTCATGTCATTGTCCTACATTAGTGATTCCCGGTGGCTGCTTTGTGTCAACCTGACCTACAATTGAACACAGTAGGTGACTCTCTCTCTCCTGGTAGTCACATGCAAATGCTCACTCTCTCGTATAATTTTAGTTTTCTCCTCTGACCTCTTTTCTTTCCCTTTTTATTTGCCTTCAGGAAAAAAAAAGGAGCCGAGGCAGAAACAACGGTTAGGTTGTCAATGAGACTAAAATGTGGTTTCATACAAAAAGAATCAGATATTAATGTGGGCCTTTATTTAAAAACTTTAAAACGCTTTTGGAGTAAATGTAAGTTAGTTGATTTGAATAATAACACTGTTTGGGACAGAAAAGCTAGTTTTTTTTTAACACGAAGAAGATACAAAGCTTTATTAAATTTAGTGCTGATAGAAATGTGCTGGCTGTGGGTAGCTGGCAACAAGTGTAATCCATTATTCAACCACAGAGAAGGGTCTTTAACAGCTGCATGTGAATATGGGAGGACCACATTCATGTTGATGTGTGATATTTTACATGAGGTTTGTTTGATTCTTTTAGAGCTCTGCTTTCAGTCCCGGGGTTGTTGATGAAAAGAGATGATGGATGACATATAATTTATGTGCAACTTTTTTACATTATTGTGCATCTCTGTCATTATCTTAAATGCAACATTGATATTCAGGATTGTATTAGTGATCCCTCTGTGTGGGAAACCAGCTGCAGTAGTGTGGCAGAATGAGGGTTTCCATGAGGCCATGTTACCATGCATGAATAAATGCAAACATAAGCGAACAGTGATTTAGGACTCTGGCGCAGACTTCCTCTTCCATCCTGTTCATAGATTTTGTTCACAGACAGACCAGCAACTTGAGAGAAATAGGAACTGGGGTGGGAAATGGTTACTAAGACCATAGTATTTTTCTGCACTTAGATGAAACTCTTAGCGTAAAATAGCGTAAAATAAAAATGATCATCTTAACGTAAGAATTATTAAATCAGATAAATGTGTCAAACTAACAAGTGTTTAATAATTACTTGTTCTCATTGACCATGTGCAGTTTTGGCATTATGTTTCATCATGTTTCCATTGTGCTTTTTTTTCATTGTATCTTAACAGGAAAATGTCTTTTGCGCCTTGAAATTTAACATGAGCTCTTTGTACTTTCTCCCAGGTGAAGAAGTTGGTTATATGTCTAGACTGTGACTCTCATGGGAGGATCACATTCAAAGACTTCTGCCGAGGCGTCCTCGCCATAAAAGGTTAGAGGAAGCTCCAGTATGGTATCTGAAAGTGTCGATGAGAATGTGTGAATGCGTGGCTATTTGTGGAATTTCTGAGGAAACAGGACAGAATGAATCGACTATGGAGTGATGTAATTGTTAGTGATGCAGATGTGTTGGTGTAATGAGTGACCACGAAGTGGCTCTGTTACCGATGTGTCATTTCTGTCAAGTAGACTATTATGAACCAGAAGCTGCATTTCTATTGGTTTATTCAACTCCAACTTGCACAAGATTTACGACTATCAAATTACGTTTGTCTACTTTACTTTGGTGGCCATTTCAATATTATTTGCAGTTGTCTTTGAGTTACATTTCCAATAAATGTTTTTAATTCTTTTTTGTTCACTACAGAGACAATTCTGTATTTGATTTTACATTTTCTAGACAACTATGCTGTAAAAAAAATTTTTGCCTACCTGTCTAAAAGAACTACAACCAACCATTGCAAATGACTACTGTCACACCTCCAATTCAGCTATACTGTGTTGAGGTGTGTGCATAGACCAAGTCTGACAACAGAAAGCCAAAAGGGTCAGCTATCCAGATACCACTGTAAATAAATTACTGTGTTTATTTAGTATAAACGAATCTTTTTCTTTGAAACCCAAATCACTATTTTTAAAAGCATTTTGACTTAAAAATGAGGAAACATCAGGGGAGGTACTTCTTTCATAAACCCACCATTTTTATGAACGTTACAGAGCTAGCCTGTTTCACCAAAAGTAATGAAGTTAGATTCATGCCACCTCATCAGACTTCCTCATTCATAGTTCTCCTTTATTTGTTTTCAGAGAAAGTCCCTTTTAAAACTGGGTCATTTTATCCACAACGGTGGACTGAAGCAAACTAGGGCACAGGAAGGGGCTGTTTTCTAATGTGGCATTGTTTAGAGGTTGTCAGGGTTGACCAGGCAATAATAACAAGATAGTCAATAAACACTGTGCTGCTGGTTCATGATCCTTCGAACCAAACATGTGAGAGAAGTACAACCTATGATATTCATGAGGCTTTTATAACACCCAGTTGATCTTAAATCCTAGTTAAGTCTTCTACTTGAAACAGTATCAGTCCTTGGAAAGACTGATCAATACTGAGTGTATTTACAGCAATTGAAAAAATGTTTTGTTGCAATATGTAATGTGTGGTTGGCGTTAATGCTGACCTTTAGAAAATAATCACCTAAACCTGCCAGCATCCTTCAGCTTTACAAACTTTATAACAAGTTTCAGCTCATTGTTTAGCTTTCTGCTGGTTCACAACTTTACTATTTTGGTTTCCAAAAATTGTTGATTTTTGCTCTAACATACAGCTGTTTTTGTATCTGTGAAAAAGCTAGAAAAACCCACTCTTAAATACCTAATCAGCTCCAAATGACAGGCTGACAGCAAGTCATGAATAGAGATTAGCATTTTTTGCTTGACTGATGGATATTTCCCTGAAGAGAATCTAACTGTAATCTGTTGAAAGTTCGAGGGTGGGTTTTATTCAGATCAATTTATTGATCTATTTGTGACACCTGAAGTCAGCTTTATGTGCACAGCTCCTGGTGAAATATTTTTTTCTCACAGTGACTCTTTGAAAGGGTTTGGGTTCTTAAATCATACATAGACTTCATAGATGACACCCCTTAGCTGCTCTTTTCATCAAGTTTAACCACAAAAGCACTTAATGTTTTTATCTTGGTATTGACCCACTGGTATGCAGTGATTTGGCTCTTTCAGAGAGGCTACTTCTTTTCTTATTTCTTTGGGAGATAAAAAGTGGAGAGGTAACAGAAAGTCTCAGAAAAAAAAAATCTGTGATGAGTCACAGAAACTTTTTTTCCCTTTGCAGGTTATGCTGGAATACCAAAAAAGAAAAATGGAGCACAGTTCATCACAGGGTCATATAAGACTACCGAGAGCTGCAACAAGGTGAGTTTTTGACATTCCTTTGTCCCAAGATGATGATCTGCATTTGGGAAGCTGGTAGTGTCAGCCCCAGGAGTGTGACAATGGTTTTCACAGCAGATTGGATAATGTGTAATGTAAAAATAACTTTTATGATCAAAAGTCCCATTACTTAACAAATAGGAACGCTGTAGGATAGTTGGAATAAGCTGTTACTTCCAACGACCAGTATGCAAACTAGTGAAAGAAATGTTTTAATACTCATCCTAAATAGCCCTTCAATAAAGGGCTTTTTACACTGTGTTTTCCTGGTAGTTTGATGAATTTTACAAGGAGGCAATAGGAATGTGTAGAGTCAAGCATTGGTGTTGCTTGTGGGTCATGTCCTTACCACTAGGTGGCAGTGTCAGGCTGCTTTATACAGAGTGGCAGTCACAGACAATAAACAGCAAAGTGGCATCAATAATACACTTGAGTATCAGTATCAGAACAGACGTCATGGATGACTGTACCTTTAATTTATTTAATTCTCTGCATGGGTTTAATAATGCATTTAAAAGTTAGGTTTGACTTGAAAATCTTTGTTTTAAGTTTGTGAATTTTATCATATACATAATTTTTTTCAAGAATTATATAGATATTAGATTGATCGCATATTACTTTTTTATATAGTTGTTATATTGTCTTTTGTTTGACTCCATCTCGTCTCCTGGAGTGCTGAGATAATTGGATCATTACATAACATCTAAATAAGAGGACTGATCCCCAGGTGTTACATGTGACAGTCTCGGTAGTCCCGGCCTGTCTCCCTGGAAATTTGTTACCGGGTACATTGTATTCCCTTTAACATTAATAACACAGATATTTTGCTCGGCAACAGAGTTTTGTAAACACAACACAACTCAGCTTCATTGTGCAGTGTTTGTTGAAGAGTGTAGTTGTACAGTTTGCTACAATAGTTTTGCTGTAGATATTTTTGTCTTCTGACCTGACTCCCAGGTTTAGAGAAGTGAAGAAGAGTCCCATCGCTGCCTCTGGTGCAGTGTAACATTTCACTGTACAAGTGGGGAAGTGCTCTTGAAATATTCAGACCTGGTGAAATGTAACACGTTCCCTACACAGTACTTCTCTGAAAGGCAGCACAAAGCACTTCTGTTTTTTGGAAATGCTGTCTCATTTGTGTACTTCCCCTTGAAAAAAAGCTTATAAATAAGTTTCTGTAGCGGCAGTCATACCATTTCATACTCCAACAGACAGTGTGCGCTGTTATGCAAAATTACTTTCCATCCATCATGGTTTGTCATTATCTCCACACAGCAACAGGTAGGTGAGACTTGCTGTCACAGGTAGTTGCAGGTATGGCTTTGTTTGTGTTGAAGCTTTTGGAAGTATTTGCAATAACATGGAGACATAGATTCATGAAAAATACTGAAAGTAAATAATGATTTTTTCTACACAGTGATCATTGCTCTCAAAAGTTATTTTGAAGTGTTTTCAAATCGCTCGTCTTATGATGGATATTTTTATATAAACAAAAGCCAACACTTTTAGTCGTCAATTACATTAACCCTGGAGAACATATAAATCAAACCTTTTCTATTATCCAAACCATGGCAACAAATTATGTTTAACCTTAACATACAACTCGCTTTCATTATACATCATTTTGTCACTGAAATATTTATTATTTAGCTGGATATCAGACCATAAAATTGATTGATTGAAACAAGAAATTTTAAAAATGTTACAAATTAGTTGCTTGTATTTTTTTTTTAAAATAAGGGCAATTTTGATGGTTAGTTTTAGCATTAATATAGGTTGTTGAATAAGCCTGGGTGGCTGTGTCTCTATCACATGTTGGGAATTCAGAGTCCCACTCCTATCATTTTTTTTTTTTACTACTTAAAGTGTTATCAGTGGTCATTCAATTGTGACAAAAAATTTAAAAGTTTTTAGCCAAATTCACATTACCTGTCATTTTCAAGGACTTTTCTTCTGCAGAGTTCCAGTAGCTCATTAGCAATTTGCCTCTGAATCGTGGGCGGAGACAGCACTGCTCTGCACACTCCTCTTCATGCTAGTTTGCAGCCTAGTTTGCCGGTGTAGTAGAAGTAGCAGGTTACATAGGAACTATTCAGCTCTGGGACACTAATGTCTTTGGGGGAATGATGAAAGTTGGTATCATAATTAGCTTTCTTATGAGCATTGCAATCCGCAAACGCACACACTTGTTCCGCGATCGTCCAGCGGGGCTGCAGGAGTGGAGCTTGGATTTGCTACATAGGAAATCTCACTGTTTCTGAACCTGCCGTTTGGGTCTGTCAGAGATTCACAGCAATTTGAATGTAGAAATACTCAGAAATGCTATTTCGCACTTATTTTTCTCATGATACGTCCTGTAGCATCAGAAAAATGCCATATGAACATGTAGACAACAAGAAAAACATGATTTTCACTGAAGTGGGTCTTTTAAGTGTCTTACAGATCTGCTTAATATTGTAATAATAATAGCTAATAGCTTTGTTAAACTCCTTTTGTAGAGCACAGTGCAACACTCCCATCTTTTAGAGCGCTGCCTCAAGTGTTGATAGCTCTGTTTATTGTATTTTGTACAATATTGCATTCATCACTCATTTCAGATGTTTCCCTCGGGTGAAATACTCCTCACCTCTGAAATGCATAAGAAAGCAGCTTCCTTGTTTAGACTTGGATGGAACCAGGTTTGTTTCGAGAACAACAATACTGAGTCATTTGTGGGCTCTTAGGAGTTTTCTCCAGCAGCCTTTTTCTTTTTCTCATATTATAAAGTTGTTTCCCTCTTCTAGTAAAAAGAGATATGTGGTTTCTATCTCTTTACGCCAGCAACCACTTTCGTTAACATCTCTTCAGTCAACTGGGAGGCGTTAGGTCAACTCCCTGTACCTCACTGTCACAATGCAGAAGTGTTTTTCCCTCCGGTTGGATAAAAAATTTAATGCATGTTTTTTCAAATTAGATTTATGACCCGTAGAAGCTCAACTATTTGGACGCTTGGTATCTCATTGTGAGGGAAAAATGCTCTGGAGTAAAGTTGTGTTGCCATAGCAAGGAGAGAGAGAGGAATCCCGAAGCTCTCCAGGGCACACAACCCTGCTGGGATGTGTATTAGCGTGACTGCATGTGTGTGTATGTGTGTTTGAGTGTGTGTGTCACAGAGAGAAGATAGAGAAGGAGTGAAAGACAAAAAGTCAGGAAGGTTAAAGGTGTCTCATTATTGCTAAAGACGTATAAGGAGAGGATTTATTAGCTTGCACTCTCTGCAGGCTGCTTGGGTTCTTACACTGAAACGAAGCAGGAAAAAAAGTCTTGCTGTGCATGAAGTGAGTCGGTCTCAAAAAAAAAAACATCTGCAATTTAGCAGAATTTAAGGTCCTGATGGATGACAAGGAAGAGCCAGCACATTTTGGTGAGGCTGTGATGAGAGAGATGGGAACATTTTCAATTTTAAAGGCCCATCTCAGGATCAGTCACCCACTGACTATATCCACCCACTAGATATTACTGAGTTTGGTTGGCAGATAAGAAAAAAAACTGGGTGCACAGATTGAAATCTGCATCCTTTGATGAGCGTGCATGGTACGCACTCAGTGCAAGTTGGTGCAAGCTGTTGATATTAGACGTCAACTTTCTTTTGATGAAGACTCCCATCTGCAACAGTTTCACACACTTTCTAAAGAAATGAAGTTGCAAAAGTTGTTTTTTCTTTTCCCTCCTCTACTGTGCGCAATGGCACACTCTCATCCATCACTCATTCTCTCTTTCCAAAGTCCTTTTGAAAGTCTTTGACAAAATTATTAAGTCTTGGTGTCAAACGGGATCTTAGATACCGTAATGTTTAGTGGGCTTAAGATCAGAGGACAGTTGGCTGTATATCACACTGTTGGTGTATGCGTAATAATGCAGCCTATCTGTTGATATTTGTGATGGTTGGCACTGGTGGTAATGTCGAAGGATTATGACAAATCTAGCTTTTAGCTGCATGTGAGTGCTTGTGTTTATGTAAGCGTGTGGGCAACAGTTAAAAAAGAGCTGGAGTTGCATCACTGCATGATGTGTTAAAACAAGTTACAGACTACTGTAAAAGAAGTATTACTATTCCACATCTACATATCACATACATACATGGGGTAGTCTACTCCATAGTGTGCATGTCTTGTAAGCATAAGCAAAAAAGAGTCTCTGCATAGAGAGGATTGAGTGTCTTGTGACCATGTATAATTAATGTTACCAGAAGAGCGCCACAGGAGGGGGACACCGTGTTTACAAATCTGTGGGTTGTTGTTTTTTTTCATGCACATTTATTTTTACACAGCTCTTTTTACATTGAGCTATACATTGCAGGCCCGTGCAGATAAAATATGAGGTTAGGGGGAAGCCTGAGCTTTGTGTGATCATTAAGGCAAGGCAGATGCAAGCAATGAGTAAAATATGAACAGTACTGAATATTTTTATTAATTCATACTTTAAACTTGTCACAGGAAGAGAGAGTGTTAAGCTAACATGGTTCATCCTGATTGCAATCCAGATGGAGTGAGCGGGACTCTGGCATGAAGTGAAGGGGTCTTTTTCTCTAACAAGTACCAACAAGTGGACACAAAATGTTGATTTAAAGGCAATGTTATTAAACTATAAACATTAATGCCACTAATATCACCCCTAATGGTTTGGATTACCATATAACAACTGTTAACCCTCTCACCAGTTCACATAATGACATCTAATAGGGCTGGGCAATATGGCCTCCAATCAATATCACAATACCCCCACTCTTTTGCCACTCCAGGAGCTACACTGTTGCACTGATGTTATGTTAACCGCGCTACTCGCTATACAGACCGTGTATAAGCTTAAATGCTACCCTTCACATTGGTGGAAGATGGTCTTACAGGATTTGATGTGCTCGTTGATGACTTAAAACAAGTCGAAAATAACGTTGTGTGTTGTGCTCACACAGTGCGAGTAGAATCATTAGTGGCGCATTGATATTAATGATTAATGTGAAATTTCAGGAGCGGCGCACGTAATTTAGAATGAATGAAGGGGAAACACTGCTGATACTTATGAGTCCGAGGTAGAACTATGCAACATAAAAACTATTTGTTTTTTAGGTGTGGCGGCTTTTATTAGCCGTGGCGGTGCGCCACGATCAATTGCATGTAGGGGAAATCCTGGCCTTCCTACACACACCTGAAACCAACTTCTATTTATTTTTTTGACACTGAATAAACCAATATGGGCAAAATGACCTTGTTATTGTAGTAAATTTCAGTATCAGTAAATTTACGGTTCATCGCCCAGCCCTAATGTCTAATACACAACAGGCTCGCTCTCCACTTTTTTACCATCAGAGATGTTTGGGGTCGAGTTGCTCTCCAGGCTGGTATCATATCTGTCATTATCTCCAAGCTCTTAAAACCAGCCTGATATGGAAACTAACATTTCTCCTCTAATGGTTACTAATCTAATGCTACTGAGATTCAAGTACCTTTTGTTATTGGGTATCAAGTATTTAACACATAATAAACTTAATTAATCTGTCAAGAAACATTTATACAGAGGCTTAAATGTGATGATAGTGATGAAGTAGAAGTGTGTATCCCTGTTTTAACCTCTGACTTTGACAGGGGGCTAATAGATTAAAAAATGTAAGCCCTTCTCAGTTGTTGAAACACAGATAAATGCATTAGAGTACATACTCACATTAAACATTTCTTCACGAGAGACACTTTAGACCTTAAGTTAACAGATGTGTTTACCACTTGCGTACAGCGCTCCTTTTCCAGCCAAAAACCTAACTGAACCTGATCCTGAAAATCTGTGTTTGGCCCAGATTTCCCCCGCTTCTGCAGAAAAATAATCAATAATTCAAACATGACTTGTCCTGTCATGGAGAGATGTTAATGTTTTTCTCCTTGGGGTTTTTCCAGCAGGTTTGAGGAATCATCTGTGCTCTCTTCCTCTCAAACTATCCCCCTCTTTAAAGCTTGTCACACATCCTCCCTGGGTCATCGACAGAGATTACTTTCATGTGTATTACAGCTGCAGAAGTAGGGTCAGTCACCATCCTCTCACCTTCATCTCTATTTTTCATTCTCTGCTCTAGTTTTGTTCACCATCCTGTTTCATATGTGCACCTGTTGAGAGCAAATCTCTTGCTTTTATAAATAACCCATCACTCTAGCCCTCTTCTGCTGTTTTTACTTCACTTTTCTCATTTATTTTGGGGGATTCTCTTTCATCCATTGGTTTATTTCTCTTGCTGATATCCTCTCAATACTCCCCTTGCTTGTCTACATCTTGCTTTTCTGTCCTTTTGATTTGCCAATCTTTCCCCCTTTTTCATTATTCCGTTTTCTCCTTTTCTCCATCCCTCCACGTTAGCGCTTCAGATGAACGGTGAGGAGGAGATTGCTCTGCCGGCCTCTGCACTCATTTTATGATCTGATTAAAAAAGGTGAGATGGGAGCAAAGTAAGCCTGGGAGTTAAAAATCAAACCGAACATGAAAGAGTGATATCAAAGTCAAACAAAGGGAAGTAAAACAAAACCAGCAAGACACAAAGAGCTTCACTACAATGGCTATTGTTTCCAAAAAGCACGGGGAAGATCAGTGTGATTATATTGCAGGGAACATCTTTATCACTGGCTGCAACATGAATATTTCCTCATGATGACTCTCAATAAGTCTGCACCGGTGAAGCGGCCAATTAACTTTAAGGCTAAATTAGTTTTTAAACAGAGAATATATTATATGTTCATATAATTGTGCATTTGGGAGTGATGTCTGTCTATCAAAAAATATTCTGTAATTGGATTTATGTTCAAGTATCTTTTTTAAAGTTGAAAATTCAAATGGGAAAACTAGTAATATTTTGTTTGAAACATGAAAAATAAAAACTTCATGTAGCCGTCTGCCTCTCAAGTTCCATCCTGGGCTTGTTCGATGGCGTGGTCGCAACACTGAAAGCTCTGCAAGGACAGTCACAAGAGTTGAAACTTCATTAATAACCAATGACTGCACTGACTTCGCTTTCAAATAAAGGACAGCAGAAGAAATACAGGAAGTGTGAGGAGTAGAGAGTCGGGCAATACATGCAGCAAAAATTGTGGTGATTAGGGGTGAAACCAGAGGCTGCTGTAACAAGAACATTAAAGACGAGTCGATCACCAAGTGCAACGGAGAATTTATGATTATTACTTCATGGAAATGCAATCAGACCGAGACGCTAAGGCAGAAGAACTACCGCATCTGCAGTGCACATTCAAGATACAGAAGAACTCTGATTGCATTGCCATGAAGTAATAATCATAAATGTTCTTCCTTCAGCTGCGAAACTCTGCTGCACTCTGTGATCGACTCGTCAGGGCTCCCCCACAAACAAGTGGCTGCTGGAGGAGAGTGGGTGAGTTGTATTTAGTCTCTTTGCTTAAGAAACCAGGCAAAGCTAGAAAGATGTTTGTTGGCTGGGCTGAGACCCTATATGTACTGTTGATGAAGCTAGGTGCTGTTCTGAGCATTATTTGTGGCTATAGAGTGGCGTTTTGGTTGAGGTTTTGGAGACGTAGACCGCTGTGTATTGCTATTGTACGGTTCTTACTAAAGTTGGTATAACTAGAGAAGCAAACAGTCGGCAACATTCATCTCTCGAAAAGGTGTCTAACTCGATGTTACGGTGTGTTTGACCCTGACTTAAATTTACAGCAGAATATCCCTTTAAGATAAGAACGTCTCTATTGAGGGAAACAGTAGCTTCCGACTAAGTGTCTTGTATTTTTATTTTTTTAATGTTTTGAATTTGCTTGACTAACACAGAGAACTTTGTGACTGTTAAAAAAAAATCCACTGTTGACTGATAAACCTGCTGACAGCCATGGAAATCTGAAGATATGAGACGCCACATCTGGTATAATGTGATCTGATGGGACATTATGACAGGCTGTCTTTGAGATTTACCATAATTCTTGTGATCAGGGGACAGTGCTGGCAGTGCCTTTGCACTGTGACATCTCGTAATGATCCGCTCTAGTGCTGGACGATAATTCGATAACAATATATATCGATCGATAGACGTGTGGTGCAATAGAAAAAAAACGGGTCGATAAAAAGTTCGATAGAAAAACACAGTTTCCCTTTCTTTTTCATCATAGCCTATCATGTAGCTTTTACTACAGTCATTACTTCCTCCCAACCAATCACAAACGCAGACCCAGGTACGCTACGGCACCAAGCCCAGCCCCTATCAAACCACAACAGACAGCACGTGTATTAGAAAAAATGATACAGCAAGGAGAAGCAGAGGACATTGTCCCGAAAAAAGGTTTCAGTAGTTCACCAGCATGGCAATGTTTTGGTTTTTAGAAGTCTGACAAAAAGCGAACAGCGGTCGTTTGCAAAATTTGCAGAGAATTAGTAAAAACGAAGTCTGGTAACACAACCAACTTGTTTTACCATCTAAACCGATCGCACCCGCAGGAGTACGAGCTGTGTCGGCCGCGCCGCGGCTCCACGTCATCGTCGGAGGAATCCTCTGGAACCGCTGCCAGCACCAGCACAAAGCATGTGAAGCAGACCAAACTGGACTTCGTTTCTTGCCAAAATACGACAAAGCGTCCGAGCGGCATAAGGACATCACCCATGCAGTAACATGCTCCATAGCGAGGGACATACTGCCAATAACTACCGTTGAAAAGCCTGGCTTCGACCAGCTTCTAGCCACTCTCGACCCGCGATATGAAGTGCCCGGCCGCAAGTATTTCTCAAACACAGCGCTTCAGGCATGAAAATGGGTCAGGGGTTGAAAAGGTGAGAAGGGTGCGGAGGAAATACGTTCCCGTCCACTCATTAGCTTCTTAAAGTGGAAGAAAATGAGCTCATATTTTACAAAGACGCGAGTATTTGGATCATGGCTACTAGCAGGGGGTGCATTCGGCAGGGGTGCATTCTACGACACAACACCGGCGTGGATAAGTCCTGCTTCTCGTGCTTAGTTTGTGAATTAAGTCAATCACATGATAATTAAAAAAAATAAATCTCCCGACCCCGGGAGAAATATTTCAGTGTTCAGACACCAGGCTGTGGGCAGTTTCCCACACAGTTAAAACTGGTAGTATGCTATTCCCACCTAAAGCTATTCTGTTTATTTATATATTTGTTTGTTTTGTTTATTTTCATCAAAACACTATTTAAATATTTATTTATCAGATTTTCTGGTCACTTTAGTCTTTATGTTTGTCAGTATTTACTGACGTCACTCAGGCCACTTAAGTTGATTTCTTTTTTTTTTTAGTTCTTTTTTAAAAAACTTTCAGTTGTCGTAAAATAAAAAAGGTGGTTAAATAAAGGTTTGAATTTGAATTCAGTGCTTGTGTGTTCTTTATTAAAAGTAGGTCATTAAGCAATAGCATAAAACATCCAGGGCTGCAATTAAAATATATGTTAAATAATAATTATATCGATAATTATCGATATCGATCAATATGATTTATTTTTTATCGATATGCTTTTTTTCTATATCGTCCAGGCCTAATCCGCTCTTGTCTCAGCTCATATTTGGAATTTCATATTAGACAGCTTTCAAAAGGGCTAAAGCCAGAAATGAGTGAAATAAGTCAGTTTTAAAATACTAACCTAGGGTGGTATTTTACTTAAAGATAACATAAATATTTTAACTATTTATAATATTGTGGTAAATATCCCTTGACTCCAGCTTTAGCTACTATATAAATTGAAGAATTACACGACTGTAGTATTCCTGGTTTGGTTTGTGGTGCAGGGATAGTATGTGACTTACCTAACTGTAGCACTTAAAGCCTAAAGCAAAATTTAGTTTGTTTGTCAATTACATTGAAGGCTAGGGCTGGGCGATATGGCCTCAAATCAATATCACGATATATTGAGCAGTTGACCTCGATAATGATGAATTTGCGATAACTACTCCACAAGCTGCTAATCCCCTCCCATTAACTTCGTCTACTTCAGCCACCACTCCAACTTTTGAACCGTCCTCCATCTCCTCACCTGTCTTTCCCTCTTTGTTACGGGCTGGATGGGGTGGAGTCACGTCTCAGACATAGGACAGCGTCTTGAAGGGACATGAGACCATAGCCTACCTACACACATCCAAAACCAACCTTTATTTTATTTATTTTTTTTGACACCAAATATATTGACATGGGCAAAATGACGTCAGTTATTGTCGCAAATTTTCGGTTTATCGCCCAGCTCTAATTATGGCATTTAGACTCTGAGACATCTTAGAGAAGTTAAGTAAAGGAAGAATGTATGTGAACACCATAAGCTTTATCTACACCTATCATAGCAAGAGAGGAGAAAAGAAAAATAATGACATAAAGGAGTTGGAGGATTAAAAAAAAGAAGATGTTAAATGTGTGGCAATAGCGGTAGAAGGAAAGATAGATGGGATGCAGCGAGTCAAGTGTGACCTGATGGATGTGCAGGAATGAGAGTTTGGACAGAGATAAGAGCGGAGAAAAATGTAGAGAGTCTGGAGAGATATGAAAGAGGAATAGAGAAGAAAAACAAAGGGATAACAAAAGAATGATAAGAGGTGGATGGAGAGAGAGAACAGAAGCTGCACCTTTATCTAATTTATTAATGATGGAGCCACTTAGCCTGTGGATGTGAGTGACAGGGCTTTTTAATGAAGGTGACACTCATCAGACCTCATTTTTACATCAGTGACCAGTCTGTGCTCGATGTGCAGAGGAAATCAGAAGAAAAGAGTGAAGTGGAGATGATGAGTCGGGAAATAAGCAATAGTTGTGTGTGGGTCTTTTTGCCAAAAAAAAGGAGACATAATGGGTTCACAGACCATAGAAATAATAATTAAAAAAAAAATCAAGTTATGCTACCCAAGAATTTGAAAGCCATATATGTAGGAAATGTCAAATCTTGAAAAATCTTGAAAGATTTGTACTATTTTTGTGACAGGTTAGAGGGAAACATTGCATCATTGTCATTTTATTTTTAATTTTACAGTCACTCTACTTTATTTTGCCCCCAAATTCACAAAGAAAATAACTGAAAAACCTGAAAATTCAGTTTGATTCAGTGGGACTCAATTTGATTTTGATTCTTGACATCACAATTAAATTCAAAATCTCATGTTGTAACCTAGAAGGTGCCTATTTCAGGTTTGTTTTGGTTTTAGTATAATTTAGTAAATTATTATATGACCTTTAATCAAAAAATGTTTGAGTTTATAAACCTTCTATTGAGTTACATTTACTGACTATTAGTGGGAATTCTTAGATTCTGTTTCACAAGAACAAGCTGCTTGCACTGGAGCTGCTGAGCTGTCAAAGTATCCCAACCAGTGAAGGATACTCAGACTGACAACATGTCAGGTGTTTGAAATAAAAACAGGTAGAGTTAGCCAGGAGTTTGGTACAGTGGTGGGATGTGTGTTGGTCATTTGTTGTTGATTAAAATTCTACTTCTTCAGACTCTCTGCTGGAAAAACTGTGCTGGAAAAGGCCAAACAAACAGCTGTAGTCACAGGTAAAACACACAGAAGTCGGCATTTTCAACTAGCAGCAAAACACTCAAGGTACCTCGGCTAATGTACTGTGTGAGATGCAGGAACAATCTGGCAGTGGAGAGGCTTCTGAGTAGAGCTGAAGAGCTGCTGGTGATTGCAGTGATTGTGTGCAGGTGTGAGTGTGCAGGGAGAGCGAGTGCAGGAGGGAACCACCCAATCTCTGTGAAAAGAGGACAAACAGACTCCACACAAGGAACAAATCCAGAATTCAACAAAATAAAAACCAAAAATATTGCAACGGTACGACTATTAAGACTTATCTGTGATGCATGTGTCCATCTCTGCCATGAAACACTGCCCATGTGTGTTCAAGTGTAAACCTAATGCAGCTCTGTGGAAAAAAACATGCTCAATCAATCACACTGCTGCAGCCAGTCAACCCAATATTGTGGAGTTGCAAAATTTTTCCCACACTGTTCAAGTAGAGACGATTGATTGATATAACCAATGAAGAAATGTATTTAACATCCTGGTAAACACTAGGAAAGGTGCATGTTGCTGTAACGAAAAAAAAAAAATCTCGAGGGCTATTTCCTCCTTTTTGCATCCCTCATTTTCATTCACCAAAAAATAAGCCATTTAAAATGCTGGATGCAGAGTCTGGCATTGGTTGCGTTTTCCATTGTCTCAGTTTTACATCAGATTCCCAGAATTAGAAAAAGCACAAACAATAGGTTGATTGGAAGGGAAGGGAATTATATTTTGTTTATTCGGAGGAGCACAAACATTACTGCCTCACAGTTTTTTGGCACCCATGTCTGCGGCTCAGTTGGTTAATTAAACTTCTGAAAGACTTTCATAGAAACACAGACACATACACACACACACACAGGCACGCACAAATACACTCACAGAGGCACGCACACATACACTCACAGAGGCACGCACACACACACTGTCTGGAATAGAGACAAGGCGCAGCAGAGTCCCTCCAATAACAGTCAAGGACACACGGAGCAGACATGATTATCCTGTAACTCTCTGGCTATAAATCTGGACTGCTAATGAACAGAAACATCACTCATTCACTCTAAGATCCCTTCTCTTTACATTTCTTGTCTCTGTTACTTTTTTCCATTTTTATATACTGGACATTTACATGTTCTGTCTTAGTCTTGTTTATTTTTGCATAGATATCCTTTTCTGTTTTCATGTTGTCAGTCACTACATCTTCCTACTTTTCTTTTCTTGTCGTACTGCACAGCAACAGTTCAAACAGAAACGTGCAAGTAATTCTCTTTCAAACATCTGGAAAAAGACCCAGTCCACTAGTGTTTTATTGCCTCAGACAGTCCCACAATAATGACATAGCATGTATTTAAATCTGAGACCCATTATCAGACACCTACATTAAAAGATGTAACGCTGAATATTCAATTATGTTACAATTGAAGCTGGAGGTGTTGTTGTGAGGTGAATTTAAGAACGTCCAGGGTTAGGAGGCTGAGGTAGGAGGTTTCACAGTTATTTCTGTTGTTCCTCTTTAACTAGATCTAGTGTAAGTTTGCACAACCTCAGTCTGACTTTGAGCAAGATTTTACCCTCTCCTTATGTGTGTGTTTGTCTGTGTGAGTGTGTGTGTGTGCGTCTGTGCGTGTGTGAGTGTGCACTCAAGTGTATGTCATGTTGCCACAGGTTCAGACCGTCTGTTAGACAGAGGTCACCTCCTGCCAGCAGCATCTGGGCAGAGAGCATGAAACACATGGGCTATTACGCACACATACACACGCACACACACACACGCACACACACACTTGCACTGACAAACATGAATTTGCACATCTATTTACGTTTTTTCTCATACTTACCCATGCACAGTCAGATAGGGGTTGGTTTATTTTTTACCCTCTATGTGTCCTTGTGGCTGGTGAGTTATTTTGCTTCTGCCTCATCCAGGTAGTTAACTCTTGTCAGATATGGAGAATCTGTATTTTCTGCCCTAAGTTCAAAGTAGACATTTAGGAAAACTTATGGGAAGAAGAAAAAATTAATAAAACTAATGCTGTAAATTGCCGCTGGGGCAGTGTGTCCTTTGAAATTATGGTCTGGTATCTTTCCCTGCTTGTCCTCACCCTTCTGAGTGATTCTATAAATCTCTTGTACTTGGATGTAAACAAGCATCTCATCATATAGCTTTTTCTTTGTATTTGTGATCTGGTAATGGACAGAAAGTTGCATGGAGCCTGGCATATTACCAGTCATCTGGAGTAATATCCAGCACAGGCATGATGGCTTGGAGGTGTTAGCAGGTAGGGCTGGGCGATAAACTGAAAATTTACCAGTGCTGAAATTTACGGCAATAACCAACGTCATTACCATGTCAATATATTTTGTGTCAAAAAAATAAAAATAAATAAAAGTTGAAGACGTGACTCCTCTCCATCAGGTCTGTAACAAAGAGGGAAAGACAGGTGAAGAGATGGAGGACGGTTCAAAAGTTGTAGTGGCTGGAGCGGCGGCTGAAGTAAACGAAGTTGTGGGAGGGGGTGAGCAGCTTGTGGAGTAGTTATCGTCCATGTATCGTTATCGAAGTGAATTGCCCAATATATCGTGATATTGATTTAAAGCCATATTGCCCAGCCCTATTAGCACTGCTAATGTTTACCACACTCTACAAACCAAATTGACATCTTGTCCTGCCGACATTGTGATCCTGAGTTTAGCTTATTTAGGGAACTTGTAGGTCAGTTTGTGTGTCAGAATGTGAATTTCCATTCATACGCTCATTTTGATTGATATTTTGATCACAGTTGTATTGCACAATTACTTACTTAAAACTCCTTAAAACTTGAACATGCTAAACTCTTTCAAAAACAAGTAAGGTCTGACGGTCGTTCGTTTATTGGCGATCATTTCAATCAGCTGTCACCTTTCTCTATCAGAGAGAAGTCCTCCACCTGCATGCTCCACCAAGAGACTTGTGAGGAAGTCCAAAAAAGTCACCTAGACCTTAACAACCTGAGAGTTGTCTTTAGTTTTCTATGTGTACAAGCAGCTTCAGTCTGGCTTTGGTCTTCTGCAGAGTCTATTTTTCTTTTCATGCTCCACTTCTGGCCTGTAAGGGAAAGAAAATCAAACCCCTTTTTAGGTCTTTGCAGTGGTAGGAAAACACATTACCCCTGTACCATCTGTTTGGTCTGGGTATTATTAAATAAAACAATTAACCCTCTCCCTCTTACTTTCTGTCTCTCCTCCAGTAAATTGCTGTCATCTCTCGCTGCTGTTTTATCCCTCGGCTGCTGCTGGAGGTTTTCAAAAAGCTCTGTCCATCCGTCTGGCTCATTATCCATAATTTGTGCCCAGACCTTATCTCCTCTACTTGGAGCGGAAACACTGCATTTCTTACTGCACTGTTACTGCCTCTAACCTCTCCCCCCAATCAGAGTCAACATTTATTCATAAGCAGCTGAAGGCCAGTGTAAAAAGCAATGCACTCTTCCCTGATACGCCATGCCTGGTTTAACCATTGATTTTTTTTTCCACCAGCTCTTTAGATCCTCTTATTTCTTCCCTTTCCTTACAGTTTTTTCCTCCATTTTCTTTGAGTTTTTCTCACCAACTAGCTTTCAAATCAGTTCACCAATTCGTCTATTTTCTTCCACTTTTACTTTCTCAGTTCTCTCTCTTTTCTGCACTCTCTTTCTCTTTCTATTTGTTTAATTAGGTCGCTGATGGTCCTGTGATGTTAGGACTGAATAGAGAAGCTGTCACAGGAGCTCAGTGCTGGATGGCTGCCTCCTCCTTCTCCCCTTTATCGCTCCCTCTGTCTCCCTCCTCTCATAAACAACAGATATACACAGTCCTACTCGCAGTGGGAGATATGGCATCACACTCGAGGGGTTGAGTTGCAAAACTGACTTGAAATTACCATGAACTTGTAAGAGATTGCATTGTTGAAGAAAGATAGTATTTCACAGTTTAATGCAAATTAAAATAAAAATAGTTGTCAATAAAGTTTGGCTGCAAAAAATCAGAACAAAGAGTGTAGTGTACTCTCTCCAAGCATTAGCATTTTAGAGCTACAGTTATCCATTGTTCACATGAGGAAAACAAATTAATTATGGGCATCTTTTGCTTTCTAGATTCTCCTATTGTGATGTTTTGTTTTGTTTTTTTTACACTGCATTGTTTCAGCTATGAGGAAACAGACAGGTCAACAGTAAATGTGGCGAGTCAAAGGGGTAGTTTCACATGTAAACGTCGCCTCCATCTCTGCAGGTTTACAATGCGGCCATAAAGGAAGTTCACGCTTGCATGAACTGTTTCAACAGGTGCGTCAACAGGGGTGTCACACTCACACTTTAACCACACTGTAACATCACTGTCAGCTCCAATTCCTTTTTACACAGGAAAGAGAACCGTGAGTGAAAAAAAGGAAATATTTAGTGTCAATGTTCTTGTGCTTGTAAAGGTGTTATTTTATGTCGTGGTTGTGTTTTAGTTCAGTATGCCTCCTGTTGCTTTTTGCAAACTGCTGTGAAGAGCTATAAAGTGAAGAAATGGCAGCAGTGTTTACGTGAAACAGCAGTAAAAACTCCCGGCAGGATCATTATTTATGAAATATTACAGCTATGGCGAGGCCTTGAAATACAGTTACTCTGAATAGTGGCCTCACAAACCCAGTGTGCCTTATTTGCTTACCTATCTTCTGTTTGTTTGTCTTCTCTCTGGGTGCATTTACATTCTGTGACCTTGCTTAGTAACTTCTCTTATTGTCCAGTGTGTTTCTTTCTGTCTGTCAAGTTAATTAGCGTCTGCTGTCTAGTTGAATTGTTTTGGTGCAGCTCACACTACTAACCCCTGTAACCTTTTAATAGAGGAAGTAAAATCTGCTACTTCAAGCTGAACATCCTCCTGACGCTCTGCAGCACTTCTTCTTCAGCCCTGACCTACAAATACAAAGAGGAGTTGAACAAAATGGTTCAAGTTTTAAAGAAACTTCTGAATGATGTTGTAACCTCTAAACGCACGTCTCTTTTCATTATTTCTCTTTTTGCCGCTCTCTCTCTCTCTTTCCTCATCTCGTCTCGGTTTGTAATCAGGCCTGTCTCTGTCTTTCATTTTCCCACCTCCTCATTGAGCCCTCTGTCCCAGTTGTCTGGTAGTGATTTGACAGATGGATGGTGCATTGATTACCAGGCTTTGATCTGCTGTCAATCACTTGTTGGTCCAGCCTGCTCAGCACACAGACACAGGAGACTATGTGTGTTGATCACATCCCTTTTCTACCCGTGATATCTTTTTTCTTGAGAAGACACTTAGACATGAAATGAGACAACTAGAGGGCTTCAATTTGCAAAGGTAGAAAGCTTAGACGTAAGTTGGAAGAAACTTACATCGTATTTGTTAATTAACAGGTTTTTGTTGCTCTAAATGAAGCTAACAGATCTCCATAGCCTATTTTGTGTACAAAGTAGAAAACCAAAGTACATCTCCTTCTTGTTTATGCCATCCATCTGCCAAGATATAGTCCCACTTGGACAACTTCAACAGTAAAGCATGTTAACTAACATGTGTTTGTGTGCATTGGAATATTATGCATCCAGATTATATGCATCTCTGTGTCTCTAACTTTAAATTTTGGGTCAAAATTTTCACTCAAAAAGCAAAACTCTCCAGGTGATATAGGACTACTGCATCATACTAGGGCTTGGCGATAAGGCCTCAAATCATTATCAAGATATATTGAGCAGTTCACCTCTGATGCAGCCGCTACAACTTCTGAACCGTCCTCCATCTCCTCACCTGTCTTTCCCTCTTTGTTACGGAGTCACGTCTCTGATGTAGGTCAGCATCTTAAAGGGACATGAGACCATAGCCTACCTACACACATCCAAAACCAACTTTTATTCATGTATTTGACACCAAATATACAGATATGGGCAAAATGACATTTATCGCCCAGCCCTACATCATTCGGTTGACCATAGTAGCTACGAAAACATTCATTTTTCTAGGCAAATTTTTGAAAATATTCCTTTGAAACACTGTCATGTTTCATTTGGGGCGGCAGTAGCTGAGGAGGTAGAGCAGTCATCCAATAACTGGAAGGTCGGCGGTTCGATTCCCCCCTATCCCCAGTATGTTTAGTCCTTGGGCAAGACACTTAACCCGCTTTTCTCCCAGTGTGTGTGTCCCCCACTGGTGTATAATTGTGAGTGATGTTTGGTGGTGGTTGGAGCGGCTGTTGGTGCAAACTGGCAGCCACGTTTCCATCAGTCCGCCCCAGGACAGCTGTGACTACTAAGGTAGTTTACCACCACCAGGGTGTGACTGTGTGAGTGAATGAATGATGTATCCAATGTAAAGAGGGTTTCTATATAAAATCTGATGACGCATTATTTGAATACCATCCTAACCTGTGCATGCCAACTCCTCCAAATATCTGTATCATTGTCCCCCTCTGATACACATCTGTTATTTATAACCACAATCCAGATTATGTCCCACATGTGTTCTCACCATGTGAACAGTAATCAATACCTCTTCAGTTTTTTGAGTGTGATCCTTTCCCTGCAGGCATGACTGACCCAGTAGCCTGGTTTCACTCATATTTCAGCTATCACTGACATAGATAGACGTGTGCAGGAGAAAGCTGCTGATCTTTGACGTACTTAGGCTGAATTACATCTGTAGAAAATATATTATGCACTTAATCAATTAATTGGATCTCGCTTTTGTTAAACATCAACATGGTGATTTTTTTTATAACTCTTATTTTATAAAGAACTGCTGTTGTTCTTCAAAAATCAGTATTCATATATCAGTGTTTCACTTTAGGGTTTATCTGGTTGTATGCACGTGTCTTTCTCCTCCTGATGTAGTGTAGTGGGTTAGTGTAACACAAAATTTAAACTTTAATGATGCACACATGTATTTTTCATCTCCTTCCTAAAAAACGGTTGTGTTTGTCCTGTATTTTCAATCACACGCCCTCAATCTTATTTATTCATGGGCACACTTTTTCTGTCAACACCAGCAAACTCGAGATAGCACTAAAAATGATTCTGTAGATTTCAGGCCTTTTGGTCTCACTCGCTTAATTGCTTGCCTAAACTTTCAATGACCCCATCCTCTCAACGCCTCTGCTGCCTTCATTGTCATCGTGGTGAATTTTACAAAGTAGTGCAGTTAGTTCTTGCGTGTTGTCAGGTTTCAGGCTCTGTAATAGATCTCTGTCTCAAATATGCTCCTCTCAACCCTATATAATGATTGAGGTTAGACATGGTAGCTAAAGCGTAATGAGAGGTTAGTAACTGATTAAAGATCTGTATAAATTTGATCTATGAATGTGTCACTATACTGTTCCAGTTGTCTCATCCATGGCATTTTTAAAACTGGTGGGTCTGTAATTATGTGGTGCAGGAATCAAGCATGCTGTGCAGTTCTCGGCACTGAAAACAAGGTAATGTTAGGCCAGAGCAGGAATGGGAGCGCTGATGGCCAAAGGGTTTGAAATGAGGTCAAACAAGACATTGAGATGACGTGTGGCAATGTATCATATACTGTATGTGGAAATCACATGCAAATTTATGCACCTAAATTTGCAGTGTCTCTGTCGTTTGTTTAAAGTCTGCACGTATACAAGAGTAGCAGCAGAGCTGTTGGCATTCACGGTGCCTGGCCTAAATAAGCAGCCTACCAACCCACTGCCCCTGAAGAGCATCCCTCGTTTGTTTTTCTAAAGCTCCTTCTGCTCTCCTCTCTCTCCCTCTTTCTGTTGTTTAGTCTGCAGGCCTTCTCTATCTCCTCTCTCTCTCGCTTGATCTATCTCTCCTCCTACCCTCGTCCTCTCTATCATTCGTCTTGCTGCATTGCGAACCCCCGGCAGCTGGTTGAGCGTCCCCACAGAGCTGTTTCAGCTGAACTCTGCAACACTCACATTTGTTAGGTTTGTGTTTTTAATGTTTTTTTGTTTGTGTGCAGGATTTTAACACTGGACATTTGAAGATGCGTGTGTTTGTGGAGTATGATATGGATTCTCAAACATAACCTGCTCTTTGGCTCTCAGCTTCATCCCTAACACAACGGGAACTATTGTCATGATGTCTTCCCTTTTTCTCATTGGCATTTACATAACAGTGTTAACACTTTGTGAAAGCTTGTGGTTAAAAAAAGTAGCTCTTGTTTCATAGCTATGTGCTACTGTCTGAATGAGGCAGGTAGACATGAATAGAATTGTAAATGGCTTCTTTGAAAAGGGGTAGAGGCCAGCCCTCCAACAAATTGCACATAAACAAATAGCCTCAGGCTATTGGCTGAGCCGTGGCCAACATCCTTGAGAAGTGACGGAGAAGGAGAGGGAGACAGGGAGAGGGAAAGGAGACTACAAGAAGGGTGCATTCCTTTCCACATAATAAGGTTTTATTTGGCATCATATCACTCTCCTCCTCATCTTTTTATTTTTTGCCTCATTACCCCATCAACACAAAAGCACTTACATGGAGCATCAGGACTTGAGCAGTAAGCAAAGTATGACTCATGAGATTAACACTGAAGCGATCAAGCAGAGGAGAGAGGGAGGGAAGGAGGGAGAGTGCAGAGAGGCAATAAGTTCACCGACATTTTCTTGTAATTTTAGCAGGATTATGTGTTGGCCGAGGTACCACCTTCTTTTAAATATAAGTAGGACAACAGCAGCATGAGAGACAGGGAAGTTCTTAGATGATGATAGGGATGTCGTACGATCATAAGATGTTTTCAGTCAAACACAGAATGTTATCTAATTGTGTTTTTCCCTCTATCCCATAACACGCTTTGTACTACTTTTGTGTTCAAAAGACACTTGTGTGATTTTACAATGAACATTAACAGTGAAGCTCCTCTTCCACAAGGTGTGCACTCTTCTGTGCAAAACAGAGCACAGGTAGTGCATGCATATTACATGTGGTTTTGCTCCTCCTTGAACTACATGTACCCATGGCATGCAGCTCAAATGAAACCAGGTCATCTAGTTATCCTTGTAGAGAATATATCAGAGTACAGTTGGTGGAATTTTTGAAGAAATTATGTGAGACATTAAAGTAAAAAATCCTCACTCATTTTTGTAACACGATAGACTCTCAATAATAATAAGGTCGATTATTTTTAATTCAAAATATCTTATAGAACTGGGAGGCACCACATGTTTTTAAAAACTTTAATTGGAAACCCAGGCCTTTCCAGCGCTGTCTTTTATTTTGTTTTCGGATAAGAGAGCCAGGTCAGACTCTGACTGAAATAGGCACAATTTAAAGATACGGGTTGGGTAGTAAAGCTTGGACCGGCAGCTGAAAGAATGATTGAAATGCCCGGCGGTCGACAGAGCTGAGATAAGAGCTGAAAGAGGAATAATGATAAACACTGTGAAGAGCCCACTCTCTACGTTTATTTCAAACTTCTCTTAGAGGAATAAGTCGTGTGCTTATGCCGAATGTTTAAGGTCTGTGAAATTATTTAAAAATATGGAGAAGCTTTGCTGAATATATTGGGAAGAAATAAGGAACTCCACAAGCTGCTCACCCCCTCCCACATTAACTTCGTCTACTTCAGCTGCTACAACTTTTAAACCGTCCTCCATCTTCTCACCTGTCTCTCCCTCTTTTTTACGGACTGAATGGGGTGGAGTCACGTCATCTCTGATGTAGTACAGCGTCTTAAAAGGGACATGATACCATAGCCTACCTACACACATCTAAAACCAACTTTTTTTTTGACACCAGTATGGGCAAAATGACATCAGTTATTGTCGTAAATTTCAGTATAAGTAAATTTTCATTTTTTTCACCCAACCCTAACAGTTACTCTCTAGTTAATTTTTCCCTGTGCATATGTACCATAAGTCTTGTTCTCTTGCGGTTCAAAAGTTGTAGCGGCTGAAGTAGACGAAGTTAATCTGGGGGGGGCTTGAGCAGCTTGTGGAGTAGTTATCGTCCATTTATCGTTATTGAGGTGAACTGCTCAATATATCGTGATATTGATTTGAGGCCTTATCGCCCAGCCCTAATCACTCATTAGAAATCTATGCTGTGGACAAATAAAATTGGACCAATTCTTTAGCATCCATTTCATCAACTTGTCTTACACCTACCTCCACCAGTGTTTCTCAGAGATTTTAACCTTTCTGCTAATTGTCTTTATGACAAGAGAAACCTTAGTATAAGTTTCAGATTGTTTCGTAAGCAAACAAAAACTTTTTACAGATTTTTATTGATAAAACTCTCACATTTGCCCCCTGTGAATCTATAAAAACAGCTTCTTCATGAAACAATAGAATTTCTAGTTTGAAGTCTTTTTTGTTTTAGGATGTGTTTTGTTCTCTGTCTGCAGCCAGAGTAGTCTCATCATCTAGTGTTTTGAGCAGAGGTTCAGCTATCATTTTTTAATAGATATCTACAGCGTACAGTCAGATCTGAAAAGTTTTTCCAATACTCTGTGTCCATTCTCGCTCCTAGTGTAGCTAACTTGATTGTGAACAAAATCCATGCATGGACAGCATTTCACCTAAAAAAAGCTAATGAGCAACAAGTTATCTTTACCAATTGATCAGTTGGTTATAACTAAAATACTTGGACACCGCTGTAACATATTTTGGTCCAGCTTTATTGGTGTTTTTACACTGCAGATAGAAATTGCTTCTTGACTGATTTGACTGCTTCCACTGAGTGACATTAACAATAAATGTCTTTGGCTACTTTGCCCAAACCTCTCCCCTTCTCTCTGACTCCTCCACCCCCTTTTCTGTTCTTTTTTTGTGCGTCTCTTTTCTCTCCGACCCGTCTTGTTCAATCTGCTGCATCACTGAAGACAAACTGTTTGGGTTAAAGTGACAACAATCCCCTCCTCCCTGCTCTCCTCAGCCCACACAGGCTCTAACCTCTCTACAGCAGGGACACAACACAGAGGCAGGCAGGACTTCATATGCAAATATAGCCTGAGTGGGCGGCAGCAGGGAGCAGAGTGTGCAGCAATGTGAGGACTCTCGCAAACCCCGCCCACAGAAGCTAGTTGCCTAGCAACCACCCGCAAAGGGGAAGGAGGGAAGGGAGGAGGAGGGGCCATGAATTCAACAACTGTTGCCTGATCTGAGCTCTGTGTGTGAATGCAAGTCAGCCGGCAAACCAGTAAGCGAGAGAGGGAAAGAGTGTGAGTGTGTGAGGTCCAGAGTCTGTGCTTGTGTTTTCTGTGAGTGTGTGTGTGTGTGAGCGGGTGTGAGAGAGAGCGAGAGAGAGAGAGAGAGAGAGTGAGACAGTCTCTCACAGAAGCCAGGCAGCCGGTGCTGTTTTTTTTAAAGTGAACGATCCTGCTCTGCTTCCTTGCCTCTCTTTGGATTATACCATAAACAGGGACTCACCCTTTGGACTATCCCGACGCTTCCTCCTCCCTCTCCTGCTGCCTTTGAAGGGAACACCTGTATTGTGAGAGAGTGTGTGTCTGCGTGTGCACGAGCAAAGACAGCGGACTTATCCCCTGGTGAACGGGGCGAGTGGATGACTTCAGTGGATGAGGGTTTGGCTGGTGGAACGAGGGGGACTGCTGACCATGGACTCCCCTCCTCACTAGTAAACGGGGTAAGCAACCAGACTGCACCCAACCGGCTGGAAAAGGGGGCTGATGAAAGTCAATTTGACAGAATGAGAACAATGTAGCGACGTGACTCTACAGGGAGATGTGAGGTTGTTGTGAAAGAAAAGAGGAAATCGGAGGTAGTTTGATTTAAAAGGGGGGAGACTGGCGGGTTAAAAAATGAGCTGTGCAGAGTCTATTGTCCCCCACTTTGTGTTTGAATGTTTGCGTGTGTGTTGCATGTAGTTGACCCTGCCTCACAGCTTCCCTGTCTGTGTCTGTATCTGTCTGTCTGTCTATCTTGATCAGCTGTTGGCCTGTGTATCTTCACACTGCACCGTCCTGTCACTTCTTCTTTCCAGTACCCCCTTCTTATCACGTTCTCTCCCTGCATCAGCCGCTGCTGCTGGCTCTGTTTTGCTTCAACATCCATCTGATGGTAATGAGATTAATTGGGGAAAGCAGGGAAGCTGGAAATAGAGATGTTGTGATCAAAAGGCATGTGCAACAGAGAGCATGCTCAGCTATAGAATTAAAGACAGTGGAAGAATATCAATCCAAGTACAACAAGTTTTCTATCTATCAGGACGGTGGATTCAATTTTGCATGGGAAGATGTTTTGGTTATAGTTTGCCATATGTGTTTTTAACAATGTCAGTCATAATATATAAACATCAAGCTTTCCCATTCTGTTTATTCATAGTTCTCTTTTAAACAGACCCACACTGAAAACACATTAGTTGTACTACATAGAAAGGATTAGTAAAAAAAATACACTCGTCTATAAAAAGGTTTTGAATATTTTTGTCTTCTTAGGTAATGACACAGAAATATTTCATATTGACACGCCACCCACAGTATTCAAAAGTCTAAAAATGTGAAAATACAACAGATACTTCCTGTGTTTTGAACGCCCTCTAATAGTCATCGCCTAGTCCAAAAGTAGACACACAAGGTGAGTTTTGTTTGTATTGAAGTGTCTTCAATAGCAACCGGTGACGTCAGACTCCACAGTGGTTTTGAATACTCCTGGTCTGTGACTGGACATTACATAATGGGATTTAGTCTTCTTCAGCCAACAGCAAGTTCTCTGATGATTGTCCAGGGTCCAAAACATTCCTGAAAGACTTTCGTCGTCCGCCCAAATCATTTGCGTATTTGTGTATAATTACCTCAATGTGATTTTTTATTTACTTGCTTTAGTTTTGTACCTTAACAAGATTGACTCTCAGCCAAGTGTCTCTGTCCACGCACAGTATGTACACCAAGACTAGAATAACTAGATTAGCACGCAGTACTGAGCCGTACTGGATGAATGGAGGTTAATCCCTACCAGGTAAAACACTCACTCTCTCTCTCTTTCTTTTTCTTTTTTGTATTATCTAATACATTCAAACTGAGTGTCACATGAAGACAAAACAAGCATTAACACTTTCCGATGTACTGTCGCTTTAAAGCCAAATGCTTTCTTTTGCAGCGGCTCTTTTTCCTTTAAGAAAATTAGTTATTGCTAGCATAGAGAAAAAAAACAAAACAAAAACATTTGAATCACAAAGTTTACATTCAACAGCTTACAAGAGGCAGAGAAGGGTCTCACCACCTGCTGTGGGCCAGCTACTAATAACACAAACGCCTCCATTCAACAGGCAAGAGCATCAGGGCGGTCAAACACCCGCCTGAGAGGAGGACAAAGCACTTTGTTAAAGAAAGACAGCGAGGAGCTTTCTTTTCTTTCCTTTTTTTTTATCAGGGCTGGACATGAGTTTGGAGGCTTGGAGTAGACACTGGACACATGCTTTGGCTGTGAGACAACAGACTTTAGCTATGAATCACACAGAATAGTTTAATTTCTTTGTGCCATTGCCTTTTAGTCAGGTTGTTTGTGCTTTCCCACGAGGAGGAGTCTTATGATATGATTAATGAAAACCTTACCAGCAGATCAGTAAACTGTTGACCTTTGATAGATCAGTGAGGAGTGAAAAAATGTTTACGTTCAAGCTCTTTGGAGATTTGGAAATCTTTGAAGTAAAATTGCTGTTTGCTGCATTCAGACTTGGGCCCGAACTACACGTATATAGATATTTATTTATCAGGATATTTTTGTACTCCCGTCTAAATAAATGTACCTGTCCACACGTGTTAGTTCTCAAAAATATCTGCGTCCACACGTAGCCTTCAAACTCAATCCTATCTGGTGCCGCTTAGAAAAAATTCAGGAACAAAGCTACCTGATTGGCCGATGAATCGTAACAGCGTGATGCGTCATGCATTGTTTGCGGAAGCTACGTTAGTGCGTCTGACTGGTGGATGTAATTGTATAAAACAAGGTTCACTTGCAAGGCTTAAATTAGCCCCAGAAGGGCAAAACAAACGTAAAGAATACCCTGTATGTCCGCCATCGTTGTTGTTGTTTTTCTTTTTGCGCGAGCTGCGTTTGACGTCATCGATCCGTAAAAGTTCAGCCACACGAATCCGCTTATACAGATATTTTTTTATTTCCCCACTTGTTTTTTTCGGATTCAGATTTATCCGGTTTGAGTGTTCCAAACTCCCGTTTTGGTGTGGTAGGGAGGCCAAATCGGACATAAATATGTGCGGTTTGAAATATATCCGCATTCGTGTAGTTCGGGCCTAATAAAGACTAAAAATAACCATTGATTGTTTTTAAGTGACTTGAAACATTGCCGACAAACTTGTGACCACAGGTTGATTCCCGTAGGTTGTGTCGACTTCCTTGTTTTGAGGTAAAACAGCAGCGTGTTTTTGTCCAAACAGACCTCAGAGTTCAGGACAGGTGGATGATAACTCCAGTATAAACAAACTAATAAGAAAAAACAGGAAAGGGAGATAATAGAAAGTTGGAGCACCCTACTGTTGGGTTTTTAGTGCATACACCAATCAACATCAATCATTTTGTTACTTTAAATGTTTTAAAAGACTTTCACACGTACACAAGAACACAGAAACAGGTTCAACATTCACTTTGTTTGTCTCCCACAACCACACATTGACACAGTGACACACATAAATGCGCATGAAGAGCACTGAATAAACATGCATCTATATCTGTCAACACAGTGGTTGCTCTGTATGCAGCTCTATGATCTTCAATCAATGGAGCTAAATTGACATGTCATGTTCCCATGAGTTATGTTGTTGTTGTTGTGTAAAGATACTTTTCACTCATTGGGGAATTCACACGGGAACACAGACAATAAGCAGAAGAACGCTGTATTAACTGGTAATGAAGGATGTATTTCAAGTTGTCCTTGTTAAACGGGCCAACGGTTTATACCCACACCCATACGCGCTGGCAATGTAGCTGGAAACGCTTCACTCAATTCTTAACCACTGACCTGAAATATCACCACTACCTCATTTTAACCCTTTACCTTCAACTTAAATCTAATCTGGAGGTTAATCTTCCCTCTTAATCCACATTTTTACCTCTAAAAACCCCATGGAGTCTGGGCTGGCTACAGGTTATTTGAGCTCTTTAATGGCGTTTCAGTTTCCGTGAAATCCAGACTTAGAGCTGAAAGTCACAGTCACATGCACTGTTTGGTTTCTTAGGGGTTTCCTGTGTGTATATAAGCAGGGTTTCATTGAGAAACTCTCACACAGTCCCCAGTGTGCTGATCCAGTCCCTCCCTATACTGTCCTTTGTGCAACAGCATTCCTGGTAATCCAATCAGCTACCTGTTTCCCTTGAGACTCAGGTGGAGGCAAATGTGTGTGTGTGCATGTGTGTTTGTGTATGATTGAAACTTTCACAGACCAGTCTAGGCTTATCTATGTTTTTATAGACATGTATTTTTGTGTGTCAAGCTGCAGTGAAAGCCAGGCTGTTTATTTTTCACTTTGACTAAAAGATGAATGAGCAGGGAGCAGCAGAGGCTTTATTCAAACGTTCTCACTCTGGGGAGTCTCAGGTGTTTTCATACTGAGTGTTAGTTTGTGTGTCTGTGTGTGTGTGTGTCATTTGCTAAAGCCTATTAGTTTCTCACACTGTTGACTTAACAAAATGTTCTGAGTTATGAGTCATTACTTCCCTTCCGTGTGTGTGTGTGTGTGTGTGTGTGTGTGTGTGTGTGTGTGTGTGTGTGTGTGTGTGTGTGTGTGTGTGTGTGTGTGTGTGTGTGTGAATGCAATCTGTGCATGCTTCAGAAGAGAATTGCTCACCACTGAAGTTGGATTATTCAGACATTTAAGCTGGTAAACACACACACACAAGCACACAAAAGAGATGTGTTTGCTTCCCCTTGCCATGAAAGTGTCTAAAACTGTCCATGATTCACATTGATGAACTCAACTCAACTTTATTTGTAAAGGACTTAAAAACAACCACAGCTGAACAAAGTGCTGTACATAAAAAACAATCAAAAAACAATAAAAACAACAGATAAAATAAAAGCTGATGTTAAAAAGTAAAATATACTTTCAATGTTTTTAAAAACTAATTTAAAACAATAGAAACAAATAACTAAAAACAAACCATAAAACACTAAAACAGGAGCAGAGTCTCATGCAGGGTTGAAAGCCAATGAATAAAAATGGGTTTTAAGACGAGTTTTAGAAATGGACAGTGTGGGGGCTTTTCTGATTTGGAGGAGTAGCTCGCTCCATAATTTTGGGGTCTCAACAGAAAAAGATCTATCCCCTCTGAGCTTCAGTTCACCGAGCAGGGGTGTAGGGTGGAGAGGCTCACAGAGGTAAGATGGAGCCAGACCATTTAAAGATTTAAAAAAAAAAATAAAAGAATCTTAAAATGAACTCTAAAATGCACGGGTAACCAGTGGAGGGAGGCCAGGATGGGAGTAATGTGCTCCTTCTTACGTACTCCAGTTAAGAGCCGGGCGGCTGCGTTTTGTGCTAACTGGAGATTTGAGAGGGAGGACTGGCTGACTCCAAAGTAAAATGCGTTACAGTAATCCAGCCGAGATGTAACAAAGGCATGGATTACATGCAAGGAAAGGCTTGCATATTACATATGATCAGCATTTTACACCAATAATTACTAATATGTTTACCTGTGGGGTTGCAACTAGCCTAGATTTCCTTTATAAATCACCTTGAACTGATTCATTTTCTCAATGGGTGGCCTTATTTGACATTGATGTCAATGCAGATTTACCATTGTCAAAGTTGGCATCACATTGGATTTAAAATTATACATGAGAGAAAGAGGTTACAGATCCTTACTTTTCAGAAGCAAGAGTTTGCAAATATTTTGCATCTTTTGCTGTATTAATGTCTTAGATGATTGACAAATCAATAAAAAACTTAAACTTCCTACTTTCTCTGGCTTCGTCTTTTGGGGCTCCGCAAAGCCTCTTATGTTCTCCCATTTCAGAGATCCTTACCCTGTGGTGGGATCAGAAGCTGAGAATGACAGAAGCCCCCACTGATAACAGTGACAAAATGCTGAATATCAAAGCGAAGGCCTTAAACCAGTCACTTTATAGGTAAATATTTCTACTGTGGCAGCGATTGAGCAGCTCAAGGCTTGGAAGAATAGAGAAGAGTAAAAGAGGCTGAAGTGAACAAAGAGAGGAAGAGAGAGAGAGGTGTAAAGCCTCTGCAGAGAAACGCCTTTTTTCTCTGGAGCTTAGTCTGACAAACACAACCAGAGAGACTGCTGTTCTCTTCTCCCTCTCTCTGCTGCATTCCTCCTCTTCTTCTGTCCTTTCACTCCTCTTTTTTTTCTCTGCTCCATCTTCCATATCCCCCCTCTTTCACTCCTCTCAGTCTCACTCATCCTCCTGCTCATCCTCTGGTCTCGTTCCTGCTGACTCACACTAAATCAAAGCTTCATCAGTGTGGATCGATCCAGTCGATGTCTGTTCATGCTTCTGCTCATGTCAGCCCAGCCCACAGTGATGAAGCTCTCTCCATCTTTTGTTTTCTCAGTCTTCTGCTCAACACTTGTTTTGCATTAGTGTTGTAGAGCTATTACACAGTTACTATGTAGCTTGTTATACAACAAACAGGTTGCAGGAAATACACCTATAAGCTGTATAATCCTTTAAATCTCTCTTTTTTTGTCGAATAACACGCCACAAAAGTGCTCTGCAAATATTCATCGAGGGTGGTACATGCTCACCTAAACCTTCAGCACACTGTTTTGTTTGTTTTTATAGACATAAGCCCTATCCTCTTACAAAAGGTTTTAGTGGATTGACTTTTAAAGAGAATCAATCTGCTTTGAGTATTTACCAGATTTGTCTTTTTTATTGATATTAATTGCATTCTTGGTTTGGCGATTGAGATGTTTAAATGCTAAATTTTGAAGAAGTTGGACACAGTAATTTCGCAGCTTGATAATTAGCATGAAAAACTAAATTTGATAAATATGGCGATCTCCTTCTGTTGTCTCATTCCTCCCTGTTCTCACACTTGGATGAACGGGACCCTGAAATGCATGGTCATGCACATAACTCTGCACCGTGCCAGAAGGGCAGATTAATGATTTGTTCAGCACTAAAATGTTATCGACTTTCAGCACTCAGCATGAACTAGTAGGGTGTGAGGAGAGCTGGATCCAGACTCTATCTTTTTAATGATGGCTGCAGCAATGTTGCTGTTATTCAGCCTGAGTTTGGGCCTTTGCTGAGTTTGAGATTGATCACTAATACCACTTTAATTGGCTTTTCAGGTAGTGCTTAGTTCATGTCACTCTTCCTGTCATGGTCTTTTGTGTGTGTGTGGGCATGTTAAATTTAATTGCTTGTATTGGCAATGTGTAAGAAGAACACTCCCTTATTTACGAGGCCAGCACAATATAGGAAAGAGGTACGATGTTGGATAGCACTGCTTCAGTTTCGACTAAATGCATGAAGTGCAGTATATCACCAAATTCTCACAAGTGCCCTTTAGCTATATAACCTATGGTTTCTTTATATATCTCCTGTTCTTACTGTATAACAAATCGGTTAGGAACAAATCAAAAAGCTGTTCTTCGTTACCACTGAATTGGCACCAATTAATCTGAGCAAGCTGATAGCTGAGTAAATAGATAGCTGAGTATTTGAATTTCCCTCTTGGATTAATAAAGTATCTATCTTTCTATCTCTATCTAAAGCCTCAGCAGGCTGTGTGAGAAGAGCTTTTATACCTCGGTAGTAGCAGGTCCCCTTTTGCATGGGTCACCCTATTGCTCCAGTGTGTTTGTATAGTATCACAACTAAGACCAACCGGTAGTATTTAGTGAATGTAGGGCTGGGCGATAAACCGAAAATTTACTGATACCGAAATCAATATATTTGGTGTCAAAAAAATAAATTAATAAATAAAAGTTGGTTTTGGATCTGTGTAGGTAGGCTGAGGTATCATGGCTAGACGCTGTCCTACGTTAGACTCTGCCCAATCCAGTCTGTAACAAAGAGGGAAAGACAGGTGAGGAGATGGAGGACGGTTCAAAAGTTGTATCGGCTGAAGTAGACGAAGTTAACGTGGGAGGGGGTGAGAAGCTTGTGGAATAGTTATCATCCATTTATCGTTACTGAGCTGAACTGCTCAATATATTGCGAGATTGATATGAGGCCATATCGCCCAGCCATAAGTGAATGGTTGTGCAAAATGCACATGTAGAAAGAAGACAGTGGTTGTTTTTATGTGCAAAAAGAGTTTATATCGTTAGAAATGTCATGATAAAAACCTACAAATGAAGAATCACTCTTGTCATGCATCACAGGAGAAGAGGTGAGCAATGGAGCATTTCAGTCTAGAGTCTGACCACTAGATCTAACAAAATTCTCCCATTTCTCTACTCTTTACCTTTAAATATTGAACCAATTTCAGTCTTTTGTGGCTGAATGTGCAGACCTACTCTGTTGTCTTTCTCAGAGTATTCTGTAAATGCCCAACATGGAGTCTGTTTGACTCAACTTCAAAGCCATAGACTTTACTGTCTCTGGATTTGGGTTGGTGTTTGGACAACAGGTAATTAATTTCTAGGTGAATATAGATATTTTAAGATAAACTGTGAGTGCACTCACCTGCTCTTTTCTAAATCTTTCCCTTGCCTGACACATGCTACTTTATTCTGCCTCCCTCGTAACTAAAAAGGAAACTGTCTCAAATAGATAGTATCTCTCATTCCAATAAGTGTAGCTAGACAAATACATTGCCAAACCGTTTGAGTTTCAGGTCTGTGTCTACACATTGTGTTTGCAAATGATTATTTGCACATCATTACAAACACAAATTCAACTTTGCTTCATAGATACATAGCAGCACTTCATGTGAACTTGAGTCACCCCTTTCTTCTCTGTTTCTCTCTCCTTGACATGTTGATATCTCCATCTCAAAACTCCCGTCATAAAGTGACAAGCGTCCCTCCTCTTTAATTTCAGTCTGTCTACCTCTTTTCTTCTTATTTTCTCAATCATCTGTTCAAGCTGCAGAGGATGTAAATAATAAATTTTTTCCCATGGGGCCTGTACGTGTCAGTGTTTCCTCTATTTTTTGAATGCATTAAATAGGATTGCTGCTGAACTGATTTTCTTCTTGGAAATTGTCCGTTGACAACCTCTGCTGTCAGTTCTGCTAAAGAAGTCTGACCTGTATTTTCTCAGAGAAAGGGTATTACACGCTCAGTCAGCCGGATATGACACTTAATAGACATAATCAGTCATGATAAATCTCTAACACAGGCCTTGAAATAAAACATGGACAGGTGGCTTGGCTGAACAAAGAGAGCAATGTTACAACGTCATTAAGCAGATGTTTTTGTTTAAAAGTACAACACAAGCAAAAGATCCAGACAGGACAGAACAACATTTTTTAATGGCCTGAATATAGGGCTGGGCGATAAACTGAAAATTTATTGATACCAAATTTTGTGACAATAAGCAATGTCATTTTTCCCATGTCAATATATTCTGTGTCAAAAAAAGGAAAATCAATAAAAGTTGGTTTTGGATGTGTGTAGGTAGGTTATGGTCTGTAACAAAGAGTGAAAGACAGGTGAGGAGATGGAGGACGGTTCAAAAGTTGTAGCAGCTGGAGCAGCGGCTGAACTAGATGAAGTTAATGTGGGAGGGGGTGAGCAGCTTGTGGAGTAGCTGTTGTCCATTTAGCGTTACTGAGGTGAACTGCTCAATATATCGTGATATTGATTTGAGGCCATATCACCCAGCCCTACCAGTAACTACTCATAAGTCCAGTTAGACACAGGTACTGGAATGCAGTGCTAGAGGCAATGTTAAGGGTGTATGGGAGCAGTTTTTGTTTGTTTGTTTTTCTCCTCATGTAGACAATCATCATCATTTTGAAACCAGTATTTAATGCTCCTCAATGTCACTTTTATTATGAGCAACAAACTACCAGGTAGAGAGTTTTCCACAAAGAGCTGGGTCTGAAATTTTATTAAAAGTACTAAGGGACCCTGCAGGACTATAAAGGAGAAAAGTCTTGCTTAAGTGCTTTAGTGTCCCCAAGAGAGAGCTGGGTCTAAAGCTTTTTCTTAAAGGTAGGAAAGGACTTTTGTAGCTAATGGAGCACTGGCGTGTAAGGTTAGTGTTTTACATGTAGAATATTCAATCATATTGCCTTCCTAAATGACGTGTAACAAGACCCAAACGCTGCAAATGTCTGTTCAGTCAACCTGAATTTCTCCTCTTTCCACCTTGTTTCTCCCTGACTGAAGTCTCACCTGGGAGGTTGGGAGGAAACACAGGAAAGAAATGAAGGATGTCTGTGTTTTAACTAGGTCATACCCTGCAGCTATGGACTCACAGAGAAATCAAGAGTCCTCCTCCTATTTTAATGAGAAAATATTTTCAACAGCAAACATGCTTTGCTGAGAAGACGCAACGACTTTACATCTCATGTTGACATTTTGTGCAACATTTACGATTCTGAAATGTCAGATTCTCGTGTCGGGAGCTGATATGTTAAACTTTGAAATGATGACATTGCCAGGAGTTGCATTGAGGATTTAAAATACTGTTTTTAAGTGGAAATAAAATCTTGCAAAGCATGTGCAGTACATTATAAAATGCACCAGAGGCTACATAGATTAGGTGAGTATAAACCGTCTGAAAAGTCATCATGGACGGGCGATCCTTCAAGCGTGTATTAAATACTGTTAAAAAAAACTGATGGGTCAGAGGATGATGTGAAGACATGTCAGACTTCAGGCAGAGCTATTACAGTTAAAAGTACAGCAGAACTCAGCTCGCCCTCTGCTCAAAGCCAGCTGCAGGTTGGATGCTGTTTGGCAGCTCGGCCGTGTTTTCCTCCGGAGAATCAAGCTTCTCAAAACACACTGTAGGCTCATGTTTTGGCAGTTTCAAGCCTCGGGCTGTTCTGGAGAAGGCAGCTACAGAGCAAGTTACACAATAAACACACACAAACAAATGTACACTCACACAAAAACAGCCTCTCTTTCTACAATTGTTAATGTTTCTCAGTTCTTATCAGAGGAGATAAAGTTAACAGTTAACAGTGTGAAGTACCTCTGTTTTGAAATATGCCCACAGAAACACACAGAGACCCTCTGATATAGCTGTCCATCACTTTCTTAATCTTGAACAGCAGCTGTCAGAATAGCTTTACTTGAGCCTAAATAATGGCATGCATCCAGAAAATTGTACACAGCTTGCTCTCCTGAGTTGAATATGGGAGCTGACTTTAGTCCCCCTGATTTGAAGAAGTTCATTAAATTCACATTTAATAAAAAAGGCACAAGATTTAAAAAGGAAAAATATCTACCATATAGGGCTGGGCGATAAATGGAAATTTACCAATACCGAAATTTACGGCAATAATCGACGTCATTTTTCCCATGTCTATATATTCGGTGTCAAAAATAAATAAATAAATAAAAGTTGGTTTTGGATGTGTGTAGGTAGGCTATGGTCTCATGTCCCTTTTAAGACGCTGTCCTACATCAGAGACGTGACTCCACCCCATCCAGTCTGTAACAAAGAGGGAAAAACAGGTGAGGAGATGGAGGACGGTTCAAAAGTTGTAGCAGCTGGAGCGGCGTAGACGAAGTAACTAATGAAGTAGAAGACGTTAATGTGGGAGGAGTCGAGCAGCTTGTGGAGTAGTTATCGTTACTGAGGTGAACTGCTCAATATATCGTGATATTGATTTTAAGGCCATATCGCCCAGCCCTACTACCATACATAGAAAGAGTAGTTTGAGTTCTAACCTTTATTTCACTTTGAGTGATGCAACTAAATGCATTTATCTTTTTTGAGTATATGAAATGCTCCACTGCCAATAAAGTTTTAACACCCAGTGAATGTGATAATTTAATATTATTGCATTAATAATCCTATTTGTCAAAGTAATAAGCTTTTATTTTACCCTTCATGTAGAGGGAGTACTTGGAAATAGTCTTTATTGAAGTGCAGAAAGAGAATAAAACAAACAAGTTCAGAGATGGAACCATGGTAGGAACTTATATAAAAGATCTGATAATAAAGGATATCTACAAAGATAAGTATAACTAGAGGAGTCAAAAGTCAAAGCAGTGTTTAACAAACCTGTTTTAATTGTCTTTTGAAAACAGCCGCGGCGCTTGCATTTTAAAGGAAACATGTTGCATAAGATGGATTTCTCACCTTAATCCCATATTTAGGGACTTATTTTTGTACACACTCATGCTAGCTGAGCGAACTTCTCTTTTCTTCACATTATGAACACAACAGGTGTCAAACGTCCCGCTGTGTTTGCTTGTCGAGTTTTTATGAATGGTTTTGGTGCAGTTCAGAGGGGGTCGTCTTGTGTGTTTTAATCCTTTTTTTTAACCTCACAGTGATTCTTTTGTGTGCTGCAGGGAAATAAAGAGAACGGTCTGAGGAATGTTTAAGAGACCTTTATCCCGTGTGCCTCAGCGTCAGACCCCATGTTGGGTCTTTGTATCAGAACAAAGCAGGAGGTTATTAGTTGATTGGTAATATTCAATTGAGTTTTGTGACGACATGTCGCTTTTAGATGTGGACTATGAGGAAACAATTATGACTGCATTATTCAGATATGAACAAACCTCATTAAAAAAACCCTCTTGTCTTGATTTAGTTTTTATTCTAATAAAATTTAAAAACCCACTTTTCATTTCAACCTGCATGCACAACCCTAAATCAAGCAACACGTCACAAAAAAAGTGTTTTACTCATTGTTTTATATCTTCCACATCTTTTGTCAGAGACTTCTGACCAACTTTGTATTTTTCTGGACCTGTTTGCAGGAGTAAAATCCGACCCATGTTCAACTCCCTTATTCTTTTTTTTTTTTTGCACATCTTGAATACTTGATTCTGATTGGTCAGAACTATCTAGAAACAGTCTGATATTTCTCCTCTGGTATAGATGTGGCTCTGATTCCGGTCTCTAGTAGACAAGCAGTTTAAGAAGGAGTCAGTTGATGTCAATAGTTTTCAGTGCTCCTGTTCCCTATGATCAACTTCACTCATTTGATAAAAAGTTATAATTCATAAGTTTAGTTCATTTTAAGAAGGTTGTAGAATAAAACAGATGCATTTCAAGTCAACAAACTCATTTTGAAATCAGTATTTTGAGTAAAACTGCCGTGTACTAAACAGGATTTAATGTTGAGAAGACTGCCATCAGAGTCCTTCTCACCCTGTCTGAGTACCAATCTGTTTTACAACCCATTCACTTTACACTATCCCTGCCTTACTCTGTAAAGCTGTCTAATACTAACCTGACCAACTTCACTCTACTGCTTTTGTCTTCTCTACACTTGTTGTTCACTCTGTTCTCGTCCTTTCTTCTCCACCTCCACCCTCGCTCTTTTCTCTGCCTCTCCACCTCCTTCTCTAGCATATTACTCTCTCCACTTCCCTGATTACCTCTTCACCTGCCCTCCTCCTTCATGCTGCTCTGTCATGCTGAGATAAGTCCTTGTTTCTCCGTGGTATTGGACTGGGCTTGAGCCGTCAAGGAATGAAACTAGATGTAGCAGGGCCTGTGACCTTTGACCCCTTGCTCTTAAAGACCACTCAAGCTCTCTAGACCATAACAGCCGACTTAGGACCGTTCCCACTGGGAAGGAATTTACTAAGTGGATAAATCCACAGGTTAATGTATAGGCTCCTTCAGTATTTTCAGGATAACAGGCTACACAGAAAAGTGGTAAAATACATTTCTTTTAACAGTGTTGGGTAAAGAAGTAACCTTTTAAAACATTGCGCCTTAGTTTTGCCTAACATAGAAAATATTTATAGATATAGATTTATTTATTCACTTTGTTTTTTTCCCCTTCTCTTTTTTTTTTCCTCAGGGTGTTGAGGAGGAGCTGGTGCGTCCGGTCATCATGTGCACGCGAGCCTATCCTGACCCCGTCCCCGAGTGCCAGCTGTTCCCTGGAGAAGTGGACGAGCCCGAGGAGGAGGTGGCAGACGAAGGCAAGGAGAGGGAGTCGGATAGAGACAGTGCCGTGGAAAGCACCCAAGGGTCAGACACCTCAGACGGACCTATCAGACCAGGAGACAAGGAAGACGCACTGGGGGATTTGTTTTTCCCTGGGGAGAAGTAAGCGTTGTTCCATCTTTTTTCCAACTTCTGCTCCTGTCTGGCTCACTGTGTTTAAATTTGACTTCAGTCTAAATTCGGTTGTTATTGCTGGACAGAGAAAGACACATATGGACAAAATCCTCATGCAACTAGATTCTTACATATCCTACTTTACAAAATTAACGAAAAAGTCCATACAAAAAAATAGAGGCTACTTTCTCGAAAATAATCTTTACTTGTAGCATCGTTTACCGAATGGTCATAAATACAGAACGAAAGCTAACACAGTACCATGATCATTTCCCTTATTTTGCACAGAATTGGTCACACCAGCATCTCTGTGACCTCAGACCTATCGACACGATCCTCAGCTTCTCTGAACGAGGAGCAGTTTGAAGACTACGGCGAAGGAGAGGAGCCGGACTACACTCCCAGCAGCCCTTGCCCTGACGACGAGACACGTACCAACGGATACTCAGATCTTGGTTCATCTGTTCCCTCCAGGTAAAAAAGAAACTTTGTCATCTGCTACCCTAAAGTTATGAGGAAAGCAGATAGATCCAAAGCACCTCGGATCTATGTAGAGTTTAACAACCTCTTTTGTGACTTAGATAACTCAAACTGTTCTTGCAGACTCATTGCAACAGTAACAGAGGCAGCTGAAATGCCAATACTGCTGCTAAGTTAAGAGAGACAAACACGTTACTTCATTTACTGATGACCTAACTCACACTTGAGTTTCGTTGTTTGGGGCGTGTCAGGGAGTGGAAACTTTGAGTACAGAGAAAATGCGAGATAAAGCTCAACTATGAGCCAAATTAACTCTAAACTGTCGTAATGATTACTCGTCTTTCTTGATGAATCACAGAAATTGGCAAATGTTTAATCTGCCCGGTATGAGTCAACTAACCACAGGTAAGCAGACTGACACCACAGGAAACAGGATACCATTTTTTTAATCAGATGAAGCGCTGTTTTACCGACACATTTCAGTCATGAACGGACGTGTCCGACGTTTCCCACAGGAGAAATCGTGATGTCGACACAGACCAGATTTTGTAGCCTCAGTTTCAACAATTACAGACTCAAGGCTCCGGTCTGTGAGCTCCACAGTCATTACCTGACTAGTATTATTCTGAGACTTGACTGCAGAAGTGTAGCTTAAGAGTTTTTGCCCGTAAGGCCACATTAATATTCATCATAGGCCTGTGTTTAATGGGATTAAGTCTCCCTCCTGATAGAGAAGCAATACAGCTCCGTGCTCCTTCCACACATACTAAGCAGACAAAACTCTCCAAATGGAGTCGGCATGGAGATTTAAATTCAAAATGAGGCCCGGATTTACAGGAAGTCTTAGACGAGTCAGCATGGGGAAAAAGTTTGAATAACTACAGTCCAAAGTGGGTTAAAGGTGCATTCTTTCACATTAGCTCAGGGTCTCCAAAGCCGAAAAAAAAACATTACTCAGGTTAAGTTTTGAGATTTAAACATTGATCTCTGATGGTGCTGTTGTTGTCATCTTTAATTGCATAACTAGGAAGTGTTTCTTTTGAAATTAAAACTGTAAGAGTGATAATAAAGTGAGTCTTCTGTCCTTTTTCCTTTTGGTAACAGATTTGGATCGAAGGTAACCTTGTTTCAGATGTCTGACACAAATTTAATCAATAGGAAGTGAATTAAGACTGCAAAATCAAATCAAAATAAAATCAAATTTTATTGTATAGCGCCAAATCACAACAGTCGTTATCCCAAGACGCTTTCCAAAAAAAAGAGCAGGTGAAGACCACGCTCATTGTTCGATGAATTACCAAGTCCCAACCTTAAGATGGGACAGATTTGACCCATCTCATCTAACAGGAGTGACAGTGGCGAGGAAAAACTTCCTTTTAACAGGCAGAAACCTTGGGAAGAACCAGACTTATGTTCAAATATATTTTATATATTAATTTCTGTTTAATGCAGGATTTACCTGACAGATCATCCAATATGTGGTCTGAATTTTTTACTTCTCTGTTTTTATTTGTTAATTACTGCTTTTTGTTTCTGCATACTGTGTCTCCTACAGTTGTATGTTTGCAGACACAATAAAAAGTCACTTTAATCCACAGTAATTCTGCTTCTTAGTGTGTCTGTGTGTTTGTTTTTACAGTGCTGGCCAGACTCCCCGCAAGGTGCGTCAGCATTACACCAGTGAACTGATGGATGTCTACTGTTCTCAGTGCAGCAAGAAGGTCAACCTGCTCAATGACCTGGAGGCCCGCCTCAAAAACCTCAAGGCTAACAGGTAGGATGCACACATCTCATAAAAAGACACTTTGAACATCAGCTAATACAACCTCATTAAAGAGTAAAGACACTTTCGGATCCCCAAATGTTTCCCACTGACAAACATACTGCCAGTTAGCCTGTCAGATCAAATCAAATCACAAGAGATGCATCGCCTACAACAACTTTACTTGTCATTTCTATTCAAATTCAACTTGATATAACTGTTTATGATTAAATATCCTGTGGCAGAATCCAGAGACAAACGAACACAGGTAGTTAGACCTGTTTCTGTTACAATTTAGAGGTAATTATCCCTGCACATAAGTCATAGAAACCACTGTAGAGTATATTTCAAAACACAATTATTTATGGAGACCTACTGAGCTGTTCCTCAGCAGGACAAAAACAAACGTCTCTCGCAGTGATGTGTGCTAGACATTGTACAGGTACAGCCAGGGATCTGATTGGTCCGTTTCAATGGAGCGATTAATTATTTTAGTTTAATGAAACAAAATGATGTAATATGATTGCAAGGTGTTTAGCTGTTCCTTCTTTTGTTCCTCTCATGAACCAACATGCCCCGAACACTAATTGATTGTTATGTAAGGCTGTCACTCCTGTGCTTACCTCATCACTATTGTAATGGGAAATCTATTAATGGAAACATAATCCCAGGTGACCATTAACAGCTCTTCTGTCCACCTGCAAACACGGGTGCCCACACATACAGACATATGAGTTATCTGAGAACAGTAAAAGTCGTTGAATAATAGTTTGAATATAGAGTGAACTCTGTCTTTGTCACCTAAACCCTCGGCTCAGTCTGCAGGATGTCTCTCTCTCTTTCTCTCTACCTTTCTCTCTCTCTCTCTCTGGAGGGAATAGGCTCTATAATCCAACATGTATCTCTTAATTAGACCTCTGCTTTCCCTTCATGAATAATAGAGTAGTGATGAGCAGAAAGAAAGAGTTAGAAAGCGGGAAGATGGAAGAAGAGAGAAAGAGATGTTATCAGTGTAGAAATAACTTTAAATTGTGAGCTTCTTAAACACTGACTGAACCAGATAGAGGAGGATGAATATAAAGGTATACTCAGCAGGTTATATAGAGGGATATGAATCAGTTGATCAATCTAAAAAAATTAGGGACTTAAGGGTTCATTTGAATATTAGACATAGATGAAGAGGTCATGCATGTAAATGAAGTAATAATTAGTCTAATAGACATCGAGTATGATGGGTGAATCCAGTCTAAGCTTGTACAGTATACTCAGTAGTGGAGGTTTTGCAGCATAACCCCCAAAATAATCATGAAATATCAATGAAGAGTTGATGTTTTTTTGTAGAAAAGTACATTTCTTGGTAGAGTGCTTTTTTACAACAAAACCTAGCAGGTGTGAGGAGAGTAGTACACATAATTTAACTGATACAAATGGAGATATTTTGTGTCTAAAATTGGCAAAATAGATGCACATCTCGTGATTGTACTGGTCAAACCTAACCACACTTTAAACTGTTTACTTTGTAGCCAGTTGTGTAGATATTAGTTTTAAGGTTTAAAAAAGGAAGTCCCTGCATCTGTTCATCAAAGAGGCTAAACTGAAACATGAACTTCTGGCTTATCTGTCTCACCCAGGATCATACACTCACTCTGATCAGATCAAGATCAGCCTGTTAGACAGACATCCTCATCTCTTACTTCTTCATGTGCAGGTCTACTTCCCAAAAGTTGAATTTTAGAATTTGAGTTTTTGTACAACTCCTATCTGCTCTGTGTATGATGTAATTTTTGTACTCTTCACGGTTTGTGTGACTGTGTCCAAATCGAGACCTTCTCTGTGTTTTTCCCTCTTTAATTGTAAATAAAATAAACTTTCACAACAACTCAAATCAAAAGTGCCCAACAAATTTCAGTTGACATGACACAGACAGACATGCACCAAGTTATTTAACACCTTTTGGGATGAAAAGATAATCTTTAGAAAAAACAGCCCCTCTTTCTCCACGGTATCGCTGTTATCTCACCATTATTCGCTCATATTTCTTTTGTACTGAGCCGACATTAGGTGTCTTTTGCATTAGCTTACACTGTATTTTCTCCTTATTGTTAATGCAATGTGACATCCAGCGCAGGCAGGCAGACACATCAGACTGAAAGTGTCTTTGGGCTTTTGTCCCCCCTGAGACAGTCGCTGAGCTGACAGAAATCCTGCTCACTGTACCAGGAGGAATATTTTGTTATCTTTGACATGTCCTTCAGTGTTTCTTTCTCTCCATGCCTGCTTCGCTGAATGGCTGAAATCTAAATTGTCATCAGCAGTCGGCTCCTATGAAGTGTTAAGCTGTGAGTCTAGACCTATTCATGACAACTCACTGATAAACATTTGTCTGCTTTTTCTTTTCTTCATCGTTTGCAGCCCCAACAGGAAAATCTCCAGCACTGCTTTTGGGAGGTAGGTAACTCCACCTAAGGAATCAAAAGTCACCCACATGTTCTTTCCCTGTCTCTCCATGACACAGCCTGTGCTGCATGTGTTTGCTCTACTTGCTGACACACAAACACACGAGACACTGGTTTTCTTATCAGTCAGCTGCCCGGTCATTGAGCTCTAACAGGCAGTTAATTAGTAACTGATTATTCAGAAAAAAAACATCTGTTTGGTGTTAATCCGTTCTGATCCGTGAGCTGCAAACTCCTCCGTTTTTGCCCCTAAGAGTTGACAGAAACATTTTGGACGTGAGCCGTGTCAGTGGCAGCCTCCTCATCTTCAGTTTCCTCACGCTGGATGAAGTGTTTTATACGGAGGTCTTTGTGCTATTTTCACCCATGTTAACTGAGTTATGGTGACAGAGTGAAAATGGCCTGTCAGACCTGATCTATGCTTTCAATATAAGGTTTGGCTCTCTTCCCCTGCTCCGTCTACTGTCTCCACTGTCTGCTTTGATTTCTTCTTCCTCTTTATTGCTCTCTTTATCCGATCTTCTGCACTCTCTGCATCTCAGTTTTCTCTTCTGTCTTTGTCTCTTCTCCTTCCTTCTCCTTTCCAGTTTCATGTCCTTCGTCATTTGCTTTTTAAATGTGTCTCCCTCCTGCTCTCAATGTCTTGTAAAGTTTGGTGTTCGAGATCTGCTTTTCACCTAAAATCTAGACTGCATGCTCTGTACTGGTGCAACCTGTAGACCAGCAAAAAATGCTAAGAAAGTTATTGTATTCTGATAAAGTTTGTATTTAGAAATTGCCTGCAGCTAAAGCTAGGACGTGTGCAGCTGTCACCCTTACAACTATCAACATTGATATCGGTTGAGCTCAGTTCCTGTACCATTAGTTAGCAGGTGAAATACTTTGCATGGAAAGATCTGCACAGCTGCACAGAAAGTGCAAGTTGTGGACTCAGTTGATCATGAGGAGTTTGATAACTTTGGAAGACAGACAGAAAAAAATGTTTGTTCTTGCACCTTAAACATCATTTGTGTTTCATGTAAAACAATACAAAAAAATAGAAATACAAAATTAGGTATAATAAGGGGCGTCCCTGATACAACTTTTTTACTCCTGATATGATACCGATATAGTAGCCTTCAGTATCATCCGGTACCGATATTGATCTGATATTGGCACGAACTTGCACTCAGCTTTGCAGTTTTTCAATCAGTTGCAATGTCTTTTTCGGACTTTAATGAAAAATGCTGCGACACAGCCGACATTATTCCTACTCCTTGCTACTCTGTTTGTACCTTAGTACACACTGTTGTTGTAATTACGTGCATACTGGATCTTGGTACTGCTCGCTAGAGTTGCTGGAGTGGAGTCTGGAATGGACTGCTTGTATCGGAGTGCTGATATCGGAGAATCTAGATGCAGACCGATATAATCCGATATTTGTTTTTTGCCTGGTATTCGACCGATATCGGATATCAGGACAGCCCTAGATATAATATTGTTGAAAAAAAGGTATATACATCTTATTAATGGAGATCAGTAGAAAAAAAAACATGAAACAACAGACTATGTCTATTCAAGTGCAACCTATATTCTATGGAGAATATTTTACCCTATCCTGTGTCTCTGTCACATTTATAGTCTTCTCTGCTCTCCTTTGCCTTCCCTCTCCTCTCCTCCCCTCTTCCTCCTCTCCCCTGTTATTGCCTCTCCATATTGTTAATCTCAGTAATGGATCAGAAGCTTTTCTCAAGTTATTCCATTAGTGCGAGAGGGGGCAGCTGTACTCACATCACCGCACGAATGTCACACTTGCTTGTGTGGCTGAGTCAGAGCAGCACACCTGCGTGGGTGTCTGTCTGATGCATCTAAAACAAGCCTGAGTGTGTGTCTGCATGCTGTTCACACTACCTTCTCTGCTCGGTACCTTCCCCTTAGTCTTATTTCATCAGTGTAGTAGCCTGCAGCAGCAGCAGCAGCAGGACAGAGCAAACCTCCTACGCTCTTTCTCTGTCTCTCTCACTCTCAGACTCACACTCTCACATAGATATACACATAAACAAGGACTCAGGAGCCAGCTGGTCCTCACCTGGATGATCCCACAGATTCTTAAAGTGTGTTTGTGTGTGTTTCTCTGTGTGCTCGAGCAGGCAGCTGCTTCATAACAGCAACCTGAGCAGCAGTAACGGCAGCACAGAAGACCTATTTAGAGATAGCATCGACTCCTGTGACATCGACATCAACGAGAAGGTAAGAAAGTATTTGCGGACTACCTTTACGCAACACACCGAAAGGTACTCGCTGTAACGATAACATTTACTGTTTCTGTTTGACTACTGAAAACTCACCTTTAGCATTGTATGTACCTTGTTGAGATTTCAATAACGTTAGCAAAGTCAAGGACAGCTTTTTAGCATTTTCATGCTTTTGAAAACTTGGGTAAAACAAAGTTAGATATTATTTTTGCTGTTTTTTGTCGTCAGGTGAGCTCTCTGGAGAAGAAGGTGGCAGAACTTGAGAATGAGATTCTGTTAAATGGTGATCTGAAGTCAAAGCTGAAGCAGGAAAACACACAGTTAGTACACAGGTAAAGGAACGGTTACTGACTTTAAACTAGGGCTGGGCGATATGGCCTCAAATCAATATCATGATATATATTGAGCAGTTCACCTCGATAACGATAAATGGTCGATAACTACTCCACAAGCTGCTCACCGCCTCCAGACTAACTTTGTCTACTTCAGCCGCTACAAATTTTGAACCGTCCTCCATCTCCTCACCTGTCTTTCCCTCATTCTTACAGACTGGATGGGGCGGAGTCACGTCCCTGGCATAGGACAGCGTCTTAAAGGGACACGAGACCATAGCCTACCTACACACATCCAAAACCAACTTTTATTCAATTTAATTTTGATACCGAATATATTGACATGGGCAAAATGACATTGGTTATTGTCGTAAATTTCGATATCTGTAAATTTTCAGTTTTTCGCCCAGCCCTACTTTAAACCTTATTTCGGAAGCAATGTAATGGATTTCACGTTTGATTTTATATTCAACTTATTGTGAATTTTGCATGATTTGTTCAGGGTAAATGAGTTGGAAGAGCAGCTGAAGGACCAGGAGACACGAGCCGAGCAAAATCTGCAGGCAGAGCTGAGACGACACCGAGAGGCCTACAGCAAGATGGAGAGAGACAAAAACACCCAGATAGAGCTGCTGACCAACAAGTAAGAGGCACAAATAATCAATAGTTTATATACAATTGATAGTATAAAAGATTTGGGTTGTTGTGGGAAAAATCTAATAGGATCACTCCTAAATCCCCTGAATGTGGACACTACCATGCCTGTCTGTGAAGAGAAAATGCAGAGTGTAAAACTTTATGCTAATCAGAGCTTAGAGATGCCTTCCTGGGTTTTCAGTTTTCTCCAGGGCCTCAGCATATACTGTGGACGTCTGCTTAAACAGCATTTTAGCTGACTATGAAAAACCCAAAAGTTATGAATAAAACTAAGCTAATACACAAGATTATGTGTTTCTAGAGCGAGACAGCTGGAGGAAGAGAACAATGACTTTGCTATGAACATGTGCCGGCTCAAATCGCAGACAGAAAAACTGGATGAGGTAAGAGATAAACATGCATCCTTTTGACGTTATCCTCTTCTTATTCATAACCTCGACACGTTTTTTTTTTTTGGTTACCAAGTTTAATTGTTTGGATGCACATCTCTGTCCTTTCTCAGGAGAAGCAAAGAATGACAGACAAGCTGGAGGACACCAGTTTACGCTTGAAGGATGAGATGGACCTCTACAGGAAAATGATGGACAAGCTGAGACAGAACAGACTCCAGTTTCAGAAAGAGAAAGAAGACATGCAGGAGGTAGGAAGGACTTTTCCCGGCTGTCAGACACATGGACAGCCGGCTGTTCGTTCTGCTCCTATCTCTGTGCCTTCTTTTATTCCCTCTTCTCTCCCCCCCACTGCATTTTTACTGGCTCACACACCCACACCCCTAAATACTGCACTGGCTTTATATAACATTGTTCATCCATCCTTTCTCTGTCTGTAGCTGATAGAGGACTTGCGACGCGAGCTGGAACATTTGCAGCTCTTCAAGCTGGAGACAGAGAGGCCTGGACGAAGTCGAAGCTCTTCCTCGAGCCTGGCGGACTTCAACAGCAGGACCAGGGAGGTGGAGCTGGAGCATGAGGTCAAGAGGCTCAAGCAGGTGTGGGCAAAATAATGCATTCAGATAATTTGTGTAGTCAGTTAGCGACTGAAGCTTTGAGATTCAGAAAGGCTTCTTTTGTACATATTTCTAAAGTGATTTGGTTTTTTCCATCTCCCTATCTCTGAGGAGTCTGTCAGACATCATGGATGATTATTTTAAACCTTTAAAAACACTGAACAGAGGGTTTAACCGGTACTTGTGATTGATGATTGCTGTAAGAGGATAAATCCTTGTTTTGGATACACAAAGAGTGTGAGTCACAAAGCAAGCTCTAAAATTATGCCCCACTTTTACTTCAATGCTTAGTACTGAGTACCTAATTTTGCACAGAATACTTATCACTCTTTTTATAAATGACAACCTGAAGAGGTATGACTAACCAGTTGTTATTTTAAGTCTCACTAAAACACAAATCGTGTTTTATTTTCCCAAAGTTTCTCAAGCCTTTTGGCAGAGATACACACAAAATGAACTGATGGTTTTAATTAGACGGATCTCAGAGTTATACTCGAGCTCTATTGATAGTTTCGTAACTCAAACATTGACTGTTTTATTGCCGTTTTCATCATTTGAACATGTACACACTAGCATAATTTGTAACTGCTTATTAGTGTAAACTTGTGACTGTTGGCTCTATAAATTGATGGCATACAAATAGCATAAAACACCCCCCACCCCTCAAAAAAACACACATATACAGTACAGGCCAAAAGTTTGGACACACCTTCTCATTCAAAGTCTTATCTTTACTTTTTTATATGACTACTTACATTGTAGAATATCACTGAAGGCATCAAAACTATGAATGGACACGTGGAATTTAAAAGAAGAAGTGTGAAATAACTGAAAACATGTTTTATATTCTAGTTTCTTTGAAGTAGCCACCCTTTGCTCTTGATGACAGAAGTACTTAACCCCTTAACCCTGACAAGGCAGACCTGTGGAGTAAAAACCATTTCAAGTGACGACCTCATGAAGCTCACTGAGAGAACAGCAAAAGTTATCAAAAAAGCAAAGGGTGGCTATTTTGAGGAATCTAAAATATATAAAATGTTTTCAGTTATTGCAATCAATCAATCAGTCTTTATTTATGTTTGTGTTAAAATGCATCAACTTAAAAAAAGGCTTGATTTCGTGGAAGCAGGAATGTGCGCACTGAGGAAATGTCATTTTAAAACTCAAGATAAGGAAACACTGGAGGTTTAGGTTAAAATCTAAAAACAAAGAAACAAAGAATGAAATTTAAGAAATAATAAATAAAATGAAATAAAAACAACAGTAAAAGATACAAAAATAAGAGCACCAAAATAGCTCAATAAAAGACGATCCTGTTATTAAAACCAGAAAGAGATAAATGCTTAAACAAAACAGAGTTGATATGTATTTATATATATATATATATAGATATAGATATAGATATATATAGAGATATATAGATATATATATATATAGATATATATATTTAATTTATACATATCAAGCAAGATTTCAGCACAGTCACTTGATTATACAAGATGAGCATGATTCAAAGAATAATTTCCTTGCATTACTTAATTTACCAATTGTTGCACATACAGGATAATATATGTACACAGTATCTATAAATCTATATTTATATACACTGTACATCTACAAATTTTCTTAATGAAGTTATAGTCTTGCTTTGTTGATGAGTGCAGATGCTTAACGGATGTAGATTAAAACAGAGTGGGTTAAGAAAAATGTACTTTTTACATCAACAGTGGGCTTGGTCAATCAAAATAGCGCCTAAAAATCCACTTGAAAGGACCATTAGACTCAAGTTTTTGTAATGATCAACAAAGAGAGGGAACTTCAGAGGAGCTGAAGGAGGATACAGAAAAAGGAGTATCAGTCAGAGAGAGCTGAGCTTCTGTATATCCTAGATTTCAGCCTCTGTTGGTACAAGGCTGTTTGTATGCCCCAGTAAGAAACTTCAGTGCGGTTACTAAGTAACTACTGCAAACTGAACAGACCTGATGCAGCGTAAACATTAAAGATCAGTGTCGATGAGTGTTTTCAAACGTACTTCCTGATAAGAAGAGGCAGGTATTGTCGCTTGAGGTTGTGTGCATCAGTAAATGAGGCTGTTAGAGGAAAAGAATCAACATGAAAAGCAGAAGGAAGTGAAGCAGTCTGCTCTTGCGACTTGCGTTCCTGTAAAAGATGTTCAGTCCTCTGTTAAAACTGCTGATTAGCTCGGCATGTGTATCTTATCAGAGACTTAGATGATAAAGTTGTACTTATGTAGCTTCTGACCAATAGAATGACAGTAATACTTCAGTATTTTTCCATCATCTCAAAGACTTTCTTTTTAGTAATTCCCTTTGTTAGTCCATTTTCTGGTTTTGTAGCTCTGTGCAGGTAAAAGCCGTAATTTGAGCGATACTCCCTGTGACATCCACAAAGATTAGCTCACTATTTCTGTCTGCCTGTGCACCTCTATAAATGTCTATATGTGTGTCCAGCGATTTGTGTCCCAGGACTTTCTCCCCCCTGAATTCCAGCACCTGGTGTTGTCTGGGGCTCGGCTCCGTCCTGGTCTGATGGTAAAATTGCTTCTGCGAACTTTGACCTCCTGATTATTAACCACTAATCACAATGGAGTAGAGCAAACCTGACTGAGCTGAATTGGGGTCAGTGCTGCTGTTCCCTCACTAATGAGTAAGAATAGGACAAAGGGAAAGGAAACTGACCTCTTGTCAGCACTCAAAGGCGACTTAATAACGGGGCTTTTATAACACACCAGACAAGCAGGGGAGCACTTTGTTCTGTAACACGCTTAACCTGTGTGATGTCCTGTAGGTGTTGCCAAAATAGACATGCATTGCTGAGTGACGCTTAAGTAGCTGCCTTTTGTTTTTATTTTTTTCAAACATCATATTCTACAGTACTCGAGTGTTGTCCTGGCGCTGATCTCTCCTCTCGTCTCTCTTTTTCCTTCCTTGTTTTGTATCGTAGGAGAACCAGAAGCTGAGGGAGCAAAATGACGAGCTCAACGGTCAGATCCTCAGCCTCAGTCTGTATGAAGCGAAGAGTCTGTTTGCCACACAGACCAAGGCCCAGTCTTTAGCCGCAGAGATAGACAACGCCTCCAGAGACCAGGTTTGAATGGATTTCATCTGTTAGAGTTTGTTGTGTTAGATTGGTGTGTACAGAAGAAATCTCCATTTGAAAAAAATGGAATAACCGCTGTTTAACATTCAAACTCAAAGCAATATCAGAGAGGAAACTGTGTAGAAAATACAGATTTTCTTACAGAATTGATTTTCTATTCATCTATTTAGTAGATTATATATCATTTTACTACATTTTAGCTATTGTAGCCTTCAGGAGAATGCATGTTCTCATAGCAAACAGTGAATGTGATAGTGTAGGTGCACAAGAACTTAAAGGTAACCAGTGGTAAGAGTTCACGAGTAAAACTAAGAAGCTCTGAAATACAATACCTGACAAATTATAAAGTTATTGACAATCTTGTTGACACAACTAACTGAATATGTGCTCCATATACTTCTTTTTCTTTAGTTAATGGAAGCCCTGAAGGAGCAGGAAGAAATCAACTCACGTTTGCGACAGTACATGGACAAAATCATCCTGTCCATCCTTGACCACAACCCATCCATCCTAGAGATCAAGAACTAACAGCGACTCAACTGGAATGAAAATCTCTTCCTGTTCCAGGAGACTGAGGATCATTCCAGTTGTTCAATCATCTCAAAGTCAGGATATGCTACAGGAATCTAGAACATATAAATAGACACATATTGCCCCCTGCTGTTTATAGCGGGAAAAAAAACTTCTCTTTCAGGGAAGTTACAATGGGGCTCTGCTGAACTAAAGGGAGTTTCCTTCAATAACTTACTGTGTCTTTACTTGCTGTCAATCCTGTGAACTGTAGCCACTTTTACCCTTTTGAACTAATAAGTCAGATCTGGTGATTTTTTTCCCCCCCCAGGAATCTGGAAAAATATGCTTTAAGGACTGACGAAGTTACTCATTGTAGTACACTGGACAAACATACCTTGTCATGAAAACTGGAACAATCTAACAAACCTGAGGCGGGTTCTTCTGTATCCTGATGTTGTAGTAGGGAAATAATCCAAGACAAAGACAAAGAGAGCTCGGTGTGATGAAGGGAGGACTATTTTAAAGAAAACGGACAGAGAGCCGGACAGCAGACTGTAAACCTGACTCTGACTCTCAGAGACATGAAGGCAGACCAGTCAAAGTTGTCTTGTGCTCTCCTCGGTCATGTGAGTGTTCTCTGAAGTATGTTCGGTGCTTTTGGACTGGCACGTTTTAAGAGAAGAACAAAGGAAGTGCTCAAAAAGAAAGCAATGAAAAACCTCTGACCACATGTGAGGTAGAGGTGTCAAAAAGTGAAGGTACCTTTAAAAAAAAAACAACAAAAAAAAGGAGTCGGGTAGTCTGATGATGGACCATGTGTCTAAGCAAACATGGGTGTAGGTGAAGTCTTGATGGTCAATCGAAGGTGAAGAGTTGGATTTTTGTTTTCCCTCGAGTACGTGTCTTCCAGTAACCTCGTAACAGCACTTGCTTTGTCAATCAGTCTGTTCCTATTTTATAAACTGAGAAGTGGCCCTTAGTTGGTGTTGACCAGAAGCTGAGTGTCACTTTAAGGTACAGAAGCTGCAACCAAGGAGTGTCTTCAGACTGTGACTCCCTTGACGGCTGTCTGCTTGCAATGCCTTAGCTTGGAAAGCTACACTGTTGCCGGCAGTTAGCCGAACAATGTTGCACAGAAATGTTCTGAATGAAAGGTTCTGAATGTACTGGGTGTCCGCCGGTGGATTTAGTGGTAGCCATTGTCTCTATGCTCAGTGAAATAATCTCATATTACGTGAGCATGCACAGGAGACTCACTTTTTCTTACTGGATTTGCTCTCTTGTTGAAGCCTACAGATTGCTGATTGTGTGCAAAGCCAAGATGGCTCTCTAAAATTCTCTTGATACTGTAAATATCATGAATGTACATCTGGATATTTCACTGTTTGTGACTCTTTAAATCGGCTGTATTTGGAGACGATACATTGTACGACAAATGTACAGTTTTGACTACTGTAATGAAGAGAGGTAACAATTGCAATCTGCTGTATTATGTTATGATTCTAAACTTGAGTTTTGCTTCCTTGCACAAAAAAAGTTTTTTTTTTCATTTGCATGGTTAACCTTTTCTTCTGTCTGTGCCTTTTGAGGACATTTTCCAGACAATGTTGCTAATGATATTGTTTGTTTGTTTGTTTTTTCAAGCTACATTGTATGTCGATGTATGACATATTTTTTTTGACTTGTAAATGTTGTAATTATGTAGTGATAATTTGTATTCATGTGCCACTCACCAATCTTTTTCTGATTGATACTATAAGAACTATTTTATACAGTTTTAACAAGAAAGAACGTGTTATCGCTTAGGTGTCCTTCTAGAAAAGCAGTAGAGCACAATGCTTTGTACGGTACACTGGCCAGGTTAGCATTTTGGAAATACTTTGAAGATTTTTTAATGCAGTGGGGAATGTTTTATTGCATTTCTCAGTTTTTTGGGGGTCTTTTTTTGTTAGCCATGCTGAGTCCATTGCTTTTCAACTTGCTTCAAAGGGGCGTTTTATATGGTTGTAAACTGTCTTCCTAACTTAAGCTAAATGGTGAGCATTAAGAGCAATATTAACTTATTTAACAGTACCTGCTGATTTGTGTCTTGTTTTGCTTCACAAATGGTTTCACTCTCGCTGAAGGGAAAGAAATAAATGGTTCATTAAACCGTAAAAATTTGTCACAAACTCATTTCTTGTAGCTCTTAAAATTTTTATTTCATAGGACTATCCAATGTGATGTAGTCACTGTTAAAGCAATAAAAAGCAGCTTTGGCTGTGATGCTGATTCATTGTGTTTTGTCATTTAAGACTTTTTATGTGTCTCCTTATTTTCAACACAATGTACTTAGTTGAGAAGGAAACCATTAAGCTTGAGTTTTTTGGTTATTTAGCGGTCTTACTTAGCAGTACAAAGAGTTGTCTATTTTTCAGTGTGTTATGCACCGTCATGCGACAATGAGAGAAAAAGCTCTTTAAGCACCTGTTAATCATTGACCATAATTTCACAAATCAAACAAAGAGTGGCAGCCTTTATACTCAGCTTCTGCAAATAGGCTATGGTTTTAAGGTGTGTATTTCTCTGACTTAGTGACAAATCAGATATCAAAAGTGCGATTTTTACATAAAAGTATGAGTCATAAAGTCTGGTGCTTGGTTTGCTTGGATGCACATGTTACAGGAAAGTAAGAGATGTTATCAGTTTCAACCACGTTAAGATTAAGAACATATACCAGTGATAAGCAGTAGGGGAGTGGGGTAAGATGAGCCATTTTTCATATTTCGGATCACTACATCAAGACAATCATAGTTTTGTCTCTGACTAGTGTATCCTCATATATTTCAAGATGTTGTGAATCCTTGCAAACCAACAGAATGAGTGTAAACAGAACTGTCTTGATAATATAGCATGCCAAAAAAAAAAAAAAGTGGTCTCCTATGGTCAACTTACCCTGTGTATGGGGTAAGTTGACCATAGGAGCGGGGTAAGTTGAGCCGTATCCCTACCACCCCGACTCTCCACCCCAGCCCTTCCTCACCTTCTTCACATTCATGTGTATCTTTATCTATTATACACTATTCAACTGGTACAATAATTCTTTTTTTATTATTATTGCATATAACTTCTATAAAGCTGTTTTGTAAAAGCATTTTAACATGAGAATGTCTTTGAAGTGATTCAGAACATTCACAGCTGTATTTTTGAAAAGAAAAAGTGAAACATTTCAACAATCTGAACTGAAACTCTGATCCTCTCATCAGACTCCTTTACTTTCTCAATTGAGCCACTGGCTCAACTTACCCCTGAACTACTATGATGACTTTATTAGTCCTCTAAGCTAAAATGGTGGACTTTTATTCTAGGTTTTTGATCTGATGTTGTAGCTCATAGATATCACAATTGATGTATAAAACAAATTTAAAATGATCTTTTTTGGTCTGAACACAATTCTAATCAAACTTATGACAGACTAAATTCACTTTCAAGAGTGAGAAATGTATTTTTGTAAATAAATGTCTAACCCCTTCACCCATGTGCTTCTAACCTTCACAGACTCCATGAATTGATGCCCATCTCCTAAATATTTGGTCCCATGATCAATTTCTTTTACCATTTCTAAGCTACAGGGGGTGGCTCAACTTACCTTTTGGCTCAACTTACCCCACTCTCCCCTGTTCGTGAGCCCCCTTGACTCAAAACGTGGTCGTGGTTTCTTTCTGGCGCCATCTAACGGATCACCGTTAACCGTTAACCGTTAACAGCCAGCACCAAAGTTAGCCTCATCCAGGTGAGTGGCAGCATGCTAAATCTCATGGAAGACCGACAGGATAGAGTGAAATATGTCTTGATTCGTAGTTGCTTCGTTACACTGTTTATATTTAGCTGTGTTTGATCACGTAATTTTTACTTTCCTCAGGGGAAACGAACTACCGGCAGTTAGCAAGTCGCAGCAGACAGTGAGCTGTTAGCTAGCTTTCGGCACAGAGCCAAAGCAATGTTAGCTGTCTTTTACCCCCTGGTTAAGTGATTACCTTTGCTACAAAGAACGTTTACTGTATAAATTTGTAATCAAGAAGTAACAACCGTCAACCCAAGTTAGTAAACAGTTGACTGAATGTATCAGCTCCATCAAGGCAGTGCGACATCTAAGTCAGACTGAGAAAAGCTAGGATGATAAAAGCTTCAAACTAAGATGGAGAAACTTCTCTAAAGTTACAACTTAGTGGAGAAGTTTCAGGAAACTATGGGGTCTGGAAGAGGATATAGGTGTTACCATGTGTACAAAATTTCATAGCATTTATCCAAAAGTTTAATAACAAAAATCTTAATTTTTACTAATATCTCTAAGAAATGTGGGTTCATTAAGCCTGCTCAGATCTGTTGTTCCACCTGTTTTTTTTTTTTTTTTTACTGTATTTGGTACAGTAAATAAAAGAAACTTGGCCAAGCTTAGACACATAACCAACACTGCTGCCAAGATCTTGGTCTTTCCACCCCAATCTTTAAACACTTGAGCCATAAATCACCCACAAACTCCACTTCTTATGGTATGCCCTCAAGGAGGAGGTACAAAATCCCAATATGCAACAGGCCCACTTAAGAAAAGGTCATTCCATGAAATTGGTGCCTTTTGCGTCCTCAAGAAGTAATAATTTCGTTGTACTGGTTACAATGACAATAAAGGACTATTCTATTCTATTCTATTCTATTCAGTCATAAAATTATGATAACAAGTTGATTTGTAATTTAAAAATATGACATTACAATGTCTCCTCTCCTTAATATAACATCAAATTAAAGTCAATTAAATATCATTTTAAATAATTAAAATTACTTTCATGCCAATGAGGATGAGGTTTTTGGCCTGTCCCTCACTGCTATTGTTGTACGTATACAGGACTTTACACTTGTAAAATGTTGGCAAAACATTAATTTTTTTTTACATTTACATATTGTTTTAAGTATGATCTTATTGTTAAACAGTTTTTTTTGGTAATAATATATCTTGGTCATTATAAATATTTACCAATTTATCAGCGTCCCCTGATTTCATGTCAATTATTCACATAGCCACTGTGAGTTTCTATGATGTATGTCATTTTTGTATGTCATATGGCTTCTTAAGCACTTTTTGTTTGCTTCTGTATCAGTTTCCAGTGAAAATTAAATTTCTCCCAGTCTTCTACTCTTTAACTCTACATTACAGGTGACACGATGCCTCAGAATAACATGAACTATGAGGGCAGAAGAAGAGGAGAATGTCACAGCTTCCGTAAAGCCAACGCACAGGTCAATGGACATTTCCCAGGCACAGATTTGGTAAACGGAGCTGTTTTTCGCAATAGCTGCCCAGCTGCTGCCATGAGAACCAGTGAGAGGACACACATTCGTGCAGAGAATAGTGTCAGACCACAGGGCATGGTTAATGGTTATTTCAACCATGAGTGGAGAGGCTTTGGTGGGAGAGCAGCGCAACCAAGTACAAGCATGAGACAGAGAGGCACAGTTTCAGCTGTCACTGATGCCCCTGCATATGGCAGGACTATCAGAGCAGGTGTTCAAGGTGGTGTCTCAGTGACTGGTAACACTGTATCTTTGCACTGTGATTCTGATCAAATGAAGCCAAAGTTGAGCCTCAGAGGAGGGGCTAAGAACCGTGGACGATGGATGAAATTCAAAAACAAGAGGAGGTGAGATACCCGCTTCGCAGCTGCTTTGAATAATCAAAACGCACATTCCACCCACATAACCTGAGAGTTAGCTGTGACAAGGCTGGTTTAGACACTTGAATCGGTTAAAATGAAAGTGTAACTGTTATAGTTGACAGATGACAGTGAAAAGTGACAGTAGACAGGGTTTTTGTAAGGGGTTTGCCAACTTGAAATGAGCCTAATCTGCCAGGAGAGAACATTCAGTCCCTGAATTTTGTCTGAGAATTTGTACTGTTTAATATTTAAGGAGTGAACCTTTCTATTTTTTATTTTATTTACAGCTGCTGTAGTCTTAGTAAACAAGATGTATGTCAGTCTCATGTCTGTCTGTTAGACAGGGATAAAGCCTGCTGTCTTTAGACTGACAATAAGAAGCAGCATGTTGTGCGTTTACCCCAGATGAAACCCCAAACTGATTTTCCTACAAACAGGACACAAACATGCTCGCTGTTTCTCCAGTGTTTTCAGAATCCAGGCGGCGCTTATCTGCTGCAGCCTGCTGAAGCCCATTCTGCTTCTTAAATGTACAACAACTATAATTAATCTTAATGCCCCATGGTGTAATATTTAGTGAGCATGTGGTGACAAGCAACCGTTGAGTCAGTAACCTCAAATACTGATGTCAAGATTTAGCTGATAACACCTCAATGATTCCATAGAATAAGAATGAATGTAATGATCTTTCAATCTTCAGCAGAGATAGTGAAGTCAACCGTCCAAAGATACCCACACCAATACTACCACAGGAAGACTGGGAGAAGGAAATCACAGAGGTCACAGTGGCTGACCGGAAGAAGATGAGCTCTGGGATCGATCACTATGGTAAAGAAAAGACATCTTAATTTTTCTGCATCTTTCTGATCAGCATTCATATTTGGTTGGTCAGTTTGAGGGGAGAAGCAGTCTACTCTAAGTGAGTGTTCACACACACACACACACACACACACACACACACACACACACACACACACACACACACACACACACACACACACACACACAGTGATCAGAGGTGACCAGTGTCTGAGGTCGCAGCACCAAACTCCATCAAAACACCTGCTGCTCTCTCAAAGTTAGATAACAGGAGTTATCAGGATCTATTACAAACTTTGCAGTGTCAGCTCATTCCACATGCTTTTTACTTCAACCATACACAATACTATCCTGACAGTTTGTTTTACAGATCATATCTACTGTGACATCTGTGGGCCTTTTGTTAACAAAGAATAACATCAGTGTTATCATTGAAGACGCTGCTTTATTTAAGTTAGCTTGTAAATTTAGATCCCTTTATTTCTTTGACTCAGAAGTCTAAATGAGGAAAATTCAGATAATAAACTCATATTTTTTCTTGGTCCTAATCATAGACTGTATATATTATGGACAACTTGGTTCCACCTTCCGCCTGTATACGGATTTGAAGCCAAATAGCTCTCGGTATTTCCGGGATTTTTCTTCATTTCCTGAAACCAGCGCTGCACAGTAGCGATGCGCGCATTCGCCAGCGCAGTCGCAGAGAGTCACTGTGATGACGCTTGGCTCAAACAGCGTATCCCCCGGGAGAGCTACGCAATCCCTAAACACCCATAGGCTGTATCAAGTGTCAATCATAGAAAACATGAACCCCCTAATAATTTTTAAAAATGGAGCTGTACAGAAAAAAGAGGACTTGAACACAAACCAGTCTTACTGTAACTACATGTCAACATCACAAGCAGGGGGGAGAAAAAATTATGTTCTGTGTAATAAATTTCTAAAGTTTGTCCACAGTTCCATAAACTTTGCTGGCGGAGGCGTGATTTATGACCTATACTGCAGCCCATCAACAGAGGGTGCTGTTCTCGGATTGGCTTCACCCAGCGAGGAGGCAGACTCTGTCCATTCTATATACAGTCTATGGTCCTAACCCACTTCTGTATGATCACTATTGTCTTGCTCAGGCAATAAAAAGGAGGAGACGGTAAATTGTATGACAAGAGACATCCATTTTTTTGCCTGTTGAAGTGTACAATGTAAAGATGTTTATGTCTCATCTTGCTAGAACTGAATGAAAACTACAGGATGGAAAGCAGAGAGGGAGTATTTGTAATATATATTTTTAGATGAATCTCGCAAGAAGCTTTGTGTGGGCGGAGGACACTCACTCATTGGTCCTTTGTTTCCCCGTTTAGATCCTGAAGATCTGCTCGATGATGATCTGCGGATTTTGACGCTCAAGCAGCTGGCCACAGTTCCTCCATCGATGAGGCTTGGATACTGCCCAGCCGTACACCACCCTCGCTCCCTCCACTGGTCCTGCTACCTTCCTCCCCCTGATCCAGACCTGTTTGCAGATGCTGATGATTAAGCAACAAGTATGCGTTCAAGTTAGATGAAGTTTTAGAAAGCATTGTTCACATAGAAAAATTAACTGAGGAGTTCTGCTGTAAGTGCGGTTTGCTTTTTGGCATAATGCAGATTTTTGGGTTGTGGGTCAGATGTTTGGATCTTGGATTGTGCCCATGTTTTCCAAATTTGTTGAATTGATCTTTTTCCTTCATCTGAACCAGGGAAGAAAAGTGATTTGGATTTGGAAACATCTTTGGTGGGATATACTATGTAGTCTGCTTGATTCTTTTATGGTAGATTTTATTTAATGTATCAAACTTTTACCTTTGTTTAATATTGCAATATATTAATTTGTTAAGCTTCTGTGATCTTAAAAGAATGATTTTAGCTCTCTGCTCTACATTTGTGTTGTCACTGAAACTGCTTTTGCCTCTTCAATTTCATACTCTTGTATTTTCAGAAGTCGTCCAAAAACTAGAAGTTGTTTTCATCTAATATTTTTTTTCCTTTCCAAATACCCGACATAAGTTACCTTTTGAGCAGTGAGGTTGTTTTTAATGATTGTTAATTCCAATTTTTTACATCAAATGTGAAGCAGCTTTTTAGTTTGGGAGAGTTGTCCTTTTGAAGAAACCACAGTTTGTGTATGTAACAGGAAAAAAACCCTGCATGTTCCAACTTTTACTTTCATTCTCAAAATCCACAATAAATCCATTTTCCTACTTTGAGGGCAAAAATTGCAAGTCACTTGTTTTCTTAATTTGTTACCATGACCAACACCTGGCTTAGATCTATCTGAACTATTTGATTTAATGGAAATTTTACTGACAATGATATATTTCGTCCACTAGATGGAGCAGTTGGCATCAGAATTGGTTTTCCCTCTGAGTTATTACACACACCTATGGGAGTTCAGTGGGTTCATTTCCAAGGACTGGAGAGACACAAGCACTTACTTGCACACCGTTCAAAGCCCATTTCTCCCAGAGTTATCATTCAGAGTGCAAAGCTGATGGGGTTGCAGACAACTGTTACTAAGCTGATTAATACCATCTAATAATACTTAATCATTCATGTCCACAGACACCGTGTCAATAATAGATTGAGGTCATAATCTTTGGTGCAGTCCTCAGCCGTGTTCTCTGGTGAGACTTTGTAGTTGAATTTTAAGCAGAGCTCTGTGTTTTTTTTTGTAAACCTAAGTATTCAACATCAGAACCATCACATTCAAAGAGATGAAGCAGTGTTTGATGTTCCCCCCCGGTCTTCTATGTGAACTGCATTGTTGATGTTGAGAGCAAATGTGACTGTCTGAACCTCGATGGGGAAAGGATGATGATATTGTTGTACTCTTTCTGGTGTTGGTGCACACTTTCAGTCGAGGTATGGACGGTTAGTGGGCATCTTCTTGAGGTTCCACTGAGTTTATCTTAGAACAGAAAAGTTGAGTGTGAACAATGAGAGGAAACATAAAACATAGATGATTGGAGCAGGGAGTGCTTTCCTGCTAAATCTGTGTTCTTATTGCAGGAAGGATGAGTTTGTTTGTGAGGTTTCTGACAGACTTTCTTGAAGTGCGGGTAGGTTGAACTGAAAACTATATGAACACTGTATGAAACTGAGGTTGACTGTAAGTAGCAATGTTTACATGTGCAACATTTCTTGATCCGATTAAAAATTTGAGGGATCGGAACATTTGAATCCATTGTTTCTATCGGTGCAAAATCAAATAATCCGATCATGACGTGCGTGTACATGCACCAAGCTTTATTCAGATTAGAAGCATTTGTACATGCGCAGAGTTGTCTGATTTCGTTAAAACAACCACACAAGAAGAGTTGTGTTTACGCTTGTGCTGTCAACAAACCAACACAAGCGGTAGTGGCTCACTCCAGCCAATTCAGGAGTTTAACCCCTGATAAATGTTTTCGCTAGGTGGCGCCCTTGCGTACTTATTTTACTCTACTGTCAAAGGTTGCTCTGTGCGTGCAGATGTGACATCATTACGCGTTATGTACACCGTGTTATGTTGCCGGAAAAGCAGACACGGTACCTGCGTTTGTGTTTTATGCCAGAGTGTTAATAATGAAACCTCCTGAACTGGCCTCAGTAAATAACCCAAAGACTAAAGATTGAAGACCGAGTCAGGTAAGAGAGTCATGATCAGAAAAAGTGTTTACATGGATGCGTTTCGGAATAACGATCGGCACAAACCACCCCTCTCGATCGTAATACAATTTCTTTCCGATTGAGCCGAATTGGATCAGAATCCTCCGATCGACGTGTTTACATGACGCATTTTTATTCCGATGGGGCATTTATTCTGATTATTTGCGCCCATGTAAACGCAGCGAATGTGTGTCGACAAGAATAGATTACAACCCGTCAACAACAGTGTAACACAAGTGAAATCGTCCCTTTTCTGGCCTCCTTGTGTCATTCTGTTGTGAATCGTCTGGAACGCTCGTCCATCCTCACACTTCGCCTGACTGGTTTGTTACTGTACTTCAGTTGTACTGAAAAAAAAAAAGCTGTCACTTCATGAAGAAGAAATGAGAATGCTGTCTGGTGGCTGCCATCTTGGCTCTCGCACTCCTGTCTTTGGCAGGATGAATGGTTGAGAATGAATGAAACAGCAATCCTGCTTTTGTTGTTTTTGTTTGAAGTGTCTTTTTTTCATGAAGCTGACCCAAATGTAATGACATTGCTCATTAACTGAACATGATCTTTTTTTTTCCTTGCAAACTCGACTTACCCTATGTTGGAAATCCATTCCAGAGAGGAACTCACATATGCTATTTGTTTGATGTGAGACAGTTTAATAAATATTTGCGAGCACGCATAACTCTCTCCAAAAGCAGTAATCAGAAAAATATTGAGCTCCTTTTTTTTTTAGAGATTGCTGCACTGTCACCATTTTCAGAAAAAGTTAGCCAGCAGGCTCAGTGAAGGTTCCTCTCAATGCTGTGTTGTCTAAACCTGAAACAAAAAGAAAAGTGTTTTGCTGTGGAGTGGATTTCCTGAGCTGTGAAAGCTCAGCAGTATAATTGTGAAAAGGTGGTATTAGAGTTAAATACTGTATGCCTCATACATGTTGCAATCCTGGTGAGTGATTAATGCCCCATATGTCTCAGTGGAGCTCTTTCCACATCCTGTGTTTGGACAAATAAGCAGACATGCTTGTAGTCTGTACTGACTGCCCTCCTACGTCCACCCTGCAGTAATACTAGGGGTCAGGTTCAGCCTATTGCATTTAGTTTCTGCTTTAATCACAGCTGAGTACATTAGCAAAGCATTTGGACATTTCAGTTTGAACTGCGCTCTGTAATTTGTTGTATTGATAGTCAAATAAACTCTGACTCTAATACAAGTTCCCGGTGCAGGAGTGAAAATCACCTCCGGGCCCTTTTGCGCTACATTTCTCGGATATGAATCACCACCGGTTATTTCAACTCTTTCCAATGTGACTACTCATTTAGCATTCAACATCTCTGATTGATCTGGCGATGTAATGGTTTGTTAGACTAGCACAGGAAGACACCCAGGAAGAGACAGGAAGGAAGACTGTGGTCAGTTCACCCTCCTTCAGTTTACCAAAGCAAACAAACGGACATTTGTCACTGAAATTACAGTTATTCAAGCTGTCCTTAAATATGCTCATCTGTCCTGTTCATTATGCTTTAGCTGCAGCCAAATGGTTGGCCCAAGACATGGTGTTGTATATATAGTTTAATATTCTTTGCAATGCTGCTGCTGTAAAAACTTAAGAGACACTAATGTTTATTTATCCACTTTTTAAAATTAGTCTCCGCATCAGCAGATGCACTAAGCGGTTTTTGGTTTGTAGTCTCAAAATGGGAATTGTTGATAGGATGAAAATACTGAATATCTACCAATATGCTTTTCCATGTGAACTCAACGTTAGAAAGATATGGTATATAAAAAAATATTAATTTGAGTCAGCAGCTTTGTGCCCTTTGTAGCGCCCCCTGCTGGAGAAAACATCTTGGCTGATTCTGTCCTCTACACAAGTAATTGTCCATGTTTTTTCCTGCTTTCCTTTGCACAGCCACATGCAAAACCAGCCCAAGCCTCAATAGGGCCCTAAGCAAAATTTGATTTTGGGTCCCTCTATTTCTGCCAGTAATATTGATTGTTGATCATTCACACACCTTCACACATCTCTTTGATTAACATTCCATGACATACAAACATACACTTATCTTGGCATTTTTTCTCTTCTTCCTCTTTCTTTTCTCTTAGCAGCAGCACGGAAATGCTTTTACTTTATTTTATTTTATTTTTACAATTATAACATTTGACATTTAACATTTGATCATACAGGAAGCATCACTCATACATGCAAAAAATAAAAAATATATATAGATTTTTTTGGTTTGCTCTTAGGGGCCCCCTATTGGCAGTGGGGTCCTAAGCAGGCGCTTAGTTTGCTTATGCCTTGGGCCGGCTCCGGCCACATGAATTACTTGTTGAAACACTTTGCCACGGAGAAGCTACTCGTTATTCTTTTTTTTCCTATTTAGGGTCATAGAGACAGTTTTGTCAGTTTCGCAACCAGCTAACATTTCTTCACGGGAGCTTTAAATGATCAGTACAAGGGTCAGTGTGCATGAAAATTAATGAGCTGTTTTAGCTAGGTCCAAATTTGATTTAATTTTTGAATGACCAAAGAGTGCAGGGTCACAAACCCCGTACAGTAATAAAGCTTCAGAATGTGTAGCTTTGACGAAGGACAGAGAAACCACCTCCTAACCTTCTTGCAAAGTCCCTCACTTTAGCTTTTTTCAGCACCCAAGCTCTGTACCTATTTAATTTTTAACAAGATGCATCAGCTCTCTGCAGCAACAAGACTCCATTGGTGCAGGGTTTAATTAGTCCAGCATTGAGAGGAAATGACCACAAAAGACATTCCTTTGTTCCTTCACATTCCTCCATACAAACAGCATGAAAACGAGCTGTATTGATAGGACCCTGCCTCCATCCTCCTCCTTAAATTGACCTCCTACAGTGTGTGATATATTTGACTCCCTGTTCAAACGGACATTTAGATCTCCATATTTCCTCTGTGACTCACAGACAGTCATGTCTTTTTCCTCTCGTCTTAGTGTGTCCGGTCTTGTTCTGCGCTTTCTCTTCATTGATCTTTTGATGCTTTGCTGGCACGTTCAGGAAGATGCCTGTGGTTAGCTAACCACAGCCAGAGCTAACCAGCTCAACAAACCTAGATAAATTGGCTGCTTTGGGAGCAGGGATTCTGGTAAATTCCAACACAATTATCAGCAGTCCACTGGTGAAAATTGGTAAAAGATGGAAAACTAAAAAGCTCCTGTTGGAAAGTTTGCCTCAGTCAAGCCAGACTCATGCCAGTCTTGTTTGATTCAGGATTTTTACACAAAAATTGTTCAGTGTTCATTTTAACAACCCTCTTAACCCTCTAAACGTTTAACTGGATTTGATGGCTTGTTCGAGGCTGTGAGGATGGGAACACATTGATTTCTCTGTGGTTCTCTAAGAAGAAGGCTCATGGTTTCCTGTCATTGTGAACCGACCCAGTAGGAAGACAGCCAGGGTGTAGAGATCTGGGTGACAGACCATTGAGGGAAAAAAAAACAGCCTGCAGAGTTGCTGGCAGCAAGGACTGTAAAGGCCGCAATCGCCTGATGACCAAGCACACAGTTTCTCAACTTTGTAATGAAACAATAAGGAGCT